TGCACTGGCAATAAGTATAATTACATGGAAAGACAAAACACTTTGTACTGTCCCTGCTCCTTTCCATATGCAGTTGATAAAATAAATTGCAAACAGGTTACCTGCTCCCATTCCCCCTTGGTTTGACTTTGCCCAATTATCTGTTTTAACTGATGCAAAGTTCAATTTCTTATATACTCAGTTTTGGAAATAGGATTGAAAGAAAGCCCTGGTAAAGAAATAATGTTTTATTTTTATTTTTGCAATTTGTTAGAATTAGTGTGAGATGGATATATCCCTTATGAAACTTAACAAACTGAAATAGTACAAAAATTGCTAGATAAAAAAAACACTTAATTTCAAACAACCTCAGCACTTTATATTAAGGTTACAAAGAGAGCTTCAATTTCACATCAGAGTTGAAGTAGACAGTTTCTTGTGTCTGTAGGTAAAGGTTGTGGAAATTATAGTGGAACTCCCAAAGTGTTAAGCTCAAATCTCTGCAGACACTCATCTCAGTGGGAATGACTACTGCCATAAATCCATTATTTTAAGTGACCTCCATTTTTGTAAGGGAATGTGCCTTATTTTACAAGATCAGCTCTATAGGACATAACAAATGTTCCTTATTCCAGTAAACCCCCGTTTTCCAGCACTTGGTAGAATTTAACTTTATTAGAGAGTCCCTTACTAATTTTTCAAAGAAAGTTTAATCTCTCACAACTGTATTGCAGTGTAACGAATTGGAATTCTAGTGCTAAATCGAAATGGTTTAGTAATCACAAGCACATTAGTACTAGGTAAAAGGATCAGTATTGCATACGTGTGAGTTCTCCAGCTTATCTTTATATTGCACTAGAATCCAAAGTTAACACATTCTAATCTTCTAAACAGAAATGGCTTAGCAAACTACACACACAGTTGTGATTGAGCAGAAGGATAAATGGAGCATATTTGTGTGTGTGTGTGTCTGTGCAGAGAGTCTGAATTCTTTTTATGTATCTTTATCTTTAAAATAATTGATTCAAATTACCATCACAATTGCACGTTAATCCTATGCAGTATGCCTTTCTGTGAGTAAAATGCTAGCGTAAAAAGCCTTGCAAGAGAGTGCAGTATCATTAGCTACATTTTTCTCCCTTTGTATCATGCATATGTTAAAATGTATGCTAATAAGATCTAAGAAGCTTTGGAAGTTTTATGCATGAACTTTGAAAAGGCTGTTTTCCCAGTTCACCACAGACAAAAGAACAACACACAAGCTATTTAGTATTTAATATTTTCCAAGTAGAAAAACACTCCAGTTAATTATGAAAAGTAATAATTCCACTGTCACTTTGTATTTTAATTCATGCATTTAAAAACTGTTGAGCACCCTAAAGCACTCTAGTAGTTAATGTGAGAAGAAAGCGGCTATAAAAGATCTTAGCGTTTTGCAATCCCCAATCTGTTTCAAGTATCTAGAAATATATTTACAATGAGACACACAACCAAATACCATAGCGAATCTGATAAATAATTGGAATTTGCTTCTCTGGTTTTAAAGGTTTCTAAATCTACTGTACCCAATGAAATGTATTAAACTGTGCAATTGTCATGGGAATATTAATACTTGGAGAATAATCCAGTTCTCTGCCACATCCTTCCCACACACTCATGTGTGTTCTCACTGCCCTCTCTGTTGCCTCTCTTTTATGCATGGAGCTATACAATTCTGTGAGTGCTATATGCTCTCAGTGGTGTATGTAAGGAACTGACTGGATCATCCCCAAAAGCACTGCATGTTGCTTTTAATTAACATTCCTTACAACCCTGTAAAGGGAGGCAGGAGGCAGTGGAAGACAGAAGTGCCTGGCGTGCTCTGGTCCATGGGGTCATGAAGAGTCAGACACGACTAAACGACTAAACAACAACAACAACAACACAACCCTGTAAAGCTGGCCGACAAGGAAGGGGAAACTGAAGTTCCATCGGTGTTTATAGATGAACTGAGATTTGAACTACAGTGGTACCTTGGGTTACATACGCTTCAGGTTATATATGCTTCAGGTTACAGACTCCGCTAAGCCAGAAATAGTGCTTCAGGTTAAGAACTTTGCTTCAGGTTGAGAACAGAAATCATGCTCCGGCGGTGCGGCAGCAGCAGGAGGCCCCATTAGTTAAAGTGGTGCTTCAGGTTAAGAACAGTTTCAGGTTAAGTACGGACCTCCGGAACGAATTAAGTACTTAACCCGAGGTACCACTGTACCAATGTTCAGCTCTTGGAGCTCTGCCATGCTTATACCAACCATCTGGCATTGGTTTCCCCAGTGCTAGTCTTGTGTTCAGCGGATTTAGATGATTCTGAATTATTTTTAAGCAGGTTCCTAGAGACAAAACACTTGCTAAGTTGTGTAGATCAAACATGTTGGCCACAATTCAAGCCCTATTGATTTCAGCGGTTCTTGTGGCTACAACTGCACTGGATTGTGACCACTAGCAGTAAATTCACATAATGTTATACACAATCTCTGATATCAAAGGTGAGGTTGGTAAAGTATGATATATACATATTTTACTGGCCATATCAACATCCATCACATGGAGTTGGTATTGAATTACTAAGCAAAATAGGATATAGTTTTGGCTGAAAGTAAGCATAGCTTTGCAACCACTTTCCACCTTACTTCTACTTTTGAAAGGCAAGATTAATACTGAAGGAATGGCCCACTTGTAAATTTATATAGATTCAGGAATGGACAGAAAAATGTTAAATACAGGTTGAAATCTGACTCCAGAAATCCAATAAACTAATCCATTAGGTATGGTTTACTAACCTGAGAAAACCTTTCAAGAACAGTTCCACTATCTTGGCAACCAGCAATATATCAAGAGTAGATTTTGCCACTAAGGGTTAGTGGCTAGGATATTAGTAGCTGTACTTGGCGGGGGGGAAGGAGGGAGAAAAGCAAAACGGTGGGGGGGGGGGATCTGTAATTCCTGCTAAGCTTTCCCTAGGTCTAAATAAAATTATTGGAAAATATTTATATTTCAATATAAATGTAATCAAATAGGTTCACTTTTCATATAATTTCATAAATATGAATGTTGTGGTAACTGTAATATTGGAAGCAATGAAGGAGAACTAAGCATACTTCATTTGTGCAAAGATTTAACAATGAAATGTATTAATTGATTTTGAGACCTGAAACTTGTTCGGTTAACATGCACAAGGCACAGCAGAGTTTATACTAATATTAGTAACTTCCAAATGGTATTAAGTTAACAGAGAAAGAAAGAAAAAAAACCCCGACCATAGATACAGCATCAGCGACCAAGTACATTTCTAAATAAAAGTGTGATATCATTCTATCCAAGAGCAAGTGGACAAGAAGTGAATACGTCCTGGAACTCTTTCCCAACAGTTGTCTGTGTCTGAGATTCAAATGCATTTACATGCTGGTCTTTGTTAGCAGCAGTAAATACCTCATGGTTGCCAGGAATACCTTATTTTGCAATAGCCTTGCCTAGCTTTGGCACTGTGGATCCCTTCGGTGCATAAAAGAAGTTTAAAAAATATTGCAAATGATGGTTTGTGGAGATCCTGCTCTCTGACCTTTATCTGCATTTAACAACAGCTTAAATTCCACATTTTCTCAGCATAGCAATCACACAAAAGTCTACTAAATAGGCCCCCAGAAGCTGCTATTCAGACTCTGAGCGTTGCTCCCATTGTAAGCTTTTTCTCCCACATTTGGTTGTTTTAGGAGTAAAGTGTTACAGCATCTCTCGCTTTATTCCATTGAAGCCCTTTTTCTCTTTCAACTCTTTTAATGGGGGAGTACAAATGCTAGTAGTCTTTGTATATTTTCCTTCTGTTGTCTTTCTTCCTAGTAAAAGCAAGTCAGCAGTTAGAATACCAGCAATATTTATGTTTTGTTTGGAGCAACTGGGATAATTTCAAAGTACTTTAAAAACAACAACACAACAACATATATACACTGTTTATCTATAGTTTGAATAAAAATCTTTTCCCACCCGCCCAGATATTTAAAGAATGACTGGCTTTTTTATTTTTTATTTTAAAAACCACACAGCTTGTGTCCAAGCCTATACCTTATTATGGCTGAGAATAATATTGAATTTTTAAAATAATGCTAAGCAACATGTATTTTAATGACCAGAGGAAAAAATTGGCTATAGACTGAGTTAGTGTTGTTGTTGTTTTAAAAAAGAGATAAACTGGAAGCATGTGTAGCTTATATTTTATTTATGTTGCAGAGAAAGCTATGCAAATACTGTGTTCAGTATATGAAGAGCAAAAAAGTAGCAAAACAGGAATATGTTACTTTTTGCCACTAAGCGAGTTTCAGAAATTTGGTGAATGTTGAATTTTGCTGGTAATTCATAAGACTTAAAGACAGCAAGAGGAATAATTCAGTTATATGTAAATAAAAAAGACAATGGGGCCTTCAAAGAGTTAGCCTTGTTTCCACCAGTTCTCTGAAGAGCTGTGCACCATATATCTATAAACCTTCTCCTACCTACTTGGCACAGTAATTTAATGATGAAAATGTCTGTAAGTGTTAGAGAAGATCTGACAACTCTGTTTATTAAAATAAAGTGCTACCTTATTCCCACCTCAGATAAATCCTTGGTGAGTCTTGTTCTACAATGGAGCACCAGCACACAAGGCTAAGGATTCTCTGGTACCTGTTGTGGGAAAACATAGATTCATGGGGCCATTCCTGAATGTAGCCAAGAGTAAAGATTAAAGAAAAGAAGCTTGGGTTCAGAAGGGTCTTGCTGGGATGGTAGGGGAAGAGCCACTTTGTGGCAGGTAGGTCACTGTTGCTTTCCTGGAGGAGTCCTGTGGTGCATAGGTGCCTGCCAGTGTGCTTTTACTATGCTGACGTCCCCATCACCTTGTCCCTTCCTGTAAGCAACAGTGACTCACCTGCTGGGAGGCCAGCATAGCGGCACTGCCCCACCTGGTGAGCTACTTCTGAGTGTACTTTCATCGCATTTCCTCCACAGCCAAAATGTGGAGACGAATCCTTGCCCCACTGCCAGTGATCGACCGTTTTCTTGCTCTCACCGGAGGTAATCGTCACAAAAGAGATGGGGAAGAAACAGAAGGAATCACTGGCTGGGATGGAAGTAGGTTGTGTATTGGTTGTGGGGCAGTCAGGCCAAAGATGGTTACTTCAGAGTTCAGCTAGGTGTTTAGAAGCAGGTAGGGGAAAGCTGGATGCTGTTCAACACCTGTTTTGTGGATGTAGGTACCCCTTTGTAGACTTTGGTAGATCCAGTAGGACTGATTGAGGCCCAAGTAGCAACCTTGGGTAAAGAATCCTCTATTCCCTCTTGAATCCTGAGTTTTCATTCTCTACCACCCCAGTATTTTATGAAAATTTGTTCATACCTGATAAGTCTATAACACAATTAGCAAAGCAGGTCATCCTTTTTAAGCAAATGGACCAGGTAGAGGCTCATTTAATTGGTTATAATAATAGTTTCTGTGTGCAGAACCAGAGAGTTTGCCAGGAATACCAGATGCTCCTGAGGAGGAATTGCATATGATCTGAAGCTCAGGAGAGAGCAACAGTCCCCTTTGCTGATCTTAAACATCAGTGTTATATGCTACCACTTGTGAATTGTGCCAGATGCCTAATTAAAACTTTTAGTAATATCTACTATCATACAGTATTATGGATATACGATGCTGTCAGGACGGCTGTGCCAACCTTGGCAGCGTGTGTGGATATGCGTTTCAGAGAACATTGATGTGCTGGCTTTAGGGGGGCAAACAGGGCAGACTTGGGGGCCCTGCAAATCTTGTACAAAACCCTGCCTGCCTTCTTTATAGGGTCTTTTAACTCAGCAGCATTGCAGGCAATGCTTCAAAAACATAGGAAGCTGGCCTTTCCCTGCCAAATTCAGACCCATCCACATCAATAGTTCTTTAGCAGGGAGCTGGCTTATGCCCTTTTTTCTGCACATGCCCAATTGCCGAGTTCCCTGATGACATCAGGAGGGAGTAGCCATTTTGTTTTAGTAAGAGGAAAAAGGAAATACTGCAAGTGTCCTCTCCACTTAGGCACCTCCTTGTGCATGCTTTGAACATAAAGAATTAAAGGAGTGCCACGTAGAATTTCCATGGGTAATGCATGTAGGCACGTATGAGCCATCAAGCCACTCAACCGAGCCACTATGTATTTCAGCTTCATGCAGGTCTTACTAAGCTCCTTGTTGGCTGCTATAAATGGGTGGTTGGCTACATTCAGCTGGTTGAGTCACAAGCTGTGCAGGACTAGGCTAATGGCTAAAAGACTTCTTTGCTGGTACTGAGCCAATCTGCAGGACTCAGGGTGGTTCACAGAATAAACGAAAAATATAAAACCACAAAATACATAATCAAAATAAAAAGAACAACCCAGCAACCCCTCCACATTTTAAAAGAGCATAGGATGTCAATCAAATAAACCAAAGGCCTGGTTAAAAAGGAACATTTTTGCCTGGCGCCTAAAGGTGTATAATGAAGGTGCCAGGCGAACTTCCCTGGGGAGAGCATTCCACAGACAGGGAGCCGCTGCAGAGAAGGCCCGTTCTCGTGTTGCCACCCTGTCATGTTGCATAATGACTATTTCATATTTTTCATGTGTAATTAGTCCATTTTTAACAACAAACATCAATTAATTTATTCATTTAACAGAATTCGTAGACTGTCTTTCCTCACATCATGATGACTCCAGGGTGGTTAACATCTTGCAAAATAGACAACCACATAAAATATAACTTGATTAAAATAAATTACGGCATTGTAAAAAGAAACAAAAAACAAAACAAAATACAGTAGCAGATGAAATACCAAGCAGTGGATTGTTTGCACATGGATGTCAACCTATCCAACCCATCTGCACCAAATTACATGATAGGAATGCTTATGCAACACCATTTCTCTTTACAGAGAGAGGTATATTTATTTAAACTGACAGCCTTTCCTGCCCACATACAGTGGAGAAGCAGCATTGGGAGATGCAGGCGAGCCCTTAGGAATCTAAGGAGACTTGCTGTAAATCACAACATTTGACACATAGCAGGGTTTAGTTTCTTGTAAGGAGGAATACAGCAACACATGACCAATAGTTTCCTCCAGAACTAGGCATGGGTAATATTTGAAATATTGGAGCTTTTGAGTACTGGCAGGAAGAGGCCTGTTTTCATTAGTCAGGGAGCATTCAGGCCAAAGGGTTAGGAGCACAAAGATCAAACAGAACCAGGCACCGTCAAACGGACAGAAAAGAAAGGCTTGGTGCAAGTCAAATAGTCGGCTGGGAATTCTAGAATGATTCAGGAAGGCAGCACAAGAGACAATTCCCATAAAGATGATGGAGGAATGAAGAAGAGCATATGAAGGGGTACACTCCAAATCTAAAAGGAGGTTGTGTAGGGCTTCACCTAAGGAAAAGGAAACTGACCAATGTACAGATATAATATCCCATGCAAAGTTTCTGTTTTGTTGCTGCCTGGACCATGGGGATCTGTAGTGCAGCACAGTGGCTGCTGTGTGTCAGGGGATGGGATTCTGGGCGGCAGGGGGGCTTGAGGGTGGCAGCTGTCCTAAAAAAACACTCCACAACTTTGGTCCACCCCATGCGCCTCAGATGAGTTCAGAACCCTTTTGAGATCTCTTTAAGCAGTCTTGCTTCCCCATTAATCCCTCTGTCATCAGGTGTGTAAGGAGCCTCTTCCTCCTTCAGTGAATCCTTTTTCTCTTTGACTTGCCACGTGGGTAAACCCCAGAAATGCTGCCTTTTCCTTCTTTCTACGCTGTGTCCTATGCCACTGTGGCAAGACTCTTTACTCTTTCCCATTTGTGTCAAGCTGTTCCCTGTCCTTGCTCCATCTGTGCTTGGAGCCCCCTCTAAGTGTGCTGCCCGCCACACCTTTATCCACCAGGTGGTCTAATGCCTTTCCTTCTCTAGTGGGGCCACCTGCCCAGCTTCTTCTTGTCTCTTTGACTCACCTCTGCAGCTGACAGCATGGAGCAGCTGTGCCAGTCGCTGCTGACAATCTTATACCACTTTAGCAGTCATAAAAAAGGTAAAGGTAAAGGACTTCTGACAGTTAAGTCCAGTTGCAAATGACTCGGGTTGCGGCGCTCATCTCGCCGAGAGAGCCGTTTGTCCGCAGACAGTTTTTCCGGGTCATGTGGCCAGCATGACTAAGCTGCGTCTGGCAAAACCAGAGCAACGTATGGAAACACCGCTTACCTTCCCGCTGGAGCGGTACCTATTTATCTACTTGCACTTTGATGTGCTTTTGAACTGCTAGGTTGGCAGGAGCAGGGACCGAGCAATGGTAGCTCACATCGTCACAGGGATTCGAACCGCCGACCTTCCGAACAGCAAGCCCTAGGCTCAGTGGTTTAGACCACAGTGCCACCCGCGTCCCTTTTTAGCAGTCATGGTCTTCCCCAAAGAATCCACTAAGTTCCCAGAATTCTCCATGACTGTAGAAGTGGTATGAAAGTATTTTAAATGTGTTGTGTTAAGTTGTGGGTGAACATATCAGGCGACACAGAGATTCTGCAAACAGCTCTTCTTTATTCAGATGCCAGAACAGAACTAACTGAGGAGCTCAGTCAGCCTGCTTATATAGAGCTCCAGAACAATTGTAACTGTTGCCACTTTCTAAAACTATCCAATCACAGAATGTCACTTTTCGATCCTTCATTTGCATACAAACTATCCAATCACAGAACGTCACTTTTCAATCCTTCATTTGCATACAAACTATCTGTCAGGGAACTGCCATCAGTGCCGGAGGGAGAGAGCAAAATCCAGAGGGATTCCGGAGAGTGTCCTGGGATTGGGAGAGGCAGCCCATCTTCTGGGGAAGAGAATCAGCGTAGCACCAGTGGAGAAGGGGGGCAGATGGGGGAAGCGGCGAGGCGGTCCCATGACTCCTTGCCGGGGACCAGCGGGGAGAGTAGAGGTCCTCCGCTGCCTACGCCCTCCTTGCGCAGAAGGCTTTTGCGCAGAGAGAGTAGGAGGAGACTAGGCGTCAAAGAGCTTCTTTGCTGGAAGAAGTTTAAGAAACGCCCACTGACGGATTCTGCCAGCGATTGAGACAGCCACGGGTGAGTGGCTGTCCGGACAGAAAAGGTTCACTCAGGCAACCCAGCCAGGTGTTTGCACCGGCTTACGCACGAGCAACCCCTAGAACCACTACACTATCCAATCACAGAACGTCACTTTCGATCCTTCATTTGCATAACTATCTACAGTATCCCCCTGCTGGCCCAGGGTGAGAACATCAGTACATAACATGTTGTGTAGATGTGATCTAAGAAGCAGTAACCATCACTGTGTCAAGACTGGGCTGTAGGCAGCACACAGCAAGGCGCTTAGGAGCTAAGTCAAAGAGTCAGAGACAAGGAAGGCCATTGTTGCTCAGGCAAGATTCAGTCCAAATAGGAAAACTCTTGTAGGCCTTTCTATCTAAGTCCAGTGGCCGGTATGGGAATACTTTTATTGATAAGAGAGCGGATCTAACCCTCGGTTCAATGGCTCAACACACATGAATCATAAAACTGTAGAGCTGGAAGGGTAATCTAGTCCAGCTCCCTGCAACTCAGAAATCTTTTGCCCAACTTGGGGCTCGAACCTGTGAGTCTGAGATTAAGAGTCTCATGCTGTGCTGACTGAGCTACAGAACAGAAGGTTTCCAGTTTTAGCTCAAGTGGTTCCTCCCACACACAAAAAATAGCTGATGGTGTACACCACCGTCATCTTTTCGACCAGGACAGAAGTCAAATTGTTGCTTTACCACTAAATTGTAACTGAAGAATAAAAAACCCTGAGCAAAAGGCAAGGTAATAACCATTAACCATGCAAAAGTGTCTGGAAAACCGAAGACATAACGAACCAAATCTACATATAACTTGGAAAGAAAGGAGGTGGAAAATACATGTTATGACAAACGGTTTTATCTATAGGATAATGGAGTCACACATATGAGTAGAATATTAATGAGGACAAAAATAAAATTGATACTTTTCATTTTCTGAAGATGTAAAATGCTTGACTAGTTCATGCTTTTCTGCCAAAGTCCTCCTTTCTGGAATTTGCAAATATGTATAAACTGATGAAATAAATACTGTATACATTAAGATTGTATATTTTCCATCAAACTGAAATGGGGGGGGGGGTTTCAGTTCACTGCTCAACCAAAGGTTAATGAGCTATTCTACATTTCAAGCTGAATACAGAACAGTGATAACTCGGTTTAAGAACAGCCCTGTTTACGAACAATTTGGTTTATGAACTCTGCAAAACTGGAAGTAGTGTTCCGGTTAGCAAACTTTACCTCGGTCTATGAACAGAAGCCGAACGGTGGAAGGGCACCGGCGGTGGGAGGCCTCATTAGGGAAAGCGCGCCTCAGTTTAAGAAAAGTTTCGGTTTAAGAACGGACTTCCGGAACAGATTAAGTTCGTAAACCGAGGTACCACTGTACAGTATATGGATATGAGCTTGTGAAGGTGCTACCAGATATCAAGAAATGGATTTGGTGGTTGGGAGTTCAGATTCCTCTGTGCTGAACTTCACATTATGTTAAAGACTTCAGAAGAAGCAACTGGTTTATGATAAGACCAATATAAAAATAACAGCGTATATCCAGATTGTGAACAGAACACATGGTAAAGAATTTAAGATATATTGTGTAAATAGATGTTCCAAGAGAAAACATTGACTTGAACATATTGACACTCCCAGGGTGTAATATTATGACAGCCATATCTTGTATCATTGTAAAGAAAAAAAAATACATATATTTGGTAAGAGGTTTGTATAAAGTTTTTGTTTGACTTCTATGCTAAAATGCTAAAGGTGGTTGTAAAAGGTTCCTTTCTAGGCCCACAATTTTGTTTTTTCAGATGTTAACAAAGAAAAAGAGGTGTCAGGTTTAAGATAATAATTTGAGAAAACTGATACAGAAATTACAGTATTTCATCCCACTGGAGTATTGAAAACAGATCTTTTTGAAACTTTTAAGCAAGGTTAAACTAAGTACGTTGCTGGTAAATTTATAAAATAACAAAAGGATCTAAAGCTTTCATAATAAAACTTGGTTTAGAACTAACAGAGCAATACTGTACATCAGATCCTTCAGCTGAGGGATATGGTAGAAACCCCGTCTCACTGACAGAATTTGAGATAACACTGCTGCCATGATAAACAGCATGGCAGAACATCTGTAGAATGCTCTGCTGGTACACTCTACCAAAGATATGCCAGGACAGTTACAACAGGGGAGCAATAGGGAACGAAGCATTACTGGAGATAACAACCAATGCTACATGCTATACTCTCCCAGATCATGACTATGTCCCCATTGGGTAGTTGATATCAATTGGGACTGGTAGGGCAGGGAGCCCAACAGTAAGTGAAGAAAGCCAACAAGAGCCAGACTTGCATGGTTAGAGATGCTTCTTAATATTCTGTAGTCCTGAGCCATTTAGGACTTTAGAGGTCAGAATCAGTACTTTGAATTGAGACCATAAACAAACTAGTGGCTAGTGTACATCACTGAGCATTAGCAGGGCCTTAAAAAAAAAAAAAAAAGTACAGGTACTCACTGGAACCTGCCAGTTGGACTCTGAATGTCCATCTGCTTGTGTATGTCATCCCACCAGGGTGTGCAAGGCAGTTTAGGTCCCAAAACTAGATTTGAATCAGAACAACCAGTTTCATCAAAGAAAACCTGGAGATGGTTTGCCACCATGTGCTTGAACATCTTGCCTAAGGAATTTAACACAGGGTTGCCTTTTACTATGCGTATCGAGTTTCAGCTTTCTATTTCTTATGGAAGCACTTGTAACCGTTTTTGCACTGCTATTTTGCACCGTATTTTTTAATGCTTGTGTACCTTGAACAACAATCTGACGCACAGAAATCTACCATGTCAAGCTGCTCCTTGGTTGGAGATGTGTCTGCTAAATTTCTGTGTGCAAATTGGATGTTAGCAAAACAGGACTGGGGCCAGTAATTAATGAGTCAGACATTTGATGTCATCTTTATAAATATGATAAAAAACCCCAAGGACTATGAGTCAAGGGAGTGACCTTGAGTTAGCAACTAGCTACTTATAAACATAATAGCATTTCCCTCTCCTCTGATTGTATTTAGGACAAACATAGTATTTATTGAATGGCATTTAGAGATTGTTTACAAATTTGAATTTTAAATCCTAACCAATGAAATAAATAGCATGTTGAAATGTTAATGCATGGAGCTTTACAGTTTTTAAGCTTGTTTATAATCTTGGTGCTTAATATTAGGCTACGTTGTTGTTGTGGTAAAAAGTAGGTGGTTGATGATCTAATGGGGTGGATTTTGAATCATGGGACAAACTTGCCCAACCAGTTTCCTAAAGAGATGAAGGCTGAGCTTCAAACAAAAACTGGTATCTAGCTTGTGATAGAATTCTTTTCATCCTGCATGTAATGATGTCCTTATTATGAACTTTGACGCTAATTTGCATTGATTCAGAATTGTCAGAATGTCTCTTCCTTCAGGACTTTGGTTCTGGAGAAACAGGTTTAGTGGGACTATAGTTAAGGAAGGAGAGTGTCAAGATTAGGTGGGAAATATTCTGTGTTCATTTTCTTGTTATTTGTGAAACAGTTTTTCAAAAGTGAGAAAGGCATTGACTTTAGCTTCCCTAATTCTGATGACTATAATATATTCATTATAACTGTGATTAATGAACAAGCCCAGGTCATAAACCATGGCTTGATCCTGGCTTGTTTAAACTAACCACCGTTCCCCTGAGTTTGGATATAATGGGAAGCTGTGGTTAATTTAAAAGCAGAAGTAAAAGCTTCTGATCTTCTATTTGTGGCTGCACCAGAGCTGGTAAAGGGAAATGTGTGACTCTGAGGCTCATTCAGGTTTACTCTCAGAGGTCTAACTCTAAACTATAGCTTAGAAGTGCATCTGAAAAAATCCTACATGTACAGTACTTGAGCAGTAGATTTAGGATATAGCAGCAATGCTTCTCCTTCCAGCTCTGATGTATTTCTGTCTGACCACATAAGGTGAACTATTCCTACTTATCAGAAAGGAAATTTGGGATCCTAGAGCAGTGCCTTTCAGTCTTTTTACGCTGAGGAATCTTTTCTATATTGACTTATTTGTTGAAAAACGTATGGGCATCTGCTGTAAACATCTAAGCATAGTAGAAGATTCTGAGCTTGTTCTAAAGTAAACAGCCAGATGAATTAAGCCTGCATCCTAAAATTGCCAATATAATGATGCTGTTAGCAAAATCTATGGTTAATACAGACTACAGATCTACCTCATTTTTTAAATAGACCTCTGTGGTACATAAACTGTAGGCAGGGGCAAAAGAGTAATTTAGAGAGGCAGGCATACAATTATTAGAAATAAGTGCTTCTGAGCCCCCAGGAATGTTCTTACTACTGGAACTGAGCTTAACAGCCATTTCCTATGAGAATCCATGCCTAGCTTTTATCCAAGCTTTCTTCATTTCAGCTGACTAATTAAGGAGGGAGAAAGGTGTAGATTAGAAGTTTGGCCAGGTGTGGAAGATCGGGGAGGAGAAGTGAATTTGGTGTTGCGCAATCTTCCCTAATATCTGTCTGGGTGCCAGTCTTCTCTGCGTAACACTGTTTTGCTTATAACCTGCCAAAAAACAACAACCATACACTGTTGCCCTTTCTCCACACGTAAGAACTTCTCTAGTTCAGTAGGGCTGCAGTCCCGTAAAGTCAGCTGTATTGAACTCCACGCAGCTTGCTTCTGAGATGTGCACAGGATTGCACTGTTGGGTTGCAATCCTACAAGATAGAGGACCCAACAAACTTTAACATCACCTACATGAGATTTAGGGACGTGGGTGGCACTGTGGGTTAAACCACAGAGCCCAGGACTTGCCGATCAGAAGGTCCGTGGTTCAAATCCCCACGACGGGGTGAGCTCCTGTTGCTCGGTCCCTGTTCCTGCCAACCTAGCAGTTCGAAAGCATGTCAAAGTGCAAGTAGATAAATAGGTACCACTCCGGCGGGAAGGTAAACGGCATTTCAACCCGGAAGCTGTATGCCGGCTCCCTTGGCCAATAAAGCGAGATGAGCGCCGCAACCCCAGAGTCGGCCACGACTGGACCTAACGGTCCGGGGTCCCTTTACCTTTTACATGAGATTTAATTCCAGGCGGGGACTTAATTTGCGAACGGGTCACTGAGGTATTTAAATTGGGATAAATACAAATTAAAACTCGTGTGTGTGTGTGTTTTGTAGGGTGGGGTGGGAGATGCAGTGTAGTAGTATTCTGACACCTCTAAAACCGCCGCGTGGACCTTGCACCATTTAATTCAACGAGTCTCAGCGACCTGTACAGACAGAACCGCGCGCGCACACACGCGCGCACCCCGGGCGTCATTCCAGCAAGTGACGTGCGTCATACGTCACACGCCCCAAGGGTAAGTGTGGCCCCACCCACAAAACCACAAAAGCACCAGCTCTTCCGCTTTCCCGGCAGCCTCCGGGCGCCTCCTCGGCACACATCGACCTCACCGGAGATAGTCACGAGATAAGGGTGGGGGGAGGGTGTTGTATGTGCGTCGACGCTGGTTGCGGCTCCTGCTCTCGCGAGAGCAGTTTGGGGAGAAGCTCGCGGCGAGTCGGGGCCGTTGGCTCGGAGGTGATTGGCAGGCGGCGCTGGGTGGCTCCCTCCCCTCCCTCGACTCGGCGTTGAAGCGGCCGCCATTGTCGGATCAGCCAGCAGCTGGAGGAGGAGGAAGCAGAGTCGGAGAGCGGCAAGCGGCGGTGAGCAGCTTGTGTCTCGTGTTCCGTATCTCTTCTGGTGGGGTGGGGGGCACATGGGGCGAAGTGGGGGCGGTGCTCCGTGTCGGGGCTGGAGGCGAGGGCCACCGTTTTGAAGCTGGAGGCTCCATCTTGTGTGAGAGTGAGTCGGCAGGAGCCCTTGGCCCAGTTCTCGTTTTCCCTTGTAAGGCTCTGAGGGACTGGCCTGACCCCCCTTATCCAGCAGTCTTGATGGCTACGTGAGCAGAAAATAAAAATAATTCGTCTCAGGCAGGCGTACCTTTTTTCCTTTTCAAATGCTTCCCAACCATGCAGGTGGAACTGGAAATTCTCACTGGCTTTCGCCCCATAAGTGTGCCAAGAAGAAAAAAAAGGGGAAGGGACTCGTATTACTGGTTTTCAACCGTAGCACTGTAAACATAACATAACAACAACACACGGAGTACATATTAATTTGCATTGCCTGTTTCAAAAAGTAACAGTAGGGACAGATATGCAACTAGGTTCGTTGATTTAATTAGTCCTCTCCATAGAGATACATGTGTTATGGGGTTGGCAATAACTATGCAGCCTCTAATACCTCCTCCCCAACCCTTACCCTGTTGTTACGACATGCTGTACTTCTTTCCATTTGTCTTCTTCATCAGGTCTATGTCTTGCCCTTCCTCCCAAGGTGTGTACCTGGTGTTATTCCCTATGTTATCCACGTGTCAACTCTGTGACATAGGTAAGGCTGAGAGCAATGGGCGTTGGAATTGAGGCCCAGGTCTCCCTAGCCCATTTCCAGTTGTGCATCCAGAGCATCCCTTAGTTTCTCAGCAGCATTTACACGTCTTTGATTATTTATGTCGAATAAATGCTCTGGAACAAGCTTTGACTCATCTAGCCTTTACGGCATTGCCTTTCTCTTCCTCAGCTACGTCCCATGGGGCAGCTTGACACAGATTCTGGGACCCCTCTGATTCTCTTCCCCCCCCCAAAGAAGCTAATGGAAAGATCCTTGTTCTAGTTTCTCCATTTCCCTTTTCTTATGTCCCATTGTGTGACACTTTGCTCCTTACAGACTTGTTTCCTCTTCTGCAAGGGGGTTACAGAGACCATTGGCATAAAATTGTCAGCAGCCTCACAGGGCTGCAATTTTTGCATGCCTCTGCATCACTTGGTGAAGTTGCCCACAGATGAGTACCGTGTCACCAGTGAAAAAGTATTGTGTTTAAGGTGGCATAAGCTGATAAACTTGGGTTGTGGTCTTTACTCAGAAGTGGCTTTTAATACAGTAGTACCTTTGGTTAAGAACTTAATTTGTCCCAGAGGTCCGTTCTTAACCTGAAACTGTTCTTAACCAGAGGTACCACTTTAGCTAATGGGGCCGTCGCGCCACCATTGTGCAATTTCTGTTCTCATCCTGTTCTTAACCCGAGGTACTATTTCTGGGTTAGCGGAGTCTGTAACCTGAAACGTCTGTAACCCAAGGTACCACTGTATATGAAAATCTTGATGTTACAGTGATGAACATGAATGTATAATTTGTTCTGCATTTACTACAGTTAAGTAATGTAACACTACTCCCTTGTTTAGGACATCCAGCTCACACTTTAAAAGTGGCCCGAGAGAACAGTAAGTTTTGTTTCCTGCAGCCCATCCTGAATTAGTGCTAAAATTTGGAGTAGTGCTATCTTGCCGGTAAACAGCTAGTTTAATCTGCAGGGAACTAGATCTGTTTTCAGTAACTGCTTTGACTAAGTTTGCTCAAGTAATGATGTTTATCGTATGTGGGTATGTTAGAATTTGACATGAGGATGAGAAGAATCCTTACATTGCCCCAAGATGGCTGCAGTGACTTAATGGAAGTGTTGTTATATTAGTTTAGCTAAATTAGTGCCCTAGCTTTATGTTCAGACTCCTGTTGGAGAAACATTGAACATGAAGTAGTTCATGATATTTGCTCCCTAATAATTTATACACTGTGATGTTTTCCCCAAGACGGCCTACTTTGTCTCAGCATGAGATAATTGCGAAACTGCATTAGAAGGGAGAATGCAGATGTAAAAATTTGCCCCTCAGGAGAAACATTGCTTAATTAGATGTGTTCTGTATGGAACAATGTGTGTTGCAAGTAGGTCTAAATCATCACTGTCAGTGTTGCAAGAGTTTTTTGGAAGCAATATTGCAGGGAGGAAGTTAGGGAAGTTCTTAGAGCCAGCATCAATAGCAGAGTTTTGTTGGTAAGCTGCAACTTTCTTTGCTGCAACTTCACTTTACCATCTTCAGAATCTGTTTGCCATGTTCTTTTCCTGCCATTGTAAACAGGGAAGGAGGATGGCTTCTTTAGCTGGATATAGTCTTGCTTAGTTAGAAACAGTTTTGTTTCCTTCTTCCTCCGGTTTTTACTTGTCTGGGGCCAAGTTAAACATTATGGCAGCATGAGTGTGGGTGGGGTGGGAAAGAAAAGCAATACAGTAGTCTTCTTCAGAACTCTTTTTACCTAGATATTTTTATCCCAGTTGGGGTTACATTCTGTTTTGGAGACAACTGGGATGAAAATATGAGGATGAAGCAGTTTGGTGAAGCGCAGTGGTGTGTCCACTATGTGTCCACTGTCAGCAAGGGTAATTTTCAGCTGACATTTGATAACTTTTACTATATATTGCACTGAGCATCTCTGTTTTCTCCTAAGAACTTCAGCCAAACCCATTACCTAAAACGATCTCTTTCTTGGATACAGAAAAAAGACAAGTGATAAACAGTTTGTATTGTTTTCAACATTGTGTACTCATGACTTTTACATTGCTACTTCATTAAAACCTACTTTTAGCTTCAGGCACCATTCAGAAGACTTTTTTGTACAGTTATTCAGTCAAATTTATAAGCTGTTCCTTGAACTATTTGAATGACATTAGCAAAGTATCTGTACTTAATCAAACAAATGTGTAATTGGATCGATCTGGTAGATTTGAACTCTCAAATGCCTCCTTTTAAGGGCTCTCATCAAAAGTGCCTTCGAAAACTTTAGCAGCTGATGGGTAATGTGAGAGATAAGATAATGGTTAAAGAAGAGGCAGTGATAAAAATACAGCAACAGACTTAATCAGGGAGAGAAAGAAATAGTGGAGTCTCTTAGGGAACTATGTTGGGAATCAGGGCTGCTTAGCTGATTTCTAACAGTAATTGGTCAAACTTCATTGAAGGTAGATACCAGTGAGCCATGCAGAGATGCAGTGCATTTCAAAGTACAGTGGTACCTCGGGTTAAGAACTTAATTCGTTCTGGAGGTCCATTCTTAACCTGAAACTGTTCTTAACCTGAAGCACCACTTTAGCTAATGGGGCCTTCTGCTGCTGCCGCTGCACGATTTCTGTTCTCATCCTGAAGCAAAGTTATTAACCCGAGGTACTGTTTCTCGGTTAGCAGTGTCTGTAACCTGAAGCATCTGTAACCCGAGGTACCACTGTACAGATGCAGGGAAAAGGAGATTCACTGCTGTGACTGCCCTGCTGGTGATGGGGAAAAGGGGTAATTCTAGGAGCATATAGTGACACTTTAGATCCATTGAATCCAAATCCTCTTGTACTCCAGAACTGGGAGAAAGCTATGTCAATTTTAGAGAATGTGTACAGTGGTGCCTCGCAAGACGAAAATAATCCGTTCCGCGAGTCTCTTCGTCTAGCGGTTTTTTCGTCTTGCGAAGCAACCCTATTAGCGGCTTAGCGCTATTAGCGGTTTAGCGGCTATTAAAGGCTTAGCGGCTAAAAGGCGCTTAGCGGCTTAGAAAAAGGGGGGGGGAGCGAAAAAAATTGCAAGACTCGCAAGACTTTTTCGTCTAGCGAAGCAAGCCCATAGGGAAATTCGTCTTGCGAAGCGCATCGAAAAACGGAAAACCCTTTCGTCTAGCGGGTTTTTCGTCTTGCGAGGCATTCGTCTTGCGGGGCACCACTGTAATTCCCCTCTCCATTGGAACCAGTGGGTAGGGGTGGTACCTCTTTCAAGGACCCTCCCCCTTCATAAGATTGCTCTGCCCATAAACTTGGAAAAAGTAATGCAGTCCCAAAACTACATGACTATTAACTTCAGTCAAATGGGTAGATGATACAGTAAATATTCTTTAAGTGACTCAGTTCTGAAGTGTACAGGATATTGTTGGCAGGACATGAGCAAAGCTTCCAAAGACATCGTAACTTTTAAATGGCAGCAATAAAATAGCAGTTCAACAGAGGAAAAATATTTAAATGTAGTCATTGCAGAAACAAGCATAAGAAAAAATACAGTTCCTTAGAGTAAAATACAATATGCAGAAAATAATCATAAACGTATAGACTGAACTCCAGTTTTGAGCACACTGCGTCTTTTTGAATTTCTGCCCATCTAGTCCTCATCTAGTCTGGATGGGCGCATGGAAGCAGTCTTGGGATAACTGAGTACCTGATCTGGCTTGAGTCCTAAACAAAACATTATTCACAAAACATTATCGTGTGAATACAGCATGAGGCTTCATTACCTCAGACAAACATGCATGTTATGCCTTAAACTTTAGAGTGGAAGGTTATATGTGTATTCTTAACATAACCAAAAAATAAGAACGAGGAAGGTACTGAGGCCAGAAAAAGGAAGGAACTGGTTAGATGCAACTGAATGTGCTCAAACCAGAAGGTACTGCTTGATGAAACTTACACTTTTTGTGTCTGCACACAAAACCATCAGTTGTGACTTCTCAGAAGTTGAGGGAAGAGTAATAGGAAGGGGCAGTCATCTTTTTTAAAAAATACAAAAGGGAACCTAGGCAGATCATCACCATTTTTTGTCAACTGTTGCCTGTTGTAAATATGTTGAATGAGCAAAAATAATTTACGTTTGCAGTATAGCACACACTTGGCTTCTGATTGACTTTGGTATGTACAAATGTTAGCATACTGTGTGTCTATGGCCTGAGCAGGTGCTGTGTTGGCGTACTAATGTTCCATGTATAGTGGCCATGGGTTGCATTTAAGCAAGACACTAAGCATGTGCAATGATACCCAGGAAGTTCTTACAGTCTGAATGTACAGTAATAACTGTGTGTGACTTAGAAAATCACAAAAAGCTCATTCCCCCAAAGCCAAGTGAACTTGTCTGTGCACATTTGTGAGTTGATGGAGTGCTGAAACAGCTCTGTGTGCTTGCTTTTTCTTGTTTTTTAATATGAAGTAAGCTACATTTCCACTAGGTTACACACAGGGTATTTACTTTCAGGGCTGTATATCTTGTGAACAGCTTTTGAAATAGTTTATTTATTACCAAGGTTATATGAGCTTATTCTAGATAACCAAGTTAATAACTTTATTAGAAGGTAGCAGGTGCTCAGTGTTGACCTTCCTGAAACTTTATTATGATACCTCAACATGTATGACTTTTCTACTCTTGCATATCATACATTTCAGAAATGCCAGCTTCTTTAGGTTTACTTCTAGTAAGTGCTTCCTTGTAGTTTTTAGCTGTGACTTGTCAAGCTTTGACTAGGTATGTATTTGTTACTCCAGTTCTATGAATAATGTCATCTGAGGGGAATGGCTGTCATTTTTCTGATCAGCAGGTAAAACTGTATAGTAAACTGGAACCTCTTTGCCCCAAACTGAAACCACTGTTGTGACATTAATTGGATAGCCACTTGTGCAATTTGGGGTGTTGTTCTTAAAGCCCCCAAACTTCTACTTGTGTTGTGTCTCTTCAAAAAAGTTCAGCAAGTGTTATAGCATTGTCCAGACTTTGATTTTGTTGCTGTTTAGCGACTGTAAGAAGACATTATCCATTACAGTAGACCAAATGATTAAGAGGCTGCAGTTTATTTCCAAGTTTCTGAAATGTATATATTTGCTTTGTACTTAGATTTAAATTTAATTTGTTGATCCTCAGGTCAGTGTATAAACATTTGTGCAAAGCTTAATGTTACAAGCCATATGAATGATAAATTTATAACTTGTATTGTTGTATTACTACAAAGAATATCCTCCATTATCTAATTGGAAATATAAATATTTTTTTCATATTGCATAGAATATGGAATCAAAGCCACCAAGAATTCCAAGGAGGGTATCCACTCAGCCATCCAGTTCTCAAAGTGCTAGGACAGGAGCAGGAAATGGAGGAACCAGTTTAACTGACTCATATCTTACAAGAGAATCTTCACTTAGATTGGAACCTGGATGCCAAGTAAGTAGTATTTGATGGTGATACATGCTTCATTCAGCTTCCGCTTCTGAGTTTCTGCTCAGGAACAAATGAGTGGACTTAAGTTGCATGAAAAGGGGATACCTTGCTAGGAAAAAGAACTTTAATTAATCTGTTTAACATGTTAAGATATGATCATGATAAGATGTCCAAAAACATCTTCTGAAGCCTTGATAGATTTATTTAATACCAGAAATTCTGTCACTTGGCAGTTTGTGAATGACACAGATCTCTTCATACTGATTAAACCTTAGGTGTATGAATTAGTCTTTTATACAGATACTAATGGTAACTTTTATATATTAGAACAGTGTTTCTCAAATGTGGGTTCCCTAGCTACTGTTGGACTACAAATCCTATCATCCCATACCACTGGCCCTGCTTAGCTAGGGATGATGGGAGTTGTAGTCCAACAACAGCTGGAAACCCAACTAAAAGTGCGTTCTCAAATGCACAAATCCTGAGTGACAAAAAGTGTAAAAGAAGAAAAGAAAAAGGGGAATGAAGTTTACAGCTATTAAGCCTATAAAAAGTATGCTTATTGGTTTTGGGTATTACACATATCTCAAGGAAATAAATAAAGTGTTGTTAGCTTGATTGTCACATCAGAGTTCTGAAATTAAGGTTTTGTGGAAACAAGCACAAATCCTGCACACCTTTTTTAGAACGGTAAATTTGATTAAATTAGTCTAATCTCCCCGAGTATTATAACTGCAGTGGAAGGACAGGCTATGCATTTTCTAAATATATATTTTTTAAATCTGAACAAAGCATAAGGGCTACATTCTACTCTTTAGTTGCTACTTTATAGGGATAAGCTTAATTTTTATATAGCATTAACTGTGGTAGGCATGCAAACCATATATATCTTCTCCCTCACAGGATGGGTGCATTAATGTGGGGTAAGGTAGGTTGGGCTATAATCCCAAGGGGTATTAGGGCAGAGATAAAACTTCTTTGCCAACTCGAAAACTGAGATGACCTGTGCTTTGTGGCAGACTTAGCCTAGCCCCATGATAATGATGTACAAATAACACCTTTTATTATTTTCCATATTAGTACATGCCATTTAGCCTTAAACAATATAATGCTATCCCTGTCTCTGTTATTGGGTGGTCCATTGAGAGACCACATGTCCATCTCTTGAGTGCAAAGCTCACTGAGTTCATTCTGTGACTCGCACTTTCCATTTCAACATATAAACATTCTTTCTGCCACTTATATTCCTTCCCCACCTGATGGACGGACTTCCTACAGGGCAAATGCAGCACTAGTAGTGCATGCTAGGTATTTGGTGATAAGTTCTTAGTAAAGAAGATTGGCTTGTTTCCATAACTTCACAGTACAAGCAAGCAACTGCTGTACTGCTGGAAAAAACACTTCTTTTTTCCTCAATTGCCAACATACTGTCTATATTGTCAATATACTGTCCATAATTAGAATATATATATGTGGCCTTGGAATTTCTCTTCCAAGTTTACTTTTTTGTATTCTGTATGTGTAGAACGCTAGACTACATAGTGCAGTATTGCTATTTTAAAGCATTATCCTAAAACAGGGTTTGGCTTCAACTGAAAAGTGGTATTGGGAAATAGTTTATTTTGTAGGTGCTGTGTTTTAGCTATCTTTTTTGAAGAATTTGCAGAATTAAGCCTCTAAATATAGAAATGCTTGTGGCTATTTTAAGCTTTAGCATTTCTCTGTTAAGAGTAACTTACAAAACAAGGACTTCGGCAGGGATTATAGCTCTTTCTCAGTTTGTTTCCAGTAGATTATATAAGCAGGAATTCTCCTGTGGGAATGTTCTTAAGACTGTCTTACAGGTATGACTACTTGTAAAAAAATGAGTTGCATTCCTGCAACACTTTAGAAACTTAGTTGATGCTTCCTGTAAGTAGGAGATTTAACTACCATCCTTCAGTTGAAAGGATGCTTTATTGAATTCAGTGTTATTTGATTTTAAGTAAACATGGGTAGGAAGGGGCTCATAGTCATATTTTCTTAGCCCAAAATAGAACATTTAAAATGCTTTAAGGCCATTTTCTTAAAGCATTTTAAGTTGCTTATGTAAAATAAAAAATAATCAGAGAAATCAGCCAATAGAAAACATATGCAGTCCTCACAGAGGGTGGGCAAAAAAACACAATTTCCTCACTGTGGTAGGCAGAGCATTCCAGAGCTACAAAGGTAATATCTAGATAGCTGTGTGCCTTGAGTCACATTCAAACAGTACAAGCCTGTGGTTCGTACTGGTATATGCACTGATATTGAAAGAAATGGTCATTTGGGTATATTGGTCCCAGACACTAAAGTCAAAAGCAGCATTTTGAATTTGGTCTGATAGTATATAGGCAGTTACTGCTGCTGCAACAGCGCAGGGTTTAAATAAGTGTTCCTTGTAATACCTGTCAAAAGATGGTTCTGGTTATTGTAGCAGATGAAGTTTTGAAGTCATTTTCATGGACAGCCTATTTAAAGTTCATTGCAGAAGTAAAGCCTAGAAATTATAAAAGCCTGTATCAGGGTAGCAAGTTCAGCTGCATGTCTTGTAATATTCTACAAAACATTCTACAAGTAATATTCTATTGGAATTTTTTGAGAGAGTGATCCATGAACGATAGTGATTATTAGGCCTTCAATGAAACACCTAATGGGTGTTTGGATAATTTCAATGGGATAATTGAAAATGAATATTCAGAGTATCAGAAATGTCAAAATGTGGCCCAAATGAAATGTAAGATGAACAAACTTTGCCTGGCTTAAGCCATCTTCCACTTAAGGGCTTCTGGAAAGGCAAACGTGAGGAAGGAAGTGAATAAATGCTGTCATACTAGATAGCTCTTCCTCACAAGGGAATTTTCCTGGACTGTTCCTTACCCAACGTACTGTAACACATTTCGAATATTGTGTTGGGAATGTTGACCTTATATGTACAGGTACCATGTTCCTGGTGTGGCATATAAATTTTATTTATTTATGTTACTATTTATTCTTTTATCCCACCCATCCTTCTGAAGGAGCTTGCTATACAAATACAATCAACACAGAACAATAATAAAACCAGTGTAAAATCAATATTTTAAAAAATGCAGTACAGCAGGATGCCATTGACTGTACTGTAAAACTCTGCTCCAAATTAGGTCTTGGTTGCCAGTATATCAGTGTTAAGCACACCAGCACTGCTGTACTCCCAGCCACAGGTCCCTGACAGGCTAATCTTGCAGTTAATTGCAATTCCATTTATTTGTGATGATAGATATGCTTTGCATATTTTCTTTTATTCTGCCTGGTGCAATGTTCAAACCAGCCTCAGGCAGTAGACACCATGGTGATACACTGTTAGCAAGATATTCATTCCTCTTAGTCTAAAGGAATCTAGTAGAGTAACAGTACTTAACTGTCAGGTAAGTAAGTACACCGAACTGACACCCAACATTTGCAGCTTTTAAATTGATAGCTTGAGTTCATTTTTAAAGATTTCCATTCTTGGACTAAAGTACAAATCCTACTGGGACACATTCATTTGTGTATATATAGTTGTGGTATATCACAAATCTATAAAAGTAATCGTCCTTCCTCCAAAAAAGTATAGGAGTTGCTTCACATTATCCAAAGTGTAATACTCTGGGTACAAACATAGCTTTTATGTACTTATAAAAATCATAAGGATGGTAAGGATGGTAGCCATAGATGGAACTCAACTTGATGTCTTGAGCAGAAATGTGACCATATTACTTTGTAGGATTCTAGTCGGTTGCATAGTTCCAGTAGAGACTGGGCAATTGGAGAAAGAGAAGCATATGAAAGCCCATGGAAGCTTCCAGCTTCATCTCCAACTCGCTACTCAGGAACACTTGATCGTCCATGGTCTGGAAGATTGTTGGGAAGCAGAAACAGACTGGTAAGAGCTGTTTGTATCCTAAATATTTATTTTAAATGTTTTCCAAGTTTGCAGTCGCATTAATTTAATTTCTTGTAAGTAAGTTTCAAAGAAACTTGCAAATGTTATCAGTTGTCTAGTTTTGCGTTAGACTGCAGTTGAATTGCAGAAATGTAGCTTTTTCTCTTAGGAAACTAAGATGCCTAGAATTGTATTAGAAAAATCCAAGCATCTGTAAGTATCTGTGCTTAGCCATTATGGACTTTGTAGAATCCTGTTTTGCGAACATTACCCACAAATTACTTAGTTTTTGCCTAACAACTCTTTCCCTGTGATATTTTACCCATACCCATTGGGCACGGAAGCTCCACTTTTGTTCTCATCTGAAGAAGCAGTTAGATTGGCAGACATGAGAGAAGGCATTCTTGGGGTGGCCTCCAAATATGGAGATTAAGTACAGCGTTTTATATGTTATTTCTTGATTTTGTTCAGGAAATGTTGTTGTTTTCTCCCCCCCCAAACAACAACACAACACTTTTTACATTGTAACAAACAGTGCAAGCTTCACTTTTTCAGTATCTGCATTCAGTCTGGAAGTTTCTAACTTTTGCTCTGTGAGTTACATTTCTGTGTAAGTGCTAGAGAACATGTTGTGAGCAGAAAGCAGGGAATGGGGTGGAAGAAATGAAGGGAAATTAAGGATGGAGACATGTGTCTGCAGCCGCCTTGAGTCCTTGTCAGGGAAAAAGGTGGGATATAACAAAAAGAACAACAACAACAATTCTAACATAGAGAAATATAATAAAAAATAAGCACACAATTATAAATTCACAAGCATATTTATATTTGATATAAATAGTGCTAAATTTAATTTAAAGAGTTGGCATTATTTCCCACACTAAGACCCCAAATTAACTATTAATTTAGATTTAGATGTATATTCTGCTTTAACTATCACAAAGTGGCTTCCAAAAGATAAAAGATGAAACCACATAGCTATTACAACAAAATAGAATACATGGAAAAATGCTTAACACCAGCAGAGAGGCATCCTAAAAGCTCTGCACAGCTTTGACAAAGCAATGCTACTGCTGCAAATGCTTTGTTGCTAGTAGATGAAAACCTTTCCCTTGGTGATGGTACCTTATAATTCTTCAGATTATTTTAAAATGGGAGGTGGGTGAAGGTGGTAACCTGGGGAAAGGCACTCCTACTATATTCAGGGTCTAGGTTGCAGTCATTTAGGTTGCAGTCCTGTACACCAAGGGTGGGGATCATATGGCCCTTCTGATCTTGCACTATTAACTTCCATCATTCCTAACCATTGGGGTTGAAGAAAGCTGGAGTCTAACAACATTTGAATTTCCACAGGTTCTTCACCCCCTGCTGCTGTACATACTTGCCAGGAGAAGCCTCACTGAACTCTGTGAGACTTTTACATGAGGAGACATGCTTAGGATAGTACTATTAAGACTTGAAAATTTGACGCAGATTCAGCCTAGAATCAAACCAGCAGCTAATGCAGATAAAAAGAGCAGGTGTTAACAAATGTCACATCTGGTTCCAACCAGGAGCTGCACTATGGCTTTCTGTGTCTGATGACATTTTAAGGGGCAGCCACATGAATGCATAAATTAAAATCCGAGAAGATTTCAGAGCATGTAAGACATTAGCTTCTGAATGTGAAAATGAATGATAGTTTAAAAACAGTTTTAAGAGAAACTGTGCTAATTGAACTGTTTTCTTTAAAACCTTGAATTGTGCTAAAGGGATTGTGTATATCCTTGAGAATGGATCTAACCATGTTGTCTAAATAGTAAGAAAAAACCATTTAACTAGTATTACTTAACAGTGAATACAGTCGTACCTCAGGTTGAATGCACTTCGGGTTGAGCGCGTTCGAGTTGCGTTCCTCGGCAACCCGGAAGTAATGGAGCGTGTTACTTCCGGGTTTCTCCGCATGCGCAGATGCGGCGAAAAGCGACGCGCGTGTACGCGCAGACGTGCCACCGCTACTTACATTTACTTCTAGATGTGAACGGGGCTCCGGAACGGATCCTGTTCGTATCTAGAGGTACCACTGTAGAAGTATCAAATCCTGTGTTTCTGGTTGTTGGACTTGGAGCCCTTTGCACTATCTCTGATTCTGAAGCTTGCTCCCAAGTCTTTAAAAAGAGGGAGGGAAGATCACCAATAGATATTAGACTTATTTTTAATACTTTTAAGGGTAAGCCTGCTCTTTTTCAATCTCATTCATACAAGCCCTTTTCATTAAATAACCCAAGCATTTTCACTTTGATTTGATTTAATATTCTGCTAGCTTATTTTTTTAAGGCCCAGTATTTTGCAGAAAAGTAGTAACCTTTCAAAACATTGTTTGTAGTCTACATCTTCATCTTCACCTCTTACATCTTCTTGGTTTGGCGAATCTGAAAGAACTCAGGGATCATATTCTTCAAGACTGCATAGCCAGCAACAGGATACTGATTCTAAGAGACCTAAACTTTCTTATACATCTACCTCTAGTGTGAGAAATAATGGTTTAAACACAGTTTCAGGTAAGTGATGTGCTAAAAGGTATAAAATGATGTGTATTTATTTTGTTTTATACTGAAGCTAGCTTCTTGCTATCCATGCTCTTACACAAGCACAGTTGTCTTGTGGAAACTTAAAAATTAACAAATGTTATGGCTTTTTGTGGGGTTGAGTCTATTTCATCAGATGCATATAGCATCAGATACTATTATTATGCTCCTAAAATATCTATTTGGGGCAATGAAATACATATAAAGCTTTTATTCCACAACCAGAGTTTCTAGTATAGAGTGGCTTTGACTGATCGACAAGTAATGGCAATATTGCCATTACAATAACAATAGCTATATTGTTGTGTATAATTTTCAGAAGAGAGAAGTGTATTCCAATCAGGCCTAAAAACACAGCAGTAAATATTGTGTGTTTAAGACTTTTATCAAGGAAGCAAGAATACATATGTTTTTCACTTTTTGATTTTAGATTCCCCATGGAGATACAGCGATGTACCCAGATCTTCATCCATGGTACTTGGATCATTAGGAACTGAACTTGCAAGAGAGAGGAGAGAGCTGGAAAGAACAGAACCATCTATTAGCAGTCTTGTGGACTGTAGTCACAGAAATGGTGACTTTTCATCTTCATCATGTATGTATTGTTTCATTCTATTTATGAGGTTCAGTCTATTATCTGTTTTTGCTTAGATGAAGACACTGTTCTTGGCTCACATGGCAGGATAGAAATTTCAGGGGGTTTAGAATGTTGCTAATTGTGAACGGCAAAGTTTTACTTAAAGAATCCTTACGGGTTGAATGTATTGGGCCAGTTTTTTTAAAAAAACTTAACTTCTAGTCCCGTAACTAGTTTAAGCTAATAAAATAGCATTATTGAACAGTACTAAGGATATGGCTTCCTAATTGTGCACTGTCTCCAGGGATGCATTTGTGGGAGGAAGGTATGCTCATCCTAGGTTTGGGGGCACATTTGGAATTTTGAGAAAGTGCTGAGGGTGCCAGTCCTAAAATGGCTGCTGTTAAGGGTGTGGCCTATTTAACACAAAATAGCTGTCACATCCAAAAAAGTAGAATAAGAAAAGAGATGGGGGGGTGGGAATGGTTCAAATTTGGTCAAAACAATTTCAAAAACTTAGAAATGTTAATTCTTGTTGCTTCTCTTGTCTTCTGCTGGTGTGTCGCTATAGAGAAAATAAACCCAGGAGTAATTTTGAATTGCTACAGCCAGCCATACATGTGTATAGTCACAAATAAAAAGACATAGTTAATGCTGGCTGGCAGTTGTTGTTGTTGTAATATTATCTTTATGGAATAGAAAAGAATAGAAATACACAGAAAATAAATAAACTTACCAGAGTAGTAGGGCCAGTTGCTACTGCACACTGTCTAATTTCTCAAATGTTGGTTGTGAAAATAAAATGGGGAGGGGGAAGGCTGAACCAAGTATGCTGTCGTGAATTTCTTGGAAGAAGGGCATGCTAAAAATGCCATATATCAATATAATCAACCATGTTCTAAGCAAGACCAAGGGTTGTAGCTCTAGCATACTTACATGCCAATAAGCCCCACTAAATTCAGTGGACTTATTTCTGAGCAAAAATGCATATAATTGGGGTCTAGTTAAAAATGCACTTCTTGGGCTCTAGTTAATAATAATCATATTTGGTTAGTCTTATCTACATAGCAGTATTTTACTGCTTTTTGTGATTCTTATTATTGTAGATCTTCAGGAAAGATCTTCTGCTTCGTATGCACAGGGAGCAAGACCAAAAGAGAACTCGCTGAGCTCTTTGAGGCTGAACACATCCATGAACCGCCAGTTGCCTTCTGAACATCAGTCATCATTACTCTCTCGAGAGCATAGCTGGAATTCAAGATCTAACTATGTCCCAAGAGAAGTAGAATCTTCTGAAAGGAATATACAACCAGAGTTTACCCTTGGTGCCATGAGAAGTGGAAGCGGTTCCTCAAACAGTTCCGAAAGAGTTATGCCATCCCAAAGGTCACTGAGTGAGCCTCCTGCAGATACTGAAGGAAGGCGTACAACAAGACAACTGTTGTCTCGTTTAGCTTCTAGTATGTCATCAACATTTTTCTCAAGAAGGTCTAGCCAGGACTCATTGACTTCAAGACCATTAGGTTCTGAAGATTCAACTGTTCCAAGAGCTCATTCTTCTACCCAAGCTAGTGCTACTAACACAGTTACAACTTCTGAAGGCACAGAAGGGCAGACTCCTGATGTTTCTCAGGGATTTAGCTTTCTTAGAAGACGATGGGGCCTGTCGGGTGTTTCATCAAATCCTAGTTCTGATTCGGAAGCTGAAAGTTACAGACCCGATTCTGAAAGTAGAAATTCAGGTTCTTGGCTATCATCTTCCCTGAGGAACAGGTGCACACCTTTGTTTTCCAGAAGACGAAGAGAAGGAAGAGATGAAACTGCAAGAACCTCTACCTCTGAAACACCAGCTAGATCACTGCATCTTTTCAGAAGAAGAGAACCTGGTGGGGAGGTATCTCTTGAAGCACAAAGTGAATCCCTCAGGCCTGCTGCCAGGCCACCAACACCTGCAGTACCTAATGGTGCTACGTCTGTTGCCTCTGGGCCAGATTCAGCGCATGGTAGAAGAAATTCAGGAATATCAGGAATGTTTCCTGGTTCTCTCTTCCGGTTTGCAGTGCCCCCAACCCTGGGGAGTAATTTGTCTGACAATGTTATGATAACTGTCGATATTATTCCTTCAAGCTGGAATCAGCCTGATGGGCAAGATAATGACAAGTTAAAAATACCATCCTCAAGAGACCCTGAAAGGCTTCAAAAAATTAAAGAGAGGTAAAAGCACTATTTCCATAGCTTTTTAAATGGAGTTTTAAATCAGTTATAAAACTGATACCATGTACCAAGAGATCTTCAACTTTTTTTTTTTTTTTTTGGAAAATGTTGGTTTTGATCCTAAATTGCTCCTCCGTTTTAACTGAGGTGGGGGTGGGGTTTTCTGCCAACTTGCCTTCATCTGCAGCCCTGCACACCATTCTTAATGCTCCCCAATCCCCAGGAGCAGACTTAGGGGATGTGCAGGGGGCTGTAGATGGAAGAGAGGGCAGCAAGTCTCATTTGGTGAATATCACCTCTTTTGTTCATGCAAGGAATGTTAGGATCCAAGGCAATGTTCCTAGAGATGGTATACGCCCCCTAGTTAATGGTCTCTCTTCAGTGCCATTAATAACTTGGGTTGGGAAAAGCTTCGTGATTGTCTCACATGTGAATGTGATTCAGATTAATGCGTTAACATGTGAAAAGTGTATTCCAAGTTTTTTCTGCATAATAATTGTTTCCTCTTACTTAGCCTCCTTTCCGAGGACTCTGAAGAGGAGGAGGGAGACTTATGTAGAATTTGTCAGATGTCGTCTACTTCTGCTACTAACCTCTTAATAGAGCCATGTAAATGCACTGGAAGTCTGCGCTATGTTCACCAGGAGTGTATGAAAAAGTGGCTACAATCCAAGATTAACTCAGGTAAGGCAACTCCTTTTTAGGACAAGATTTTTTTCTTTGCTCCCGAGTTGCTCTTCCATTGACTGAAGGCTTGATGCAATGGGGACTTCAAATACCTACTTATGTTTCTGTTTCTGTTTTTGTGTTTATATATGACCATAGAGAGACATACCACACTCTTTATGCTAGGGCGTCACCAACCTTTTTGGATAAGGGGGCATATTTCAAATTTTGAGAGTGTTGTGGGACCAGTAACAAAATGGCCTCCATAGGGCGGGGCATAACACAAGATGGCCGCCATTGGGACATGCCTTAGCATAATGTTAGATAATAGTCATATTGACGCTTTTTAAATAGTTGTATTTTCAGACTATACAATACTTAATCTGTTTAATTTGTTACTGCTATACAACTGTTAAAGGCACAAGAACCCTGCCTCCCCTTCCCCTTGCCAACCCATCCAAACTCTAGGCTGCCATCCTGTACCCACTTACCTGGAAGTAAGCCCCATTAAAGAAAAATGCTTGCTTCTGAGTAGATTATGTATACAGTTGTACTGCATTGAACTATATAATGAATTCTTCATGAATGCCTATTCCTTAGTTCCTGCACAGCAGAAGACATGCCTAAATTTCTTTGAAGAGTTTTCACATTTGTCTTTAGCGGGGAGAGGAATTTTGCAGAAAATAATTTATAGGATCTATTTAATCTCAGATGAACCCCTCACAGGAAAGATGGATCCTGGTTGCTAGAGGAAAAAGAAAGGGCAATTTATGGCGATTCAAAGGACTAGAACTTAAGACAGAAGCGGGGAAATTGCATTAAAGGGGAGGGGAAGATTTGCAATTATTTAGGACCTGAAGGATTTCTATTCATTTACCAATCACAACTCTGACTTCATTCATTGGCTAAAACCACTGACAGGTGGGAGCAGCCAGGCTGAGTCATTTCACAGAAATTGGCTTGGAAGAGTGCCTGTGCTCTGTTTTGTAACATTTTCCTGGAAGGGCTAGAGATGCACTTTTTTAAAAAGAGAAGGCTCAAAGAGGCCGGGGCTCTTTGACCAGTGAAGGACTTTGCTAGCGCTGCGTTAGCAACCTGCCCCCTCCCCCTTATATGAATCTGTACATAAATTTATACGCTTCAATGAAGGAGAATATGATGATGCTAGTAAGTGAACTGCGAAACATAAGTCATGCTTATGGCTGTTTGATCACTGGCACCAGTGTATTCTGCCTTGCATGTTTATTTTTTATTAATGGCTCAGTTATATAAACAAAGATAAACCTATCTTTCTGATTGTTAGTGTGCTTTCATATGCCCAGTTGACTCAAGAATGCCTTCACTCTGAAACAAAAAGTGTAACTCCCTTGTTCCCTCAGGTTCTTCACTGGTAGCAGTAACTACTTGTGAGCTGTGCAAAGAGAAGCTGCATCTCAATCTTGACAATTTTGATATCCATGAGCTTCATAGAGCACATGCAAATGAACAAGTTAGTATATTTTGGCTAATTTGGTAAGTGTCAGTTTTGTGCTGTGATTCGGGACACTTTTTTTTCTAGAAGAAAATATCAATTCAGGTCAAATTTGATACTGAATTTTTAATTGTCCTAAATAAATCACAAACTACATTTGATATCTACAATGCCCGTTTAGAATAACATTCTGTCATATGTGTGTATATCTTGGGCTTTGTGTCTGTGTGTGTGTGTTCTAATTTTTTAATTTTGGGGGGCGGTAACTCAGTGAGCATCTGCCTTGCATACAGGCAGTTCTGACTTCAATCCCCAGCATCTTAAGTAGGAATGGAAGAGACCCCTGCCTGAAACCTTGGGAGTGCTGTTGCCAGGCCCATGTAGACAGTGCTGAGCTAGATGGATCCTGTGGTCTGATACAGTATGAGGCAGCATCCTACGTTCCTAAGACACAATGCAAAAAATAAATAAATGGGAAGCCAGAATGAACATCATTGATAAAGTGACCTCACTTGCTGTGTGGTCCAAGATAAAAGTTGGGATTATGGAATAGCAGAAACAAACTGTCTTCTGACAGTGACAGTGCAATTTTATCTCAAAAGATGTCTATAGGATGAACTCTTAATAATATGTCTGTGAAAGCGTCCTCCTTCCTCCACGCTGACCTTCCCTCATGGAGTCTGAAGGGAGAGTGTAGTTCACCTGAATGCTGTCACAATCCTCCCTGCTCAGTGAGAGATTGTGTAGCTTTCTAATAACGGGGAGGATTTTCAGTCTGAAGCAAAAAGTGTTACGTACTTGCAGTTCCATTTCCCATGCACTATGCGGAAGGTCATGGGAGGTGATAGGACCAGACACCATTAATGAATATCTGAGTAGGCTTTAGATGCACTTGGAGAGGGCAGCGCTAGTTTCCATTGATAAGTAAGGAGACATCAATGGGGCATTAGTCATAAGCAGTGTGTGTGCTGATGCTGAATATATTTCCCTTCTACAATTTTACAAAATAGGCTTAGCAAGAGGTGCTAGGAGAATTTTTAAAGACGAGGGGTAGGTCTGAGAACATTTTGGGGGGGCGTGACATACATGTGCAAACCTACCTGCCAACAAATGAAATTGCTAGTGTCTTTGACAGAATCCTCCCTGTCAAACAGGTATAATATACTTGTGCATCTTTCTAACCAATATGCAGATGAAACCTTTTTGTGTCTCATATTCATTGCTATATAAACACCAAGTTGTATTAAGCTTCAATATAAGTTTTATAAATGTATAATGCATTTTGCTTCTGTTTTTTAATACTTTATGCTTATTTGAATCATTACATTTAATTTAGATTAGAGTTTGAGTTTTGAATATTTATCAAGGGCACCCTTTGTTTTGCAGAAAGGAGCCCAAAAGACTTCCCATTATTTAGTGTGGCCCTCATTTTCAATTTTCTCAAAATGTCTACTTAAGTATAGAATTAGTCATTATAGTGAGGTGTTCATTTACTTGGAAGAACGGTCATTACAAAGCAGTTTCTTTAAAAGTGCAATCATGTTAAGATTGAAATCTTTGATGGATATTAAGCAATAATGCTCCTGCATGTGCTGGGATAAAATAATCAGTGTAAAACAGCACTCATTGTGCATTTAAGACAACTTAAATGTTTGACTTGATGATACCCTCTTTCTCCAGGCAGACTATGAATTTATCAGTTCTGGGCTTTACCTTGTAGTATTGTTGCACTTGTGTGAACAGCGCTTTTCAGATATGCTGGGAACTACAAGTGAGGCCAACACACGTGTCCGGGTAAGTAAGTGGTGCAAACAGCTTCTGTGGCAGAAGCAGATTGTGACACCTGTTACAGCATGTTTTGATATTTTCTCGAATTTTGTACTGGTCAGAATCAAAAGCCACACTCCCAGCTGGGGCTTTCTGCTCATTCCTGCTGCAGTCTCTCATGCCCCAAAGTTGCTCACAAAGGTCTGAAGACCCTCTGGAGATGTTATATAGGAAATGCAGCCATGTACACATGTTCTGTTGGCACAAGTCCTTCCTGCTTGCATATGGGGTTCTAGTTATTTCCTAAAGTACTGCTTAACAAACAAAGCCACACACATTGTGGAGATTAAATAGGCATTGGGTAGTATCTGAATGTATTTTTAAAGTTGATTAAGAGTACGTTAAGGCAGCATTTCCCAGCTTTGGATCCTCAACTGGACTCCGTTCTTCTCCAGCCAGCACTACCACTTGTTCGGGATGATGAAAGTTGTAGTCTAGCAACATCTTGGGATCCAAGGACAAGAAAAAGCATATAGCAGGAGTGGGCTACATTTCCTTTGGAGCAACGTCTCTGAGTTTGTGTGTCACATGCAGAGAGTAGGTGGGGCCAGAGCTGATGGGTGGAGCCCCAAACTAATCTGGAATAAAGGCTGTCCTGCATCCATGACTATCTCAGATAAGAATTCTCAATCTAATACAGGTCTACCTGAAGTAAGACCCACTGGGTTTTATATGGTTACATTCAAATTGGTATATAGAGGGGGGTTTTTTTCAGTGCAACAAACACATACAACTACTGGTCATGCAAGTAATAACTTCCTTACTTTACTATGCTAGACACACATTTATGGAAAAGATGTTCTTGAACATCTGGGAATAAAAATACTACCAGCACTCACCGATTTATTTTTACCAAATAAAACACTACTCCAAATTATTCTGAAATTGCATCGAAAGAGAAAAAAGGAGGAAGTGATGGGGTGGAAGAATGGGACAGCTTCAGGGGCATTGGGGGCCATATAAAATGAGGCTGGGGGCTGCATGCAGTCCCTAGATTGCAGGTTGGCGACCTGTACTGGTACATTACTGGTAAAGGAAAGTGGAGGATAAGCATAACCTCCATGAACATGCATTAATTTTTCTATTCTAAAAAGTCTCATATGCCTATTTGGGCTCATGAGCATCATTGTAGTTGCCCTTTTTTCCAAACTACGAAGCCCCATGCAGCCTCTGCTTGTAGATAAATTGACCCACTGCCTGTTCTATCCACTTTCCAGTACTTGATACCTTTTTTGAGCAGACTTTGTTATATTTTTTCTTGATTGACCAATAAAAATCCCTAGAAATGTGCCTGTTTGGGAAAGGATTTTATTTTATCCTCTAGCAAAGTCCCCTGGATGGCTGGTGCTATCAAGATTGACTAAATATGCAGGAGTTAATGACAACTATCTATGCAAGTTTTTCTCAACACCCACTCCTTCCTGAACAAGGAGTTTCATCTAATGATAGATTTCATTCTGTTACAATTATAGTACTTAAGCAAGATTTTCTTACACTCTTGCTTGCTCAAAGGGTGTCCTTGACAAATATTCAAAAAACCCCAAATCCAGTCATTCTAAATCATTGTTCTAGTTTTGGATCTGAAGATCTGCATGTATTTCCGTGAACTAAAGACGGTGCTCATCTTGTCTATATAGTAAACTAGACTGAAACTTGCAAGTAGGCTCACAGTCAACATATGTCCATTTCTAAGGCCTAGCTCATACAGTACTTTTCTACATGCAGTTAATAACTTCTGCATTAAGAAACTTAACATGTGAATTGTTGGGTCAGTTTTAGCCATGCACATTCCCACATTTTTGTGGAGAAACTTACATGTGTGAATTTCTGGCTCACAGATACAGATGGTGTTTCCTGGGCCCTTTTAAAGCCTCTGCGATTATCAGTATCCCTTTACCCCCTTGGCCCAGCTCACATGTTTTTCTATAGGTGTGCATTCATGGGGCTAATTGGGACTCTTCATTAGCAAGATAGACAAAAGAAAGTATTATATACAGCACATAGTCATTCTGTGGAATCTGCTTCCACAACAGGTAGGGATGGCCAACAGCTTGGATGGACAAGGCTGTGTCCTACCTCCACTATTGGAGGCTGCATGCCTCCTGCTACCAGTTGCTGGAAATCCCATGGGTATCTGGTTGGCTACTGTGAGAACAGAGTGCTGAACTACATAAGCTATTGGCCTGATGTAGCAGACTGTTCTTATTGGGAAAACTTAAATTCTTCCATGGCATATATATGCTTTGGGGTTTATGAATTGTTTTACAGGCCTGCGGTGATTTACAACTTTTAAAACTACCTTATTTCTGTATTATTTCTAGTTTATTAATCTTGCAAGGACTCTTCAAGCACACATGGATGATATTGAAAGTAGGTGGCTTCTGCTTGTTTTAGTTTCATTTAAAAGTCAAAGATGAAGTTTATTCTTGTTTCGTATCTTGCGATGTATAATGCTGAGTACTTGGCTGATGTGCAATTTTCACGCAGCTGTGACTGGTATACCTAATAAAACTGAAAGGGAAAAGAGTCCATTAAAAGCACTCATTCTTGACTGGATTGTTCCCTTTAGCAAGACCATTCTGAATGAAGAGAAACCTCTTACTGTCTCAATCTGACTTTCAGGTGGACATTAGGAATTTGTCTAGCTGTCTCCTAATGTCTGCCTCCGAATAACGTAATCAGGTTCTCAGGAGTGTGTACTTCTATAATGAAATCTTAAGTAACTTGTAGAGAGGTGTCCTTTAGAGGTAATTACGTTTTTGGGAAGGGCTGCTGCTTTGTAGGTGATGACTAACTTGGTCATGTCTAGTATAAACCACCTGACTTTCTGCTTGCATTTTGGACAGAATATGCATTAGCCAATTATAGCACCAGTAGAATAGCTGTAACTTACATTGCATGTTCGTAGTAAGCAGTCTCTAGTATGTATCTATGCTGAAGTGTTAGTGAGGAGGGCCTGAGATCTATAGTTGCTTTGCCATACAGTCTGTGGTGAACCCGTTAGTGGATCAGCAAGAGGAAAAAGAGGTGAGCATTTACAGTTGTTAAACTTGAAGTTATTAGTAGTTTCTTGTTCCCTGTAAACCCTACAGCTGTACATTCCCATGCCCCCTTTTCTCTTCCCAATGAGTAGGAATCTCAATAGTCTTTGATACCAACTGAAGTTGAATTAGTCCAAGCTGTGTGCTTCTTTTGGTTCTGCTTGAGCTGATGAAACCCTGATTACAGCAGAAGCCAGGAATTTGTGAGCTGGCTCGTAGAGCAGAATGTCTTCTTCAGTGTTTGTGCAGAAATGCTTGTATTTGTAGAGAGGAGAAATATAGTATTGCCAGGAACCAGCTGCCTTTATTTTTCTCTTCCTTGAAGCTCTCTCATATGTTCTTATTTCAGCCGTGCTGCTCTTATGGAGCAAGACTATCTACCCTCCTTTAATCAGTTTCCAATAGTTGCAAATCATTTTGCTGCCCTCTTTAAATACCATTTTCTAGTTTGCTGCTCCTACAGCTATAGCTGTTTGGTATAATTTATTCTACTTAATGGATTTTTTGCTTCCTTTTCAATGAATTTTGGGAATGTGTAGGCCACTGACACACTTTGGGTGGGAGCAACTGGTTTGGTAGCTATTTAGAAAATGTATTATACTTTAAACACAAGTGATTCAGTCAGACTCTTCCCATATGAACTGCCTGGACCCTGCAATCGTAATCAGAGGTCCTTCTGCTGCGTGTGCCACCTCCACGAGAGGTCTGGAGGGTGAAACACGAGAACAGGCCTTTTCTGCAGTGGCTCCCCACTTGTGGAATGCTCTCCCCAGGGAAGCTCACCTGGCACCTTCGTTACATATCTGTAGGCGCCAGGTAAAAACATTCTTCTTCTCCCAGGCCTTTGGCTAATTAAACAATCTATGGCCTTTTAAACTGGGGGGGGGGGGTATTGTTTTTGTGTGTTACTATGGTATGTATTTTTGTGGTTTTTTTATATTTTAAACTACCCTGTAATCTTTGAAGGACAGTATAGAAATTTAATGAAGAATAATAATTGTTTAGCAACTTTTCCTTTCTGAGGGACGTGGATTTAACCTTTGCTTCTGCTGAAAGTGTTTCAAAATGTCGTTTATTGTTAATATAGTGCCTTCCATGTACATGTATTTGTACATCAAATGAAAGCAAAATCACACAGTGCATCGTGCAAAGAGTTATATCCAGCATAAGCATACTTTGAATTAATCCACAGTAATAATTGAATTAAATTAGAGTGTATTGATCTTAGTGAGTCTGCTCTGAGTATGACTTAGTTGGATAGAACTCATAGACTTCCTAGAAAACTTTGGACTGAAATGGTTAAAATAGAAACTAGGCTATTGTGGTGATTGGGAATTTCCTCTTAAATGTTGCTTAAAGGATACAATTAATGGGTACAAAAAAAGTATGATGGTGGTCTTATTTTAACAATTAAAAAAATAGGTTACCTTAGGACATTTCAGAAAAACCTGACTTCTCTGATAATTTTCAATTTTTTCATCAATAAAATTGAAAGCTTTACCCCCACCCACGCATTGGGTTTAAAACATATTTGCTTCCATTTACTTCATGGTGCTCATTAAATATTGATTTCATTTTAGCATAAGCATGTGTAGGTGTTTTTCCATTTTCAGTTCAAGAGATAAGATTTGTGTGTGTGTTGTGAAGCATGACTGTGGTTTTCAATTTAGGAAGCATTCTATTTGGAAACACTTAATTAAAATTACATATATGCTATGTTAAACATGTTCGTCTTCAATTTAAAAATTGCTTCCTGTACCTTAGAGTTGTAGAAAGGTTTTTGATTGGGTTGTGTACCTTCAGCAGCTTCTGATGATGATGATTCTGAAGATGGTGAACTCGACAGAACACTTGATGCTGCATAAATGTGAATGGAAGGACCGGGTGGATACTCAACTGGCACAAGTACCATCAGTATGCATATGTTTTGTAAAACACTGAATGCTATTAGATTTCTGACGCATTGCTGAATTCAAAAATTTGCTGTTGCACATTGGTATCGAGAGACCTGCAAGTGTGTTGTTTCTCCTTTGAGATTATGACATGTATGCCTTCTTCTAAAATAACAGATTTTTACGTGTAAGGCAAATGATCTCCTTTTGTATAAACTTCTGGAAAATGTTTCTCAACTTTTGCTCTTCTACTGGCTCTAAGTGGTAACATTAAAGTGTGTTTGCAAGTCATGGGGAGGAGATAGTTCTGTGTTAGCTTTCCATTTTAAAACACCTTTGGGAACTCTCTTTTATTTTGCTTCCAGTGTTAACCAAGGTTGAGTGAGGGAATGAATGGGTTCTGTGAAGTTAGTGTTAAGTTTCTAAGTTTTTCTTGAGGAATGTTTAACTCAAAGCAATAAATTTGCAAGGGGCTACTAATAAGCGTTAATTATGGCTTTTATAAGTATTGATTTTGAAACTGCTGATTATATTTGATAATAATATTGTGTAGAAGTTCCGGTAAGGAATTGCAGCTGTAAACACTTGCATTTCAGCATTCCTGGAAGGAATAAAACTTATGGTTTAGAATCTTAACCAAGCTATTTATCTTAATGAACCTTTTTTAGAACCCACATTCACTGCTGAAGCACTGGTTATCAATGTGTTTTCTAGTGTTGTCACTTGTTTGTTAAATAAAAATTACAATGCATACGAATTGCCTGCCTTCTTAAAATACAGTAGATAATAGTGTACAACTTGTCTTCTAAACTGCAATCTGCATTTAAGTTCTTTAAAATTCTGGGGAGAATTCAGCCTTGTGTTCTTCTGATAGTTGATAGTTCTGTCTACACAGGTCTTTCAGCTTGTCAAGACAGAACATCCTCCGTGCCTTCAGGAAGAAAGGATTGGGAGTAGTGACATTGTAGGAGGCTGCTCATTATGTCACACACCATGGCCACTGGTGTGAATGAAATTTAGCATAATATGCAGGCCCAAAAGCCACAGTTCCATAATGCAGCAGGTATTGCAGTATGAAAGGAACATTTGGAAGACAGGATTGAAGTGCCAGAATTAAAATCAAGAAAACTAATGAATTCCCCATATCTGAATACAGACCTAAGATGACCTTCTGAAACCTTTCAGCAAGGAAGGAGAGGCTATTTCTAATCCTTTGCAGATGTTCTATAGTATGGTTTAAGTTGTGAAAGCTATTTAATGATCTAAGAACTGTAACCATAATCTCCCCCCCCTTCCAACCTTGGCAATTGCTGTAGCTGTTCTGATTCCAGGGAGAATCTCTGTAGTAGCATAGAGAGCAGTTGGCAGCGAAATCTAGATGGCCCTACTGTGAACACAGAAGGTTAGTAAACCCAGTTTAAAAAACGCAAGTCACCAGGATAAAACCTGAAATGATTTTACATTGATGTTGATGAGCTATATAAAACTCCCCTTATGACATGTTCAGAATTAAATTCATTTTTAAGTAATATGTATTTAGTGCCACCTTTCTAACCAAAATTGGATTGCTTTTTCCGGTGACTGGCATGCAGTTATTTGAAGACTTACTAGTGTTAGATCAGTTAGGATGTGATGTCTATGGTAAAGTATTCAAATGATTGATAGCTTATTAAGTGTAATTGTGCACTTAAACAGATTGCACATCTCTCTGGGTTTAAGTGCTAGTTCAGTTGAGCTACTAGTTGCAATTTAACATATGGTAAACTTCCTGCATAGTATTGTCCCTTGCTCAATCATTTCAGGAATTGATGGTGCTTACTCTCTCAAACACACATCTTTCAGTACTTTGTTATTGTTTTACTATAAACTGCTTTATTGAACTACTTAATGTGTATAATGCTAGGAAGGCCTAATCACCTTTAGTCCCCCCCCCTCTCCGTTTGATTGCTGTGGACCCCAGCAGCTATTTGATGTATTTGCAAACTGGTTTTTGCAGATTAGGAATATTTCATGAGCCATATACTTCTGAATGATAATGGGTTCAGTTGTCCTGCAGTATGTTATTCCTCTCCCTCCATTTCCTTTTTAAAGTTACATTTACTAGCCACAGATGATCCCATATGCCTCTATTCAAATGAATGAGAAATGGTGTCTCAAACTCCTAAGCCACTTTGGGTTATCCTCACCAACATCTCGAAATAGGGTCGAGAGGAATAACAGCATTTTGCCTGTATAATTTTGTTTATATGGGTATACACTTTAACACTAGAATGCATTGTTTGATTTTGCAAAAGAAAGCATGACTATATTTCTGCAGGTACCCTCTCTCCAAAAATAACCGTTACAGAATGCAGTGGAGCATGTTGGACCCCATAGTTTTCCCCCTCTAGGGATTAATGCTTCTCCATGGTGGTTTTACTTCAGCACTTGAATTAAGATGCTTATAGTACTCAAACCTGCAATACTGATTTATTATTTGCAATGCTCTTTTGAAAAAACAAATTCTCTTTTATTTACTATAAGCACCATATTCCTGCTAGGCATCTTTGTTTTGTTTTTCCAGGGCTTCCTGATAGCACAGTGGAATTCTCCTAATTAATGTCAGGTTTTGTTTACCAACAACAACCCCAATAACACTTTTTGGAATATGGCACCAAGAAAATACATGTTTCTTTCATACTGGAGTAATTTAAAATCAAATTTTTGTTTGGGTTTCTTTGCTAGTATTTTGAAGGATTCCTTTGGGACCAATGGCAAATTGATAGTGTTAAAACAAATGGTGTAAGAGGGTTCTGCCTTCCATCTGTCATTCTCAAAAAGAATTCATATAACTAGATATTTATTTATATCAGAATTATACACATGAAAATATAGAGACATGTACACATGCATGATTTTCCCCACCACTGCCAACTCCTATATTAACACATTCGGGTATGGAGTTTTGTCAGATAGCTATAGTATGCAACATTTCAGCTTGGAAGACCAATTTTTAAAAAACACTTGGCATGGCCTCATGATTAAAGGTATGAAGGATGGCATTACTACATGCTCCAAGAAACTTTTGTGGAGGCTATGTGAAATAACATCTTAGACTTGACAACAGGACCACCCCTAGTATTATGGTGAAACTTATAATAACAAAACCTACCTTTTCTGCAGATGGTTCCAATCTACAACTGGAATTCTGATTTCAGAAACAATTGAAAAATGTATAATTGTGGTTTGTCATTTGTTTCTCGATGCCATTTGTTAATGTAAATAAGGGCTTCAGGTGTGGGCTTTTAAAAGTTCTTCAGGCACAACATAATCTTCAAAGTTTAGCACAATAGCTTAAGGTGAGAGTGATAGAGGTGAATCTCTGGATGTAGGAGACCACTTACTTCTGGACGAATGGCAGGTTTCTATGTACAGCTGTCCTTTCCTCCATTATATTACCTAGCCAAAGCTAAACACTGTGAAGGCCGGCAGTTGCAGATATTAAGCAACTGTGGAAGTGCTTAAATTTGGCTGGACTGTATCTGCTGCTGTTTCTCCTCTAGCCAGCCTTAACCTCTCCCGCAACCAAACTGGTAGTTCAATTTGTGCCAAGGCCTTTTTGCATAGTGAAAAACACAATAGAATAAAAGTGCAGTTTGTGAAAATGGTACAACAGTTGCATGGATGGAAATTTACTTCCTGTGCGTAAGAGCAATTTAATTTACCATTGAAGGTCATTCATCTTCATGTGGAATAATGTCAGACTGTCTTTTCCTTGAGGTATATTTCTTGGGAGCCACTGTTGTTCTTTCTGTAATTATGTTATAAATAAATACAGTTTAGGCAGTATATTCATTTTCTTCTTCTACAAGAACCACTTCATCACTGCTTGGCACTTGAGTGGTAGAACTGTATGCAGTACATCCTGTTCCAGAAGAAACCCTCCTTTGATATAGGTACCAGAGAAATGCTGCAGACACTGCCACAATTACTGTTGAAGTTATGACTAAGGTAGTTGTCCAAGCGGTTTCATCTGAAACGATACAGGGATTCCGTCAATGGGATGTAGTCAAATTATGTACATTCTTTCTACACTACAGCTAAATGTTTATCTGCTATCACACTTGGCACACTAATAGTAGTGATTGCCTCTTTGCTTGGATCTAATTACCAGTTTGCAACTATTTAGAAAATAGCTCCTTTTCTACAAGTTACCATGGAACACAAAGGTAGCTCGGTGGACAACAGTCTCACATTTTTCATTATACACAACATCAGATAGTATATGAATGTTAATTTATCATAGCATACCCACAAGACAAACTTCGTCACCTCTTTGCTTTCACGTAGTCTTGTTCTATATGGCACTTTATTCCCAAAGCTGCTGGTGTTCTACAGAGTAGTATCCACTAGTGACAAGCATGTCTATACACAATCTCCTTTCTAAAAAAGCTTATGTGACACCAAATCAGGGTAAAACTACTGGGTAACAATGCAGAACTCTGGGTGTCATTTGCTACTTGCTTGTAACCAAATTACAGTGGTACCTCAGGTTACATACGCTTCAGGTTACAGACTCCGCTAACCCAGAAATAGTGCTTCAGGTTAAGAACTTTGCTTCAGGATGAGAACAGAAATCGGGCTCCGGCAACGCGGCAGCAGCAGGAGGCCCCTTTAGCTAAAGTTGTGCTTCAGGTTAAGAACTGTTTCAGATTAAGTACAGACCTCTGGAACGAATTAAGTACTTAACCTGAGGTACCAATGTAAATGGGCCTGAAATACTGATATAATAATAACAAATAACAACCATGACATTAACTTTAACCACTTGAATATGTACACAGATCACAGGGTAAGTGTGAATGCTGTAGTTTCCTTATTCAATTACAAAGCGCAATAGCTCTGAATAACCAAGAGAAAATGCTCTCTTTTCAAAGCTCAAGTACTGAATTTTTTTTGGGGGGGGGGGAACCAAAAGATAACTCACCCGGTAAATACTTCTTTTCATAAGGAACTGCAAACATACATGCAAAAGAAAATGAAAGGTGTCAATGTGTGTTTATCTTAAAAGCAGCAATTTGCTTTCACTGTAATAACTGACATTTCTAACATCCTGAATCTCGAACACAGCATTCTATGCTCTTCAGGCCCCAATCCCAGTAACCTTTCCTATTCACTTGCATTAAAGAATGTTGTGCACTGTATGCATATGAGAAGCTCATTTCTGTATAAGGTGCTGAAACACCAGATCTTCATGTTCATGTGGAAGGGACAGAAAATGAGCAGAATCCTTTATTGTGCAGAAATGACTGCTCCAGTTAATTAAGACTTCTGTGATGTTAAGAAATGAAGTCTTGTCCTTCGGTTCCAATGTGATAAAAGCTGGAAGCAGGAACCAAACCAACACCATCGCCTTTCCAAGAATCTTCCATAACTAGTCAAAAGCAATGCTAGTACTGGTATGCTTTTTATAGGGGTATTCACAAAAACAGTTTCCCAAAGGTTAACCCTCCTTGAGCAATCTTGCAAAATTTTGTGTAGCTGATCTCTTAAGACTAAAGGGAAGATGTTTAGAAGATGCTCTTAAAGTAAAATTATTACCCGTAGCAGTGCTAATTGCGCCCAAGACAATTCCCTGCAAATCTCTGAACTCTGAAATCTAGCACTAAGAAACCATTTATAGTATAACAAATAGTGTGGGTATTACATACTGGAGGTTTCACAAAGGACTTCAGTCAGTGGAAGGTGCTCACAGGCTGCTTTTTTCCATCGGCCTGATGATGTCTGCATAACAGCACAGGTGTTTATTAGCTCCTCATTACTTTCCTCCTCTATCCAGTTTGTAAAATTCACTTTGGATTGATCGTACCATTTGAAAACGTTTTCTGCAACAACATAAAATTCAAGTTTTAAAGTCCTATAACATTAAGGCTGGTTTGTGTGTGTAGGAAGAAGTCTCTGCCTTGTGTGCACCTCCTGTGTGGGTGGAAGTTTAATTTCACTTTCCAGAAGCAAAGATCCTGGTTTAAAACAAACTCTAGTCAGTTTCTAAAGTTAGCTTCAAAAGCAGGAGTTATGAAGATAACTTTTATAATTAACCAGAGTTTGTTTTATGCTATGATCTTAGTTTCATGGGTAACAAACGTGCCAGGCCTTCTGGAAAGTGAAATGAAAATCTGCTACAGTCCTTGTCCTGCAGGAGGAGGGGGAAGAGCAAGTCTCATATCGACTTCGTACTGCTAAAGGTAATACGTGGTTGACTGGTAACATCTGAACATGGTCTAATAGTAACAACATCTTGCAGTAAAACAAACACAAGCACAAACCCTCCACCACCACAAAGTGTCCTCTGCCACCTCAGAGGGAAGCTCTATTGAGATCACTGGAACTTACTTAGGATTGTTCTTTAGTTGCTTGACCAGGGGTCAGCAAGCTAAGGCCCATGGGCTGGAAGGAGCCCACGGAGGTCGTTTGACCGGCCCATGAGCTGCCCCCGAACTGAGCCACCTGCGTGCTGCGTTAAACCGGTGCAGCGCAGCATGGGGACTCGCTTCTGCAGCACCAGAAATTGTGTCTGTGCAGATGCTGGAAATCACGGACACGTGTGTATGCTCACGCACGTACACCAATCTGGCCCAGGCAAGATAAACCTTGCCGACCCCTGTGCTTGATTATACCATCAAAATTAAACCAAGGTCAGATTTCTTTTGAGATTTCAGTTCACTTACCATCTGTATCAAAAAACATGCCCAATGATATGTATTCCGGACCATGCCAATGGGTGCAGAACGTACTCCGAATAAAGCTATTCTCCTCTTTGTTATTTATGCTTATAATGTCAGCTCCAGATGCTACATTTGAAGGGGTGGGTGGGAAACAAACAAACAAACACCAAAAATCAAATCCCAGCACTTTGTCAGATCTTAGTCTAAAATAGACTGAACAGAAATAGTGCTCATATGTGACCTTTTCTTATGCTCAAGTACTATTAGGTTTTGTGTACCCCCCGCCCCCGTTTCATGAAAGACAAACAAGCCCAACCACCCAAGTTAATTGTGTCTGTGGCCCCAAATATGCCAGAGTGTCTGCTGCGACATACAGGAGCATGTGTGGCACACAATCCCAAGTGGAAAGCATTCCCAGAATGTAAAAAAAAAAAAGCTTTAAAAAGACTGGGCTAATAATGAAATAGCAAACTGCTCCCCTCCTTTCCCCTCCGGATATGGTCAAGAGCACAATTAAAAGCCTGTTGAAGTAAATTTGCGGGAGTCTGGACATGGTAGATTACCAGAAACTCTGGACTGGGCAAATTAAATCAGAGCAGCCACTGAAGCATCAAACAGGATGAAATACTGATAACACTGTACTGCATGAAAAGCTGCTGCTCTGATCAGAGTAACATTCTATCTCCGATGGCCGACTAACTATGGGCCTCTAGAGGTTGCTGCATTATAACCCCGAGCATCCCTGACTACTGGTTATACTGCTGGGCCACAGGTTTCCCATCCCTGCCTTATTTTATTTATTTATTGAATTTATGTGCCACCCTATACCTTCAGGTCTCAGGGTGGTTCACAGAATAAAATCAAAATATAAAACCACAGCCCAATAACCCTTCACACAGCTGTTGGGAGGATAAAATGTGTGAGATGCTTTGAACACTCCCAACAGCATCTGAAGGGCCTTAGGCTAGTCTCCCTTGATCTACAATTATTGTATCTTATTGTCACAGATATAATAATTACAAAAAAAATAATGTACCTAGAACAACGCAGCCCTCAAGCATAGCCACAGCCTACGTATCTCATTAGTGACTCAAAAAGGGACTGGAGAGGGATTAGTTGTATTACCATTTCCCTTGCAGACCTCCCTGGTATCATCGAGAGTCTCCAACGTTCCTTCAAGTAAAGCATAGCAGCTCCTTCCAAAAGAAAGCCAAGCAGCAGAGGGACATGCAACTAGGGAAGACAACGGTCACAATTAGTTTCCTGTATATTTGCATCCTGCCTTTTGATAAAAAAAATTCACACAGTGGTACCTCAGGTTACATACGCTTCAGGTTACAGACTCCGCTAACCCAGAAATAGTGCTTCAGGTTAAGAACTTCACTTCAGGATGAGAACAGAAATCGTGCTCCGGCGGCGCAGCAGCAGCAGGAAGCCCCAATAGGTAAAGTGGTGCTTCAGGTTAAGAAAAGTTTCAGGTTAAGTACGGACCTCCGGAACGAATTAAGTACTTAACCCGAGGTACCACTGTACTTAAAACTGTAACAAAATTGTTTAGACAAACTCCGTATTCAAAAGAAGCTTTAGAGCAGAAAAACTATTCATGGCAGTAAAAAGACAAGACACCAGAAGATCCCAGAGGCCCTCTCAGAAAATACCACCTTTGCAAAACACCTGATAGTTAACCAGGAAGGGACAAGGGGAATCTCCCCAGAGAGGGAGTTCCAGGGTTTGGGTGCTAGTGTGGAATAGGCTGGATCTCTAGTGACCACCCACCATTCAGATGATGAGAGCACATGGAACAGGAGTTGCAAGGAAGATCTTAATGTGCACCAGGATTCATAACTGGAGACAACTGTGTTGGGGACAACTCAAGCAGTTTAGCAAACCACTGAGTGCAATAATGCAGGAAGGATGACACCTGGGCTATAGATGGCAGAAAACTCATCTTAGAGCCTTATCTTCCAGCCTACACTTCCCACCCCCATTTCATCTGTGCTGTGCCATACAGTAGAACTACTACACACTGCCATTTCTGCTATAACAGTTCTATTTCTGAAGCTGCTCCTAACAACATGGTGTCCTGGGCACTTCACTAAACTTTTTTTTTTAAAAAATAATATAAGCAGTGCTCCAGATGTTTGTAGAAAAGTAACACCATGCAATGGTTGTAACCCAGCATACGTGAGCCACAACTAAATCCAGTGCAAAGTCAGTGGGATTTGTGATCAGACCTGTGCACTTTTTATGATTGAGGGCCAAACTAGATCACGTGTTAACTTTAAAAGTTAGCGAACAACAACTGGGAGGGACCCTGAGTTGGATCTGGACATTTCCATCATTTTCCCCAGCACTTTTTTCTAAGGAAAAATCAACCCCCGCTGGCTATTTGCCTCTTTAGAGGATACTTGCAATGGGGGGGGGGGGGAGTTGCAGCTCATGGAAGCAAACAGAGTTTTTCATAGGTAAAATGGTACTGGGGAAAATTTTAACCTACCCTCTCTTAGCACCACAGTTCCTACCCAAATCCCCCACTTCTGGTTGTTGTTTAGTCCTGTCCGACTCTTCGTGACCCCATGGACCAGAGCACGCCAGGCACTCCTGTCTTCCACTGCCTCCCGCAGTTTGGTCAAGCTCATGCTGGTAGCTTTGAGAACACTGTCCAACCATCTCGTCCTCTGTCGTCCCCTTCTCCTTGTGCCCTCCATCTTTCCCAACATCAGGGTCTTTTCCAGGGGGTCTTTTCATGAGGTGGCCAAAGTATTAGAGCCTCAGCTTCAGGATCTGTCCTTCCAGTGAGCACTCAGGGCTGATTTCCTTCAGAATGGAGAGGTTTGATCTTCTTGCAGTCCATGGGACTCGCAAGAGTCTCCTCCAGCACCATAATTCAAAAGCATCAATTCTTCGGCTATCAGCCTTCTTTATGGTCCAGCTCTCACTTCCATACATCACTACTGGGAAAGCCATAGCTTTAACTATACGGGCCTTTGTTTGCAAGGCGATGTCTCTGCTTTTTAAGATGCTGTCTAGGTTTGTCATTGTTTTTCTCCCAAGAACCAGGCGTCTTTTAATTTCATGACTGCTGTCACCATCTGCAGTGATCATGCAGTGATCATTTCTGGTAGAAGCTTCTATTTGCTAAGAAGCTTAGAAGCAAGATATCTAGCTGTGGATCTCCATCATCATCTTTAGTTAGGCTCTAAATTACTTGGAACAGCCTTCTTATAAATTCAAGGCTCTCTCCTCTAAGTCTTGTCTCATCCAAAGTGTTTTCCTGGACAGCTATAGCACCACCTATATTGCAAAGGCCACTGCTAATTAACCGGCATAAAAAAAATCACAGTAAGTTGATCAGAGCTAAACTGGCGTCCTCCTCCTTGTACTAGAAGTATAAGGAAAGACAGGAAAAGTCAAGCAGCATTTGATGAATTTCCTCTATATCTCATGCTCAGGCTGTGAAAGCCTTTGCATATGCACTTACAACAGGCACATCTTTGAACAAGGCAGAAGTATCAGCAGGGTTGGGGAAAACTTCAGGTTTGCCAAAGTATGAAATTTACATATTTAGGTGAAAACACCAAAGTGGGTGGGAACCCTAAAAAAAAGCTCAATAAGGATTGAGGTCCCATAGTGGCGGTGGCATCTTCCCCAACTGGGTTTTTTTTTGGGGGGGGGGGGAGGGAGATGGAAAGTATATGCTGATTTAATCAACCCACTAATTCCATGATAAAACAACTTTATATATATATATATATGAAAATAGCAACAGCCCTAATTATTTTACTACCGCACTGAGTGTTTGTGAAATAGGGTGGGATATTTTAAAGCCAGGTATGAAAAACCCATGGCTTTCCAGATGTTAGCTCAGAATCCCCTCTGGTCCCAATGGTCAGGGATAATGAAATAAAAATGACTCAATATATGTGCTTTTCTTTAAAAAGAAAGAGAGAAAGAATGCCAATCAGCAGTAAAGGTTTTTCTTCTTTGCTTTAGTTATTATAACTATTTGCTTGGTGTGAAGTCAGATATGCCTGCTGGAAACAGAACTTGTTATTTACATCACGGCACAATGAAAATATCAGATTTTATCCATCTGACATTAACCTGGAAGTAACTGCAAAGGTGGCTGAGTTTTTGTTTCTCTTAAGAGTGGTGAATGGCACTAATTAGCGGGAAGAAACTCCAATGAAAATCCTTATTATTACATGTTTTACATGGCTGTATATTTGTATATATTTTAAAATTTTATATATGGATGCTTTGTGATGGCCTATATTTGTAATGCCTAAAAAGGTTTGGCGAAGAAGAAGATTTACAGAAACTGTTGCCTTGCAAAAAACATTAGCGGGTTTGTACTGCAGTGGCACTTTCAGCTCTGTTTAAGATGAAAAATTGCTTGTCCGTGTTCAAAACCACAAAGAACAGTTTAAAAGGAACTAAGTACATTTTGTGTTTGTGTGTTTTTCCTTCTCTTCCAAGGGCACAAATAAAATTTGCTTTTGGAACATTTTGCAAGGGGAAAGAAGTACAAAAAGAGGGGGGGGGGAGATCCTAAAATCAGTTCAGCTCTGCAAGAGAACAGTTAGTGTCAATTAGTCTTGATCTGAACAACTTTTTCTATACAACAGACTAGCAACGTATAGACCCATAACTATATGCACTGTTCACCTTATTTCTGTTTTATAGATGGCAAAGCAAGTAAGAATGCAACAGATCCAATGTAACATTTCTTACTATCGTTCCTAACTACTGGCAGCCTGCACATCTCATATATGTGGGTTACCACTGGCTTGCTGAAACCAAAACACCGTGTGTGGAAGAAGTCTTTCACAACTTTATGGATATAAGCTGTGGTCGCTTTATGGATATAATCCACCCTAGGCTGGATTTTCCAGTGATTTCCATAGGATGAGAAGAGTACAAAACCCATGGTTGAATCAAGTTTCCATTAATCTCCACTAAAAACCTCTGTCTATAACTTTATATATGTGGGTGATATACAACTAAGTCATATTTAGAGTAGACCCATAGAAATCAATAGACTTAAACCTATTAATTATAATGGGCCTACCTGTACGAAAAATTGGATAACATGGCCAAAAAAAGGAGTTAATACTGTAAGCTCTACAGAGCTCTCTCTCTCCATCAAAATAATTGACGACAGAAGCAGCAGTTTAAAATCTTTGTGTTTTGCCTACAATCAAGAAAACAGACAGCCATCTAACAGAAGTTATGACAGATATTCATTTAAAGTGTAGGCTAACACCAAAGCCCTGTTTTCAACTATAAAACATTGTTTATAGTTACAGAAATACTCACTGACCAAAGAATCTACTTCACCCCTTCCAGGGGGGAAAAACAAATATGGGTACCATATGTCTAGGGCAACAAACAGATGGCATACTTTATATACTTTCATTTTGAAAAGAAAGAACTGGTAATACTACAACGATTTTAAAAATAACATGTCCAGTTACATATGGCAAGATGCAGCCAAACCGCCAACACTCCTTTGATTTCATGTAACCATGTTAAAATGTTAAAAATGCAGTATGTATTCTGGAAATAAAACTTTGTAGCTTTTGTCTTGGGCTTGTTTTTTCTTAAACGTTCCTTGCCACGACAAGAAATGCTTCCTTTATGCCAGCGCTCACCCTGCTTCCTAAAGACTGCGGAGGCTGGCTTTCTGCACTGTGCTAAAATATAGTGATAAACTCTCCTTTCCATTGGATGCGTAGTAATGTGTGAAGGTAGGTGGGCTGAGACTGGGTTATGTGGTCCCTGTACAAGACCCTAGGAGGATGGATGGAGCAACACACATGAGATAAGGGAAACTACCCAAGGGTCAGAAAAACAATAGCTGTTGGTTGAACAGTTTTGATGGTACAAAAGTCTCTGGTTCATAAAGTTTCAAAGAAACACAGGAAGACTACTGGCAGCAGCTCTCTAAGGTTTTAGACAAGACTCTTGACCAGCTGCTTCTGGAGATGCCAAGGCCTGAATCTGGGACTTTTCAGCTCTTCCCTATACATCTAAGCTCAATTTCATAAAGCTCTTCCAAGCAGAGAAAGTCCAGAACGTACATGGAATATGATAGCCTGCTGCTTCTGCTGCAAAACTTGAGGGAGTCAGCATAATGCAAGAGATCTACGTTCTCCAGCCCTATGCTCCAGCTGTTTTTTGTTAATCCCTAAAGGATGTCGATAAAGACAAAACAAATGAAAGGTATACATTACAGTGCTGGGGAGTGAGAAATCCATTCTTTAAGTTTGAAAAAATTAACTATTATTTCAAATAACTGTCCACATATAATAGTAAGCACTTGTATTCGACACACTTCTTTTTTTCAAATTAGAGTGACTCTCTCCACTGCTTAGCAAGGCTACATATATATTAGATGGGTGCAGCTGCCAGTGGATGCATTGTTCTCCTTTTAGCCATGGTCTTCCCACTTCAAAATGCTAAACAAAAAAATGCCCTAATTCAGGGATGAGGATCTTGCAGAATCTGCTAGCTTTTTTTTCTTTTTCCTGGAACTTTTTTTTTCCCTTCTGGAATAGAGTGGTGCAGAGCCAGGGACAAAGTGTTGTCTTCTCAGAAGGTAGAGTCAATTACTCGCTGCAGTATTTGGGCAACAGACTTCAGAGTTTAATCCCAACCATGTGTGCTCAGAAGCAAGTCCTATCAAATTGTTTCCTGGGTAAGTAAGGCTAGCAGCCTTAGCTGACCAATCTGCATCCCAGTTGCTACAAGCCAAGGAGTCTTAACACCTCACTTCAGAAAATAACAGTTGAAAACACTGACAGATCTACTGCATCTAATCCTGTGGCCTACCTTTTTTTTGGCCCACCCCTGTGGTCAATGAATTTTCCCTTGTTGCTAAGCATTTCAACAATTAAGCTCTGATCCTGAAAAGAGTCACAGTATATCTACGCATATAGATAGCCTCAAAATGAAACCAGGATCACACACACCCTCGCACCTACACATACAAATAATTTTAGCAGTGGATATAGGAATTAATGTCTATATGATTCTTGAAATAGCTCTCAACAACCAAAATAGGGAGAAACAGAAAAAGAAAGTGTTTCTTTTCAGGCCATGAGACTGGAGGTTTTGTTTACTTTGACTCATGTTTTCTCAACATCTGTGCACTAGCCAAATGGACTTCAAACAAACAACTACCCAGAGTAATGCAAGTCTTTTTAATCTCCTTATGGAGAAAACAGGAAATTAATTTGCCCATTGTCCGATTTGTTTCCTGTGATGATGAAGCCTTAAAAGCTTGTGGGTCACATGATATATCTTGGTATGTATTATCTCATCCTGGCAAAACCTCTTCCCTCTTCCACCTCCCCCCCCTTTCATTCAGCTCTGGACAGATGAACCAAATACAATCCCTCCCTCATCCTGACCAACCAACAATACAGAGTTGTTGGGGGAATCTGTCCTAAAGAGAACAGGTCTCTAAAATACGTTTTGAAACAGTTTTCTGAATTAAAATGTATTATATTAAATTACAGGTTCTCCAGTTCATGCTCATACTAAAATGTAAAGCAAAACTTAAAACTAGAACACACTTACAAATATATTTTAATACATTTGATGGCTGGACATCCTCCCCTCTTTTTACAGGGGGCTATACCCCACAAAGGCAGAAACCATTGCCTAGGCCAGGGGTTGGCAACCTAAGGCCCATGGGCCACAAGCGGCCCATGGGGGTCATTTATCCGGCCTATGGACCCTCGCCGCTCACTCGGTTAGCTCCTGTGCGCCACGCTAAACTGGCGCGGAGCAGAGTGGGGACCGCCTTCCGTGACGCTGGCCGCCTTCCCATTGGCTGCAGGAAGCTCCTGCAGCCAATGGGAAGCTGCGTACGCCTCTGTGCCGGAAGGAGCGCTGGAAACAGCGTTTGAGCATGCGTACGCACTCCAGCCCACCGTGGCGTCTGCAGGACGGTGAACCGGCCCAAGCCACAAAACTTTGCCGACCCCTGGCCTAGACTGTGGGACCTTTGGTCCAGTTTACATCCTTCAGGATCCAGTAGAAATCATGCTGCCGAGGGCAGAAATTGTGTAGTGTATGAGAGATTTTGATCCAACAACTTCATCTCTTGTATTATAACTTGACATTTTATCTGCTATACATACTTTATACCTTGTTGTTTTTTAATGAGAAACCCTAGTTCCCAAGCCTTCAGGAAAGTAATGGTTTTCCATTGGGAAATCCCTTTACACCTAATAAAATATGAGCCAAATTCTGGCTGCAGCTCCTGGTAAGTGAGGTGAGCTAGGAGCCCAGGTTTGGAAGACATGCTAAGTCCAACCTAGACATAGCTCAGTGCGGTGCAGGTGCAAAAAAAAAGGGGGGGGTACAGAGCGGAGTTCCTCTAGGAGCTTTCAATTTTGCACAATCACAATAAGCCATAGTTTAAGCCAGTAAGCTGCCAGGCCACTGGTTCCTCTAGCTCACACCAGGTGCAGCTGCAGCAAAGCAGTTGCTACTATGTTGGACTCCAGCTGAGACTGCTCAAAAGGAGACCTTTTCTGCATTTTTCTGATGGTTTTAATTTAGTAGAAAGCATAGGCCTAGCCAGGATTTTTGATAGGGGGCCCCAAAAAGTTGTTTTTTAGATCACACAAAAAATTGTTGACATTTCCTTTGAATTTTTTTAAAAGGATGCCTCCCCAAAGAGGACATGGGGGGCAGGGTTCTGTTTTGGAGGCAAGCTTTTGTTGGGGGGGGGAGAACTTCAGTTTGGTAAGTGTTTCTATTGCTGCCCTCTCTTGGCTTTGCCCATGGTAGGAAGGCTAACTAGGGTAACCCTAAGCAAATTGCTCTGTAAATTGCCATTTGTAATGTGCATTACCAACATGAAGTAAAAACCAAATGTGAAAGTGGGTCACATGTTGCCCTGCCTCAGATTCAGGCGACAACCCTACAAATGTTCACTTGAGAGAGAATGCATAATTGGGAAAAAGCATTTTATTTATTCAAATTCTTCTAACTAAACAGCGTTTGTTTACCTTATTTATTTGTAGCCCCTGTGAGCTTAGGGGCACCATACTGGTCTCCCAATAACTCCCCCCCCCAAGCTAAATGATATGGAAAAAGTGCTTCAGGGAAACCTAAGGAGGTCTATGGGCGAGTTCCGAATCTGAAGCCAGGTTTCCCCACCAAGTCCTTGCCGCTTTACCCACTGCGCCACACTCTCCCAGCGAGGTCGCGCTGCGAGCCCTGCGCGTGAGGGACATCCACGTTTCTCGCCACGCGGGGAGAGCTTCCCTGGGCAACGGCCCTGCAGGCAGGAGAGGAGGGCGCGCGGGCGAGCCGGGGAAGCGCAACCCGGAGGCCGCGAAGAAGAGGAACCCCCTCGCCCCGCTGCCAGCCCCGCATTCCCTTGGCGCGCCCGGCCGGGACTAGCGGGGAGAAGAGAGGGAGGAGGAGCCCGCTCCTTACCGTCTGCAGCTGCTCCTTGGAAAGGCAGCGCGGCGGCCAGGAGGAGGCCGCTCAGGAGGCAGGAGCGCGCGCTCGAGGGGGCGCCCATGGCGCAGCGAAGCAAGCTCCGTCCGAGCCCGGCCCACTCGGGGCTCGACGACGACGACGCCACCCACTCCCTGCCGCTGGCGGGGTAGCCGGGGGTGGGGTGGGCGTGGGCGAGCCCTGCCTCGTGCTCCGGCTTCGGAAGCGGGAGGGAGGGAGGAGAGCAGCAGGTCCAGCAAACTTCTGCAAGGGGAACTGGGTGGCCGGACTTCTCTCTCTCCCCCTCCTCAGTTGGCGGAAGGGGCTGGTCACGAAGAAAAGCCCTCCAATGCACAGCAGGATTTATCCAATGTTGCCTTTGGGGTCTTGTGATCCCGACAGAGCTTTTGCGTCTTTAAGTGTAGGCAGAAATTCAACTGGCACAGGTTTCCGTCATCAAGGGACGCTCCTGTCGAACGCCTCGCGTCCCACTCAGCTGGGAAAAGGCGGTCGGAAGCAATTGGAACCTCCCTGCTTAAGTTTCCGTGTGTAAAGTTAAAACGGCACTTAATGAAAATACTTAAACTACTTGGAAGGTTATTCAGATGCGCTTGGCTCCTTTCCTCTCGAGGAATCTTTTAGCTATTGGTGCTTCTGTCAGAAATGCAAAATCTCCTTTTTGTACGCTGTGCTAATTATTTCAGCATAACTCCTTTTTTTCCATGCTTGCAATCAGTACTAATCCACTACTGACTGATCAATTGAATTTTGCACACGGATGCAAAATATAGGAACATTAAATGTCACAGTACTAGTTATAATGAGGTCTTGTTTGTGTGTGATAATATTGGTAATGCCATTTCACCTTTCTACGCAAGACATAATAACAATTGCAAGTTAGGTTAGTTATCTGTTCTTTTTAACCTAAAATTTAAATTACCTTAAAAGTATTTTCCCTGGATGGTAGAGACTTGGCTTGAGTAGGTGTTTGGAAAGTGGGAACTACAAAATGCTTCTTCAGTTAAGTTATATGCAAACTGACCAGTAGAGGGTATCAGTGTTGTTTCCTTAGTACACCAGCAATATGGGAATGCTATGCATTTTTTAATAACAATATACAGAAAACTATCAAAGTAAACTGCTTTGCATTATCATTAATTTCAGCGATAGTAACTATACCTTTGAAATTGATGGAACTTATTTAATATTGACAGGATTAGGATTTCCCATTGGCCCTCTTCCAGTTCTAATAAATGTTTCAACAACACGTTTTTCTTACTGGTTCCGCATCTAACCCAGTGTCAAATTTCATTTTGTGCAAGACTCTCTGTAAAGCTGCAAAGACCTCACCACCATCACCTGTTGAAATTTGGCATGGTGGTACTTTTTAACAGCTGCAATCCCTTAGGAACCTTAGAGCTGAACTATGCGATGGCAGCACACCCAGGTCTTAAAATGTGGGTTCCTGCCAAACACCCTGTAAAGCAAAGTATGGAATGAGTTCAAGTGGGAAAGTCCTTGTGAGTGGTGCAGAACCCTTCAATTCCCTCCCTCCAGTCAGTTTTTTTCTCAGCTGCTGTTTGGGACAAGGAAAAAGTTCAGCTGGATGAAAAAAATATTAAGTGGTGTGTGTGTGCATGAGAGAATGAGAGAGAAAGGACAGAATAAATAAAATGGGAAGCTGCCTTACACTGATTCAGGCCACTAGTTCAGCTTTTACACTGACTGGCAGCAGTTCTCCAGGGTTTCAGACAGGAGACTTTTCTAGCTCTATCTTGGAGATGGCAGGAATTAGCAAAGCGGACGCTCTACTTCTGTGCTGCCACCAGCATCAAGTGTCATTGTGCCCTTTTGAGGAAGCTGCAGTGAACACAGTTATTTATAAGTAAACATGCTCATGGTTAGGTTGACAGGCTTTGCAACATGGAAGTTACCGTTTTGCAGCAACGTGGTCTGTTTCGTTTACAATAAAAGTGGGGAGGAAACAACACATCTCCAAAATTTTAACCTCAACTTCTACAATGTTGCCCTTGGCTCCTCAAAGAGCAAGTTAACTTTTCAGGGTATGAGTTCTTTGCACAGCAATTTTAAAAACCAGCTATGGAGAAACAGAATAGGAAGTTCAAAAATTCAGATTGATTATTATTTTCAGATAAAATCTTAAACTCAATGCCTTGCCGACTCCTATGTTGTTGTTGTTCTTAGAATTTGTATACCACCCTTCATCCACAGATCTCATCCTACCCACATTTATCAGGAACTCCCATTGGTTTTCAGTTTTTAAAGTGTGTCTTACATTGTAGCCTAACCATATCAGAGAGGCAACATGTCTCTGATCTGTTGTGTTTTTTGCAATTAGTTTGAATATGCAACTAAAATTGGATTAAGTGCAATGTACTGTAATGTGGTATGTGCATTGCACATGTGGTTCCTTCAAGGGCATAATATGAAAGTGCAGGATGGAAGAAAGAAAAAAAAAAGTCCAGGAAGCAAAGCAGGTCTGCATCTAGTTTAATGCCTAGATGGTAGGCTATCAGGAGACCCCCTAAGTTCTGTAGTGTGGAAGAAAGCCATGAGGAATGGCAATGGCCAAGTTTCAGGTGTGCTTAGAGGAAACAAGATTATCTGGACCCATTTAAGTCTGGCTTCAACTAAAACTGCCTTGGTTGCCCTGGTAAATGACATTGGCCTGGAGCGCAGTAGTGTAATCTTGCTTGTCCTTGATCTGTCATGCCTTTTGGTACCATTGACCACAGTATCCTGGAGGATAGCTTTAATACTCACAAACTTCTAACTTGCATCTATTCACAGACAGGGTATCATCCTTCTGTTGTTTTCTATGTCTGCAAAGGAATCAATTTCCTCAACATAGTAAGTTAAACATAGAATCTCTCTCTCTTGAGCTCCCTAATGCATGCGCTGATGACATGCTGGAAGGCTAGCATCATGAACCTGGAGAGGCAGGGTGCAGGATGGTCTAGCTGATGACCGAAGATATGAGAACGACACAGCTTTAGACCAAGTCAGACCATTGTGGTCCATTTAGCTCAGTGTTGACTACAGTATAAGCTGGTAGCGGCTCTTTGGAGTTTCAGGAAGCAGACATTCCTAGCCCTCCCTGGAAGAGTTCAAAGCAGGTGCTCTACCCCTGAGTGAAAGCATATCCCATAGCACCATTAGCTCTGACTGCATCATAGAACAGGAAGGGACTACGAGGGTCACCTAGTCCAACCTCCTTGTGGTACCTTCCAATTCTACAGTTCTATGAAGCAGTTTATTTATTAAGCAGAAGAGGAGGGAGCAAGTCCTCCTGGGCTCTGTCCAGGTGTCTCATCTCACTTGGCAATTATTATTAAGTACAGTCGTACCTTGGGTTTTTGAACAGCTTAGTCCTCACACATTTTGGCTCCCAAACGCTGCAAACCTGGAAGTGACTCTTCTGGTTTGTGAACTATTTTTGGAAGCTGAACGTCTGACAGGGCTTCCAATTGGCTGCAGGAGCTTACTGCAGCCAATCAGAAGCCGCACTTTGGTTTCCGAACGTTTTGGAAGTCGAATGGATTCCATTGGACTTCCAAGGTACGACTATATGGAAGAAGTGGAAGACTAAACAGGCACACAACTTCCTTGCAAGTCAAGTAATTGTTTTGACTGTATTCACCTGCTAATGCCATTTTCCCTTCTTGGAAAAAAAAGGACAGAAGACACCTCAGAACAAGATTACTTTTTAAAGCTTTATTAACTTTGATGTTTGTGGGTGTTTTTTTTAAATACTGAAGAGTACAAAAACATTTGTAATCAGGTGAAAAGCACTGAAATCAGCTTAAATTATCTCACAAGTACAAATCTAATCACCATTGAAGCTTTCTACTAAATCTACTACAGTGGTGCCCCGCAAGACGAATGCCTCGCAAGACGGAAAAACCGCTAGACGAAAGGGTTTTCCGTTTTGAAGTTGCTTCGCAGGACGAATTCCCCTATGGGCTTGCTTCGCAAGACGAAAATACCTTGCGAGTCTAGAAATTTTTTTTTCGCTTTTCCCCCCCTTTATCTAATCTGCTAAGCCTTTAATAGCCTTTAATAGCCTTTTAGCAGCTAATCCCCTAAGCCTTTAAGCCTTTAATAGCCGCTAAACAGCTGATAGCGCTAATAGCGCTAATCCGTCAATGGGCTTGCTTCGCAAGACGAAAAAACCGCTAGACGAAGACTCTTGCGGAACGGATTAATTTCGTCTTGCGAGGCACCACTGTACAGTATTTCTAAGGCCATGACCCACAGGAAGGTTTTGTTGCGAACTCTCAATACAGATATATTAAGGCATTTGCATTCATTCACATCATGATATTTCCCACAATATCACAGAATAGATATTCCAGAAAAAAACTCAGCACACACAATTAAAAACATAATTAAAAAATTTCTATCAGAATATTATACAAATAAACACTTTGTAGAAACACTGGAATCTTTTGTGCATATTTATCTACATCTTGCATCACTGAATAGCCCTGATAATATATTTAAAATAAACTTTCCATTTTTAGATTCACATCAATAAAGAAGCCCACAAGTGCAAATAGTCATAAATTCAGTAATGCTGAGCACACTTATTTACTGGAAATTGCCCCAAACCCTGGTTACTACTGCACATGCAAAAGAGTACTTAATGGAGTATGCCCTGCGCTGGGAGATACATACGTCTCAATCTTTGCAATATAAAATCTTTTAACATACGGTCACCCGTTTGTCTTTCCAGTTTCAGTTCCCTGGTGTGTGGTGTGTATGTTGAATGTAGCCCCTAGTTCTTTTCTGTGCCACCTAGCAGGTGACTGTGCTGTCAAAGATAACTACACCAGTCATCTGTTTGGCACAAGTACCTGTGTGTCAGGGCATACATTAGAAACAGGTTGTGATGCAAATTTTATTAAACAGTGAACAAGCTTCTTCACCATTACTAATTTAGGACTTGGTTATGGGCATTTTATTTATCTAAATATTCTAACTCATGCTTAAAAAAGAAAAAAGAAGACAAAGTGCATTTTTTCTCGTGTGTGTGTGTGTACATGCACACACACACATGCATCACTATCATTCACCAGTCCCTCATGGGCTGTTATAGGCACTATATTAAAGACCTTTCTGCACAAACATTTTGTGTGCAACAAATGTCCAATTTTTTGCCCGTTCGTTGTACAACAGAAGCAGTTGTGTTATCACAATTTCCAGATATTAAAAGAGGAGCATTTTGTATCTTGGAGATCACAGTCTACCCAAGCTAGCACATTCATTGCTATTGGGACTGCTGTATTGCTGAGGGCACTTGTTGGAGATTGTCTGAGACAGTGTGTGTACAGTTAAATGTCTCCTCTCCAAAACGCTTAATGGTTTTTTTAAAAGGTGTGCAGAGCCACATACGCGGCCCTCCTTATACATCACACTATCACCCTCCCTTATTATGTACTGATAAGATTATTATACTGCTGTCACTGAAAAGACACTTGTGGGCAGAAATGCATGAGTAGCACAGTTTAAATGATCCTGCAGAAATGCCCCAGCTGAAGAGATCTATAGCAGGAAGAGACTAGTAGCAGTCCACAAGAGCTAACTGTGAAGTTGGACAAAGGCCTACTCATATATATATATATCCATAGGTGATGTTACACAATCTTGAAAAAAGGGACTCACATGCACGCACACACGCTTCCAAAGGAAAGCTAATAGGGTGGCTTTCATTTTGCTAATTAGAACAAGATTGAGTAGCTACATGATCCTATCTCTATGCATAGTATGCAGAACAATGGATGTTGGGCCAAGGAAAAACAGCCCAGAGCCCGAGGCATCCAATGATTTCCTGCTCTCGTACATGAAGATTTTCTTCATGAATCTGTTAAGGCACCTCTTTTCTATTTGCATATGGAGTGCTTTTGTCTCGTTTATTAAATGGGAATCCTCTACCTATGTGGGATTCTTGGGGGGCTTTTTTGGCCAAAAACCCCCCTAGCATAAAAATAAATTGAGTAGTAAGCCAATTATTTTTTAGTATTATCTTTGACAGCATTCGTTAAGTCAGTAGTATTATCTGAACAATTAGTTAAATATTTCCATGGTACATTTTTATTAAATTAATGGAGTTATACTAATAGAAGCTGTTCCTTTATTTTGGCTAAGAGACAAATATTATGCTACATATTAAATGATATGTGTCTTATAATTACCCCTCTTCTTCTAAAGCTCAGTTAGGGGTTGGCTGCTGTGTTGAGGCCACTTTGATTTGCTCTATGTGACAACTGTCACCACATGGTGAGCCGGTTGTGTGCAGAAGCTTATCACATGAAGCCAGGTGTTCCTACCATGTCATAACATAGAACCAAGAAAAAGACTCTTTGGCGTGTCTTTTAGATGCTAATCAATGGGTTGCATTCGACGAAGACCAACTTAGAGGACACCCACAGAAATTAACGGACCTAAGTAGGGCTAACAATACATACAGCTCAATATGTTTTCTGTATTAGTACAGAACAAAATGAGTACCCCTTTAGAAGTAGCAAAATATGGCAGAGGTAATAAAGACAAATGTCAAACATTATCAACAGGAACCACAATCTTTCTCCAGGTTCAACTCTTTATAGACTAGTTAGTACATACTAGGGATGTGAATCTTTCATTTAGCCCTTGGTTTCCATTTGGCTTCTTACATTTGTATGTGTGGGGACGGTATGGCTTATTAAAGTTAAAAATGTTTTCAAAATGCAGGCTGACAAATTGTTGTTATTCTTTTAACTGTTGTAACTAAAAAGCTAACTAAAGAACTGAACCAAAGATGGGAGGGATCTTTGGAACTTTTATTGAAAAAGGTCAACATTTCAAGTTTGTATTAAAAACATTTCAGGTTTCTTTCTTTCTTTAAAACAACCCTTCTGTACCCCAATAGGTTTTAAGTACAGTGGTACCTCGGGTTAAGTATTTAATTTGCTCTGGAGGTCTGTTCTTAACCTGAAACTGTTCTTAACCTGAAGCACCACTTTAGCTAATGGGGCCTCCTGCTGCCGCCTCGCCACCTGAGCCCGATTTCTGTTCTCATCCTGAAGCAAAGTTCTTAACCTGAAGCACTATTTCTGGGTTAGCGGAGTCTGTAACCTGAAGCATATGTAACCTGAGGTACCACTGTAAAAGAGTATGGTTGATACAAGTTATTACATTATGTATTTTGCGTCCAGTGAGTCGATTCCAAAAGATTCTCTAGGCATCAATCATACTTCATATAGGAGAGCATGTCCAAAAATCAAAGCATGTCCAAAAATCAGTTTCAGGGTCATATCTCAATGCATGTGCAAATCTTAAAGACCATGGAAAGTGCAAAGTCTGATTGGAGTTTAAATCAGTTGGTGAAACACAGTTGACTTTCCCTCCTCCTTTCAGATGTGGAGGGAAAGGTTGCTGTCACACCCTGAACAAAAAATACGATACTGAACCCAGAGGTCAGCATTTACCTGCTACTGAATACATTTGGTATAGGTTTGCCTAACCAAAACCTATAAAATTATGCCTAAACAGCCCAATCCAGCACAAACTGTTCCTCAGTCACCATCTCTGGAAAACATAGTGTCCGTTTCATCTTCGTACAACCCCCGTTCATAGCGTACCGAAGAGAATCCACCCAAATTCAGTCGTTTCTTCTTATACAGGAAGCATATCAATCCAGCAACAAGTGCGACAATAATTAGAATAGCGACAGCTATTGCCCCTCCTACATGATTAGAGACTGTAAGGGAAAAAAACACCCCAACGTCATGCATCCGTAACTATTAATTCAGAAACAACTTGGCTGAAAATCATATATATTATACAGGAGTTGTGCGAGGCTACTTCATGCCAGCTAGCATGCAAAGCATTTCCCTGCCCTTGCTCCTCTCATTTTCAGCAAGAAAAGCCCTTTATTAATTTGACGTGCTCTTTGCATTGAGGAAATGTGGGCATTCTCTATTACCTCTGTCCATGTTTGCAGAAGCATAGGGAGCCCCTACACGTTTGCAGGAAAGGAAGGTTTTTGTAGTATTTGCTATGGAATGCCCTAGCGAAGCAATGCTAGAACTAAATCTAAGCTAATCTAAATGCAAATTCTTTGCACGTCAAGGCCCCGAGCCCTCCCCCGTTCTTGAGAATAAATCACACAGGCACCAGGATTTGGGTAAATGGGCGATGCAGGAGGAGGAAGAGAGAGCTTCCCCGGCCCTGGGGCCATTTAAATTGCCCTAGCCATGCCCTCCTGGATGACTGGATTGGTCAGCCAGGGGCCGTGACGCGGCCGGGGACTCCCTGTGATGTGGGGGCATGGGTTTTCTCCTCCTCCATAGATCTCTGTATTTATTATGTGTGGTATTACCTATAGTATTACTAGTGTCATGATGATGATCATCATCTGCATCTTACTGATATAGCAACATCACATACAGTTGCTCCTGATGAGAGACTGGACCCCCCTGCTGACACAATCACAGGCCAGTTTAAAAAGCTACATTATTTTAAAATCAAAATCATACATACCTTGAGGAGCTTTGCAAACAACTCTGCTTTGGAGATTTCTGCAGTCAGTTTTGGACCATGTACCATTTGTTGAAAACACAACGCTACATTTACCATTGGCTTTTTCTTTTCCCTTTTCCCAGTTGACATATTTAATTTCTGAGCCATCAAGCCACTTCATGGATTCAGCTGTAAAACCCCCACAAAAAGTTATTCCTTAACAGCAAAAATGTGCTGCAATTATTACAGTGTGTACAAGCAGCAATAATGTTCAGAGCCAGAAAAGTCTACTAAGCACCAATAGTCAAGAGTCTATTCAGCTTCTAAAAGCTTTAGTGCTGGCAGAAGGATGCAGAGAACTGAGAAGCAGGGAAGCCTAGGAAATAAGGTCTATGGTAGGTATAGAGGAATAGATAGAAAACCATTAGGCCAGAAGAAAAGCTGGTAAATTGAACAATCTCTCTATGCCTGCATATGGCCGCAAATTGCAGAGCTAGGCATGGATGAAATGATTTGAAATAACCAGGTACATACATCCTTGGCTAATGCCCTCTAGCCTGGCTAATTCTCTTTCTCTGTGCTTTTATTTACAGCATGGAAAATATGCCAAGTTGCAATGCATGTTCTTTATTTGATTTCTATTCATTAAAATTTTGATAATGCACTTGTAGTGCACAGTAAATTTCAGGAGCATAATCCAAATAAAACGTCAGTTTCGCTAAAATCAATGGAAATACGGAATGCAGCTAACTCTCCTTGAAGGACTAACAGATGCCTGACTTCACTTGCCTTGCTTATTATGCCTTGTACAGTACAGTGGTACCTCGGGTTACAGGCACTTCAGGTTACAGACGCATCAGTTTACAGACTCCGCTAACCCAGAAATAGTACCTTGGGTTAAAAACTTTGCTTCAGGATGAAAACAGAAATCGCGCGGCAGCAGCAGGAGGCCCCATTAGCTAAAGTGGTACCTCAGGTTAAGAACAGTTTCAGGTCAAGAACAGACCTCCAGAACGAATTAAGTTCTTAACCTGAGGTACCACTGTATTAGGTTGCAAACCTAATCCCACTCCCTAGGAGCAAGTCCCACTGAATTCAACGGAGCTTACTTCTGAACAGGCACGGTTAGGATTCCAGCCTTAACAGTTATAAGTCACAAGTTATTCACTGCTTACCATTTTCTTGCATTCCAAGCCATACTCTTCCAGTTACGAAATAATGTTCTCGTAAGTGTGTGCTCACAAACTTATTTTCTTCCTCATTTTCTATAGTCAAAAGCGTTGCAGAAGGATCTAAGTGGATAATGTTAGTGGTCAAAAGTGAAAATAACTTCTTGAAAGTTCTCTTTATTAACATTTATGGAAATAATTTAAGGCAACATTTAAAGTAATAACAACAAAAAAATCAACTCTCTATCCAAAATATTCTTAATTATATTATTGTCTCTTTTTTCAGACATAGCATGATGCATAATTTGGACATACCAAGCTTCTTGCAGACTTCTTTAGCTTCTTTCCAATTGTATACGGAGAAATTGTAAAATGCCAAATCAAATGCATAGCAATGCTGTTTATATTGTATCCACTGTGAAGCACTACCAGTAGTTTTTGGGCAGTATGTGGGGTTTTCTGCTTGCTTTGACTGTACTTCTGTGAAAATATACATAACATCATCATAATCATCATCCAAACATCTTGAGGCACTCCTATCATCCATTCAGGTGGTTTAATGGAGCCTCGATAAGCCATTACCACATAAACACAAACTGACTGTTGGCACACACACATATATATCTGCTGCTGTGTTGGAGCAATTTAATTTACTGTAAAGGTACAGGACTATGATCCATCGGAGGGCATCCCAGGGAATACAGACCTTTCCCTCTGATGCCTGAGATGGAATTCCGGAGTCTACCTCTGAATGCCAGTTTCTGGGAGAATGCTGTTGCACTCAGATCCTGCTTCGATGTTTCCCATAGGCATCTGGTTGGCCACTGTGAGCATGTGAGCCACTGGCCTGATTCAGCCCGGCTATTTTTATATTGTTTGGCCAACAATCCTCAGCATGTTACCAGTAGGACTTGCTTTTAAGGAAATGCTTTTAAGTATAGGGCCAGGGGTTGGGGTGGGATCTGCCCTCATCGTTCTCTTTGATCTTAGCACCACACTGGACACATGAATGCAGACTTACTGTTTGAAGGGTAGTAGCAAATAGCACCATCAGCGCCACGCGAGCAATCCAAGCGATTCCAAAACCCTTTAGTGTCCAGTAAGAAACAATTCCCAGGAGAATGTGAATGCTCATATTCCCAGGGCTTGTAGTCAAATGTGCTTCCATCAGACCACTCAAAATCAGAATCGCTTTCCTAGAAAGAGAGCAATTAGATTCCAGTTGAGCAAGTGCAGATGTCACTTTTTGTTTTAGCAAACACTGGGATAAACAGGCAATTATTATTGGACCACAGCACCACCCACGTCCCTATAATGTGTTTAATGTATGAGACAAGTTAAAATATTGCTAACAGAAACTAAAAGCAGGCTCAAAACCTTTAAAGATAACAGCACGGGGATATGGTTGCAAAAGCACATGAAACAGTTCAAACTCACGTTATGATTGGATAAACCAATCCAAAGTGGATATCCATCTCTTTTTACAATATTTTCCAGAAACACTTGCTGCGATTCGCTGTGAACGCTGGCTAAATCGCTGCCATTTCGCTTGCATTCTCTCCATGCATCATACCAGCTGAGCTGTTTTTGAAGGATCCAGTACGTGTTATTTCCATGGGGTAGTTTCTCAGGCAGTGGTGGTTTGTATTCTTTGGGTCCTATTTCAATATTACAACAAGGATAGAAGTTTAGTTTTTTTTAGTTTTAGGCATAAGTAAAAGAAATCAATAATAATACCATAGGCATTTAGAAATTCAATCCAAATTGCAGACATTGCTTACCCATTTCTATTTTACATACAAGGATGCTGTGTAGGCTAAATTGCAGAGGTAACCAGTTGCCACTGTAATTGTACATATCCCAGACACCATCAAGACCAATACCAGCAACAAAATTATTATTCTTTACATAAGGTCTCCCCAGTCTCCAGTTATTGTATGAGAGGTATGTGTTGTCATCCCACTTCAGATTACCATCTGCAGAAATTAAACAAAAGAAGTTTCCATAATGAGTGCTACAGATTTTATTTAAAAGAGAGGAGTGTGTTGAAATTATCCCACAATGGCTAATGTTAACATTACTCGAAGGTCAGTAATAACCAACACTTGGCTTAGAAATAAAAGGAGACACCTTTTACATATGGTCAGGGGTCCCTTTACCTTTTGCATATGCTATTTGGATGTGGCCTGGTTTGTTGACGGTATCAACAATTTTTTAAAAAAATGTTTTCCCACTTTAGAATTGTTTCTTATAATCAAAATTAAATCCAGAAAAACTATATTAATACACCCACAAACCCCAATGCATCTAAATACTCACATAAGCATTCATAACAAACATGAGTTATCCCTTTAAATGGTGCACTGTGAATGCACCAACTATTGGGATATAGTAGTTCATCTTCCTATAACACCTTTGCTGGCAGAGATATCCAGTATGGAAAACTTTTTCTATTAAAGAAAAATGTTCTCGCTGGAATTGGGCAACAGTATTAATGCTAACATTAATACATTAAACAGCGGGTGGCGCTGAGGGTAAAACCTCCGCGCCTAGGACTTGCCGATCGCATGGTCAGCGGTTCGAATCCCCGCGGTGGGGTGCGCTCCCAGCGCCTGCCAACCTAGCAGTTCGAAAGCACCTCCGGGTGCAAGTAGATAATTAGGGACCGCTTACCAGCGGGAAGGTAAACGGCGTTCCGTGTGCTGCGCTGGCTGGCCAGATGCAGCTTGTCACGCTGGCCACGTGACCCGGGAGTGCCTATAGAGTGAGATGAGCGCACAACCCTAGAGTCTGGCAAGACTGGCCCGAACGGGCAGGGTTACCTTTACCTTTACCTTATTAATGCTAACATACGGATTTTCTCTCTACAGATGGTGAAATACACAATTCTACACTTTTATCACTATACCTAACCTGAGGTATCTGGTTTCTGTTACTATTCCATGTTAACTCTTACTTGTTTTATGTTAACATTGTAATAGTTTTATTAGAACCGTTAACAATGGACCGTAATAAAGATTGATTGATTGAATGCCAAGAGGGAAAAATAAAATAAATCAGCATTTTAAAATCTACCTTCAGGTGAAAAAAATGTATTGGGTGGAGGGAATTTTCATAAAGGTATTTCCTCAGAAAATCTGCTCTTTAGTGTTGAATCAAAGCAAGTGTCAACCCATGGAAAATCCAGTGGATGTTTGCTCCGATTCAGCGCTAAAGATCAGATTTTCCTGGAGGAAAGCAGTGGGGACAAGTGGAAGTCTAGATGAGCCCAATGTTTGTTCCATCTAAATTATTCCTTCTTATCAGGGGAATCTTTGAAGATACTGTGAAACATGGTAAAATAAAATCTATAAAACAGGTGAATACCACTTTGCCCCAACAGCTGCAGTATTCCCACTGCATTAATTCATTAGAAACATTTTTTGTTTACATGAAAGCAGCACAGAAACTCCCTTCTGCAGAACCAGAGTTACAAGTGAAATGAGTGGGCTGAAGTTGTGCAATGAAGGGCCTGAGGAAGGAAACTACCTGTAGGGTTGCCATATTTTGAAGAGTGAAAAAGAGGACACACTTGCTGGCTGGCGCTTGGGGTGTGGGAGCGGGCACATTCTACAATGTCCTTTCAAAATATACAAAAACAAGGGCCTGGTCCTTTCCTGCACCATGCAAAACTCACACAGTATGTATATGTTTTGCACTTGGTTGTCTACTACTGCATATACAACATAAAAAGTAGCCCATGCACCCCCATGCAGAAATGTTACCCCTGAAAAAGAGGACCTGTCCTGGAAAAAGAGGACGTATGGCAACCCTTACTGCCATATTTGAGCAATAATCAAATAACGCTCAAAAGCAGACGCACCAGGAACATTAGGCATTTAGTATTTCTTATCAGATTAAAAATGGCAGGCATGATTAGTGACTTCTGAGCCCCCAAATCTGCATCCAGCATGCATCTTCTTTAGGTTGTCATTAAATTCTACAATAAAAATAAGCTTGAATAAGGAACAAATTATCCAAAGTGCTCTTGACTCTCACTCATCAACCTGCATTTGACAATTTGAACTCTAATCAAATATAATTCTTTTGTTTTGTTTTTTAAATCCTCATCAATGGCTGTAGACAATGTTATAAGCTTTGGTCTCTTTGTATGTTAAGGCATTCATCCTAGCAAGAGGGCTTTACAGAACTTACAACTTACCATCAGCGTCATAAATCAGACCCAACCACAGCCAGCGAGCAAGGCCACTGAAAGAATGGAGCTGCTCAACAACAAAACTATTTTCATCTTCATCCCTGATAGTCAAGAGGGAGGCATTCGTATCTGTTGAAGCAATTTTTAAAAGTCAAATCACGTAATGGATTTGGCAGGATTTTATAGACAGTTTATGAAATTAATTCAAGGAAGGGGCTACCAAGGTTTAGCTGTTTACCTTAGTTTTTAAACCAAGACAAAATAATAATAATCTTGAATGATTAGTGACAGAAGTCAACTGCTCTTTCTTAGGTCTGGATGCAGAGGTCATGGTACATAAATTATGGAAAAGCATAGAGAGGGGTGAGGAACCTTTGGCCTACTAGGTGCTGTTGGGCTCAAGGAGACAAGCCTGGTGGCTATAGTAGAGCAGCAGCAATAGCCTCTCTGCAGTAGGGTTGTCACTGCTTCCTGGGAAGGGTGAAGTGGTGGTGAAGCAGGGTTGTGTGGATGCACGGCAGAACCAACCCAGCGCTCTCTTCAGTACACCCAGAAAGTAGTCTGTCTCACTTTTCCTGGTAAGCGGCACTGACCCTGTTTGCAGGAGGTTGTTGCTATGGCTCCACCCCACTGATGAACTGCTCCTGGTTGGACCACAGCTCCCATCATCCCCATCCATTGGCCATGGCTGGTTGGGTCTAATAGGAATTGTAGTCCAACATCTGGAGGGCACCACAATGGCTATCTCTCGTGAAGGCTCTGCAGTGTGTGAAATGGGAACTCCATATTGGGCATCATTAGGAAATGGACTGTAATACTCTTTCCTATAAATGAGAGATTGTCTAGTGATCTGGTCGACACATTACACACCCACACCCACCCACTACAGAGCAGAACAGTTTCCATATACAGTGAAGGTAAAGCGTTTGGAGCTTTTCAGTAAAGGGGGGGAAAGATGAGTGAGGGGAAATATGACAGAGGTTTATAAAATTATACATAATGTGCAGTGGTGATATTTTTTCTTCCTCTCCCATACTTTTAGGGTCATCCAATGAAACTAAACTGGTAGTAGATTCAGGACAAACTAAGAGAAAGCAAATCTTCACACAATTAACATATGACATTGACGGCCATAAGATGTAGTATAATGGCTGCTTGATTATATGGCTTTAAAACAGCATTAGACAAATTAATGTAAGATGGCAGTAGCAGCTGAGAGATACTTATCTACAGTAGGTAAACAGAATATCTAAGCTCAGAAGGTGGTATAGCTTTCAATACAAATTGCTAATGGCAACAGCAGGGAATGTTCATGGTCCAGCAGAACTCAAAATGCTTTTTTTTAAACTATAAAGCTGCATTCACTTTTTAAATGCTTTTTTTGTAAGAGGCCTACACACTGGAATCGTTTTTTCCTGGATGCCCTTCTAGCAGGTCAAGAGAAGCTTCTTTTAAAAGGCATCATTTCTCTTAAACTTAATCTAGATACGAAAGAGGTCCAACACAGTTCACATTAACACATTGTAAATCTAGATAGCCAACAGATGTTTTTATTGCAATGTTTTTCTAAGTCTGCAGTGAGCAGAGTGCAAGCAAGGCCAGAGAGAACCACATATATAATACAAGTCTCCAGTGACATACAATCCTTACCTTGGAGTAAGCCCAATGAACTCAATGAAGCTTCTTTCTGAGCAAACATACACGATTGCATTGTAAAATCTGCACAGCTATGTAGATAATTCTGTGCCTGTTCACAGATATGATCCCTGCTTATTTCCTTTGACTAATAAAGTACAGTGGTACCTCGGGTTACATACGCTTCAGGTTACAGATTCCGCTTACCCAGAAATAGTACCTTGGGTTAAGAACTTTGCTTCAGGATGAGAACAGAAATCGTGCTCTGGCGGCGCAGCAGCAGCAGGAGGCCCCATTAGCTAAAGTGGTGCTTCAGGTTAAGAACAGTTTCAGGTTAAGAACAGACCTCCGGAACGAAATAAGTACTTAACCCAAAGTACCACTGTACAACTATGTGAAGAAACAGTGGTAACATGGAAGCAACTGCAGCGTTCCCAAGACTGCAGTTCTAAGGGGGTGAGGGGAGAAGAGGCTGTTTTAGTGGAAATTATTACTCATGTACTCTTATGGAGGAAACAAGCAGAGTCCTCTCAGATCTGAAAAAAAATGATTCAAAAGTTATGAACACAGAAATACAAAACAAATTTTAAACAGAAACTTCTTACTCATCATCCTGCATAAATGGTGGGCCTCATCTGACTTCAATCCTTTCCATCTGTCTTTTGCTATCATGAATGAATAACAACTGTTTCGAAATGGCATCCATGGGGTATTCTTAATCTTGTGTGGACATTTAATAAAGTCAAATACCTCAGGTTTTTCAGTTTCAACTAGAAAAGAAAGAAAAAGAAGGTACATTTTTTAAAGGCACTTCATATTTACTCAAATCAAAATTAGTTGGCCTAGAAAGCAACTTGAAGGAGGTAAGGAAAATATAAACAATCCATTTACTAGATCAGTACTGATAGTGTGGAGAACATGGAGCAAAACTCTGGCCCCTGACCATTCACCACTGGTCCTGTTCTTGGATCACAACAGCTTTCAGGCGCAAATATAAATAGCAACAGTTCAAGGATTGGGGGAACGTAGGCATTTACACAACCCGTCACCTGCTTCCCAGAGGGAAAGCAATTTCCAAAGAGGACCTGCAAGGTTAATTAAAAGGCACTCATACTACCTGGTTTCAGGTAGCTCAGGCTCATTCTTTTGCACTTCCATTCGGTGTGCAGGGGAGACAGCCTACATACACTTACCTTGTTTGAATCATTATGTGGCAGGCCAAGCATATGACTTGAAGGATGCTGCTCCCCAAATATACAGCAATCTATTAGATCATGAGGCAGGGGTTGCTATAGGCCTTCAGAATGTATGGGAATCAGATTTGGGCCACCCAACTGAAGATCACAAATGGGAGGGTATCTGGGCCACCCCCTGCTCAAAACAATTTCTGCTCGTTCAGGAAGGCCTCGTTCAAGACCATCTTCCAATGGCACTGGACGCCAGTCAGGCTGGCAAGGGCTGTGAAAAACCTGGTTCATGTTTGGTGGGAATGTCCCAATGTTAAAAACTTTTGGAGTAGAGTGTTCTCCATTATACCCTCAATTACAGGCCAATCCCTTTCTCCAAATCCTGCCTTCTTTGGACATAGACTTATAGACTCCACCCTGTGCCACAGAGAACTAGTAGGCTTCTTACTGACCGCAGCACGATTAGTGATGGCTCAGCAATGGAAGAACCAGACTGAAATACCCCATAACATATGGGAAAATAATATCTGGGATGTAGGAATGTTTGAGCGTCTCACCAGACACAGGAGGGCAAGTATAATGAATAGAGACATTTTCCAAGACACACGGGCTCCTTTCTTTAACTATGTTAATGACCAAAATCAAGATCTTCTTATACCAACCACTCAATATTGTCAGTGGAGGAGTTACGTTAAGTAATATTTTGCATGTTGAACGTGTAAGTGTATGTCTAGAGACAATGGATATAACAAACATCCCTAGATGTACTGCTGGATTTTAATGGTTATTAAAAAAAAACAAAAACTTTTTTTAAAAAAAGAATATAATAAAATGTTTTCATTGGTTTATTTCAATGTATCTAAAAGCATTCTCAAAGCAGTAGCATATATTTTACGTAGTAACTGTAAAAGCAGGTGACAGCAAAGGTTGCAGGGTTTTTAGCTGGGGCAATCAAAATAAGATCCACTATTTGACTACTGATCCAAAACCCTAAAATGTATTTTATATAATTGACTTTTTATTTCTATTCTTTGTATATAGTATTGTTGTTTTACTGCTGATGCAAATAAAAGATTCATTCAAACCTACTTGCTGAAAGGTAGCAAATTGCTCCTGGCTTTTGCGTATAGCAGTCAGATGTTTTCCAAAGTCCATCTCTGTCCAAATATACGCATTCATCAAGTAAATCTTCGTCTTCTTTGGACCACTGACTAAAGCTAATGTGCTTTCTGTCAGCCCAGTGATAATGAATCCCATCCTGGTGGCATAACCATAAAGGAAAAAGGCTTGCATTATGAAGATCAAAGACAAGTAAAAGCAATTCCTCGATGGTAAAACATCTGCTTGGCGTTCAGAAGGTCTAAGGTCCAATCCCCAGCATCTTCACGTAAGGGTGGGAGAAGACCCCTGACTAAAGCCCTGGAGTGCCACTGCCCGTCAGTGTGAACAGTACACTGTCAGATGGGCCAATGGTCTGACTCAATATAAGGTAGCTTCTCGTGTTCAATATGATTCAATGGGTACTGCTAATCTTCAATACAAGAACTCCAAGTTCAAATCCTAAATGCATTTCATGTACCAGTTTTGTTTAAGGTCTGCTTAAAGCAGAACAAAGCAATACCAGAATCTGAGTATATTTGTTGACCCACCCAGGGAGATATATCCGCTTGTAATTTGTGTGTGTTGTTACTTTTGCAGGTTAACTCTAGTGATTCTCAAGAAAGTTGGGCGTGCTTTGCCAACCCTCCCCCCACCACAATGATTTCAGTGGGACTGAACGGACTTTACTTTCTAATTAATGTGCTGTGCTCATTCTATATAACACAGCTATTTATTTGTATATTAGGCTTTTAAAACATATATTCACAAGACATGTTGCTGCCACAGACAAAAGCGGCAGCAAAGGTCTGTCATTTTACCCCATCGTTTAATATAGCTCAGTAGGTTTTCCCCAAACCCTCTTATTCGAATGATATATTTTGAATTGGTTCAGAAACAAGCCTTACATCTTCGCTGGAGAGTCCAATCCACAGTGGGTAATTATAACGGGCAGCCTGCATAGCAAGAAAAGCCTGATGGTATTGTCCTGTGATGCTAACCAGCTGCATATTATTCTGCAGGCACTCCTGTTGTGCATCATGCCATGTCAGGTTCTTCAGAATTATGGTGTATGTGACATTTAGATAGTTCACGGTGACATTAAGCACTTGCTGTGTCTGGTTTTCTGCCTCATCTAATGAAAGAACAAAATAGTTGAGCAAGAGAAATGGTATCATTCGTCTAACAGTCTGATTTTTAGAAGAAAAAAAACACATCACCTAGGTCTTGGGCAGATTTTGTTTTAAACTGTTAAAAGGTATTATACCCATGGTCTAAACCACTGAGCTTTGGGCTTGCCCATCAAAAGGTAGGGGTTCGAATCCCCGCGACGGGGTGAGCTCCCGTTGCTCAGTCCCAGCTCCTGCCAACCTTGCAGTTCGAAAGCATGCCAAAAAGTGCAAGTAGATAAATAGGTACCGCTTTGGCGGGAAGGTAAATGGCGTTTCTGTGCGCTACTCTGGTTTTGCCAGAAGCGGCTTAGTCATGCTGGCCCCATGACCCAGAGAAACTGTCTGCGGACAAACGCCGGCTCCCTCGGCCTGTAAAGCGAGATGAGTGCCGCAACCCCAGAGTCGTCTGCGACTGGACTTAACTGTCAGGGGTACTTTACCTTTTTTTAAAACCCATGTTGTTTATAATATTCTCAGTGAGGTAGTAAGATTAGAACTGCAACAATTAGTTGAGCAATCACTTAGAGGTCAAACAATCAAAAAACACATTGATCAACTAAAAGATTGCCCTTGATTGATCAATATTTTGTTTTATAAAAAAAGCGAATATTATAAAAACTGCAGCTGACACAGGCACCATTTTAAGTAGTATTCCTCACTGTGTGTGAGAGAAAGTAAAACGACCTCTCCTAAAATGAAACCTCCTGTGACACATTCTATACACCATTTAATAATGAAACTACTGTGCATTAAGTTTTAATAATATTTTGTCTCAAATGCAAATTTACTATTCTCAGACTTACCTGACTTCATCTGACATATGGCCAGAGTTTGAATACTGGCACAGGAAGTGAAATTCCAAGTTCCAGCATACGGTGATTTTGGATTGTTGAGCAAAACACCACATTGGTTATTCGCCTCATCATCAAAAAACTGAAAAGCAAACAAACCAAGAAGGCCGAGTAATAGTAGATTAGCATACAGTGGTACCTCGGGTTACAGACACTTCAGGTTACAGATTCCGCTAACCCGGAAGTAGTACCTCAGATTGAGAACTTTACGTCAGGATGAGAACGGAAATCGCAGGGTGGCGGGTCGGCAGCAGCAGCGGGAGGCCCCATTAGCTAAAGTGGAACCTCAGGTTAAGAACGGACCTCCAGAACGAATTAAGTTCTTAACCCGAGGTACTACTGTATTTCATTAAACAGGGGTGGGGAACCTCTGATCCATGGGCCAAATTTGGCCCAAAAGGGGTCCCAAGTTGACCCGCCTGCGTTGGATGTGAGGTCAGGTGTGGGGAAGGAAACAACATGGTTACAAAGGAACAACTGGGAGCTTGCCATGAGATCCCGACTGTTCCTTTGCTAGAGCTGACTGGCAGTGGCAGAGTGCCTACAGTAGCATGGAACGGTTTATATTGAAACTGCTGTTGAAAATGGGAGTCTTCCCCATTTTAGCAGTGCTTAATTCACTTATAATGAAAAGCCTACAATGGAGAAAAACCCCTCCAATGACTCACATCATGCTCAATTTTCCTTAGTCTTCCATGCAGCAATGGATGGAAGTTGGAATATGCCAACTCACTGCCATCTGTCCACCTGTTTTCACGTGTACGGATCTCAAAGTGCAAACCAATCCAAATATTTGGGGGCTTACCAGGAAGCAAGGACGTTATGAAATCTGTTGGCAAAAAAAAATAAAAAAAAAATTGCACATTGGATTGGGTAGACAGGGTAAATATTCCAAACTTGACTGCATAAGGTAATGCAACTTCTACTTCTGTTAAATTTACAGCATTTTGTGGGCTGTAAATAATCTTATTTAGAAAATACACTCCAAAGGCTAATTGGCGCAATATCGGCAATTTGGCAGCTAGAAATGGAAGCAATCTTTAGTTTGCTTTGATGGCTTTCCTCCTCCACTTCCATCCCTTAAGATCATTTTGGGCAATACTTGATCTGCATTTATATGAGACTCAAGTTCCTTCTGAAGCTTAGACGTTGCATCCAAAGAACATCTCCAACATTTTGGGGCCTGATTTTGCAAATTTGTAGTAATAGGTAAGGGCAGACTAGATCACTCTCAATTTCTTCTACCTTGGATAACATCCACCTCTTCTCTTTGCCAAGTCATGGAGAGCTGCCGTATCATGCCACTAATACATAATTCCCAAGGCTGGTGGTCTTCCTTCCTTTGCCAATTTTATGAAAAATGGATGCTAAGTGAACGTGATTGGCTCAAGAACACACAGTGAGTAACATAGCTGAGTAGATACATAGCTAAATCCACATTGTCCAGAATTTCTCTTTCTCTCTCTCTCTCTCTCTCTCTCTCACACACACACACACACACACACACACAGACAGACACAAAGGATGGACAAATCTGTCAATTTTAACTTCCCTCAGTTTTTCATTTTCTAGTATTCTGTTCAACTTGCCACATTTCTGCATTAGTTAGTTTGCTTTAAAACAAAAAAATGCATCCACACACAAAAAACCCCAGCATTTTAATGTGCACTTCTCCCAATATACAGATTTTTACAAGCAGTTCTCCCTATCGCAACCTATTTTTGCATGTTACACAAAAGTTGTGCGTAATTTCCCCTAATATATGCATTTAGTTTAGTTTGAGAAATAAATTGTAACATTCAGCTAAGTGCTAAGCGTATCTGCGTTTTGGCTTTAGGAAGCGTGAATTAGGCACGATCACATTAAAATGCGAGTTGAATGGATTTCTGCCCACCTCCCTAATATATCACGCAGATAGGTGGCAGATTCAAGGAGTGGGAAGTATTCACTTGCATTTCCACAACAGTTTTTAGCAAATCTGTAAGAAAACTGGTACCTACCATATCCGCAGAAACAAAAAAATTATCAATGCATAGTGTTTTATAAAAGAGAACCACACTTTATAAGAAGTATCAAATGTTATCACTTTACCTTGTTCAGTTTGGCTTGTGATTGATGGAAGAGAACCTCCCAAACTGTGACAATGTTCGTCTGCCTCCTGAAACTTAAAATCCTTAGGGGGTACCATGCGGTAACACTGTAAGAAGATTTTATTATAAACACTCTGTATAAAGTATCTGGATTTCACATTAGCTTTTATGATTAAGGGGAAATTTACAGAGCAGAATTAAATCAAAGGGGGAAAACACCTTACAAAAATATTTTAATTGCAGGTGAAGGTCAGTATTATTTATTTATTTACTTTTTATTTATTAGATTTCTATACCACCCTTCATCAAAAGATCTCCAGGTGGTTCACAAGAAAACTACAGTTTTGCAAATACTCATCAAGTTTTGGAGATTCTTATAAGGCACTTTCTAATAAATATTACCTTATCCATAAAAACAAGCCAATTTTCGCGACACTTCCTGCGAGTTGGTTTATAACCAGGGTCGTGCTTCTCCAATAGCGATGCATTGTATTTCTCACAGATGAAGGGGAGTTTTGTACTGCAGCTTATCGTGCTGTCTGCAGGAATCACAGACACATATATGTATGTATTAATATTTATCTATGCTTATAGTCACACTGCATTTACTGTGTATTATTTCCACAAATTCTGAAAGGCAAAGGACTGGACATCAAAGTAGGGTCCGGATACAACTATAAACTCTGAATGCCATACTGTAGGGTGGTCATCTGCAAAAGAGGAAAGGATTTCTTCAACTTTAATAGCTGTGTAGATGGGAGACTGTCGTGCAAGCTGAACTGCTGAAATTCCCTCTTCTACGCAGCTATTAGGAGCCTGGACCTCTTTTGCAGATGGCCACCCCGAAGACATCCACAAACAGGCACCGCCAGCTGAATGTTTTGTTGCCTTTAACATCCAGAACAGCTCTCCAACTCAATAAAACTACTTTATTAGAAGTAGTGCAGCTTCTAATAAAAAGTCTAAAGGAGAACTTTTCCTTTAAGACTGAAAGTTTGGGGGGAGAATAGTATCTTAGCATTGTTTAAAATAAAAAATTGAACAGCTTACCTCTGTACCAACTTTGATAAGAAATATGCCAACAATTCCTGTAGTATCGTTCATGGTAGTATGAAAATACTGAAAACCTAGGCACAATGAAGAACTGAATTATTTCAGATTTGACCTCTTGGTGCATGTAAATATTTATCATCATTGATTAGCTTGCTCGTTTCTTTTTCATGTGTCCTACTGCACAAGAGATTTGTGGACTCACTGAAGAAAGGACCAAAATGGAGCTGGCATCTTAATTTTTGTAGCTACAGAGCACAGCTGCCAAATTCTGAGGTTTCTGCTGCAGCGCTTACGTGTTTATTATATGTAAGAAATCCTGAGCCTCAAAGCTCAAGTATCTTGACCTATGACCATAATACGTTCATCATTACTAGATCATATTCATTAAGTGAATGGCAAAAGTATTTCAGACATATATAGACTCTGATAGTTCTACGTACAGTGAATGGTAGCGACTTGCAGGAGCTGTGTGTTTCAGCCACCAACTTTGTCTTTCGTCCGATAACTGCAAAAACAAAAAGGAGATGCATTAGCATCAAATGCCATGTTACATCTCAACCTAAGTATCAGAAAAGTGTAGAATCCGGTATAAATTCTATATAAAGTCTATATACCCTAAATACACTAAAAAGTGTTACCATGCAAACTAAAGGCAGATAAATTTTAAGCCTTCTCCCTCAGGTATTCAGTAGATCCTAGTTTTTAATAAAACAGTCCCAAGAGCATTTCCAATGCCACAGTAATAAAAGCAAGTGTGAGACTTACAGGCAGGTTTCTTGGTGCAGTTTTTTAAATAGAGCTTTCTCCTGCATTTCAGAAACTAATGTTTTCAAGTCAAGCCCTGTTTTGCCTGCAGTATGGGGAGAAGGATTGCTCCCACTTTTTACTCTGAAATTCCATATCATCAATGAGAATTAGGCATGCTCTGGATTACCCTTTACTCTGTACCCTTCCTAGTACTAGAGGAAAAGCTGGGGAAGAAGGATAAGAGAAGAACATTTTTTCATTGGATGCAGGAAAAACACTTTTGCTATATATGCTGTCAGACAAAGGTATCCTACTTCTCACAGGCTTTTCCTGAACAGCTTATAGCAACAACAAGAGAGTGTGTTTTTTTGTTTTGTTTTTTAAAAACCCTATTTTGGCACGGACATTTTCACAACAAAATATATCCAAGAGACAAAGAAATAAATTACATTTGCAATCCTGTTTAGAATTCCCGTTAGTGCAGTGAAAGAGGCCACAGACGCCAAATCACTTCCATTATTAGAACAGTACAGAGCAGCTTCTTGAAAGCTCAAGTGCTTATTTGGCACAAACCAAAATTCAGACCCATCAATATTCAGTACTGGTCCCTGAAGTCCATCTCCATCTACAAAAGAAAGAAAGAAAAAGAATGCAATACACCTAAGTTTAAACTAAATGAAACATTGCATGCACACACAACCCCACCTCCAATTTCACAATAATAATAATAATAATAATAATAATAATAATAATAATATCTTTATTGTCATTGCCCCCTTCGGGGACAACGAAATTACTTGACTGCTCCATAAAAACACTAATTAATCAATACAGTATAATACAGCAAGGGAGATTAGATGACTTTCAAAGTCCAGGCTTCCCATTCAGGGCCGAGATCGCTCTGGAGAAGAAGCTGTTCTTAAGACGGCTCGTTCTTGTCTTCATCGTCCTGTATCTCCGTCCCGACGGCAAGAGCTCGAAGAGACAGTGACCAGGATGCGATGGATCTTTTACTATGTCCAGTGCCTTCCTATGGCACCTTGTGGCATAAATCTGCTCTAAGGTGGAGAGTGGGCAGCCAACAATTCTCTCTGCTGCCTTAACAACCCTGCACAACCCCATCCTGTCCTGGGTAGTACAGCTTCTGTACCACACACATAAGCCATAAGTGAGCACGCTCTCAATGGCACAGTGATAGAAGGCAAGCAGCAGTTTCTGCGGAAGATGGTTTTTCCTTAGTATTCTCAAAAAGTACAGTCTCTGCTGCGCCTTCTTCACAAGCCCCCTTGTGTTGACACTCCAGGACAATGTTATCTAGTAGTGGTAGATGAACTATTGTAACAATGAAGTGAATTAACAGTTATCTAAAAAATACTGTGCATTAATGCAGGAAACTCTGCAACATCATTATTATATTTCTAGATCACCCTTCATCTGGCAATTGTAGGGCAGCCAAGCAACCATAGATAAAAGTCAACATAAAATCCCCCCAAAACCCCCAGTAAATATGAGCATATGCTTCCCCATGGGCAATGCTCCAACACATTCACTGCAGCAATGCTGAGTCATTGCTGACCCAACACAAAACTAAGCAAAGTAACAAATGAGTCCCTCTAAAAATTTCTCCAGTTTCTGATGTTGTGCTCAGACACATTGTCCCCCTAAGTATGATATGAGAACAGCATTGTCTGTGGAGGCCTCAATAGCTGCAAGGCAAACAGAAGGATCACATTCATCTTGTGGGGAGGAATAGACCAAAGGAGTATGTATGATCTCCACGAAAGTCAAATGAAGATACCTTTAAATCAGGGATGGGGAACCTTTGGCATTCAAGATGATGTTGGGAGTCACAAGTACCTTCTTTCCTGACCATGCTGATGGAAGCAGTAATCCTACAACATGTGGAAGGTCGTAGGTTCCCTATCCCTGCCTTAAGTTGATCAGCAAATGATCAAGGACAGCAATTTTATGAGCGATACATTTTGGAGATTGTATGTCAGTGGCTAATAAGATAGTTGTGACCTACAGAACAGCCCCAGTTCAACATATTTGAGACAGCACTTTGCTTTTATGTTCCATTGTGACGTTTAAGTGCTCTCTTAAATTAACCATCCATTGATTAATGAAGACAGAGAGACACCCTCTCACTGATTTTTCTTCAACGTCACTTGCTATTTCCCCTGAAGATTTGCCAAATTTAAGTTTCTATATAAAGTACTGTAAGATTATTTCAGGTTTCAGTCGGCTTTTGGATTTAGGCCCATGATTCAACAGGGAACAAGTAAGGTATCAGTCCAAGAGCTGCTCTGCTTGTGTTTGAGTAAGTTGTTCAGAGTGCGAAGCCAAGCCAGAGTCAGCAGTTATGTAAGATGAGATGGGATTCATTGGATTCTTTCCGTCATCTGACCACTGCTGGGCTGGGGGCCACAGTACACCCTCAGGCAAACTGAAGCAGTGGTACTGCAGAATAGCAGAGAGCAGGCTAACAACTCGCTCTGCTTGCAGGCTGCATTAAAGGTAATGAAAATAAGATAGCTGGGGGTCCAAGTTGCTAGAGGCTGTGTTCGAGATCACTGGCACTTTTGGAGACCTATATGTGGCTAGCACCTTTATCAATGATGTGTAGGAAGCCTAAGTTGTTCGCTTACCTGGTTTGTACCACTCTGGTGTCTTTGGAGTACGACCTGTGGATGAGAGTAAGGAAAATTAGGGCATGCCAATTTCCCTTTTATCAGAAGAAAAGGAGAGCTGGAATCTTCAGGAGCACCATTAAACAAAGAGTGAAATTGTGCTGTTTTTTTCTTTTTACCCAAAAGGTGCAAGCAGTAAAGTTTTATTACAACTTACAAACTTGAACACAACTGCAATTTGGAAAAACCAACCAACCAACCATGTAGCTTGCTTATTATGTTTGTTTGGGAGGTGCTCAGGTGAGTTGTGAGGGGAAGTTTGGAAAAGCTGTGGGGGAGCAGGCAAAGGTGGGTGAAGTGTAGAAGGTGGGGCAGGACAGGGCAGGATGGGGGGGGGATGAGGGTTTGTGGTGAGGCAAGCAGAATGAGCAGGGGAAGTAGTCCTTTGTATATAATGCATACTGATTTTACTTTTGAGTAAAGAAGCACTGTTCTCTAAAGTATGAATGGAAGAGGCATGGGGATTTTTGTGCGGCAGCAGTAGGAGGCCCCATTAGCTAAAGTGGTGTCTCAGGTTAAGAACAGTTTCAGGTTAAGAACGGACCTCTGGAACGAATTAAGTACGTAACCAGAGGTACCACTGTAACAAGAATCTGTGAAAGCCAGACATTCCTTCTATACTTGGGCATCATCAGAAAATTTTAAAATGGCATTCAATTATTAGAAGCAGAACAAGTCATGCCCAAGAATTGTGGAGTGCAAGGCCTGCTTGATTATGTGGAATAAAAACATGAGAGTAATTTTAATGTTATCATGTAGATTCTTTATAGTCAATGTAAACTAGACACAGAAAATCAAATGTTGATTCAAGGATCACCTTTCTTTTTTTAAAGCCTCACATCCAGCTTGAGGGTTCCCAAGGACATATTGATGAGCACTGAGAACAGGATGCTTAATTTGTTAGGCCTGTGGCCTAATCCAACAAGTTCTTATTGTTCTTGTAAAAAACACACACCATGTGAAATAAAACTTTTTTCAGTGCTCTTTGCCTCAAATTCACAGGAATTTGGGCAAACAGTTCATGCTGACAAATGTGAATAAAATGAAAGTAAAGACATTTCTAAGCCTAATGCTGCCTTCCTATGCACACTGACCTGGGAGGCAGCTATATTGAATATGATGACACTCACTTCTAAGTAAACATGCATACGACTGAGCTGTGAATGAAGTTTACCTTTAGCGATCTGGCACACCCATTCAAGTTGTGAACCACAGTAGAAAGGCTTTAAGTAGAAATCTTCTTGTCTGTCTTCAGAATAGTAAAGAGTCCACATTGTTCTCCGTGTTAGTCTTAGAAACTGCACACATTATTAAGATAAAAAAACCAATGAAACTGATTCCTGCATGTGCAGTGTAATATTTACATGCAACTAAGTTCCACTGTTTTAAGTGGGACTTACTATCAGGTAAGTGTAATGCAGCCTAAGTGAACTGTTAATAAACAGAAATTATATTTCATTCTTTTTATATAAAAAAAATCGGGCTTTTCTATGGATAAAAAAGCACAGCTACTTGCTTTTGTGCAGCCAGATCTAAGGCAATCTCACACAGAAGTATGTCTGTCTAATCAAATTTCCTTCCAAGTATGCTTACGGAGGATTGTAGCTCAAAAACTAAACCACAAGGACGCATGCACTTAAGCCAAGGTTGGCCAGGTGAAATAGATATGGATCCTACTGCACTTGTAATTGTTGCATAGATTTGAAACCCTGCTCAGGGTTAACTCTGTTACAGTGCAAGCCTAAGCAATGTTAGGCTGTATTCAATGTTATTTACTCCTAGGAAAAAGGTGCAGCCTTATTTAATTTGCTGTAACAGACACAGACACAGACACAGACACAGACACACAGACACAGACACACACACACACACAGACAGACACACACACAAATATGTTTATCACCAGTACTGGTTATCAAAAACTGCATTATTTTATTATATATATTTGAAACTAATTAAAGAGGAACTGTTTTTCAACTACAAAAAGAAGAATTTGGACAGCGTTTGTTACCGCATTTCTCAGAGAAGACAGCAAGGGACACAAAATTATAGACTAATTTATTTTATCGGTCCAATGCAATATTTCTATTTCATTCTTAAGTTACGTCACAGTAAGCGTGCTGTAGCATTTTCGTTGTATTAACTCAATGACAACTTCACATTGGCAAAGTTGCAGCAAATCATTCTAAATTTAATCTATCAATTGAACTAATTTATAAAAAAACCCCCAAAGTATTCCCACTTAGTTATCAAGCGTGTTACACCGCACCTTCACAGCTGCGCAGTCTCTAGTATCGTATTCATCTTTAAACTCAGGGTGCATAACAACAGTAGATACCTACAGAAAGAGAAGATACAGAATTGAATTGAATTGGCAATGAGCACATTGTAGTTTTTCACCACAGGCACTCCTCCATTTGTTTCATTGGAGGAAACCCGGCTACACACACATTCCGTTCTGCTGAGTGAAGTAAACAGAGAGCCCATACTTAGGGCTCACGGTTGGTGAATGTATGTAAGAATGTGGTCTTCTGCACAGAATTACAGCTATATTGCAGCATTCATTTCCCTCACGTGCGAAATTAGAGTTCCAAAATCCTAGAGAGGAGTCTCCACTAGCAGAGGTGGCTCCCTACTTAAGAAGAATGCCTTTCAACCCGTGCAGGGCTGTAAATAAACAGATGGGACTCTGATGCACCGGAGGAAGCAGAGCACTCCCGCATGCGAAGGCTTTAATCACGTATGATAAAAGAATGCCTGAATAGGGGCTGAAGTGCAAGATCACAATCCGATGCATAGTTCAAAAAAGTCCACCAAACGTGACTCAGAGTTTCATGTGCACTTCTACGATCACACAAGGCTCCTACATACGGGCTGTCAATTTATTTCAGTGAGCCCAAAAGAATCTGCATGAAAACCTGATTCTTCCAGGGAAATGGATGGAACACAGTGCCTGTGATGGGAAACATCCCTATGCTTCTCAGAGCCCCTGCACATGTTAAGAAATAGCTAGATCTTTTTTGTTGTATATGCGCATACTTCTAATACAAAGCAACAGTAAAAATGGCTAGATCTTTAGATTCTTAAAAAGTCTTCCACTGACAAATTATGTTCAGAATTGCATTCTTCAAAATCCCTTTCATTCTTCATGTCTGAAATAGTTGGGTGTTTTGTTTTTTTAAAAGATGCCTAATTTCCTTCAGACCCACCTACGTTCTCCCAACTAAGGTATGATGATATGCTATTGCCATCAGTTTAACTTACAGGCTTATTGTCACTCCACTGCCAGGATCCTAGAGAGTCAGGATTCCTCTTATTTAGCCCAATCCAGACCCAACGGCTATCGCTGTAAATGAAATACCATTTCAGTCCAAGTGCAGCTTTAAGCACAAATTATTCATCACTATAATCACGCAAGACAAGAGCCCTGTGCAGACTTCCAAACTGAAAGCACAGTGTGTGTGTGTGTGTGTGTGTGTGTGTGTGTGTGTGAGAGAGAGAGAGAGAGAGAGAGAGAGAGAATCATTTTACCAGTCTGCCAAAATTCTGATTATGCCTGCCATTTGTACATGTAGATTTCACAATGCATGTATGTCAATTAATAAATACTTAGCTACAGTGGTACCTTGGAAGTCGAACAGAATCCGTTCCGAAAGTCCATTCGACTTCCAAAATGTTTGGAAACCAAGGCACGGCTTCCGATTGGCTGCAGGAAGCCTTCTGCCTTCCTGCAGAATCCTAAAAACACACACCACAATCTGTACTAGAGATCTTGAAATGTATGTATGTATGTATGTATGTATGTATGCAACAGTATACTGCTTAATCATTTAACTAATGTGTTCTTTAGGAAACAATACTCAAAGCAAGGAGGAAGAGGAGGAAACAGACTTGTCACCACACGCTACTGAAAATAATGTTTGAAACAAAATAATTGAAAGAACAAATTTGCCGAATGTTCTTTGCATGTCAACAAAAGCGGTTTTAGTTCATGTTCCATTAATGCTATCCAGAAGCGTTTCTTTTTAAAGGACATGACTATTAAATGCCACATTACCAACTGAGTTTGTCCAGAAAACTAGCTTTCGAAGAGCGTTACCTTATGGTCTCTCTCAGAATGTCATGGAGCTCCTTGATTTCTGTTAAGTGGCTAAAACTAGGGAGGTGTCCTCCAAGAGCCTCACAGAATCTCTCTGCTTCTTCCCAGGTTCTGGTTCTCAGCACTCTTTCCTTATGAAATAACTTTGCAAAGAAAAAAAGAAAAATCCGATTCAGTCCTTTATCAATGAAAAGAAAGGGGCCAAAGATATCCCTAATACTTCAAAGCTACTTGGCTGCCGTATAAACCTACCCAATCTGGTTTTATACACACACATTGGATTCTGTTCTCCCTGTCTTGTTAACAAAAACTGCCCTAAGAAAGCATCACAAATTTATATTTTTTGTCCTGTACACCCCCCACCCCCATATATAGCTTCCTTCAAGGAATCCTGGGAACTGTGGTTTTACCCCCAGCACAAAGCTACAACTCCCAGCAGCCTTAAAGGGCAACTCAGGAGCCAAGTGGTGCTTTTGTTCTGATGAACAGAGGCTGATCAGCCAGGGAAACAAAACCAAACGAAGATAATCTAATCAGCTAAAACAAAGAAATGTAATGCAAAGAAATAGTTGACTGTGGGAAAGGAAGGATTATGCAAGGGTGTTCTGAGAGTTTTAGATACAAGTCCAAAGTAATTCAAGAATATGAATAGTGTGTGTGTGTGTGTGTGTGTGTGTGTATGTGTGCACACTCAAGTCACTGAACTAGATTAGCCTTAGCCAACCTGCTACCCTCAAGATGTTTTGGACTACAATTCCCATCAGTTCCAGCTGATGGGAGCTGATGGGAGCTATAGTTGACTATTCAATTATTTCATTTCTATACCACTTAATATATCATTTAATGTATTACAGATATCATAAGCAGTATACAAAAAACTGAATAAACAACAGACGACTTAAAATATTACGAAGACAGAGTTACATATAAAATGTTACATTAATACAAAGTTACACACACACACACACACACACACAGAGAGAGAGAGAGAGAGAGAGAGAGAGAGAGAATCTTCCTTCTGACACACCCTCCCTCTCAGCTTCTGGGTTCTCATCCCGTGTCCAAACAAAATTAATGACTTTACAGGCTATAAACTAGATTAAAATCAGCAACACGCTAAAAACTAGATTAAAACGTATGGCATCATTCTACGTATCTGGCTAGGCTTCCCAAAACAAGCATGCCTAAAATGGCATTTGTGCACTTGTTTTCGTAAGGTGTGTTCGGAATGAAGATCAGAAAAGATCTCTTTCCGTATGGTGGAAATATCTAGTTCAACATTTTGTAGTGCTTTTGTTTTTTCTTCATTAAGATAATATACATGTTTTTTTTTTAAGTGGTAGCTCGGTTCCTTCAAGTTTGTAATATCTAGAGGGCATCAGGATAGTGAAGGCTGAACTAGATCCTTTAGGTGATTTAACTGGAAGGATATATGCTACCTTATAACAAGCAAGACCTGATCCACTGTGCCAGCCTGGAGGGCAAGGGTCAGTAACTTTAGGAACTACTTCCGGTTCTACTTTTGGTCCAATGTACTTCTTGCAAATAGAGTAAGCTTTCGTTGTTTTGCAATTCTTGACCTCCCACTTTCCAAGGTATTTTCCTGCTGACATAGCCACGCATCCTCCACGCAATGCTAGAATGTAGATTGAAATCAAATCAAAATTGTAACCAAGAAATTTAGTATTGTTCAAGATTTAACATAGAACAAATAGTAGCACTTCACTGATTTCGAGAAGGTACTGTACCTGGTTGGAAATGACCCCAGTTTGTGTACGTGAGCATTTCATTCTTCCCATCCACGGTTCCCCAGCTATACTCTCCTGAAGAGCCGATATCATGCAAGCCAGTCCAGAAGTACTTTTCCTCAACTCTGCTATGCTTTCTAATCAAATTGTTTATGAATTCTTGCTCAAATCTGTAAGAGTCAAGTTTCAAAAACTAAGGATGCAACTATCATGATCAAATACATGAATAAATCTACTAGTCATAAATGTAAATACTTCACTAGCATACTACAGAGTTCATTCTACATTCATGTTTCAACAGTACTGCATACTCATCTCTTGTTGCACAACACACATTTGTTTTATCTAGACAAAGACAAACACTAAAGAATACCTGTTTGTTATAGTGAGGTTGCACAGTTTCCCAAACAGTTCTTCACTTTTCTGAACCTTGTAACAAAAGTCTCCATGCCTCCATTCCTATTTTAGAGAATAATACTCTTTTACTCAAAAGTATGCATTAATTATGTTCCACGTTACATTTTTGCAAAGGCAGAATGGTGAAACTTAAGAATTGCTACAACTTTGAAATTGGGGGTACGCTAGAACACTAGATAAATGACAGATGCTTAACATTTATTTAATATGTAAGAATTCTAAATATTCCACTCCGTTCTATTATTAATAATGAATCTGAAATTCAAAATGTCAGGCAAACAGTAAGCAAAATACTTTTAATACAACCTCCAAGATTGGTTTAAAATGTAATTATTGATATAACCTTACCTCACCAGTACAATTTTTATCTGCTTTTGAGTCATTCAAAATCTTTCCGTTTTTCATGCAGACGTATTTAAGTTTATTGTCACAAGGCAGGACATTCCATCGACCCAGCTATCAGCAAGAGGAAGGGGGAGATTTTTTTTAGAACATTCCCAATATTATTCTCTCCGTTGTTTATTAATTTTCAATGAAAGCAAACAGCCAGAGTAAACATACAAGGGAAAAAATGGGGAGGCACAAACAAAGCAAAAAGTCCACTGTATCTATGCATAAACTTCTAAGAAAGTAGTTAGATAAATATAATAACAAATGCATGAGTGCTAATTAGTCTTTCCAAAAGGGGTCCCCAATAACATTTTTTTTTAAGTACAGTGGTACCTCTAGTTATGAACTGAATTTGTTCCGGAGGTGCGTTCTTAACCTGAAACTGTTCTTAATTAGAGGCGTGCTTTCGCTAATGGGGCCTCTTGTTGCTGCTGCACCGCTGGCACACGATTTCCGTTCTCATCCTGGGGCAAAGTTCTAAACTCGAGGTAACTACTTAGGAGAGTTTGTAACCTGTAACTACTTAGCGGAGCTTAGCGGAGTTTGTAACCTGAAGTGTTTGTAACCTGAGGAGTTTGTAACTCGAGGTACCACTGTAACTGAAGTCTCATTTAAAACCACGTTGTCTGTATTACAATGAAGACAGGAACAGATTTTGAGAGTGCTTAGCTTTCCTGCTACTCTCTCTCGCTCCCTATTTTTATCCTGGATGGGAGTCTAAAAATGTAACAAGCCTGCCCTGCATCCCAAACTGAATGAGGATTTTAAGAACTTAAAAAGCACCCTGCTAAATCAGTCCAACATTCTATTCTCACAGTGGCCAACTCTTGTGAGTCCCGCAATTGGGAAAAAGAAGAGAACACAGGCAGCAGCAAAAGAGAGACTGGAGGAGCAGAGGAGCCCGATTCTTTGCTCTGGCGCATTCACATAGTGCTACACCATTGCTTAAGAGTCACTGGCGGAGGAAGAGGCGTGTGGGGAGAGCGCCCCGCCCCCGGCAGCGTGCCATCACGGCTGCCCCCCCCCGCCCATGCTGGGCTGCCCATGCCCCCGCAGACGGCACGCTCTGCCCCCAGGACGCGTGCCAGACCCGCCCTCACCTGCTCTCCGCCACCGTTAAGAGTTATCTGTTAACGGGGCAATGGTTGCTCATGCACCTCTGCTGTATATCACAGGCTACGAATATCACATACAGAAAAACTATTAACCCACCAACACTGACAAGCAGCTGCTTTGAGATTTTTCTCATAAAAAGCTGTGAAGAAACAGGGAGAGCTCACAATAGGCCCTGTGTTCCTGTTCTAAGGCTTAAGGTTTTCTCTGTTAGCACAGTGAATTGCCTTCTATTCCTCTGTTGTGACTGGACCCAGGAATAAAGAGGAGAGACACAAGTGATGGGTTGAACTAGGGCCACATTTTATTATCAACAACTGCAAGGGGAAATGAGAATTGCGGGAAGCTAACGTTCACTTCAACTCTGCATGAACCAAACCCTACCCTTTCCAAAGGGCATGAAAAAGCACAGTCCCAAGGTTGGGGCCCCACATTATGATGAGTAGGGCAGCCTTCTTGCCCCCATTTCCTTCCAGGGCCCCACAGGTGTGGCAGGTGAGCCTCAAGAACATTCCCCATCCAGGTTAAGAGCCCCATAGCCTGGAGAAGATGGCATCCAGAAATGTTTCCTTATCTTACCTTAACCTTTCCCAGTTAACTGATTTAACTACAGTGATACCTTGGGTTAAGTACTTAATTCGTTCCGGAGGTTTGTTCTTAACCTGAAACTGTCCTTAACCTGAAGCACCACTTTAGCTAATGGGGTCTCCTGCTGCTGCTGTGCCGCAGCTGCACGATTTCTGTTCTCATCCTGAAACAAAGTTCTTAACCCGAGGTACTATTTCTGGGTTATCGGAGTCTGTAACCTGAAGCGTACGTAACCCGAGGTACCACTGTATACCCATCCCTTAACCTCACTGTTCCCTGAACCCAGTACAGAGCAAGTGAAAAAAACCCTGCCCAGCTTGGCCAGTTTGCAGGCAGGCAAAATATTCCAACTGTGCCCAGATGCGACTGGAGATCCCATTATGGAACTGAGCGTGGGCTTGGTGGGTGTGGGGTAAATGACCAGAGGCCACATAGAGGCACAGCCAAGGACCATATAGTATACATCGCCAGACACAGACTCTCTCAAGGCAAATCTAAAAAAATGTATAAATACCGACAACTGGGAAACACTGGCCTGCGGGTGCTCCAATTGCAGAAAAGCCTTTACCAAAGGTGTCATGGGTTTTGAAGACGCTCAAACTCAGGACGAAATGTGCTAAGAGGAAGGCATGCTTGGCAAACCTTCACCATGATCAACTCCTGCCCAGAAACCTATGTCCCCACCGTGGAAGGATGTGTGGATCCAAAATTGGCCTCCACAGTCACTTGTGGACTTTAAAAACTGTGTTTAGGGAAGACAATCTTACTCGACTACGAGTGATCGCTAAAGAAGAAGAAGAAGAAGAGTCTATAGATACATCGCCAGACACATGTGCTGGTGTCTGTATGCACACAAAGCAGCATTGCCTCACCCGCCTCCCTAGCCAGCTGCAACAATGCTCCCAGATGCAGCTGGCGGGAGTGGACTTCTGGGCTGGAAGTTTGCTAGAATTCAAGGGTATAATCCTAAGCATGCGAGTTCCACTGAAATACCAGGACATTAATTCTGTGGAAGTCTGTTAAAGGTTGCACTGCTAAGGTATCATCTTTTCCACTTCCATAGGAGGGACCAGGCTATGTACATAAATCCACATGCTTCTTTTCTTTCTTTCCCAGAAACTTAAAAGAGGCACTTGGACCAGAGTAACACATAAGCGACTTACCTTTCCTGAGTAAGCTACACAGTTGGGAGTGTTGTTGGAGAGAAGTTTCGGCTCATCCTGATCCCAGTAAGTAAACACTACTTTGGAACCGTCAGACCATTTAAACAAAGCTGGAACATCCTCATTTATGAAGCCAATCCACACTCTGTCTGCGGTGTCTATATTCAATAGCAAAAAATAAGCAATTCAAAAAGCAATATAGCTAATCAAACAAGACACCAGGAGCACAGCCATATAACTCAAACAAGCTCACTTTTTTCAGAATGCACGGAATTATACAACAGATGCCCTATGACTAAGGCAAGACATATAGAGATAGGACCAGCACAGTGCATTTTATCCAAGTTGAAAAAATATATGTTTATTTTTATTATTGAGTCTGTGATCTAGAGTGACAAAAATTCTGGCCACAGATGAAGCAGTACCAGTAGTAGTAGTAGCAGCAGCAGCAGCAGCAGCTGTTGTTGTTGTTGTTGATTAAATTTCTATACCATCCTTCATTTGAAGATCACAGGGAGGTTTACGATATAATAAGCCATATAAGACCATAAGAACAAACACACCTACATAGTTTAAAAGGTCATAGATTGTTTAAATAGTCAAAGGCCTGGGAGAAGAGGAATGTTTTTGCCTGGCACCTAAAGATATATAAGGCAAATAACCTTCTAAACCAAATTTTCAGTCATTTCAGCCTTAAGTTGAGATGGGGTGATTAGCATGAAAAAGGCAGAAGAAATTCATGCCTATGCTTAGCCAAACTTACCATTATGAAGTTTTGTAACCACTATCTCAACATCTGCTATGGAGTGTATGCTGATAAGGTTGCTATTGCTTGCATTGCAAAGTTGATGTGCGTCTTCCCAGGAAGCAGTGCCGCTCATTAGCATATAGCAAAATCCATTGTGGGAATGCCAATTAGGTTCACACTGGGTCTCCACATACTGCTCAACTGCTGAGAATAAATAAAACATGTGAACCATTCAGCAGGAAATATACACCGGGTGATGCGCAGAAAAAACACACAACTTTTTTTTTTTTAAAGGAAAGGCAACTATAGCATGACACTATACAGTAGCATTTTTTCAATGGTAAAAATTCCCAAACGTTTCCCCTGATTTTGTAACTATTAACTATTTCTGCAAACAAAAACAAAACAGCCACACCTGGCTGAAACTCTCCTCTCACCCTTTGTACCTCTTTATTGTCTACTCTGCAGGTTTGAGACCAATAGGCATTGCAACGAATATACTTTTTGGTATGCTGTTTTTCTTGCAAGCAGGCTTCCATAACTAAGTTGTTCTTGAAGAAAAAGTGTATGACAGATGCTGCAGCAGCTGTAAATATGAGTCAATTTAACTACGTAACTGCCTAACAAATTTAACTGCCTAACAAAAACCAAATCCACAATTTATTTCCAATTTACCTTCAAACTCTGACTGGGTATTGTTGAATGGCTTCTTGCAAACATACGGAAGTTTATTCTCACAAGGATAACTCATCCAGGTACCTTCATTGGCTTCCATAGCTACACAGCCAGATCCATCTAGTGGAGATGAATTCTGAATCTCTATAGAAAAACAACAAGAAGTATTTAGAAATTTAAAGTTATAGTATCACATAATTATAGGGCTGGAAAGGAAGAGTTCCAAACATTTCGCACTATAAATCAATTTTTTAAAATAAGGCTGCAATCCTGTTCACACCTTCCTGAGAGTAATCCACTGAACACAGTGCAACTTTTTCTGAGTAGACATGCACAGAATTTGACTGGGCAACTGATCAGTGAAATGTGCTCACCTTGACTCCAGCTGACGAAATTCAGTGGTGTATGATCTGACCACTGCCAGCCTCCAGAAATATCCAGCTGGTTTAATCCAATCCAGAATCTCTCTGCAATGCCTTCTTTTGCTAAGGAGTTAAAAATATTACGAGATGAATAATATTGATTGGTTTCCACACTGTAAATTCATAGTTCCCATTTAGCTGCACTGAACCTAGGTATCGTCTTTCCAGGTAGCTTTCGGTTGCTAAAATAATATACATATTTAAGGTCAAACAGAAATATTTGGGCATGAGCTTATGGAGCACAGTATGTGATGTGGTTGCACAAGCATTATATGAATTGATTAGATAGTGGCTTAGTTTGTACATCATGCTCAGCAAATCCATGGCTTAAGAAGGAGCCCAAGTATCAGAGGGAGTGGCAGGTAGATGAAAAAGGAGGAGAAAGCAAAAGGAAGGAGAAAAAACCAAGGACACATTCTGGGTCCAGAATTTCTTGTGGGTATTTTGGTTATTTTGGTAGTAGGAAGTAAGTTTGTGTAGAATGGAATTTTGATAATTCTAGAGAATTATGTGGAAGCAACTCCTTCAAGAGATAGGAGGTGGTAGCTAAGAATCTACCTTGACACTAATCCTCTTGCTAAGGTTCCATCCCGACTCCCCAATTTGGTAGTGCCAGGTTTCCCCAGAAATTCACTATACCTTGTACGTACCTTGAATACGGCTTAACTCGGATGCACTGGCGATGCTCAGCAAATCTCCACCTTGACTCTGGCATGAGACATATGCTTCTTTCCAAGTAAGGGCAGCCTGTGTGTTTAACTGGTAGCAATTTCCAGAATCTGCATCATGTTCCCATGCATTCTGACAACCATCCTCTGATGCAAGAGAAATAAATAATTAAAAAGCAACCATCTGGGTACCACAGTAACCATGTGCTGAGAATTCCAGAAGGGAGCAATATAGATGTTTTCCCCACCCTTCAAACGAAGAGCATGGTCACGCATAGTTAGAACAAGGCATTGCAATGAACACGAAGTCTGCCTGCACCTCCCATATCTATGTGCTGCACTACATTGGTGTTGCAGGAGAGTAGCAACTGCAGCAGAAAGATTCAAGGACAATCAAAGAAACATTTCAACATTTCAGTGTAGCACAGTATATAGCATTTTAGCAATGCTACTTGCCTGGCTTTAAGCAGACACCCCATTCTTTATCTTGATCAAAACTGTAGGTTGTAGAACACCATTCATCATCTGTAAACATTTCATTGCGGGTGCAGTCATGATGCCATGTTCCATTAAATAGGAAAGGGAATTCACAAGGCTTTCCATAGGAATTTCCATCCTTTGTATAAACCTCTGTAGGGGGGGAAATGGTTTTGACATTTGAGTGGGGGGGAAATGGATATGAATGCATGGTAAACTGAACCAATATTAAGACACTGTTGGAGTCATTCAGAAGTAAAGATTATTGGCACACGCAAGCTATTATTTACAGGTATATATAACGCAGTTGCAGTGCATCTTAATATAATGCTGTAGGAAAATGCTTAACATTTCAGCCATATGCACTTGATGCAATAATAATTCATTATTATTATTATATTATCAATTAAACAAAATGGTTTTTTGTGTTGTTTTCACCATACTTTATGTGAGGGCATAAATATGGATATATAAAACAAATTAATATGATAAGATCCGTAGAAGCCAAAAATCACTCAACAGTGAACTCTTGAAATTAAAAATGTCTCATGGCCCAAACCTATGGTCCCATACTGAGCAGCTTTCGGGGCATGGGCGTAGTCCGGGAGGTGGGAGGGGGGCAACTTTCCCCTCTAGATCAAGTAAATAAAAATACTTAACTAACTGACCAATTGCATTGCAGGTAACTCGGTTCTCCCCCACCTCAACATAAAGCCTGCCTCCCCTAAAATAAATCCTGGGTACGCCCATGTTTTGGGTTCAGTGCTTTGGGAAAGGCATAACTAGTGCATCTCAACCAGCAAAGCTATTCCTGGGATATGTCAGTTCAGCACCAGCTACACTGATACACTTCGCTCCTGATGGTGTGCTGCACTATGCAGCCTCCCAACCAACGTTTGGGGTTGCTAGCATTAATGGAATGTTGCCACAATCCCACAGAAGACACTTATAACAGCAAATACTCATGAGCGCCTCCTTAGTAAGGATCTGCCCCGCTTGCTGGGAAAAAGGAGTAGATTTAACTGTGTTAGCAGTGCAAGCCACTCTCAAAACACTTTTTCTTAAAAAGTGAGAATAAGCCTCAAGGCAGAGACCAATACTGTTTCTAGGGCTTCACAATTCACATGACCTTCTTCCCTGTAGCAGTTTCATCTACGTATTGACATATCAAGCTTTCAACCTCATCAAGGTAATAACTAATGCATTCTTTCGCAACTACTGGAAATTCTGAGAGATGGCTGGCAACAGAGCTGCAGTTCTTGCATGCCATTCATGCATGTCTCATTTTTAAAAATTTGCCTTAGGGCAGAACAATCCTGTCCCTGCCCAGGGAGTCATTAAAGAACTACTGCATCTCTGCCAGCTTCTGCAGATCAGGGAAAAAGGGGGGGGGTTAGGAGTTATTTTGTGCTCCCCTCACCACTGTACCAGAGTCCAGACCCCTCTCTGGGAGCTGGCCTGACATAGGATCCAATGGATCCTGTAGCCCCTGCCCCCATATGGTCCATTTTCATGCCTCCACTGGCTACCACCTGCTCAGGTGAGGACTGGGCCTACATCACAGCAAAACCCTCAACAACAGGACTCCACACCACTGGCAGAAAGGGGTTCATCCTCTATCCTAACCCACCTATTGAGCTATCAATATTGAGGAGGGTAGGGAAGGATTTCAATCTTAGTTTCTTCCCAGGTTTTTTTTTCTAATACTCACGGCAATATTGGTGGTAGGAAGCATTCAATCAAGCAAACAATGTATGAATTTGAAAAGTGAAACAGAAAATATGTCTTGCCAGGAGTAGGAAAGTAATAACTGAAAAAGCATGGACACCTGCAGGAATTCCCCCCACCCTAGATTCTGGCAAAGTATACATACAAAATACATAAATATAAATCTAAAGACATAAAACAAGCATTTTGTATTGGGGGGGGGGAAAACATTTTCTTGACTTTCGAACTACTTAGCTGCTCTGGAAGGGAGCAACTGAAATAGTCTTGAGCTTTGTTGTGACCCAACAGGGAGTATGTACATGTTTGACTGAAAACCTAAACCAGTCAATGACAAGATAATCAGATGAGTAAGAGGTGCTAGTAACTTCGCAGGTGTGTTTGAGGATTATTATTTTTTGAAATGTGTACAGGGGGCTGTGGAGTTGACCACAGCAGTGGCACGTAGGAATGTATGGGTGATTAACTTTCCCTTTAAGTTGCTTTTTGCAGCAAAATCCACCAGTTTCAAGGGTCCTTTTTTCTCCCATGGGAAAGAAAAAAATAATACAGTGGTACCTCAGGTTACATACACTTTAGGTTACATATGCTTCAGGTTACAGACTCCACCAACCCAGAAATATTACCTCGGGTTAAGAACTTTGCTCCAGGATGAGAACAGAAATCGTGCTCCGGCTGCGCAGTGGCAGGAGGAGGCCCCATTAACTAAAGTGGTGCTTCAGGTTAAGAACAGTTTCAGGTTAAGAACGGACCTCCGGAATGAATTAAGTACTTAACCCGAGGTACCACTGTAATCACACCGTCTCCTCAACATGGCTGCTACTATGAACTTCACAGTCCCTGTTTCCCTTTCAAAAAACCAACACCTCAGGAGACTTGACTGCAGGGTTGTTGCCTCCCTATCCCACTCAGAAACACTTCTGGGATACTTTATGGGTCCGTCATAAATTCTTTCAACAGGTCAACACTCTCTCGGCAAAATAGCCCCACACCCTGAAATCTGGATACAGTAACGATGGGGCTTTATCTGCGTTTGCATCATGGAGCAACTTTTAAATGTTTACAAACCGGGTGTGGGTACGTCACATTTTTCAATAATAAAGTAAGACCTGAACTATCGACTCTTGCCTTTACTGCTACCTGTTGTGTTTTGATAGGCACACTACTGCCTAACCAGGGCCTAAGCACTAAACTCCTGGATTTCTGAACTGTTTTCTGTGGGCAGCAACCTCAACTCGACCAGGAGAACTAAAAACTAGCTTAAAAAATGAAACTGAAAACTCTGTCTCCAGGCAGTGACCGTGTCACTCTATAAGGCTAGCTCTGCTTTCCTAAATGTCAACTGCACCTATGACTTCATTCATTGGCTAAAGACCCTGAAAGGCAGTATAAGGGTTATTTCTCACAAAACCAGCAGGCAGAATAATGCCTGCACATTTTGCCTCATATCTTGAGATCTACAAGACCTAGAGACTTGTTTTTATTTTTTATTAATGACCGTTGGGGTTCTACAGCTCAAATAAGGGACTTTGCCCCCACTCCAGAAACCAAAGCCTCAAAGTCAGTGGAGCCGATAAGGAAAAACAGTCAAGTGGATTGGAAGCGATAGGCAGCTCAGCAGGAGTGCAAAACTAGCCAGCCTACCTATGTTACCTGCTTCAAGTGGCAGAGCTGGTCTTGACCGCTTTGTAGGTCAAGGCTACTATTGTATGACCGCTTTGTAGGTCAAGGCTACTATTGTATGACAACTATGCATTTCTACTCCGGTTTAACCTAACAAATTTGCAGATTCTTACTCACTGCAATCAAAGTGGATCTTTAAGGTCCACCTGAAATTGTCACCTGTTTCGCTGCAATCAGTGTGGCTCAAACTATGGTAGGTGCAAACACCCCAAAATTGTCTGGTGGCTGCAGCCTCTGTAGACGTGGCGGCCCTTTCAAACTCAGTAGGAGTTATTATATACAGTAATATATAAAGCACCTATGTTTTTTTTCTATGTACTGTACTGAGGGATTGAACACCACAGTATCTATTGATGCCCTTATAAGCTATTTGACAAAACCAAAAATGAAAAAAGAATGGGAAGGGGAGGGGGAGGGGAAGGAAGAGAAAGCAGATCCAAGCGTTAATGCTTTATAGTTACATAAACACAGAAAGAAAATCATGCCTAGAAATTGCAGTGCGGCACACTGTAAAGCACATGTGAAGCAGATTTCACATTCCCACCACTCCTTGAAGTACTCTGGGCACTGTCGTTTACCCCTCACAACATTATAATTCCCAACACCTTTAATAAACTACAGTACCCAGAAATCTTTGAGTGGGAAAATGTGTTTTGAATGTGCTTTAAAGGTATAGTGTGTATCCAAACCAAGTTTCTCCCCAGCAACAGGGAAAGACAAAATTACCTGCCTTGAGGTAAATTTTCACTTGCTTGGGCACGTCAGAACATTTTCCTCAGCGAGAACCACAAATTCACAAGGGGTTTGGGTTTGTAAACTAGGGGTGCTTACTATGCAGCCAATTAGAAAACACAGGTTTACACTGACAATCCTCACAACACACACACACACACACACACACACACACACACACACACACAAAGTTTCCTGGGCACTTAAGTGGGGATTGAGGCAGCAACCGCATAAAGCCTAATCATTATGGCACCATTTGCAGTTCTCCCACTTCTCACTGTTACACTTTATACTGTATACATTGTTCGTGTTTCTCTAGTGTTTGAGCTGTATTCAGCACACGCTGGTCCTCTCATCATGTTAGTGTGTGACCGCCCCTGCTTAAATTCTCTTCATAATAATAATGTTACAGTTAGCGGGAAATCCAGCCATGGACTTATGTCACCCAGAGTCTTGAGGGCCAAACTGCTCAGCGCAGCACTTAAATTTCATTTAAATCATGCATATTGTTATGATTTTAACTGTAGGCCATATTGAGAATTTTTATAGTGGAAACACATAGGAATTTGTTTTAAAGCAAATAGAATAAAATAAAATATGGGATATCTTTATATCTTACAACTTGAAAATATGTTTTTTATTATGACTAAAACTTGCTATTTTTTTTTAACAACAACTCAATTAAACTTGGGAGGACTACAAGGGTCTAGGTAAAATGGTCCTGGGAGCCAGATCTGGCCTACTGGCAAAGCAGTTGGCTGCAAAACGAGATTATTCACATTATTATTTGTAGATCATCTTCATTAACTAGGCTAAACCACATGTGTTCTCACTACTCGTCATTCTAGTTTTACAGCATAGTGTTTCACATTTTGTTTGAACTAAACATGGTCCATAATAATAATAAACAACAGCTGGTAGTTGAAAAATGAAGGTATGCCTGTTGTTTTAGTTTTCTTTCTCCCATGCCATTTCTGGCATGCTTGAGGATCTGTTAACCGTGGGCAGGATTTACCTAACCACCCCTGTCTACACAAACCTGCACGAGGACTTCTGCTTGCTCAACAGGGCTCTTCACTCACACACCCCCACTCCTAGAAATTGGCCTTGGGGGTGCAGGAACCATCAGAAAAGCACGAGGGGGGAAGGAAAGGAGGTATAGCTGGCAAGCTGCAGTGCTTGCACATAAGAATAGATTGTAATAGCATGATTAAATATTTTCAGTCTGCATTTTTTACAGCATCTGTATGTGTCTACACAGAAGTAAAGCCTGCCGAGTTCAGTGAGACTTTCTCCCTGGTAAAGGAATATATGGTTACAGCCTTCATTAGATTCTTATTTAAAAGGGCTATTATCCCTGGGACCTTCTACCAAAAGCAAGTCCCATAATAGTGGTGAAGAGCAGTGTGTTATATTTGGACCTGGGAAACTTGAGTTGAAAACTCAGCTCAGCCATGCACAATGTTGTGTAAGTCATTATTTCTAAATCTGCTATTTCCTAATATGTAAAACTGATACGACCTACGATTAGGGTTCAGAGTTTGATAGGTACAAAAAGATTTGACCAATTGGTTAAATGATCTATTATTTTTAAAGCATTCATGTTCTGATATCATAATAACTGTAATCATCCACAAATACAACACTCAGGCCAGCTATTTTTTTTAAAAAAGTTAGATAACCCTTACTGTAAAACAAAGGGACGTGGGTGGTGCTGTGGGTTAAACTACAGAGCCCAGGACTTGCCGATCAGAAGGTTGGCGGTTCGAATCCCCGGGTGAGCTCCCGTTGCTCGGTCCCTGCTCCTGCCAACCTAGCAGTTCGGAAGCACGTCCAAGTGCAAGTAGATAAACGGCGTTTCTGTGCGCTGCTCTGGTTGCCAGAAGCAGCTTAGTCATGCTGGCCACGTGACCCAGAAGCTGTACACCGGCTCCCTCGGCCAATAAAGCGCGATGAGCACCGCAACCCCAGAGTCGGCCACGACTGGACCTAATGGGCAGGGCTCGCTTTACCTTTACTGTAAAACAATACTGAGTTTGAGCCAGATTAAGTTTTCTTTAATCTCATTAAAATCAATGAAATTTACATTAGTCATGCCTATCCTAAACTCACTTAACGGGGAGTAAGTCCCAACTGAACTCAAAGGGGCTTACTACTCAATATACAAGTACAGGATTGCACTGCCAGTCAGAATTTAAACTGGACCTGATCCATTAACTTTAGAAAAGACTGCAATTAATCACTTTATCACACTTTTATTCTGCCATTCCAAGGAGCTCAGGGAGGTGTACTAGCCATTAGTACCTAATGAGCTTCCATGGCTTTGTGAAGATTTGGATCTGAGATTTCCTAAGTCCAAATCTGTACACATAAGACAGAACCACTGTTGACTGTCTACTCTTTAACTCTTTTCAAAATCAGCATTTACCTATGTATTTACTTAACTGAAACTCATGTGCAAACCTCTGCTTTCTCCAGATAAAAACAAATGAGAAGGAAAATACATACTGCGATAAGGGAGTTTGCAAATAGTATCACTGGAATTGCTTCTTCTCCAGGTATCAGAAGAGTTTATGCTTGCTGTCACAATTCCATTCTGTAAAGTCAGCTTGTTCTCAGATGCAGATGATATTGAGGCATCGTCACAGCGCCACCACAGTGAAAGATCTGAGTCACAATCCACTACTTTCAAGGGATTCTGGGATTTGGCAGTTTCTAGTCCAAGGCACTTTTGGGACCCCAAGTTAAAAAGGCGATGCTGGGAGACCCATGTCCATAAGGTCTCTTCTGCTCCTTGGCAGTCTCCTGTTGTTATCTGCTGGTTTTTAACTTGGATGCACTTGTTGGTTTTTTCATGGCGGATGGTGAAGACATTGTTATCTGTGTTAGAAAAGAGGCATATGCTTTGGTGAGTTTTTCTTCTGTGATTTGCAGTGGGGAAACAATACTATATTGGAGGTACATTAAGAAAATGCTTCCTGGAAAGTACTACCACCAACAGTTTATGTTCTAAAGTCTTCTGCAACATAATATCTCCCTAAATGTGTGATTCTAAACATGTAATTCCCAATACAGAAAGTTGCTGCTCTGTAAATTTACTGCTATGTAAAATGTATTCCAACTATAAATTTGTTAAGCTTGATCAAGGCTGAACTGATCAGGGTAACTCATCAAAGAAATGGGCAAAGGGAATTGATAAGGTTTGTTTGTTTGTTGGTTTGTTTGTCTGGTGGAACGCTCTGTCACAAGAAACTAGGGCCCTGTGGGATTTGACATCTTTCCGCAGGGCCTGCAAGACAGAGCTGTTGCACCAAGCCTTTGGTCAGGGCGCAGCCTGACTCCCTCCTTTGGCAATCTTTACAGAACTTAAGCTTATGGTTGCCATCAATTTGATTTTAATTAATTTTTATAATGAAATGTTTTTAGAACGTTGCACTATTTTATTGTTGTTAGCCGCCCTGAGCCCGGCTTCGGCTGGGGAGGGCGGAATATAAATAAAATTTATTATTATTATTATTGTTGTTGTTGTTGTTTGGTGTGTGTGTAATTCTAGGTTTATTAGAATCAAATGTATTGTTTAGAAACAATAGGAATGTGTTCATTAGAACTTAATTTAATTTTTTTTTAAAGTCTTATCTATAACTTATAAAAATAGAAAACTTTTTAATTTAGCATGAAGTGGTAAGTTAACCAAGTTCTGTAAACCAGAGGTCCTAGAGCTTAAATCATTTATCACACCTTAGGGACAATAGAACACAGCTCACTTTTACCTGGAACAAGGAACCCGTGGCATCCAGATATTGCTGGAATACAGCTCCCATTAGGCCCAAGCAGCATAACCAATGGACTAGGATGGTGGAAGTTGGAGTCCAATATCATCTTGATGGCCACAGTTTCATCTTTCCTGACCCTGACTTTTATTAGTCTCTAGCTACAACGTTTCCCAAACTTGGGTCTCCAGCTGTTTTTGGAGTACAATTTCCATTATCCCTGATCACTGGCCCTGCTAGCTAGGGATGATGGGAAACCCTGCTCTAGAAGTATTTTGAAGTCCGAAGTAGTTGCAACTCATCATGAAATTTATCCCAGATAACCTTGACTGAAATGGAAGTTGATTTTGTGATGAGCAAATCTTATATAAAAGCACAAGCTAAATTGTGTGGTTTTTGTCTAATTTACACTGGAACAAACAATCCCAGGGGACAGCCATGTATGGATATGGTTAAACCTCTTTTGTCATGCAGGAAAATGTGTGTTTGTTTGCATCCTGTATGTGTGTGTGTGTGTCTATTAAATTACTGGTCCTTTTTTTTTTTTTAAGATCATAGTGTTGAAGTAATAATTGCTCTGTTAAATAAAGCTATGGAAAATAGCAAGTTAACTGGGACATAAAATATTTATTCAGAATTCATTAGCCTGAATGCTGGAATTTTATATACAAAAGCTTCTAGCTGGAGAGAAGTATGTTTGTGCACTCACAGCCCACTCAGGGCCTATTCCTTGGAGTCATGCCTCCAGCAATTTGCTGGAACAAAACAATTGTGCTGTGTTTTATGCCTTCAGCTGAAATGCGCTATGCAAGTTCTATTTCATTTCTAAAATGTCACCCAGTGCTGGAGCAGGCTGCTGAACACTCAAGAAAATAAACAAACAATACCCAACCCAACCCCTCATGGATAATTCTGTGGAAAGGAGGGGGACAGCATAAGAATAGTCAGTATTCAATCTCTTAACTTGGCGTTAAGACATGGGCACAGGAATAATAGATTGGCCTGGTGTTCAGTTGTATTGGGAGTGCAATATTCTCTTTATTTGATTTGATTTATAGTTTGCAGCCTTTGGAGTGTGTGTGTGTGTTCTGTAGTTAGACAATACAACAATAAAGTCTTAGTACTGTAGTTCCTAATTTGCAACTGATTATGACATTGATTTTTAATCAACTTTCCATAACTTTTGTTTTTTAAACAGCCAGAAATTAACTAAAACCTTATCGCTGACATGGTGTATAGTATAATAGCTTGCTTCATTAAATAAAGGGGTAGGCAGATTTAAGAGCTGCCATCTTATGGCTGGCAACACATTCTAAAATGTCATTTATGAAAAACAAAAGAATAGCACCAGAAGATATATTTTATGTAGTGCACTATTTCCTCTGGCACACAATAATCTCTTTACTCTTCATGTTTCCTGAAACTGCTGAGACTAAAGCTTACTTGATCATCAGAAATCTGACCCATGTGATTTGAATCTCAAGAGGAATCCACTCCGAGCTATAATCACCCCTCATCCAGCATTAGAAGTGAGCACATCGATCCCATGAGGTTCAATCCTGTCACATAAGTATTTATTGTTTATCATCTCCGCAGGCTCAGCAAGCTAATCCACACCTCAACACCATTTTAAACCACACATCAGCCCTCACAAAATGTAAATGCTAAACAACCAAGTTTCTAAATAGATAAAGAAGAGGATCAAGAAAGGCTGAGTTCACGTTCTTTTACATAAGCAATATTTCTCTCCTGCAGCTGAAGAAAACCCAGTAAACAGAGAGGAACTAATTCAAAGTGCGATGCTGATGACGCCAAGGTTGCAGGTTCGATTCCTGTGTATTTTCCGGCATTGCAGGGGGCTGGACTGGATCAGGCTTCCTCAAACTCAGCCCTCCATATGTTTTGAGACTACAATTCCCATCATCCCTGACCACTGGTCCTGCTAGCTAGGGATCATGGGAGTTGTAGGCCAAAAACATCTGGAGGGCTGAGTTTAAGGAAGCCTGGACTAGATGATCCTCAGGGTCTCTTCCAACGCTACAATTCTATGATTCTCCTACATGTCCAACCACAAGGGGTTTCCTATGATTAACAATGTCAGCTAAGGTAGCTGGAAAGAGCCTCTACCTTAAAATGTTTTGAAGTTCTCAAGATTTTCTGCAGAGATGACGACTCAGGGCAGTCCAATATAGGACAGTCTGAGTTGTTTATGTGACAGCAGTTAAAACTAACCCTACTTAACAGAGTTGCAAGGAAAATGTTAAGACACACAAAGGATTTTTTAAAAGAATAAACTACATATGGAAGCAAACATCACATCTTGGAATATAATGATGGAGCATTCTGAGAGTCCTTCCAATGGTGCAAGCAATGATAAGAAAATAATTATTGTAAAGGGTATTGAGAATTGTAGACATGGGATACTGAATCGGACCATTGGTCCATTGAGCTCTCTACTGTCTACACTGACTGACAGTGGATCTCCCATGTTTCAGACAAGGGGGCATTACCATTGCTACCTGGAGATGCAGACTGATGCATTTAACTAAGTGAAAGCAAATGTTACAGATACAATGCCTAAATTCACAGAAAAGTTAAACCCAGAAAGGCAACAAGTCATTTGGAAATGGGACTGCAACACCTTGAGAGGCAGAAGCAGAATAAACTATCCAACATAAGAGAAATTATTATGCATGTATAATTTGTACAAGTTGATGTATAAACATGGACTCCTCTTTTGTGTGCAGAATTTATGTTACCTTGGAAAAGCTAGCGAACACACAAGCACAAGGACAGCAACAGCAGTTAAGTCATGCCAACAAAGAATAGACTGCCTATAATCAGAGACAGCATGTTTCTGATCACTGGCTGTGCGGAGAAAACATCATGAGGTGTCTCTTTCTGTCACGTCCCACTTGCAAGCTTTTCTGGTTACTGAAGAACTGTGAGGTTTCAGCCTGAAGTCCCCACTTAAACCTCAGCCACGAACATTAGGTTATGTCATCCTCACTCAGCCTTCTGCAATATGGAAATAATAGAAGATGGGTCTATTCTACAGTGCTGTTGCAACTGCGCTAATGAATCAGAGGAGATGCAATGTACAGTGGTACCTCAGGCTAAGTACTTAATTCGTTCCGGAGGTCCGTTCTTAACCTGAAACTGTTCTTAACCTGAAGCACCACTTTAGCTAATGGGGCTTCCTGCTGCTGCCGCGCCGCCGGAGCCCTATTTCTGTTCTCATCCTGAAGCAAAGTTCTTAACCTGAAGCACTATTTCTGGGTTAGCGGAGTCTGTAACCTGAAGCATATGTAACCTGAAGCGTCTGTAACCTGAGGTACCACTGTAATTCTAATGTATCAGCATCACCTGGCTGGCCACTGAGTAGAACTCTGGGGTGCTGCAAATGCTATATACAGTGGTACCTTGGGTTACAGACGCTTCAGGTTACAGTACCCAGAAATAGTACCTTGAGTTAAGAACTTTGCTTCAGGATGAGAACAGAAATTGTGTGGCGCCAGCAGTGGGAGGCCCCATTAGCTAAAGTGGTACCTCAGGTTAAGAACAGTTTCAGGTTAAGAACGGACCTCCAGAACAAATTAAGTTCTTAACCCGAGGTACCACTGTACATGGGCCAGTCTCTCACACTTGTTTCCCTCCTTTTCAAGGTCAGAGAAGAGTCTCACCCACAGTTGCCCAGCACTGTGCTGTGTAATGCACCTGGCTGCTATAGCAGCCTTGTTGCCAGCCTTGAGCCAGGAGAGTCACCTGAGGGCTGTATTTCCAGCAGCAGTGGGACCGGTCGGCGCTCTGACAGCACCATCAGCACAGGGTAGATGAGAACGAGAGCAAAGCAAGCGTTATTATCCACACACACACACACCCTGCCCTGCATCTACATCTGAGTGCTACTTCCCTTAATTCCATGGGGAAATGCCTGTCATAGATACAGGTTCTTCAAACATGAGAATTGTAAGATATGTATCTTAAGATGGGCAAACTTCTCTACAAAAGCGGAAATCAGCTCCAGCAATCACAAATATTGTCTATAGGCAATATTTATTTAGTTATAACTTAGAGCCTTACATTCCTAAGACCTAAGTATACATAGACATCACATCACCTCTTTGTAGTACAAGGGCTGTCAACATTGCAGCTTTTCTCCCTTTGTTCTCTTCTTTCTCTTACCATTCTTCCTTTACTACTAGTTCCTTTACTTCCTTCCTGTTCTATCAGACAAAACCAGTAACTTCTGTCTAGAAGAAAAAACAGCCAAAAGTGTTGTCATATCAGGGTGCAAGCTAAAAGATATGCCTGCCACCTGTAAACATCTGAAGATTAGAGTTATAGAAAGGAAGCACACTGGAAAAAAAACCTGAGGCAGTAAGTTCTTATTTACCCAGAGCGGTCATTGAAAAACAGCCTAAACAAGTATTTCTCGCCCCTTAAGCGGTGAGGTGCCTGAAAATTGCTAAAGATCCCCAGACCTCAATGTGTTAACCTATGGTAAATTGAAGAAACAATCCCTGCTATCATGCTATATTAAGGACTCTCGCATTGTAGCATGAGCCAATTTAATGACTAGCTTGGCAAGTTTCTCCAAGTACTTTTGTACTTTTGCAGGCTTTTATTTAGTTATTTCATTAATAAGGGAAATGTATATTCTGCCCTTTTCACAGTGTGGTCTCAAGTTGGGTTCTAACCATCATGCCTTGAATTATTTGCAAGTATTCCATTAAAAAAATAAGTTTGACTGAAAGCTTTTGAGTGTATTTGAATATAACATTCAAACGACATTAAGGCTGCAATCCTATACACATTGACCTGGAAGTAATCCTACAGAATTCAATGGGGCTTACTTCTGAGTAGACATGCATAGGATTGCACTATAAGGAAGCTTTCCCTCTTCTTCAGCCATTGGGAGAAAAACTGGGATGTTTATACTGTATTGGCCTGAATACAAGCCTCACTTTCCCCCCAAATTCCAACTGTTAAAAGTGCGGCTTATATTCACGACCTTACACGGGTAAACAGTGTCAGGAGCACGGCAAAGTGGCGTCTGCCCTATGCGTAGTCCCCTGTCATCTCCTCCAAGGCTGGGAAGGAAGAGAACGTGGAAGGGGAAAACCACTGGCAACGCAGCGCAGCTCCCCCCCCCCCCATGCAGCCAGAAGCAGTGAGGAAGGGAGCAGCTTATATTCAGGTATTTTTTCTTTTTTTTCTTTCCCCCCCTCCAATTTTAAAGGTGCGGCTTATATTCGAGTGCAGCTTATATTTGGGCCAATATGGTACATCATGTAAAATTAACATGGCATACTTTTTAAACTTCAAATCTCAAATTAGTTTAAGAAAACTAATTCAGTTCAAAAATTCTAGAAAATCCATATCACTGGTGCCAATACTACCAGTCTTCAAGCTAAGTATGAGAACCAGGCATAGTGCCTGACTGGTCCAAGGATATCACATGAGCTAAATCAAGATGCCTGAACAACTACCACTGCATAACAGGTAAAGATTAAACAGGTGCAGGTGCTATTTTTGCACCATGGAAATGCAGTGAAATGAAAAATTGTAACTGCTAAACTTTCGCAACCTTCTTTTCAAGCAGACATTGCCAGAGGTGGAGGAAGTGCCTCATCTCCCTTAGGAGAATTTGCTCTGTTGCCTGGAGGGGAAAGGAACAATCAACCTTCCTCCTGACTGTAGCCACCGAGCTCCTCAAGGTAGTTCCAACCGGTTTGTGGAATTCCCCTTCACCCACCCACGAACTGTCCTTCCTTTACTGTGAACTGGGTGGCAATTGGAGTCAGGCCAACCTTTGAGCCCCTGAGTCATGCTGCGGAAGGATTCTATTACGGAGGCTCCCCGGAGCATATAAACAACTCCTGGAGAAAGAGCAAAAAGGGTGTGTGGGAAAGCCGTTGAAAAACGGAGGTGAAAAATGCACTTGGCAATCAGGACAACAGAAGAGGAAAAACGAAAGTCTTTCTTGCCCCGCCCACTCCAGCTTGCAGGATTAAAGCACCTTCTACTGCAGTAGCTGCTAGAGGAAATCGCCTCCACCCTATTGGTAGAAAGTAGGGCTCGAACTCCTACTGGCTCGGATCTCGAGAAGCTACGCTTCTGAGTTGACAGGATAAAGGTGCTCTGCAAACGCACTCGCGTTTTATATCCGTACTTCCCGGGGTTCCAGGCCGGAGCCCTTGGACGAAATGTGCAGGTTGCCCAGCTAAAAATAAAACACGGATTTCTGTCTAGTCACGGTTCCTCTCAAACGTAGCTCTTTCTGTCCAACGCAGGCGAAAAGAAGACATCCGTCCTACGCATCTGGGAAGACAAATGTGCTCCCCCCCCACTCCCACGTACTTCAGCAGGGGAAACCCACCCACCCACCACAGGGGAAAACCCCACTCGGGGCATTTCGGTTACTTCAGAAAATGCGGAACAAGCGAGGCACACTTTCAGTTTCGCAAGGCTTCGCTTCGGCGGTGCTGTCAGGGCTGACGTCCAGGGCCCCCGCTCGGCGCAAGGAGCGGAAGGGGGCGTCCCAATGCGGTGCAGAGCTGGCGGCCCCCCCCCCCATTTTGAAGTAACCGAAATAACACGCGCGCGCACATTAGCAGCTAAGGGGCCGCCCGCCCCCCTTTAGCAAAAAGCATCTGTTAAGTCTATGGAATCTAACTGCGCCAAGGCGCGTCTCTTCCAAAAAAACCTCCCACCCCTCTAAGAAACTTGCACCGCGCCACAAGGAGGGGCTTCTCCCCAACAACCCTCGAGAACTTTGCGCGGGGATTTTTATTTTTTCCCGCCTTGCGGGGTTGCGCCAACGTTGGCTGGCACCAGGTTCCTCGGTCCCCAGACCGGGCGTAAAAGTGCGCGGCCAAGTTACCCGCCAGGCTGCGGTTCTTTACCTGGGGAGCAGCGCGCGCCGCAGCACAGCAAGGTGGCGAGCAGCAGGGGCGGCAGCAACAGCTGCAGCCCAGCTTCCCGGCAGGTGGTCGGCAGGAGATGCCGGCGCGCCCCCCTCCTCATCCTCCCCGCAGCGGACGGCAAAGTTGCAGCGGCAAGTGCGGAGACGGGCGGGCGCGACCGCCGCTTTCCCAGAGAAACGCTGCCCCTCTCCTCCTCCTCCTCCTCTGGGCGCTTCCCAGGCGCTCGGTCCCCGTCGCCGCCGCAGCGCCAATGACAACGGAGCGCAACCTATTGGCGGACGTCCAGGCCAATCAGGGTTTTTTTTCGCCTTGCCCTGGTGTTAAGGCGCAAGTTGTTGCCAGGAGAAGATAGGCCGAGCAGTGCGCGCCGATGGCGAGGAGTTGCTATATAAGCGCTTGTATCTCTCTCTCACACCCACGCCTTCGCCTTAAAGGGGCCTACGGCTGTAGATAAGGCGACGTCCCGCGATGAGAAGTCAAGATACCGAAAGCAAACAAGCTGCAACAGAAGAGTATTGCTCTGCAAGAGAGATGAACCCCAATACGTAGGAGTTTTAACGGTTTAGCAGCGAGGTAATACGGCTGACAGAATATACTGTAGGTGCTGGGGTGCTTGAGGAAGGTGGTATATACTGTATATAAACAGTGCTTTTTTCTGGAGGGACGCAGGGATATGCACCCTAAACATTTTGTGAATCTTTGTACTTTTGTCCATTTACTGTATTTATTTTCCCCGATTTCAACTATAAAATGGTGATTTTCTTGAGTCAACATGAGAGTACCCCTAAACATTTTTTAAGAAAAAAAGCACTGTGTGTGTATTTGCAAGGTTGAGGCTCCTAGGCTATCCTCCCGCAGAGAGTTGCAGTAACAGACCTGTTTCTTTATAATGGCAGTCACAGTCCCATTTTAAATAGTTATAGGGAGGAGAACCCCCCCATCCCATTCCTTTATTCTGTAGGGTCACTTTTGTATTCTGGCTTAATGGCTCAATCCTAACTGTATAATCAGAGGTAATTGCTGCTGAATTCAGTGGGGCTTGCTTCCAAGGAAGTGGAATTTAGGATAATTTCCAAAATTAATTACAGAATTGCAGCGTGCACAGTTCAAGCTTGCCACCCTTTCCCCTATTTCAAGGGCAAGTTCAGTATTCAGCAGATACTAAACTTAAAAACCTAATAGCAGGGAGGAAACCTAGTGCAGCTTTTGTCTAATTTTCAGGACAAGGTATGGGTTTCCTATGAAAGTACCATTACAGAGGGAGAATTCCTTCTTTGATTATTCCTCCACATCAGATTCTTCCCATGCATAGCCAGGTAGCATGGTCAAGAGTGAAGCATAAGGGTTGCCCCTTGTTGTTTGGATAGTCAGAAGCCACAGGCCACATGGGAGGAACCCAACCAATAGTTCATCCTCACATTTGTAACACACCTTCCGGAAACTGAAATTCCTCACACACCCTCAGTGGTAATGTCAAAGTGGGCTATTATGGCTGACCTACCAATAGCGGTGACAGCATTCTGGTCTTTTTACTGTTTTAATAACCCCTAGCATAGGGTTTGCCTTTTCCATAGCTGCCACAAACTGACTCCACACTGGGTCAATATATTCAGTGAGCTATCCACTACAACCACAAAGTCTTGCTCCTGGTCAGTCACCACCAGTTTATATCCCATGAATCACTTTACACTTGCTTACACTGAGTTTCATTTGCCATTTTATGGCACATTCACTCAGTTTGGAGAGTAAAGGCATTACCTGGGGGTACACCTCCTTGAGCACACCACTGTGGGACCTTCTGAGTAAACATGCATAGGATTGCATTAAAATAGTATGGCTGCAACTGATTAACTTGTTCGATCAAAGATTAACCTTTCGAGCAATTTATAAAGATGCTCCTGATTATTTGGGTAACTTGCATATGTGTGTGGGTGTGTACTTTTTTTTGGGGGGGGGAATAATATAAGTATATACTTAGATAAATGCCAGGTGACATGTGTTATTTTGGGGGAAAAGACTCTTTTACAGAGAAGGGCTTTGCTCTTCCAAGATGTAGCACATTCATTAATCATCTAAAAACAAAAAAGTGCAATATTTTACATGTCCACTCAGAAGTAAGGCTATATAACATTTACCAGCTTAAAATACAGCTAGGCCGTTCAATTTGGATCAAAGCTGGTTTTGGGGAAGTGCCTTAAAACACAGTACAGTGGTGCCTCGCAAGACGAAATTAATCCGTTCCGCGAGTGTCTTCGTCTAGCGGTTTTTTCGTCTTGCGAAGCAACCCTATTAGCGGCTTAACGGATTAGCGCTATTAGCGGTTTAGCGACTATTAAAGGCTTATCAGCTTAGCGGATTAGCTGCTAAAAGGCTATTAAAGGCTTAGTGGCTTAGATAAAGGGGGGGGGAAGCGAAAAAAAAATCTCAAGACTCGCAAGACATTTTCAAAAACGGAAAACCCTTTCGTCTAGCAGGTTTTCCGTCTGGCGAGGCATTCGTCTTGCGGGGCACCACTGTATTTCATAAGAAATTACAGGGTAGATACAGTCTATATATGGATTGTGGCTAATGCCATGTGTACAACTGCTATCCAAAACAGTGGTGGGAGTACACTGGATGTATAGTAAACAGGACTGTGTACGTAGCTGCTATGTGTACACACTACTGCTTCTCAAACTCATGGATGGAGCGCACTGGATGCAAAGCCAAAAAGGGTGTGTACAAAGCCTAAATCGCATTGAACAGTGGAGCTTACTCCCAGGTAAATGGACATTGTACTGTACAGTGGTACCTCGGGTTACATACGCTTCACGTTACAGACTCCACTAACCCAGAAATATTACCTCGGATTAAGAACTTTGCTTCAGGATGAGAACAGAAATCGTGCTCTGGCAGTGCGGCAGCAGCAGGAGGCCTCATTAGCTAAAGTGGTACCTCAGGTTAAGAACAGTTTCAGGTTAAGAGCAGACCTCCAGAACGAATTAAGTTCTTAACCTGAGGTACCACTGCATTGCCATTTTAAGTTTCTTTACCCAGTTATCCGAGAGTAAACCTCACTGAACTCAGTGGGACTTCTGAATAGACATATATATCATAGCACTTTAAAGCTATTGGTTTTTTCATGTTGATATTTGTATAGTACAGTGGTACTTCTGGATGCGAATGGGATCCATTCCGGAGCCCTGTTTGCATCCAGAAGTGAATGCAACCTGCATCTGCGGGTCATGATTCGCCGCTTCTGCGCATGACGTCATTTTGACTGTCTGTGCATGTGTGAGTGGCAAAACCTGGAAGTAACGCGCTCTGTTACTTCCGGGTTGCCACGGAGCGCAACTTGAAAATACTTATCCTGAAGCATATTTATCCCGAGGTATGACTGTATTAGTTGATTAATTTATTAAATGGATTGATTAATCATTTAATTGTTTTATCGATCAAACAATTAAATCAACCAAGATTTCTGTAACGGGTTGAAGCCCTAACTGGAAGCCATGCACCTTAAGAGGCAAATCTAAACGTGCCAGGACTTTAGAATATGTTGGGTAATAATATTTTGGATAAAATGTCCCTTTTATGTCTCATAATTAGGGGCTGATAGCGAGACGGAAAAGAAGAACCCAGTCATTATATCTTTGTATCTAATAGGGCAAACATTCTCCTCTGTGTGGAGCTCATAATAAGATAAAGCCCTGGAAACAGCTAGTTGCAGTGCTGTAAAATTGAATTAGGAGGGACTGTGGAGCAGAAGGCTTGTTTACAGCATGCAAAGGATAATATTAAATATCTCTGCGAGGCACTAGATGACCATTTCCTAGGAAAACAGAGCTGTAATGAACAACTATTGTTGAACAGCAGGGCAAACAATCAAACTGAATGTAATTAGCAACTCATATATGTGATATATAGAGCGATACGCAACATCATTCCAGCAGATGCAACAGGACTTTCTATTACTTACCTCCTGCAGCCCCCTAGAACTTTTCCTGTGGATTCTTGGAATATACAGCTGACTGCAACATACTAGATCTTCTGGTTTGACTGTGGCTTCTTAAATGCACTTTGGAGTAAAACATACCATCCTAAACAGGTTCAATTTCCCTATATATACTATTGCAAAAGCCTGTCATTAGGGCTTAATTAGCAAACGTGGAAGTACTGGTGCTAAAGCTGGTCATTTTCTCTTAAACGGAAGCCCTGCTGCATAATCCAATATATGCAAAACCTGGTTGTGGTTATGCAGTGGGGGGACTGGGTCCCCTTTACATGCTCAGGGTTACTCTTTTTGTTATTACTTTTCAAGCTCTAAAGTTGATGCTTGGCACCGAAAATTAGGTTGCTTGGGTGAGCCCTGGCTCACATTAAGCCTTGTCTTTTACCTCTGTGTTCTGCTTGGCCTCATTTAACCTCAGTTCATCAGTGTCAACAGTATTATTAAAGCTCACTGTAGTATTGGTATGGTTTACAGTATGTCTCATCAAATCAAAGAAGGAAAGAGAACCATTTTTGTATTACTGAGATGACTTAGATGTAATTGCTCCAGTCCATCATCCCTAATTGCTGTTGTCAGACGCTACAGAGGAGCACAACAGGGGTAAGGAGGGAGAACTTATGCCTGAAGAAAGGAAAGGATGAAAATGAGATGACGTTCAAAATATCAAGCATGAGCGTGCAAGGAACTCAGGAATAAAGGAGACGCTCTCTCTTTGGGAGTGATTGTGGGGAGTTTCTGCAACATTTTCCAGCAAGTCTTAACCTTACTAAGACATATACACACACAGAGGGAGACTTTTTTTCTTATGACATTCAGTTCAGTTTTATTTATTTGCGCTATTGGACGTGAGCAATAATAAAATAAGATATGGAATTTAATCTAGCATCTACTAAATTCATAAAAACAAACTGGGCAAAATGCCATTATTCATTTTACAAGCAATCAACTCCTATTCGGATACTGTGCAAAAAAAATAAATTATGTGATTTCCTAGAGACCATTAAATTACAGAACACAAAAACCAATCTCAAATTTATTCATTTGCTTAAAACACTGTGTTTATTTAAATTACTGCTGCTATGTGGTTCGCATGAACATATATCTCTCTTTTGCAGCTAATGACACAGTTGGTAGAAAATAAATAAATAAATAAGCAAATGCCAGTAATAATTTAATTTAAAATGCATTCTTGATTTTCCATGGAATTTTATTTTGATTTTTTAATAATAATAATATTTATTTATTTATTTATACCCCACCCATCTGACTGGGGTATAAAACCTACAGATAAGAAAATACATGTCCACCAATACAACAAGATACATAGTCACCTCTCTTTTCTTGTTTTAACGTTCATTTTAATCCCTGGAAAACATATCAAGAAAATTAGGCTTTCCAGATTATCTGTAATTTGCATATAATTTTGAACATAAGTGATATGTGAAGTTTTGAAAGGGCAATTCAAAAATTTATTTCCGCAAAAGTAAAACAATAAAACTTCACAGCTGAAGGACAGGACTACGTTTTTCCTATTCCCTCTGTTTTAAACGAGGCAGACAGTGCTGAAAAGAACTCAACCATTTATTGTAGCTTATTATTATACCTGTTTCACAATTACATTCTCTCTCTCTCTCTCTCTCCCATACCCACACCCACCCCATAGACTCACAGACACACAGAGCTAAACAAATCAGAGCCTGCATCTTTAGAGACTAAATGTCCTCACCCTCTTGAATTTCATCAAGGCTTTCTGAAACAAAGGCTTTAAACAAATGATTTCATCTGCAGGGAGGCTCTTGAGAAGAGGCACCCTTGTGTATGCAATGCTACAACCAGGCTTTGCTATTTGCCCTTGGACATGCATTTTGTTGCTGCTGCAGTGAAGAGTTTTTATGGGAATGGTCAGGACCTTTGCACAAACACACAGAAAACCTTTTAATAAGAATTAATAGAAGCTAACTGTATAATCCTGATTTGCTTGCACAAAGTTTACAGTGATGTTAGATTATATCCGGTCTTTATTGAGCATAAATGTTCTTCTTAATCATTCATTCCAACCCATACTTTTCAATTAATTTCCATGTCATCTTCCAAAATGCAAAAGATCTGGCCTATTAAAGGTGCCTGGTTTATGTGTTTTACTGGTTTTTATGTTATGCCCAGTGTGGCAGAAATAGTCACACTGTCCTAAATCCACCACTGTTGCCGAGTGGAGCAAGCAGGGGAAGAAACCCCTGTCCCCAGTGTAAATATATCTATATTCATATCTATACTTTTAGTACCAAGTACTCACATTCTCCCATTTGAGGTTTCTGGCAATGGCATCTTAACATTTCATTTATCTGCCTTGGTCGTGCTGGTTGATGATATCTCAGCGGCCTTTGATACAATCGACCATAACATCCTTCTGGACTGTCTAGAGGGGCTGGGAGCTGGGGGCACTGTCATACAGTGGTTCCGCTTCTTCCTCCTGGGCTGTGTCCAGAAAGTGGTGGTGGGGGATGAGTGTTCAGACCCCTGGGCCCTCACTTGTGGGGTGCCTCAGGGTTCCATCCTCCCCCCATGCTTTTTAACATCTATATGAAGCCCTGGGAGAGATCATCAGGGGGTTGGACTGGGTGTCCATCAATATGCAGATGATAACCAGCTCTACCTCTTTTAAATCAGAACCAGTGAAGGCGGTGAGGGTCCTGTGCGAGTGCCTGGAGGCAGTTGGAGGATAGATGGTGGCTAATGGATTGTGGTTGAATCCTGACAAGACAGAAGTACTGTTCTTGGGGGACAGGGGGCGGGCTGGTGTGGAGGACTCCCTGGTCCTCAATGGGGTAATTGTGCTCCTGAGGGACGAGGTGTGCAGCCTGGGAGTCATTTTGGACTCACAGCTGTCCATGGAGGCACAGATCAATTCTGTATCCAGGACAGCTGTCTACCAGCTCCATCTGGTATGCAGGCTGAGACCCTACCTGCCCGCAGACTGTCTCGCCAGAGTAGTGCATGCTCTAGTTATCTCCCACTTGGACTACTGCAATGTTCTCTACGTGGGCTACCTTTGAAGGTGACCTTGAAACTACAACAAATCCAGAATGCGGCAGCTAGACTGGTGACTGGGGGCAGCCACCGAGAACAAATAACACCAATCTCGAAAGACCTACATTGGCTCCCAGTACGTTTCTGAGCACAATTCAAAGTGTTGGTGTTGACCTTTAAAGCCCTAAACGGTCTCAGCCCAGTATACCTGAAGGAACGTCTCCACCCCCATCATTCTGCCCGGACGCTGAGGCCCAGCGCCGAGGGCCTTCTGGCGGTTCCCTCACTGCGAGAAGCAAAGCTACAGGGATCCAGGCAGAGGGCTTTCTCGGTAGTGGCGCCCGCCCTGTGGAACACCCTCTCATCAGATGTCAAAGAGATAAACAACTACCTGACATTTAGAAGACATCTGAAGGCAGCCTGTTCAGGGAAGTTTTTAATGTGTGATATTTTAGAGTATTTTTAATCTTTGTTGGAAGCCACCCAGAGTGGCTGGGGAACAAATTAATAATAATAATAATAATAATAATAATAATAAAATAAATAAATAAATAAATAAATTATTATCTTTAATTGTTCTTTTAGTATGCAGTTTTTCCTATGAACATTTGTTTCTATATACTCAGTCGCATGTTTAACTCAACCATGATTATGAAGACCTGAAGCTTTGCCATCAACGCTGCACAAGGATGGGATGCAATGCCTTTTGTGTATTGAAACTGCTATGGAAATTATGACTAATTATTACTATTGAACAAACCTGTGATGTGACTGTGGAAATAGGCAGGCATTTCTAACCTATGTGTTTAAGAAATTCATGTTCCATCACATGTCAGTGTTGTGGAGGCTTCAGCTTGGTAGTGTGTTTGATGCTCAGTCAAGCATGACAGCATCAAGCCATTCGAAATGAACAGCAGAAAAAAACATCATTGAAATCTATATGTGAAGCGACGCTGATTACAGAATGCATCTTTTCTTTAGTTCACGAAGTCAGCATTTGTGGGGGACTCTCATCGCATCTGAAGCTCAACGAAGTACCATAACATTCTAGTTTTCTGAATCTCAGTTCTGTTAGAATCTCCCAGCTTTAACCTATGAAGAATTATCAGGTTCCCAGCTAGGAGAATAAAAGGAAGAAAACGTGTTGACTTTTGCCTTGGGGTACTGGTTGTGTGTGTACCAATTGACAACTGCTGGGCACTTAAACTTCTGTTCTACAAATCAACGCATCCCGTAACTAGAATTTTAATAACCATAGTCTTCTGGACTAAATATGAAGAAAAATAAAATTACACTTAGCCTTTCATCATCATCATCATCATCATCATCAAAACCAGTGCTATATTATGAAAATCATGGGTCCCGTACAAGGCAGCAGAGAGGGCCCTCATTAATTGGTAAATTTTCAGGGGGCCAATAGTACACTGCTCCAGTGCTATATTATAAAAACCAAGGGCTCCAGGAGAGTGGTTTATTTTTTTAGTCTATTTGGTCTGCAAACAATAAGTAGACAACTACTTCATTTTCGGCCAACTGTTAAGCACATATTTAGACCAGTCAAAGTAGCCTCTGATGTAGTCTGTTGTCATTACCCAATAAAACATTTGCATTTCTATTCTGTCTTTAATAGAAATTAAGCTTTACTGAAAGCCTGAGACTCCACTTTTAATAAAAGTACATGAAGTTTTGAAGGTTTCATTCCCTAATAAGTCTTCTGCCTCTGTTCAACCACCCAGTTGAACACAGTGCCAGTAACTGCACTTTTTGCAACACAACATGTGAGCAAAATATCAACAGGTCAGTACACTGAAGGGCTGAATATAATCCAAGCAGTTTGCCCCACCACTTTGGGGTGGAAAATACTCCAAACCTGCCCACCAAAAGTCAATGCAAAAAGGAGATAACATGGGCTGAAAATGCGTAACACATAACTCCTTATACCTTGCAGCATAAAGTGCCCCAAACTGGCAAAACATATAATAAAAGTAAAATAATCAAAGAAGCCTGAAAGAGAGATGATGAAATCTTGTAAAGTGTAGTATAGTGTAGCAGTCTTTATTTTTCAAATTAAACAACTTGCATACAAATACATCATTGGTACAAGTCTGACATAAAAATGGTTTTGGCAGGCATCTCAGTAAAAAGAGAAGATGCTACTGTGCAATTCGGGTGAGAGCAAGGGGAAGAGAAGATTTGTTGTCGTTCAAGAGGAAATGCTTAGCTTTACAATGCTTTCTAAAACCCTCAGTTTTGCACGTAGACAAAAAGCATTAAAAGAGCTCTGCTAGATCAGGCTAAAGTCCCATCTAGTCCAGCATCCTGTTCTCACAGTCGCCAGAAGCCTATAAGTTGGATGTGTGACATAAAAGGTAAAGGTAAAGGGACCCCTGACCGTTAGGTCCAGTCGTGACTGACTGTGGGGCTGCGGCACTCATCTCGCTTTATTGGCCGAGGGAGCCGGCGTACAGCTTCTGGGTCATGTGGCCAGCATGACTAAGATGCTTCTGGCGAACCAGAGCAGCACACGGAAACGTCGTTTACCTTCCCGACGGAGTGGTACCTATTTATCTACTTACACTTTGACGTGCTTTCGAACTGCTAGGTTGGCAGGAGCAGGGACCGAGCAACAGGAGCTCACCCCGTCGCGGGGATTCGAACTGCCGACCTTCCGATCGGCAAGCCCTAGGCTCTGTGGTTTAGACCACAGCGCCACCCATGTCCCATGTGTGACATAATTAATACTTATTATACAGAGGCATACTGCCTCTAGGAGTGGAAGCATCCTCCTCCATGAATTTGTCTAATCTGCATTTGAAGCCATCTACATGGATAGCCTTCAGTACATCTTGGAGAGAATTCCATAGTTAAAGTACTTCTTCACATAACTCATAGTTATCTTCTCTGCCCTTAAACTTCCAACGGCCTTTGCGATTTGAGTACAACACAAACATGTATAAACAACTAAGCAGGTGAAATCACCAACCTCAATTAAAATTTAAGAACTATACAATTTAAAACTCAATGCATTGTTGTGGCCCTTATTTTAGTTGGGGTTTCTAAAGAATTTTGCAGTTTTTGCTGTCGGGCTTGTTTTGATTTCCAGTGAGAAAAGTCACATAATAATCAGCTGGACACTCTGACTGGGACAATAATAATGGAATGACGAGCAAGACAAAAGCACATCAACCAGTTTCAGCTCTGCTGCCTCCGCATGAAGACTTCTTTAGCTTCATTAGATGGTCCCAAGTTCTAGTATTATGAATAAGGCTTATCCACTTTTCCCATACCACTCAAAGTTATATATGTCTATCATGAGCCCCGCCTTACTCACTTTCTTCCTCCAAAGAGCCCTGAAAGTTCACTTAGTAGATGCTAAAGAAGTCTTTGCCAACCTGGTGTTCTACAAATATTTTAGACTTCAACTCCCATCAGCCCTAGCCAGGGTTTGTAGTCCCAAACATCTGGATTTATAGTCCAAAACACATGGAAGGCTGTGTGAACAGAGATTGAAGATCTGGGCATGCACTCTTGTGAACTTTAATTAATACTTTTTAAATGAAGTAATCCAGCTGTGAATACACGCTTTATAACAATAACATCTGCTTCCTTGTGAAAACACTGAATGACAAATATCTGTGGGTCCTATTTGATGTCACTGTGTCCTGAGATTTTAGCATTTGTGAAACTGACTTATGTGTAATCAATGTAGTCTTGAAATGATTCCTTCTCCTGCCAAACAAATTAGTCAGTCTCTCCACAAAGGAAGTGGTAGTCAAGCAACATGCTTTAGCAGCAGCTTATCCAATATTTACTATACTTCTTATCTGATGAAATAGGCACACTTAAGCTGACCAGAAGAACAGCTTGGTCTGCAGTGGTTTTTTTCTTTTCCTTTTCCCCCTCTTCCCTCTTGATGCAAACTTTTCTGCCTGGAGGACCCACTCCATTAGTACTTTACCACTAAAGCACAGGACATTAATTTCATGCGACATGCTGCTTAAGTGTTCTCATTTCCCATCTGGCTAGAACAATTATTATTCTGACTTGGAAGGCTATGTCTGTGACACATCTTCCTTAACTTGGGAATGCATAGTTCTCTGAGGAGAGCAAATAAGAATGGAGCCCTTTAACCCCAGGGGTGTTATTTTTTTTGGGTGGGAATGAGGAACTGTGTTATATGAGAACAAGCTTTAGCAACACAACTCTCTTGTTACAGTAGTCGCTTTGCAGTTTCAGAACTAATCAGTTTTTACAATTTCTGTTGAAAGGACAATGGGCTAACCTCCTCCTCTTTCCTTCCTTGGAAGAAAGTGCCTCACGTCCCTAAAACCAAAAAGATAACGTGCTTTTGTATTAGTTTCTTTAGCTCAGACATGTTTTCACACACATTATTATTAGAAGCTTTATGAAAGAAGGCACATGAAGGGTATGTAGAAACCATAGCTGATGAGCACTGAGGAGAAACAAACTCAGCCCACTCCAAACCACAACAGTGGAGAGTTGTTATGATGCACCTTTCACAGACCCTTTCACACACTGAAATAAGAGAATTATAGTCCATGGAAGAGGAGAATAATAAGACATGGGGTGCTGGTATTTTGAATCCTTCTAAGGATTTTGATTCCAGCAGCATCACAGAAGGTCATGTTCTTCAAGATATCATCTTTAGACGTCACTCAATGGCTGCTTACTAAAGAGTCTTGCGCTGGAGAACCTTGTGCTTGATCTCGACTCTTCCAGTGGGTTTACTGGACGATAAATATCAATAGCATCGTATCTGCTTCAAGTCTGTGCACTACTTCCAGAGTTTTCAGCCCATATATAGCAATGAACATATAACATGGTGTAGGCTGTAGCAGTCTCTTCCATTCTTGATCAGTCAAAAGCTGATTACAAAAGGGTATAGGCACACAATGATCTGATCTTACATTGTGTTAAGAACACGAAATTGATTTTAATTGTACAGGCTGAATATATAATATTTTGTATTAAATGAATGTGTTCTTGGTCCTTACTGCTGTATCATTGAATTTCATCATTTTTCTCAAGATTGCAAATGAGGATGCTTTCTTCAATGGCTGGAGTGTCAGAGTTCGCTTCTTCTGGACAAGCACTTCTCAGCTGCAGCATCCTTCTACAGAGATGGGTGGGTTTGTTCAAGCACCACCAACATGCAAATATAGCACTGGCAGCTATCACAAATGTCAATAATACCACCAAGACCACAATTCTACGGTACGGTACTGGGAAAGGTGAAGGAGGAGAGGAGAAAACATCAAGTGAAATAACACTACGTTTTGTTTTAGCTTCAATTTCTCTGACTCAGATATAGCAAAGTTATTACAAAACATACCTTTAACGGGCTGTACTGAAATTTCATGATAAGCTGAAAAATAATAACCCAGAATTGAACAGTGTACAAGAGTGGGCTTGCACAATTAACTGCTTAAATAGTTATACACAGAAGATATTAGTCTGTAGTCATCAAGTCAAGTCTCACATTTAATAAATTCATGAAAAAAGAATTTGAGAACCAAGGAACAAATCTGGCCAGGCAATAACATCAATACCTTAACTAAAAATGGTCCAGCTAAAGAACATTTTATCAACAATTAACCATTCATTCTTCTAGCAACAAAAATGCTTTTGATTTTTATTCACCTGTACATACAGGGTTTAACCAACTAGCAATGCAGTCCCAATATTTACTTAGAATAGAAGTACTGTAATCACAACTGATTCAGTGGAAGTAATTGAAAGGGAATCCCACAGGAAAGTGATGAAGTAGTACATTTCTTGCTCACTAACAGGAATCAATTTTCAGTATCCAACCAAGTGACAGAAACCCCCCCCCCCCACTCAAGGTATGTGATGGGTGCAACAAAACTGATGCTGTGGGAAGCCGGGCTGCTGATGTGGCGGCTGTTCTGCCACTCCATAGAGCCCTGCTGACAGGAGGTGGGATTTTTACTGGTGCCAATAATCTGATTAAGCGTAAACTGGAAGGCTAGAATTCGAAGAGGAAACGACAGTGCCCTCAAACATCTCCTTTGGCAACCCCGCCTCCAGCTCTCTCAATTTTGTATTTTGAAATTTTTGTTTAGATCAGAACCTGGCCCCTACTGCCCACTAGTGAGCGTTTCAGGATTCTGGGTGGGCGGTAGGGGGTTCTATGGCACAAGCTGAATCCTCTTTCCATCAAACACTGGTGGGCGGTAAGGAAATTTTACCACCAAGTAAGATGCATTAGTGGGTGGTAGGTATAAAAAGGTTGACTACCCCTGGTTTAGATAGATGTGTTACTTGATTTGTTTGCTTTTTTTGTATGTGTGTACAGTTAGCTTGGCTTGCAGGGGTGGGGGGTGGGGAATGGTCTGAGCATCACCTGTTTTTCTTCTGCAAAATGGGCCTTGACAGCTTTGCAGATTTCAGGTGCATTCCCCCAGGCCCAAGACTGGGGACCCGCATATGTTGTTTTCAATGTGGATTCATACCTGTGCTTCTTTTGCATACAAATCCTTTTTTATCTTGGCAGGTTGATAATTGCCAGACTCCATCTGTGGTCCTTAAGGCAACACAAACATTTCCTGTCAGCTGACCTAGATCAGGTTCTTGGATGCCCCAGTTTGAATACTGAATGGGGGGACCAGTAAACCACGTTATTGTATTGTCTATGGGCAAAAAAATGTGGAAATCATTATACAGCTGTGCAGAGCAGAATGCAATTCTAGTTGTCACCTTCCTTCCCAAATATCTGCTTACATCAGAACTGAATTTTTTGGGGGGTGTTCTAAGAGCATCTATGAGCAGAATACCATATTTCTGTTGCTTCCTGTATAAAAACTAAGCTGTTTTTTTGGGTCTGCAGAGGTGAGGGTAAGTTCCATCTACCTTTAGCCGCCTCCAAGCAAGAATAAGAAGGAGTCCTCCTTGCCATAGAAGTTAAGCTATTTTGGAGGTGTTCATGGAATATTTATGAAAATTCAATTTCTTTGGGGATCTACCCTCATTTTTAAAAATGCAATATGTTGTTTATTTCTTTTTTTAAAAAAATATTGGTTTTTAAGTGTTTGCTGCTCACAGCCTTTGGGATGGAGTGGCTTACAACCCCAAAGAAAATAAAGTTATTTGTTTATTTCATAAACTTCATACATCACTTGATTGTAAAAAAACAAAAAACCTCAAAGCAATTTACAAACGATCAAACAGTAAAACCAAAAAAAGTTCACAACTGTACTTGAAATAATAAACAAAATGAAGTGTTTCCTCTAAGTCCAAATGCATGTTTAATTCAGCTGCAGTGCCATTACTGTGTGTTCTTCCAAAACTATTTTGGAATCATCCCACAAACCTTTAACAAGCCTATAAGAGCAGTTCAGCAGAAAGAAATCTCTAAATAAGATCTGTCAGTGTGCAAAACAGAAATGTTTCTGGGCTCTCTGGTAATGGTACCTATAAGAATTCCAATTCATGTTAGGAACATTTAAGAACTTCGGCATAGGAACACTGACCCCACAAGACCCTTAAAATTGTATGTACTGATTATTACTCTTTCAAATTTATAAATTTTATGACATTGTAACTTCCTCCCAGATTAGTCACGATGGAGTGTCGATTTTAAATAAATAAATAAATAAATAAATAAATAAATAAATGCACAAATATGCCTTGACTTGTATTTCCTTCCCTTTTTAGTACTGGGAAGAAAGGTTGATCAGAATAGCTTATAGCAGGATGTGCTTCCTAGTCACTTCTGGATAAGATGTAATAATAATAACTCTGGGTGGCTTCCAACACATATTAAAACATCAAAGACTTCCCTTCTGATGTCTTCTAAAAGACATCTCCTTGACATCTGATGGGAGGGCGTTCCACAGGGAGAGCGCTACTGCCGAGAAGGCCCTTGGGGCTAGACCTCAGTGCCCAGGCTGAACAATGTGGGTGAAGATGCTCCTTCAGATATGGCAAGAAAAAGCCCAAGATGGAAGGAACAGCATTGACCAAGAGGTGTGGCAGGGTGTGTGTGGGGAAAACCCCTGGAGGAAACAACAACCGGTTTTCCTGCCAGACCATCCGTATTTCAAACACAGAGACATACTTATTAGTAGCTATTCAGACTGAGGAATTAGCCCATTACATAAGAGGAACTGCAACAGAAACAAAGTGATTATGTAGCCAGAATTTGGCAGTGTCTTACCGACTACAGCGTATATGTTTACTAATGAGCCAAGCAACTTGCCCTGTAAAGGCAGCTATACAGAAACGGATGGATGTATCTGATCAATTCCCTTTACTTACTCTCAGTAACAAACTGGATATTCAGCCAAATTGTTTCAACTGAAGGCCCAGAATAATGCAATTCTTCCAGAAGAAAAGCATTTTCATGTTCATCTTCAATAGTTAGAAGATTAGAACCTGAGGATGAAAGCAGAGAGAAAGAGACAGATTCAGATTTACGCATGATTTGCTTAAAAACCAACACTCTCTCACAACGCTATCTGAACTCTACGCATTGCTATCAAATACAATGAGCAGACCATGCCAGTACATTGCCAGTTGCAATAGTTTCTAGTTTGTTTCCAGGCTCAGTTCTTTGAAGTGCTAGTTTTTACTTTTAAAGTTAAGACCAGAGTGCCTAAAGGAATCACATGTGCCTCTTTACCAGATCTTTACCAGAGACCTTCTCCGATTGTCTCCACCAAGTGAAGTACAATGGGAGGTTACTAGTAAGCAGCCCTTCATCCACTGAGGACAGACTCCCTGTGTGATGCTCACCTTATGGAGGTTTGCCTATCTTAATGTCAGTCCAGCAGCAGGCAAATACTTTCTTTTAAAACTTTCCACGTTTTAGCTTCAAATTTATGTTTTGTTTCTGTGTGCGTGCAAGCAAGTTAACACATATTTCTGTTTTATTGTTTTGCTTTTGTATTTCTTGACTACGTAAACTGCCCTGATAAGTCACTGAATGAAAGGGCATTAATACTCAAATATGAACGGCAGTACATAAATACCCCCCCCCCAATAAATCCTCAGCTACCTTCCATGATACTCGGAATCATTACTCAATATCATGGGTGCATCCTTAGATCAAGAAACAATGTCATATTAATTCAAGATATATATTTACAGAGTAGAGATGAGCAAGGCTGCACAATAATCCAAAGAGAAAGTTGCACGGGTCTGTTTCATTGCAATTTTCTCTTGCAGGCATGTGAAATTGTCAGGAATTTCCCCCTCCTTAGTAGCTTTGAGACCTGCGCACCAACAAAAAAGCCTAGCAAAAAAATTCCAGGCTAGGCCTTCTGATGATGTACTCTGGTACGAAGAAAAACAAAATTACATGCACAGCAAGATTACATACTTCCTCATTCCAAAGCAGCACCAATAACCTTTCCATAGCTGTTTCCATAAATACAATGGTTCAGGTGTGCCCAGCTAGGCCAAACTGGAACTGGGGAGATATAGCAGTAGACTATCCCCCCAAATCTCAGAAACAAATCACCTCCAGAAACGGAATAGTTCTGCTTTTGGAGTTTTTGTGTCTATACTAGTCATAACAATACTAACCAGATTTTCCCCGCAGTAAGGGGAAATCTGCAGTAACAAGCAGGGGGTGGGGTGCAGAATTTTGGATGCATTCAACTCAAACATGATGCTGTGGGTGGCTCCCCCCCACCTCAAAAAGAGTGCTGAGACACTGCAAAACCCCATAAATTTGCTGGTATGGTGCCCAATGTGGTGTTGCATGTAAATTGCCTAGTTAATTTTTATTCTTCAAATATTTAGAGTACAATGAATTAATAACATACAGTAATGCGTGAAGTGGCCATGGACTCACTGCTTTGGCAGTACCAGAGATTTATCTAGCTTTTTCTGGACTGCATCGGCTATGCTGAACAACATCAAAACAGATCAATAGTCTTTGAAATAACTTCTCTGAAACTTTGAAAAGAACACTGACGATTAGGCGATGCAAGGCCATAAATCCTCTGCCAATTTTTCCACCAACAGATTACCTTGCTTTTTGCAGAATTCAAATGCTTCATCAAAGTCTGAGTTCTCTAAAACTGTGGAAAAGCTGTAGCAGCTCCTTTCAAATTTTATCCAAGGGACAGGTTTTTCATCACACAGTCCCTTAGATTCAGCTGGCTTCTCCTCTGTGACAGAAGGAATAGTTTAGCCACAACAGAAAGGCAGAATTTGCTCTCCAGAGATCTAAGAAATTCTGCATTTGCCTATTGAGACAAATATATTACATTAGCACCAGTCCTATGTCTGTAGAAGAGTACTTGTGTACCTTATGCCTGGGGGAATGTACATTACCAAAAACTGGAAGGAAATGGGGCAACTCTCTGTTTTTAAGTAATCTTTTGCTTTTTTTAAAGAAACTTCCCCCAAGAACCATGAAGCATGCTGTGGGCTCATGACATAATATTTTCTGCTCCTTCACTGTACTCTCTTATTTTTTTTATCAGCTTAGCCCCAGGCAGCCGAATCATCCCCATCACAAAGAACCAGCTCAACTGAGCAAACTGGTTGCACTTCTCGTCATATTTGGGGAAAGCTGTCTTCTTTCCTTAGGCAGACATGTTATTACAAAGTCTGACTATTTACAACACAGGCGAAATACATCTCAACATGGAACATTTTTTAAAAAGGCCCTTTTCTCATTTTAACTTCCTTAAGATGAAGCTCAGAGGCCAGAATGGGCTCTTTGCTGAGAGGGTTTCAGTGTTTAACGTGAGAGAGAACCAGCTTACGGGGTGGAATATGGCAAACTGCCCCATTCAGAAGTCTCTCACAGTCAGTGCTCCTCCAGCGTCCGTCAATATCAATGTAGACACAGCTTCCAGAGGTCTGTGATTCCTCATCTCTCCAGAAAGTATGCGGAGGCTTGGTACCATCTGACCATTCAAAATTAAGGCCATTCTGACAAAAGAAATGTTTGATTACCTCTGGCAGTTCACAAACTGATTTTTATTTTTTAACTCTTTCTCACAAAATTGCAGCCCATCCTCTCTCAGACAGACGTCTCTCCCAGTCCCAACTAGAGATGCCAGGGATGGAAGAAGAAGAGTTTGGATTTGATATCCCGCTTTATCACTACCTGAAGGAGTCTCAAAGCGGCTAACATTCTCCTTTCCCTTCCTCCCCCACAACAAACACTCTGTGAGGTGAGTGGGGCTGAGAGACTTCAGAGAAGTGGGACTAGCCCAAGGTCACCCAGCAGCTGCATGTGGAGGAACGGAGACACGAACCCGGTTCCCCAGATTACGAGTCTATCGCTCTTAACCACTACACCACACTGACTCTCAGTCTGAGGATTGACCCTTGGACCCTCATGCACTGAACTGCAGCCTCTCCCCCCAGTATTTTTTAAAAAGGTACTTATAGAGGCAAATGGTAATAAAGACACACATAGTTTTATTTACAAACTCACTTAACATGTTCAGCCACTGAAAGGGTAAATTTGAACATACTTGCTAAATCACAGCAAATGAGCAAATATTTTAAATACCTACATCTGAAGTGAATAATCCAATCCAATGGGCGAAGCCCAGTCGATTTACAATTACAGTGAGGAAGGCTTGGTGATAGTGGTCTGAAATGCTGACCAATTCAGCCCCATTTTCCTTGCAGGTTTTTAAAGCCATGTACCAAGTCATATTCCCACGGATTAATGTATATGTCTTGTTTGCATACTCTAAAGTATTTGGTACTGGGTACATCACGGAAGAGTGTATGACATTTCTAGACATATCTGTGACAAGAATAAAATGAAAGATCAAGAGTTACCTGGAACACCGTAGAAAACCTTTTCAGTTTAATGTATGCTATTAAGAAATTTACATTTTCAAACAGGATATAGCCATGTGTGAAAGTAATATAAGCAACAACTAAATTAGTCTATTAAAAGCAGCAAGGAAAAAACCCAAACAAAATAGATATTAGAGGATATTATGGTACATAATACTATTACCAGAACTTGTTTAAAATTCAGCCAATGGAGGAGTAAATAATAAAATCACATTTTTCGTTGGCTCAGTATTTGAAAACCTTGAAAGCACCAATCACTGCACAGACTTGGACCAGAACTGAATAGTAGCATAAAGGAACCAGTTGTGCCTTTTCACTGACACTAGCACTGAGTGCTCACTGGAAGGACAGATCCTTGTAAGCATAATTAAAAGGCATAAGCCCCATACTAGCACATCACAGTTCAAGCTGTAAGTACTTTGAGAATTTAAGTTTATGCTGAATTTTAAAGTACATTACCATAACAAAGAGAGTGAATATGACAATTCTCCAAGCAGTTTCAACTAAGTTGTTGCATGCACAGATTGGGGTCTGCACACACAATGGGACGTCCCCTCTCTTCCCTCTTTGCCCCCTAAATTTGCTCTGGAAGGTTGGAGGAACCCCCAGAACAGGTGTGGGGGGAGCGTGGTAGGAAGGAGAAGGGGGTAAGGTCCCACTGCATGCGTAGACTGCATTCCCATGTGCATAAGCCCCACCATGTTGAATCCTATCCAATGGAAATAGATTCTGAGCAGGACTTAGTTGAATGGAACATTATGAATCACTCTTGCTTATGGAGTGCTACTACTAGTATCCAAATACAGTGGTACCTCGGTTTTCGAATGTCTCCGTTGACGAACGTTTTGGTTTTCGAACGCCGTAAACTTGGAAGTAAATGCTTTGGTTTTCGAACACGCCTTGGAAGTAGAACATGCCATGCAGCTTCCGTATTGAGTTTTCGGTTTTCAAACGTTTTGGAACTCAAACAGTCTTCTGGAATGGATTATGTTCGAAAACCAAGGTACCACTGTAAGGACAAGAGTTCTCCTTTGGTCTAGGGTGACATCTGCTACTAGTAAAAAATAAAATAAAATCATATGATGAAGCTTGAAGCAGTCTTGGGAAATGGGAAGAGTGAAAAGCTCAACCACTAATCTTAGCCAGTAGGACTGTAACATGCCCAAACATTCACTAGACAGAAAACATTTCATGTTTCATTTCCAAAGAAGAGAGCAGAGATACAAATGTACCATTGCAGCTGGATGATCAGAGGCCATTTTTGTCTCATAATACTGTTGTGTCTACTATTTCTTAAATTGCTTACTAAAATTAACTCAGAGCAATTTATGACTCATATGGTATCTTAAAATATCATTTGCTTGTATTTTCTTTAAGGTAACTCACTGGGGATTGACAGAACTGGGAGAAAAAAGGCACAGAAAGGAAAATGAAGAGGTTCTGTTTTTTGGCAGACCTTTAAAACCCCACTATGCCATTTGTTTAAAACCAAACCCTGTACATTCTCTCTTGATTGTAAGATAAAGCACTGGCGGAGGAAGAGGCGTGGGGGGAGCACACCACCCCTGGCAGCGTGATCCTGGCAGGGTGCCATCGCGGCTGCCCCCCTCCCGCACTGGGCGCCATGCCCCTATGGGCGGCACACCATGCTCCCAGGATGCATGCCACGCCCCTACGGGCAGCGCGCCACGCCCCCGGGACGTGCGCCAGCCCTGACCCCGCCTGCTCTCCACCCCTGCCCCTGGTACCGGAGCATGAAGCTCCGCCACTGAGATAAAGATCAGTCCCATGCCAAAAACTGCACCCCCTGAAAAGTAGCTCCACTCCAGAAGTCAACAGAGCCAAGAGAGATGTGTGGAAAGAGCAGCACCAACTAGCAGTTTATACTTTGCAGAATGGGGAGGGTGCTGGCCCATTCTCTTCCCGCTTCTCATCCTTCTAAAATCCAATTACTAATTGTAGCAGTAAGCACTGATGGGAGGGAAAATGCATTCCGTGTTCTGCACAATGCCAGGAACACTGTTGGAGCAAAATAATGTTAAATGTTAAATAGTAAGCTAAATCCCATACTATGACTATTATACCTCCTGAAGTGCTAATATGTCTTGGAAATTTTCTCACACATAAAAGGAACAGAACATACATGCTTACAAAAAGAAATGTTACATGATTTATGTTACTTTTTTTTTTTTTTTGCCTCTGAGGGCCACATGTGAAGCAATGGGTGTGTGCTCAGGACCTGTGCCCCTCCACAAACACAAACACACCCTCGCTCAACAGATGTGCATATACTCATTCAACATACACAATAGTTTTTCAATCCTTTATCTACTTATCTGGGAGTAACCCCTGTAAATTCAGTAAGACTTAATTTGGAGTAGACATATATAAGTGCCTTTTTAGGGGTGGTTAAGTAGGAAAAAAATATTTTTTTACCTTGAGCCTTTTGGCAGATAAACCCATTACTTTTTCCACAGTTTTCTAGGTGCCATTTTCCCATTAAACTGAAGCTAGGTTTATTTAATATGGAAGCACATAGCGGAGCTTTTTCTTGGATTTCAGTAGTGTGATCATGGTGATTCTGTAAACAATATGTTATGATGGAAATCACTGTGAGAACAATACACACACATATACATACACACACACACACACACACACACACACATACGGACACACACACACATATATATGTGACATATTAACAAAATGATCATCAGAAAAAATAGAGAAGATTACTCAGTATACAGTAATGAAAAGACCCTGAACCTTTTATGAAAGAGCAATAGATTTCTCAGTACTTAAAAAATAAAAAGTTTGACCAACAAACTTTTGCAAAGTTGGTTGCATCATAGGCAGCTAAAAGATATCTTCAAAGAGGACAATAAGAAAGGCTTTCTATACACGGTTTCTAAATTCCAAAAGGAAGCAATAGAGGAGAACTCAAAATTACTAAAAAAGATGTACAGTATCCTCTTGGAATGGGAAACGAAAGATGAGGAAGTAAAATGAGTTATGATCAAATGGACGCAAGATATAGGCCACAATATACAATTCGAAGATTGGATAAAACTTTGGAAAGTAAATTTGAAGTTTACAGACTGTATATTGTTAAAAGAAAATTATATGAAGATGATGTATAGATGGTACATATCACTGGTGAAATTGGCCAAAATATATAAAAATGAACAGAGGTATAAAGAGGTTGAAGGGACCTTTTACCATATGTGGTGGGATTGTAAAAGTGTTAAGGTATATTGGGAAATGATATATAATGAATTTTAAAAAATGTTTAAAATAACATTTGTTAAGCTGCCAGAAGCCTTCCTGTTGGGTATTTTAGGACAAGGTCTACCGAAAGAGAAAAGGACACTATTTATGTATGCTATGATAGCGGCAAGAATATTGATAGCACAGAACTGGAAGACTGGAGAAATTCCAACAAAAGAACAATGGCAAGAAAAACTGATGAATTATGCGGAGTTGGTGAAGCTGACAGACAGACTTCGGGAAAAGGACAATAGGGATTTTGAAAAAGAGTGGGAACCTTTTATATTAAATTTGCAGAAACAAAGAAAGAATATTGACCTGACGGCAGGATTTACAACTTTATGGATAGGGAACGCCCTCCCATCAGATGTCAACGAAATAAACAATGATCTGACTTTTAGAAGACATCTGAAGGCAGCCCTGTTTAGGGAAGTTTCATCTTTTATTGTGCTTTTAATATTCTGTTGGAAGCCTCCCAGAGTGACTGGGGAAACCCAGCCAGATGGGCAGGGTATAAGTAATAAATTATTATTATCATTATGACAATGTTTATTAGAAAGGACTGAAAAGGAGGATACAAGAAAAAGCCAATGTCAAAAAACGCACAAACAAAAACTCCACACAAAGCTACTTTTAACACTTGCCTGAACTGCTTCTGCTGGATACCAGTTGGAATATTCCACCTCTTTCCCATTGGCCCATCTTTCGTAATCAGTACTCTGCAGACCAATCCAGATATTTGATTTATGCCCAAACAGATTCATTGTTATGAAAGCTAGACAAGGAAATCACAGTTAGAAATGAATCACCTGTAGGTATAAATCAAGCAATTGAAGATGACAGACTTTTTTTAACTCATTAAGAACAGATGCAAAACAATTAAGTTAGTCTCTACTTAGTGGCACTTTACAGAGGCTGAAGTCACATGGAAGTGAAAAAACTACTGATTAAGCCAGTGGGAAATGACCTGATGTAATGCTGTTTTCTTTCCCCACCTACTCTGTGGTGTATTTTGTCTCTTGTGCGTGCCACAACAGAGGCTAACACAACTTGATCTATGCCTATTCACTCAAAAATAAGTCCTGGTGAATTAATTGAGCTTTAATTCCAGGTAACTGTTCCCACAATTGTGACCACCCACTTGAAGCTTTATTTGGAAGGGAAATGAAGAAGTGGCTACAGCATTCTTCACCGCAGGCTAGGCCTCAGTTGTTCCACTTTCTTTCCAAAAAGTTCATCTGCTCTGGCGGAAGCCAGAACTATAAATGCAGTCAAAACAATAGAACAAGAAATGAGGGCCCAATACGCGACAGACACAGACAACAGCAGCTTCTTCTCCTTTTTCCTCCCAGAGAAAGTGTGAAATGGCAAAAAGGTTGTCATGCCAGGCACAGTTACATGGGAGTAACTCAGGCTTACTTTCAAGTAACCTCCCTTTATAGCTCTCTGTACCTCTGTCTCCTTCGTACTGTCAGTTTCCAATTTCCAAGTTTATTTGCAAAGGCTGAATGCAGTAGAATACTTTACCAATGCAAACACAGTACAAGACTGGGTGATAGTTATAGTGTTTAGATCTGGCACCTTACCCTAGCAAGCACTGGCACTGGTTAGTTATCAGTGTTTTGAAACGGGACTTTTTTACCCGGTGCTATTTTTGCTCTTTTCAATATCAGGTTAGAACCCACCTCCTGTGAACAGAAGGCAGGTCTAAGGCCATTTCCTGTGTAAGGCAGGAATCCTTGATCCTCAAGTAATCAACCTTTAATTCTGGAGGAGGTTATGAGGGCAGCAACAAGTGACATCCTCTTAAGGCCATGTTTTAGGCATCTGAAGATGTCTGAGATGGAGGACAGCCCATTTGCCCACATGGATGAAGTGCACAAGGCCATACAAAATCTATGCAGTGGCCTGTTTCACTTCTTTTAGTATGAGAGGTGACAGCAAGTCATCAGAACCCATGGACAGGATAACTTTAGCTACAGGACATGTTTTTAGGGAAGTCATACGGTCTTTGGAGAATATATGGGACAGATTTCAATCAAATCAGAAGAGGCTGGTATGCTTTCCTCTAAAACACTTCTGAGAGCTACGTAAATCTATTTCTTAATGACATATTTATTCTCTTGGCCCCTGGCTGATCCCAGGTAGAGAGAGTGAAGCGTCTGCCAGTCTGTGCAGTGTTAGGTAAGTACATTTTCAGGCACTACCTTAAGCCACATACTCCCAAACCTTCCCTTCCTATCTGGCTTAAAGGGAGGAAGTGCTGAAGCCGTTGGGTGTCTGCAGATTGTCGTTCTGATATTGTTTTGACATTGCATTTTGATTTTTGCAGTTCTTAAAGAGCTCAGCAGAAATCTTGTTTTGCTGTCTGAGGCAGGAAGACAAATAGACATCAAGTGTGTGTGTGTGTGTGTGTGTGTGTGTGTGTGTCCGTCCCAAATGCCAGAAAACAGTTTTAGTCCTGCTTTCTTTTCCCAAGAGATGGGACCTTTCCCAGAATGGAATGACTTCCAACTTATGGAATGAGAATATACATCTTTTTTGACATCATTACTCCCACCCTCCCCCCGGAAAATACATTTATCCTCTTTTAACTACAGACTTCAAAGAACAGCTGGAAGAGAAGATCTGTAATGGTAACTAAACGATGTGCAGTTGTATTTTGCAGCCATAGTAGAAAACAACAAATATTTGAATATAGCACAGAAAACTCACTCAGGTCATATTTTTAGTGTTGAAGGAATTGCATTTGGATCCTCTCAGTACCAATACTTAAGAATAGCTACTGAAGCTGTTACAACTCACTTGTGGTTTTATTTAAGGTGCACAGGTTATCTGTTGGTTAGGCCAACATAAAACAAACATAAACATAAAACAAACATAAAACAAACATAAAACATAAAACAAACAAACAAAAAATTTTTATAGTGCCGTTATGAAATGGTTCACTATTATACCTTGTTCAACTTCATTTTCAATTGAAGCAAGCGATCCATCATAGTGACTGCAGAAAGCTTGTGCAGAATTCCAGCTCTTCAGGAGGCCTGGGTCCTTTGGAATCTGCACCAGAAAGCACTGCTCAAAAAAGGAAAGTTATTTAAATGGAGCAGTAACTGTTAATGGAGGGGAAGGGTATATTTTGACCTACCTAGACCTTACTCTCTAGGGCAACCCATACATAATAATAGCCAACAACTCAGTGCTGTGGAAATAGTGGGTAGAAAGAGGGATCACACAACTCCCAACACAGAACAGCACATTTTAAAACTTGGCTACATTCCAGAAGGCGTTTAAGGTCCCCTCTGCCCTTGGTAGGAACTTGGCAATTTCCACAACACAGTAGAAGGGGAAGATTTGGATCAGATGCACTAAGTGCAGGGATACACCAGACCTATTACTCATGGCACGTTCCTTGGCACTCTGCAGAAAACTTAACAAATGCTTCTGTTCCTTAGTATGTAATGCACTAAGCCCAGTCGTGAACTCAACCAGACAAAACTGGAACACATAACTGGAGATTTGCCTAGCAACAGCACAATGGACAAAAAGCTTTGTGCAGCGTTAAGGCAGCCACCTGCAATATTAGACTGAGACTAATTCAACAACAACCACAACAAAACCCCTGCATCGAGCCTACTGGACACCAGCACGCTTTCAACGCCTGGGCATTTTGCCCACAGACAAATGCTTCTCTGGCAGCCAAACAAAAAATTCATCATCACTGGAAATCCTGAGTCACACCAGGCATGGATGGTTGGATGCAGGATTTTTTTTTATAATTAGCAGCTCATGAGAAAATCTTGTTTTGCAAACAACATAAAAACTCATTCTTTCAAGTGATTTGGAGTGACTTTCTGCAGCTCTTCACCAAGTAGCTCACATCTTGCCACAAAAAGTGGGAGGCTTAGTGTAGAAACAGCAGCCTCACCAATCTGCCATCTGCTTCACTGATAATGCAACAAAAGGTTGTTGCGTATTGATTTTGATCTTTATTTAATTCACTGCCCAGAACACATTTAACCACGACACGACTGAAGAGATTAAGGAGTCAAATGGAGGGTGGGGAGGGAAAGACCAAACTATGCTATTGGAAAAGTGGGGGAACCCTAATAAACTGTCCATTAACCCCCACCCCCAAAAGAAAACTTGCACCATTAAAGACAAAGACAGATCACATGTGTTTTGGCCCTGAATAACCCATATAGGATTTGAGTTGCATGGCCTAGACAAGAGGAAGTTTGGAAAGAATGAAGAAGTAAGTTGAAGAAAGGAAAATGAACAGGAGTGGCTGACGTATGTGTGTGTGTGTGTGCACGCGCGCGCGCAGAGACCACCCTTCCAAATGTGGTGCTGTTCCACTTACCAGGATGGGGCAAGATTTAGGGCTAAGCAGGCACACTGGCAGGTGCCCCACAATGCTGGCCACTTCTGAAAACAAGTATATACTCTTGAGCGTATTAAGGTGAGGAGGAAATACAAAAGAAATCCCAGATTAGGAAAATAGATGAATAAGGAAGAATTAAGTGTACTTGGAAACAGAAGGCCACAAGGGAGAGAAATTTGACAGGGGAAAAAAGTGAAGTGATGAGCAACAATGGCTAGCGAGGCAGCTTGCCAAGGGAAACTGCTGACGGTGACTGTGTGAAGATTAGGTCAAGACAAAGGAGAATTAAAGTATGTGTCTGTGTGGAAATTCCCACTATTACTTTTGGGTGCTGGGAGGAAGTGTTAGAGGCAGGAGAAATCTCAGCCAAAAAACCCCCAGCCAAGTGCATAGTTGCAGCCTGAATGGTTGCTCCAGGTATGAGCTGCTGGTTTTCCATGGTTCTACCTGAGGTAACTCACCAAGGGCACATAAAAACAGCCTTTCTGGATCAGGCCAAAGGCCTATCTAGTCTAGCATTCTGTTCTCACAATGGCCAATCAGATGTTCTATGGGAAGCCCATAAACAGAACCTGAGTTTAACAGTGATTCTACAGCTGGGTTTACAGCACCCTTCCATTTTGGAAATGCATGTCTTTTTGCTATGGAGGCTGCGCAGATTCACAGGCACAGTGTAAATCCAATTTCCAGCTTCTGCTGAATTAACTAGGTAGTTTCGCACTACTATGTTGACAGGGGTGCCTGCCACCTTCAGGAAGGTGGTCATTATTAGCTATAGCTGTAACGTATGATATCAAGGCCTCCCAGTTGTTTCATGTGCTCTCAACATTTGTCTTCCATCTGACGAAATCGTCAGATTTCCCATTAAATCAGTAGTCACCAATCTTTAGGGACAAACTGTTGAAACTGTACTTCTATTGGCTGCAAAAGAATCCTTATTTCAAGCCTAATTTCAATGGGGAAGGGGAGGGAGAACTTGTGGGTATCAGGCAAAGAACGTATGCTTCTGCGGCTGACAAGTTGGTGAATTCTGCTATAAATCAATGGGAACAAATTATATATGAAAAACTTTCCTCTTAAACACTAGCAGCATCCAAATGCGCATTTATTTTTAAAAGTGTATGTTAATATGCTCTGGTTTTTGTTGGTTCAAACAAAGCAAGAAAGTACCTTGAATGCAAAATAAAGCCATCCTTTGGGGCAGACTCCTTGATTAGGCTGCTCTTTGGGTATTTCTCTCTCAATAGTCCATATCTTTTTACGTTTGCAGATACAAGGTAGAGAATTGGTACAGCTTGCAAATCCCCACAACCCTGAGATAAAAAAAATAAAATCAGAATACTTATTAATACTAAACTTACTATGTAAATACAGATATAAAAACACTGGCTATAAATTTGTTTTATACGTTGTGATTTATGGGCAATGGTTATTGAGACTTATGTCCCTTCCAGAAGAACACTTATTTAATCCCAACTTATTTAATTAAACTATATTGCCATAAACAGCTGCTGATGCAACACTAAAAACACATGAATAATACTTATGTACTTCTGTTTTTGTTGAAAACTCAGTGTAAGAAACACAACAGGCTTGACTTTGTTCCAGAATCCTCTTTCTTGCATCTAGTAATTACAAGGACAAAAAATGTAACATCTCCATGTGTGAAGCCTTGATTTTCACAAATGAAGCAACTTTGCTCTAAGCTCAATAATGTGGGAGCAAAAACTGGAAAAGGCCATTTCACAGTGCTCAAAACTTTCTCCAATATTAGGGCTTGTGGTTCTTTTTCAAGGTATAGTGTGGACCTACAACAATCATTGCTGGAATGATAGAAGCTGCCATATGGTTTGTGGGGATGTTTCCTGAGCTCCCCAAGATTAGACTGTAAACTTTCTATTGTAGAAATAGTGATTTATTGTAGCAATAGTGTAATGCCATAGGTAAAACTGTAGAAGGGCAATTGGTGGCCATGGCAGAAGGAAGCACTTGGATCACGTCATTTGGGTTGTACTCTTAAGGCTGTGATCCTATGTGCATTTTCTTGAGCCTGAGGGCTCATCCACACTTCTGCTTGAACCATGCCTAGACAGCATGGGTCCGAGTGGTTTTCTCCTTGCCCCACTCCTTTCCAAGGGAAAGGAACAAACAGATAGGAACAAATGGCAATCCAGGAAAAACCCAAATTGCTGTTTGTTCTGAATGAGCAGTAAAGAGCAGCTTCCACCAGGGAAACGAAGTGATACAAGAGCAAGTGTGGATAAGTCCTATTGATCACAGAAAGAGGCACTGTGGCAGCACTTACTATTATTCACATAAGTACCGTGCTAAGTAACTTTTGCTAATAGGGTGTTTCATCTGTTAGCAAAATGCCAATGTTTTGCTTGCTTGCTCACTTAAATTGGGCTGCAGAGCAACTGATTCCATACAGGAAACGATTAAAAGAACAGGTATACAAAGAGAAAAGGGAGAAACAAAACAAAAGCATATGGCTCCTCGAGGATTTGCAGTCTGGATGACAAACACAGCACCTGTGGCCAGAAATATATCCTCAAGAAGCTCTGGCCAGAAAAACAGATTTTTATATATATTTTTTGTTATGAAATGCATATGCATAATTTATCATGGAGGAAAAACCTGGCAGAAATGATATAAATATCTACTGTGTTATCTGAGAATATATTGGGCTGGATCCAACCTAAATTAGACTGTATTCCTATTCCCCTGCAATAAGTTATGTAACAGAAATAGCTTCCTAAATATTTCATTTGCAGGAAACAGGAGGCAAGTCCTAGTGTTTTCAACGAGACTTGCTTCAAAACAATGTGTTTTAGGATTTGTTTTGGGATACCAGTGATCAAAAGATAATACACACCCCATTTTTCTTTGCAAGTTACTTTGAAATGTGTGTTGTATAAAAGAGGAAGAACACCTTAGTTCTTTTTTCTCTAATCACATATGACTCAGTTTGGTTTTGTATGTTGTTCAGTAGCTTAGCCTTGAACTCCCAACCCAGCTTAAGTCATGTGTTGTTGCACATGACTGGTTGCACTAAAACGTAGATGAGAATTCACACCTAGTATAAAGTAATACACAACATCAGAATTTGCATATGCACCTAATTTATGCATTATTGAACAAATAGTTGATTTGCATACAGAAGCCTGCTTCCACGAGCAAATCTCCTTCAGTGCAATCTCATTTCAATGACTCACTAATGACTAGAAGCCTAAAACTTAAGTCATGCTGTCAACATTTAAAGGCCAAGCATGGGGCATACCGACCCCTATGCCTGGGACATGAGAAACAGCAATACGTTGTTCAAATTATCGTCACCAGCTTTAACAGGAACAGATATTTTGGAACAGAATGAAAGCTACTTCAAAGAAAAGTTTCATTAAATATTAGAAATACACAAAATACAATCAATCCATCTCCTTTATTGACATAGGGTAAAGTGCATCGTATACATGGATCAGAACACAACACAGTTAACGAAACATAGTAGGAGATACTTTAGGATAAAACTGTCCAGACATCGTGATGTACAAAAATGACTCTTAGGACCTAAGGTGATGTAATTTCATAGCGTCACTCGAAAATCTTGGCACATTCTCCACAATGTCATTACTACAATTGTTAAGCAGATAAGACACCCTGGGAGAGTCTGTGCGATAAATCACCTCCTTCAATAAGGAGGTCAAATACTTATCATATATTTTTGTATAAAATGGGCAATAAAATAAAATGTGTGTGATGGATTCAACCTGTTTTGTGCCACAAGGGCAGTATCTTTCAGCGTATGGGATTTTCGAGAATCTACCTTGCAAAACTGCAGATGGTAAGACGTTAAATCTTGCGAGGGAAAGAGCTCTGCATAGTTGGGGATCGTAAAGCTGGTATAAATATGGAGTGTCTTGGCCAAATGAGGGTGGAATTCCCAACCTCAATGGGGAACAGGTTTTGTTGGCTGCACTGCAAAGGGTTTGGAATTCAATCTCTAGGATTCTGCACTTGATTGTCCAGAGTGCTTCCAACTGTGGGAGTATAAGCAGCGACTCAAGTGATAGGCCACAGGTTCTGATTTTGCTCTAAATGCAAGCTAGCCATTTGGAGCGGTGGGATTCTGCCAGCATGAGGAAAGTTAAAGAAGGCAGATTGAACATGAAATGTAGGCGGAGCCAGAATTTTATAGCAGTGAGTTACTATAAATATATACTGTACCTGTTTGGGAAGAAATAAAACCACATTTCTCTCCTTCCGCATTCATAGGTCTTTCTTCACCTCCTTCCCAGTTTTGGTATAATAATGGTGAGCCGTCTGCCCATCTGTGTAGACATTTTAAGTATTTAGTTCTTTCACTGCAAATGACTGTCAAAAAACCCTTTATTCTAAACCTAGGGCATGGGCAGTCTGAAGGCAAGTTGAATCAATCTTGAGAAGCTAAGCGTATCTGCATCTTGCTAGTACTGGATGGGAAACCACCCTGGAATTCCACTGAAGAAAGGGGAGAAATGACTGGAAAATATAATGCATTTTCTAGAACAATGATTTTGAATTCATTGATTTGCTTATCAATTAGTGGATTAAGATGTAATTAAATATATCATTTTTTAAAAAAAAAATCCATGACTGAATGATTATTCAATACAAGTGTAAAAATGAGGGACGGGACCAGAGGAATCCAACTCTATAATAGTCAAAGAAGCTGCAACACTTGAAGATAATAGATTACCAGCATATTCTACAGTACCAATATCCCCCCCCCCGAATCTGTAACAAAGATCTAATCTAAAACAGGAGTTCTGTAAATTCAAAATAGAACAGATGACAGAAAAAGAATCCTTTCACCAGAAGCCAACTATAAGAAGACAGAAATAATTTGTTTAGGCTTTTTTTTGTGGGGGGTAGGTTTCCTTCCCACCTCCCTCAAGAAGTCATACAAAAAAACCGTATTACACTTATATTTATAATCCAGAAGATATTATTGTAAGGGAAATGTCTTGAAGTCCAGATCTCTCTCCCTTGGTGTCAAATCTAAGCATATTTTGTAAGATTGGACATAATAATTCAGTCTTACCGAAATCCTTCAGTAGCTATTTCTGAATGTAATGCAATCCACCAATCATTATTCATTTTTGATACCTGTAAAAAAAAAATTTAAAACAATTTTTAAAAAAAACAAATGTTAGATGAATTTCTTGCTTGCTGGTATACAGATTTATCCAACTCCGTCTTGCGTTATTTATGTTATACCAGTCCATTAAAATGAAAATATGGGAAACATTAAAATGAACGGCAGAAATCATGTATCAGCTCCAACTACTGCACAGTTGCACTCATTTCACATGCTAGCAAGGTTATGCTTAAAATTCTACAAGGCAGGCTTAAGTAGTATGTGGACCGAGAACTCCCAGAAGTGCAAGCTGGATTTCGATGGGGCAGAGGAACCAGAGACCAAATTGCAAACATGTGCTGGATTATGGAGAAAGCTAGAGAGTTCCAGAAAAACATCTACTTCTGCTTCATTGACTATGTAAAAGCCTTTGACTGTGTCGACCACAGCAAACTATGGCAAATTCTTAAAGAAATGGGAGTGCCTGATCACCTCATCTGTCTCCTCAGAAATCTCTGTGTTAGAACTGGATATGGAACAACTGATTGGTTCAAAATTGGGAAACGAGTACGACATGGCTGTATATTGTCTCCCTGTTTATTTAACTTATATGCAGAATTCATCATGCGAAAGGCTGGGCTGGATGAATCCCAAGCTGGAATTAAGATTTCCGAAAGAAATATCAACAACCTCAGATATGCAGATGACACAACCTTGATGGCAGAAAGTGAGGAGGAATTAAAGAATCTTTTAATGAGGGTGAAAGAGGAGAGCGCAAAATATGGTCTGAAGCTCATCATCAAAAAAACTAATATCACGGCCACTGGTCCCATCACCTCCTGGCAAATAGAAGGGGAAGAAATGGAGGCAGTGAGAGATTTTACTTTCTTGGGCTCCATAATCACTGCAGATGGTGACAACAGTCACGAAATTAAAAGACACCTGCTTCTTGGGAGAAAAGCAATGACAAACCCAAACAGCATCTTAAAAAGCAGAGACATCACCTTGCCAACAAAGGTCCGTATAGTTAAAGCTATGGTTTTCCCAGTAGTGATGTATGGAAGTGAGAGCTGGACCATAAAGAAGGCTGATCGCTGAAGAATTGATGCTTTTGAATTATGGTGCTGGAGGAGACTCTTGATAGTCCCATGGACTGCAAGAAGATCAAACCTAGCCATTCTTCAGGAAATCAGCCCTGAGTGCTCACTGGAAGGACAGATCCTGAAGTTGAGGCTCCAATACTTTGGCCACCTCATGAGAAGAGAAGACTCCTTGGAAAAGACCCTGATGTTGGGAAAGATTGAGGGCACAAGAAGAAGGGGACGACAGAGGACGAGATGGTTGGACAGTGTTCTTGAAGCTACGAACATGACTTTGACCAAGCTGCGGGAAGCAGTGGAAGACAGGAGTGCCTGGTGTGCTCTGGTCCATGGGGTCATGAAGAGTTGGACACGACTAAACGACTAAACAACAATAACAACAGCACCACCTCACAATCGCTTCTGGCTGGACTTAACCATCCAGGGACCCTTTACCTTTTACCTTTACATAGCGGTAGTTAAGAACCTTTGGCCTGTGGGCCAAGTTAGGCTTCTCAGTCTTCCCATTTGATACAGCCCAGCCACACCACCTACCAGCCATTTGTCAAGAGAAGATACACAACAACAGCATTACAGATGTCTTTTTCAGAGAGCACCTACACCATTAACCTGCCTCAGAAACTGCATTTCACCAATTTGGAGTCACTATATATTTACATTTGTCACGATTATGTAGAGATGGCTACTATAAGAGTTGAACTATAAATGTCTTTCAAATATTTTAAAGTGTCTAATCCCCAGGTTGTTGTTTTTTTGTAAGACGGAGGAGGCAGGGATAAATTCTGTTCTCTGAAAATGTAGAAAAATAACTGGTTATGTTACCTTTTTTATTCTGCTGTGGATAAATTCCTGTTCGTTGGAAGAATGTATTGTTGCTATATTACCGCGGAGCCAGCCACAAACAAACTGAAAAGTGGACCAGTCTGAGGCGCTGTCATAAAAAAGGTATTCTGCTCCTTGATAATAAAACCACGATGGCTCTAAAAAATCAAGTTAAATATTATCTATTTGAATATGTACGTGAGGTAATTTTATAGTTAATTCAGTTTTATTGCTGTGGAGCTGATGTTCCACAAAAGGAGCAAAATCCTTCTAGATCAGAACTTGCAGCATGTTTGGATAAAGATGCACCCCTAGTGGTAAGATGTTGCTAAAACTGTTTAATTTGGGAGATGCTGCTGCAAGTACATTTTCAGATTACATACAAGACTTGTTTTTGTTTTGTTTTTTGAAGACATTTTGGTAATCCAAGTAAAATTTAAGTTAATACAGTGGTGCCTCGCAAGACGAAATTAATCCGTTCCGCGAGAGTCTTCGTCTAGCGGTTTTTTCGTCTTGCGAAGCAACCCTATTAGCGGCTTAACGGATTAGCGCTATTAGCGGTTTAGCGGCTATTAAAGGCTTAAAGGCTTAGCGGATTAGCTGCTAAAAGGCTATTAAAGGCTATTAAAGGCTTAGCAGATTAGATAAAGGGGGGGAAAAGCGAAAAAAAAATCTCTAGACTCGCAAGACATTTTCGTCTTGCGAAGCAAGCCCATAGGGAAATTCGTCCTGCGAAGCAACTCAAAAACGGAAAACCCTTTCGTCTAGCGGGTTTTCCGTCTTGCGAGGCATTCGTCTTGCGGGGCACCACTGTACAACTGACTGATTTTATTCATGTCTTTAAGGAAACACAGAGAAACCTTTTAAAAATTATGTTCATTAATATGTATACAGTATTTCATAAAATGATACTGTTGCAGCATTTGTGAAATAAAACAAACAAACAAACCCTCCCCTCCCCACCTCATACCATGTATATACCACTGCGGAATCCTTGGTTTCACACCTGTAACAGAAACAATGAACAATTTGTGCCACTCATGCAATGGGCTTTCACCGAAATTATTTAACTATAACCCCTCCCTTTCTTAAGTATCTTTTGCTAGGATTTCATTAGCAAATTCTCATCAACAAAGAAAACTTCCAAACTAATGAACAATACAAGCAAGCTAAATATACTGCCTTGTAATCTTCAAATCCTGGTAACTGTGATTATGTTCTGCTGGTGCTATGAGTGAGGATGCATCCTGCCTTAGGACAAGATTAAGGTAAAGGGGAAAAGGTAAAGGATTCCTGGATGGTTAAATCCAGTCGAAGATGGTTATGGGATTGCGGCGCTCATCTCGCTTTTCAGGCCGAGGGAGCCGGCGTTTGTCCACAGACAGCTTTCTGGGTCATGTCCCCAGCAGGACTAAACCGCTTCTGGCGCAACGGAACACCGTGAGCCAGAGCGCACAGAAACGCCGTTTACTTTCCTGCTGCAGCAGTACCTATTTATCTACTCACACTGGCCTGCTTTCAAACTGCTAGGGTGGCAGAAGCTGGGACCAGCAACAGGAGCTCACCCCATCACGCAGATTCGAACTGCTGACCTTCAGATCGGCAAGCCCAAGAGGCTCAGCGCCACCCGCATCCCTTAGCTCATCTAGCCCAGTATTCTATACTCTGACAAGCAATGTCTTTCCAGGATCTCAGGCATGTCTTTTCTTATACCTTGCTACCTCACCCTTTTGTATCTAGAGATTCTGGGGACTGAACCCAGGTCCTTCTGCCGGTAGGAACTGGCGAGGCAGGTCTGTTCACCTGCGCTCCTGGTGTCACACTCTGGATTGGATCCCCACTGACTTGCCGCCCATAGTGCATGACACTGGGAAGCCAGGGGAGCAGCTCAAATGTATTCCGCTTGCAAGGTATGCACTCTATACTGAGCCATCACCCCTCTTCTTTATAAAATAGTCATAGCCACATATAGTGAAATATAATTATTAAGCTAGGTTTTTTACCTTTCGGTATTTTGCATATCCATTCACGCTCAGAACTGCAGTGTAGCGGCAAGACTGTTCCATTAACTGTATACGCAGCACAGCTCCTCACATTATCTTCAATGTAGTTGTTTTCTAAAAAAGCAGATGCAACCTGCCACAGAACAGTGCATACACAGACAAAGATGAATACAATTAGTAAGGAAAAGACTTTTGGACAGGTTATGCTCCTTCTGTTTTTATGTGAGGAACGTATTTGTTTATGGTCACCCTAATGGACACTTCTCAAAGTGCACTGTACACTTGGCCACAGACACATGGATTGTGTCAGATAATATGAGTATGTGTGTATAATAGCACTATCTTTAAACTACATGGAAGCAGCAAGCAGGTAGAGATGAGTTTCCCACCTGTGTGATCCCTAAATATGAACAGCAACAAAAGCTGGGTGGTTTGTAATTCATTGTTGGTATATAGAGCAAGGGGTCCACAACTTTTTTGGGCCTGGGAAACATTTGGATAAGTGGGAAACGGTTGTGGTATAACAAAATATCCCTTTAAAAGAAGAAAAATTGGGAGGGGTACTGAAGATGCTCAGAAACAACCCCCAAAACAGGAAAATACATCCCCATTCCCCAAACAAAATACAAACCCTATCAAAAGGCAGTCATCTCAACCAAATACCAAAAATCTCTCTCTCTTTCTTTAAACCAAACAAACCAGAGGGGCAGGTATGTACCCAAGACGCTGAAGCATTTATGTCCCCAATGATACACCATGACCCTTATGTTTATTATTTTATAGTAGTCCAGTCATCTTAGTGGCCCTACGATAGTTTCCCGCTATCACTTTCATTCTGACTCTGCCGTTTTAATTTCCCTTTGATTACATTATTTGAAATCTCTTTCCTTAAGATATGATGTATCAAGGCAAGGGCTTGTCAATGTTTAAAGTGTACTAAAAGATATAGGCTGCATTTGCGTGCAACACTAAGTTCAAATGCATGATCATGCTGGCTCCCCTGGAAGAGAACAGTTGCTTTGCTTTCTGCCAATCCTTTAAGCTCAGTAGGGCATGGCAGTTAGCCAAGGTTTGCCCTACCATTATAGTTTGCGGTGAGGAGGCAGCTTAACCACAATCTCATGTTTGGATGACACAGTAAGGTAAACCTTGGCTTAGCTGCCATTCTGAGCGAAAAGGACCAGGGAGGGGCAAAGTGAGTGTGAGCTCCTCTCTGGGAATCAGCAAATTTGTATGGACCATGTAAACTGTGGCTTGACTTACTGTGATGTGTGACCCAGACCACAGACTGAATCTTGTTTTGAATGGCCAGGAAGTTTATCAATTGATGAAGCAGGCAGGTGTTCAGGAAAAACAAGTTGTATGTAATGGTAATTTTGACTTAGTGGAAAACTTTTCCTCTCATGCAACTCAGGCCATCCAATTTTCACTGATCCCACCTACCTTCTATAGCTTTTCTCCGATTCTGTTCCATTGGATACTAGAACCTTTAGAACAGGGTTTTTTAGAGGTTGAATTGGTAGGACGGGTTAATGAAAATTGGTTTCCCTGCCTTGCATGAGCAGGAATGCTTTTTCATACAGCAAAGCCACCACTGGAAACAATCTAATTTGTTTTCTACTATTTAAAGCCCATTTCAATGTAATGAGGGGAAAAAATATTTACAGGCGTTCCATCAGACCACTCCCAGGATCCACCAGCTAATGGGTTCCTTTTGTTGAGTCCAATCCAGAACTGTCTTTCTTCATCACTATGATTAAAAAACAAACAAACCCCAGAAGACAGATGAACACTGTTAGCCGCTATTGTACCTTTGCACACATCAGAATAGGATGTGTGCATGAAGCTGAGGGAAATTGACTGAATTGTTTGATTCACTCCAGACTTTTCTGAAAGGGTGACCCAATTCCTGACCTTTTGAAAACAGGAAGCAAACAGCATGCTACAAGCGCATAGAGAAGCCTTAATTGGTTTTAAGGAAAAGAAGTTGCAATTTTTAATAGAGGAGCTGTAAGTAGAGAAAGGCGGTGCTTAACACATTCGCTTCCTGATATTTTTACTATAAATCAGGAGTGGGAAATTTTGGCCCTCCAAATGTTGTTGGACTACAGTTTCCATCAGCCTTAGGTGAGACTGATAGGAGTTGTAGTTCAGTAACATCTATCTGGAGGGCCAAAGGTTTTCCCATCTTTGCTCTACATATTACACCCAATCAGCTTTTCTTGGCATTATTTGTGGGCTGAAGTCCATTTTCTCAGATGCATGTGGTGTCATCCTCACTCAGTGTGGCCAAAAGACCACAAAATGCAGAAGGTAAAGTCTTCCGGGTGAACATTATTTTCTACAACTTACACACACTGTATGATTACAGCAGAAATATTCTAGTCTAGTCTTAGATTAAATTCCAAGTTCAAAAGATCTGTATCTGAAAAGGAATCGAGGGAACAAACACTCATCTGATTTCCCCTCTCTTCTGCAGAAGTCTCTTTGATAGTCAACGGAAGACTTACACATGAAACATGGTGTTCAAAAGTTTGCTCAAGAAATCCTCTTCAAAGGCATGTGTAAAACTAGCAAGATGTGCTCCAAAATCTTGACACAATGCTTCGGCTTCATCCCAAGCCCTTTTCATCAGTACTTTTTCACTGTGAAATACCTGTGCAATAAAACAAATACCCCCCAAAATAGTTTAATTTGCACATTGTCAAAATACTATGGAGGGAAGAGAATACAATCATACCTCGGGATAAATACGCTTCAGGTTGAGCGCTTTTGGGTTGTGCTCTGCGGTGACCTGGAAGTAACTGAGCGCGTTACTTCCGGGTTTCACTGCTCGCGCATGCGCAGATGGTCAAAATGACGTCACGGGCATGCGCAGAAGCAGCAAAACGCGACCTGCGCACGCGCAGACGCACTGTCGTGTCTTACGTTCTGTTCGGGATGTGAATGGGACTCCGGAACGGACCCCGTTCGCATCCTGAGGTACCACTGTATACAACATATACTAAAAAAAACTACAAGCCTGTTCTAGAATAAATAAATTTCTCTCCTTTTGTTATCTACAAACATATCTCTCCATGCTTTCCAACATTCCACAATTGAAAAAAGAGATGTGTGTATAAAATCTCCTGTCAAGTGTCACTGCCTGAGCTTGCCCCAACTACTATATGTGGCTAAAGGGTCTACTTTGCTTGCTGCATGTTGTATTCATTTACCCGCTCTGCAATAGTTTTGTTTAAAAGCTTAGGTGTTATTTGTTCTTTTTGGTAAAAGATACAATATTAAAAAACCCAAACTGCCTGGCAATATTCTATCAAACTTCAAAATATATCTCAGCTTCTGCAGCACGTGTAATGGCAGGCTCTCCACTGCCTGGTGCTTTAGCATTTATACCCATGTATTTAAATGCACATGAGACAAGTTGCATCCTTCCCAACTGAAGCCCTGGAGGGGTAGTTTGTTCCTGGAGAATGGCAACTTGAGCATTTCAAACTTACAGCAGTTTAATAAGGCACCTCAGAAGTAAAAAATAGGAACAATGTGGGGATGTTGGTTTCCCAGGAAAACCAGAACTGTCCATACTAAATAGGGCGACTTGAACTTTGTGTCTGGCATATATTATACTATTTATTACCCCATCGTGGGTTCCTAAGTTCAGTTCATTTGAGTTTTCGGTGAGAAATTTGTCCCCCTTTTCACCTTATAACAGCTGAGCAGATTGTGGTCCGATTCCCATCCAAACATGCAAGAATTAAAAGTCTTCTCAAAATGTGATTCTTCATTAGGGTTATTTTCTCTTTGGTATTTAGCTTTTTGCTTACACAGTGACATAGCCTTGAAGCTTGTACAGTTTTTCACTTCCCAAACACCCTTCTGTCCCTTCTGTCGTTGCATAACAACACAACCTCCAGAATGCCCTATAGTGGGGAGAGAAAGACATTTTAGCGTTGAGTATCATTTTTCCTTTCCAAATGTGGATTTTTTTTGTTGGATGGTAGGTTTTTCCCTTCCAAAAGACAGAGGCAAAAGGAAGCGATTTTCAGATGCCATGCTTTTACTGTTACCAGTTGATGCCAAATGTGATGTTTACATAGTATGACCACTTTTTAGTTTAATAGCCATAAAATAAATAAATTAATTTTGTTTTTTTGTTACACCGGTTCTGAGTGATACCTAAGGCTTATTTCATTACATCAAACATTCAGTGCTACCTAAATAAATTATTACTTTTACTAAAACAAAAATACTGTTCAAAACATTGCAGGCATTCTTCATGTTGTTACTGCTCTGCATTTATAATGTCCAATTTTGGAATTTTGAGTTTTGTTACCTATTAAGTAAAAACAAAAATTGTGGTGGGCAGGGAAAGAAAATTATTACTAATCCCTAATTGTAGCCATTAACTTATGATTCCCAAAATAATATCTAAATACCATAGTTTCACAAAAGGGAACAAAAATTATTTTAGCAATCCTAGAGTATAAGGATCAATACTTTCCTCCCCAATGCTTGGGAAAGTATCTAACCTTGTTATGCTTTGAGGGTGTGTCTGCATAACTACTATAATTTAAGGCTGCAATCCTGTGCATGCTTAATATGAGAGACAGACAGAGAATTACTTTATACAATGGAACTCTTTTTAGATAAACTTACAGAATTACACTGAATGTCAGCAGTAAACTAATTTACAACATCTACACAATGCCTAATTTACAACATCTACACAATCTACACAATGCCTATGCAGAAGTAAGTCCTGTTGCATTAAATGTGGCTTACTCCCAGAGTAATGGAGTCACAATTGCAACCTTATTCAACAGTTTCATCTATAGTACATACACTGAAAACATCTGGGAACTGAAGTGTTTTGTTGTTTAGTTGTTTAGTTGTGTCCGACTCTTCGTGACCCCATGGACCAGAGCACGCCAGGCACTCCTGTCTTCCACTGCCTCCCGCAGTTTGGTCAGACTCATGTTAGTAGCTTTGAGAACACTGTCCAACCATCTCGTCCTCTGTCGTCCCCTTCTCCTTGTGCCCTCCATCTTTCCCAACATCAGGGTCTTTTCCAGGGAGTCTTTTCTTCTCATGAGGTGGCCAAAGTATTGGAGCCTCAGCTTCAGGATCTGTCCTTCCAGTGAGCACTCAGGGCTAATTTCCTTAAGAATAGATGCGTTTGATCTTCTTGCAGTCCATGGGACTCTCAAGAGTCTCCTCCAGCACCATAACTCAAAAGCATCAATTCTTCAGTGATCAGCCTTCTTTATGGTCCATAAAGAAGTAGGCACCACTAGAACCAGATGGTTTAAGTTCTTATACTACAAAAATATGCCAACTCATCCAAATAACTCAGTACCTGGCCGTGTGCCTTTCTGCCCTCCCCTGCCTTTCCCTCTGCTATCTCCATCTGTCTGCTACAGACCTAATCCTGTTTTCCGCTGGATTCAAGACTGATGTCTGAAACAGTGTTTTAGATATATTGTTTGGAGGTTCTGCAAGGTGCGCATGAAACTCAGACATAACAACTTGACCCCAAAGCAATTCCCTCTTGAGAAACCATAATATAGACAGCAGCTTTAGTTATCTGGGGGAAAGGATATAAGAAACACCAAATAACTAGGATTTTGAAGTCTCTGAATATATTTCCCTATAGTCAACCAGTAGAGGTCACTGTTGAAGGACAAGAAGAATCCTCCTCCATAATAAACCAGGCAATGCTTGTCCTTCCGGCTATAAGAAATGAGTAAGTAAATGAAACTACAGAATGATGCAACTTTAAATCACTGTGCATTACTAAGTGGGGACAGAATACAAAGAGAGAGATGTTCGAAGGGCTGTCTCAAGTGGATAAATAGCAGCTTGGCAGATAACTTCAAAAGCCTACCAGCACAAAATATAGTTTTCAAGCCTTTTAGTTTTGTAAGTACTTACAAGGCAATTTTAATGGTGAAGCTGCTAGCAGACTATTTGCTCACAAGAGATTGCTAATCAGGTTAAGTGTATGAGCAGCTAACTGTAAGAAGGGGATCCAGAAATTAAGGCTGCAATTCTAAACACACTTTCGAGACATGTGTTTTAAATGTCGGCTAAGACATTGTCTTCCAGATGCTGTCCTCCATTATGGGGACTGTAGTACAGCAGCTGGAAGATACCATGAAGGCTATCCCTGGTATCTAGCAGGCTATCAAACACTTAATTTGTTGTACTTGCAGGTTCCATTATCCTAAGGTAAATTTTAATGTTATAGGTAAAGGTAAAGGGACCCCAGTCGTGGCCGACTCTGGGGTTGCGGCGCTCATCTCGCTTTATTGGCCGAGGGAGCCGGCGTACAGCTTCCAGGTCATGTGGCCAGCATGACTAAGCCACTTCTGGTGAACCAGAGCAGCGCACGGAAACGCCGTTTACCTTCCTGCCGGGGCGGTACCTATTTATGTACTTGCACTTGGACGTGCTTTCAAACTGCTAGGTTGGCAGGAGCAGGGACCGAGCAGCAGGAGCTCACCCCGTCGCGGAGATTCAAACCGCCGACCTTCTGATCGGAAAGTCCTAGGCGCTGTGATTTAACCCACAGTGCCACCTGTGTCCCATTTTAATGTTATACTCTGGCCCAAATTAAGACAGCCTGGTAATAAGCGGAAAGCAGAAAGTGAGGAAAAGTGGCACATTTGCTTCAATAATCAAATATTAACAAGAGCTATAAAGGTTATAACTCACTAGGCTGATATTTTCCCCAGTTTGTATAGGTCAGACGATGAGGCTTCCCATCTTTATTTAGCCAAGTGTATTCTCCTGTATTGTTGAGGTCTTGCAGTGCTATCCAAAAATAAAGGTTATCTGTTTTCTCCATGTTGTGAATCATACTGTTGAGAAAACTCTGTTCAAACCTTGAAAAAATATGAAATATAAACAAGGTATTAGATTCCTTACATCACAGTTCAAGAGGCACCCCCTATTCATCCTTTTGAGCAATACAGAAAGCAGTATAGAATCTTGTTGAAACTGAACAAATTACAGTGGTACCTCGGGTTAAGAACTTAATTCGTTCTTAACCTGAAACTGTTCTTAACCTGAGGTATCACTTTACCTAATGGGGTCTCCTGCTGCTGCCGCTCCGCTGGTGCGTGATTTCTGTTCTCATCCTGAGGTAAAGTTCTTAATCCAAGGTATTATTTCTGGGTTAGCAGAGTCTGTAACCTGAAGCGTCTGTAACCTGAAGTGTCTGTAACCCGAGGTACCACTGTACATAAGAACAGCAGATGAAGCACATTAAGTGTCTGGTTTTTAATACTTCACTGGGGGCAAATGGTGGGCTGTGATGAAGAGGCAAGCCCCGCTAGAGGAAACTTGTAAGTTACTTCAAGAAAAACAATATGCCAGATCTCACCGGCTTAGATCTCGTGGAATGTAAGTTCAAACGGCTGTTTGCTCAGGACATGCCTCTTCTAACTGGCATCCTGCTCATGCCACGAGCATGCCGGCTTTCAGCTCTACAGTTCTACATGGAATCGCAGAATCATAGAATTGGAAGAGATCCCAAGGATCATCTAGTCCAACCCCCTGCAGTGTAGGAATATGCAGCTGTCCCATATGGGGATAGAATCTGCAACCTTGGTGTCATCAGCACCATGCTGTAACCAACTGAGCTATCCATGACTTGGGCAACACACATTAAGAGGGCATCTCTTTCCCCAACTACAGTTATTCTTTTAAAGGTACAGAAGAGGCTGCTTTCAGTTGGCATGATTGGTGCATCATTCAAATAAGACTCTGCAGAAAGCCATCCCTGGTGGTTGTTCTATATCTCTGTAACATGCTTCCTACATAGGTTTGTAAACCCCCATGTGTGGAACATCTACCAGAAACAGTGCAAGACTATTTTTTAAAAAGTGATCTTGCCCTGCGACCTTGTGAGGTATGGAAAACAGAAACGTAAGATAGGCTCTTCTCCGTAGTACTGCCTAAATTACTACTATGGAATTCACCACCCGGGGAGGTCAAGGAAGCCTCTGTACTTTGTGCACTTAGGTAGCAAGTTGAGGCCTGAACTAGACACAATGTTAAATGCATCCTTACGTTTGCACCTGTTGTGGGAGCTGATAATTACTGGGATCTCAGCAGACAGGGGCAGGGAGGGGGAAAAGATGGAACTCTTTCTTCCCCTGGCTGCATTCCTGATGAAAAGCATTCCTTCAAAGCTGGTATTTGTGCTGGGAAGAAATTCTCAACTGAGACCAATAGGGGAAGGAGGTTTCTTCCAGTGCAAATAATAGCTTCAAAGTAGAGTTGTTGGTTTTTTTATTAAAAAAAAATCAGGACAGCAGCAGGGGAGGGGAGGGTTAAACTCTCCCTCCCCACCTGCTATGAATTAAGCCTATGCACATTAAAGCACAGAATTTATAATGAATAAAAATGAGTTATCATAATCAACATAATGTTGATTCAGGTGGACAAACAATGACCAGCCAGATAACAATAACAAATTTTATTTATACCCCGCCCTCCCCGACCAGAGCCGGGCTCAGGGCAGCTAACACCAATAAAATCACAGTAAAAACATAATAGAGGAAAAAGAGGGGGGGCCCAATTTAAAATGCAGCCTCATTTTAAAATAGCCGATAAATCAAGACCATAAGGGGAGGGAAACATAAGGGTCAGACTGAGTCCAAACCAAAGGCCAGGCGCAACAGCTCTATCTTGCAGGCCCTGCGGAAAGATGTCAAATCCCGCAGGGCCCTAGTCTCTTGTGACAGAGCGTTCCATCAAGTCGGGGCCAGTACTGAAAAGGCCCTGGCCCTAGTTGAGACCAATCTGGATGCCTCCAGAAAGCTTGCAACTGTTGGTGAAATTTTAAAGACTGGAGGCACTGGCGGAGGAAGAGGAAGGCGGGGGGAGCGCACCACCCTTGGCACCACAATCCCGGTGGGGGGGCCATCGCAGCTGCCCCCCCTTGCTGGGTGCCACACCCCCGTAGGCAGCGCGCCACGCCCCCAGGATGCATACCACGCCCCTGCAGCAGTGCGCCACGCCCCCAGGATGCACGCCAGCCATGTCCCCATCTGCTCTTCACCCCCGGTGCCAGAGCATGAAGCTCTGTCACTGACTGGAGGTATCCCTCCCAGAGACCCAAACAGAAAAGATGCAGACTGCAAGTGAAAAGATAGATTTTAACTGAATACAAACATACAGAGGGTCAGCCTCCTGAAAAATCTGAGAGAGGCTGCAAAGAACCAGATCCAAAGCAATGTTTCTTACACATTTCCTTTCCCGTAGAGATTCCTTTCCCGTAGAGATTCCAACCCATAATCTTCATTCTAAACCAAGCGGAGATCCTTATGCTCTTTTGAGTATCCCACTCCAACCTTGTCATTATAATAATATGTAATCACACACTGCCATCCTTCAATGTTTGATTTAATTAATTACTGATTAATTATGCTATTCTTTACCTGTCTACAAACGTCTATTCATAATAACCCGTGATTAATATATCCATTCTCTACATTAACCTAAATTCAATAATACAGTCCCGCCTAGCCGATCACCTTTCATGTATTCTCAACTTTTCATTCTTTTATGTTAGAATACGATATGTTTTCACATCAGAATGCATGATATGATTGAAATATACTGGGGTGTGTGCGTGCATTTCTACTAGGAGAGGTTGCTGAGAATTCATACATGGATGGCTAAGCAGCACTGCTAATGTCAAATACGGAGTTTTAACAAGCAAAATGGAATCCTAACAGAGATAAAGGGAGTTGGGATATTATCCTTCACAAGCAGGGCATGAAGCCAGAATTCCTCCCCCAACTGGTATTCAAATGAACACCTCTGTTCCTAGAGGCTCAATTTAGCTACAATGGGGAACACGCACTGAAAATATCCTGTCCATAAATTTGTCAAAGCCATAAATATAACTAAGGCTGCAATCTTATACACACTTTCCAGGGAGTAAGTCCAAATGAACTTCATAGGACTCACTTCTGAGCAGACAGATTAAATTGAGTTGCCTTCAATGTAGTACTAAGGCAAACACTAAGTCTGTGCAAGGATTTCTCATTGCACACCAGTACATCCCCCCCCCCGTTCCACCCATGTATCCTCTAGATCTGTTCTGGAGCAGATTTCAGGACAGTACAGGGCATGTGTGGGAGGAGAAAGGGGGGAAACCCACTGCGCCAGCGCTAAACCCTGCAATGGTGTAAGTATTTAATTGAATACCTCTCATTGTCTGGGGTTTACTTCAATTTGAGAATAAAGTGTAAGGAAAAAGAGAAAATCGCATCATCTAAGTAACCAGAGAAAACCTGTTACTGGAGTTATTTCTTATTGTTTCCATATGGCGAAACTGGGTTATTAAAATGAAAACTGAACAATGTGAATTGTTTGCATCAAATAGCTGCATGTGAGCAAATGAGTATATATTTGTCAGGATTGTTAGCAAACACTCCCTGGCTTCCTGTAATGAAGATGGTGTAAATCAACCCTGAAGGAATTAAAATGTCAGAATTCTTGCATGCATGAATAATTGCATGTCACTGAACATTTCAATCTAGCAAGTAACTGATTAATTCTATCCGGTTTTCATTTTGACTCGAGCAATAACAATCAGAACATTTTATTTCCGTCAGTTTTAGCTATTGATCCAGCATGGTTCTTCCATTTTCTTCTCCAGTGTCATAAGAGAATTAAAATACTGTTGTTGTTTTAAATTGTACGGTAGAATTAGGTACCTGTTCATTATTGTTGCAAGTGAAGGACAGTAATAGCCACTGGAGGAGTGTTCAAAGCTTCGAGGGGTTTTGTCCACATGGTAGCAATATCCACCGTGCCTTTCCCATCCCTTCAAAAACAAACGTTGGTTGTTGTAACATATGGCATATTATATACATGAACTTATCTATACATAATTCTTGGATGCCACCCAAGTAGGTACCAGAGAGACTACCGAGGAAGGGAAGGAACACTGGAGAACCAATGACAGTCAGAGTAGGCAAGAATAGTCAACACCATGCCCTCCCAATGTCGCTGGAAAATACCTCAGCTGGTAGAGCATGAGACTCTTAATCTCAAGGTCATAGGTTCGAGCCCCATGTTCGAGAAAAGATTCCTTCATTGCAGAAGTTGGACTAGATGACACTTATGGTCCCTTCCAAATCTACAATTCTATGATTCTATGACTACAACTCTAACTATCCCTGACTATTAGACATGCTGTACTAGGACTGATAGGGAATTGGAGTTTACAACACCTGGAGTGCACCATGCTTGCGATCCCTAGAGTAGGCGATGCTGGCCTAGATGGGTAAAAAGTTTGAGCTGGCAAAATCGGCTTCTTTTGTTCCCTTTCTATACCTGCAGTTTACCCACTCATCATGCAAAGATAATTCTCTCTCTCTCTCTCTCTCTCTCTCACACACACACACACACACAGAGAGAGAGAGAGAGAGAGAGAGAACAGAATCCATGCATAGTGAAATCTATTCAGGACACAATAATTTCAAGGGGAGAGTTAAGCAGAGCCTAGTGGAGAAATGATATACGCATTTAATCAGAAATAAGACTGACGGCTCAATGCGGCTTGCTCTCAGGAAAATGTACATAGGATTGCACTGAAGTGTTTAACATTGACTGGATTGTGACCACACTGTACCTTGAGAAGAAAGTGTCAAGATTCAATGCAAATATAAGGATGATAAAGATGGGTATAAAGAGTGTGTAAGAAAGGTAGAAAATTGAGAGTTATTTAGTTAAATATTTACAGAAGTTTGGCTGCTTAAAGCATCAAGAGCTGCTGATGAATGTCAGGTCAGGGGGTAAGTGTTTCATTATTTTATTTAATCACTCATTTAAACAATTTATATACCACTTAACTACAATAATTTCTAAATGGTGAATAACAACAACAGCAGCAGCAGAAGCAACAACAAAATACGCTACCCACCTGACTGGGTTGCCCCACACATTAAGCGCAGTAAGACATCAAACATTCAAATCTCTGTACAGAAATATATTGAACTTGCTTACTGAACATCATGCTGACTCAGTCTGTTATTACGGAAACCTATCCCAGTCAAAGGTTGGTGTGAACCTAACCCAAATGAGCTCTCTAGGTTTTCAGGTTCAGCATCAGGCTCAACTAAAGGAGCAAGGAGGGTGGAGTCAGTGTACCACCTCTCTGATTAGCAACACAGCCAATGGCTGTGCGCTGGGCTTCCAAGACAGAAAAAGGATTTAGTTTGGTGAAGAGCTGTGGCTCAGTGTTACAGCATCTGCTTTGCACACAGAAAGTCTGAGTCCACAGCATCTCCTAAATCCCTGGACAGCCTCTGACAGTTAGTGTAAATAATACTGAGATAATGGACCAGTGGACCAACAGATTCCTATATTCCTATGATGTAAGTGTACTGACTAACTCATTACCTAATAGTCTCCCTACCTGAGCTGATGGGAGTGGGTTTCAGTGTGGTGTTGAAGGCCCCAAGTCCTGTGTTTTAGTTCTCAGCTGGACATGGAATTATTGCTGGATTTATTAATGTTGTGGATATATAGGATGTTTTGTATTTTTAAAAATATTATCGCTGCTTAAAGTTTTGATTTGTGTGTAAGCCGGCTGGAGAGCGTTCTTGCTCATAAAGATAAGCCTCTAAATTAGTTTTAAAAAATAAATAAGCATCCCGGGAAGAGTGCCATCCCAGCATACCCTGTCAATGTCATGACCTCATTCACTAACAAGCCCTATAATTTGAAACAGCCTACAGCCAAACACTTAAGCATTATTAATTGTATCAAATGCATACTGAAATGTTATAGAAACTCAGTGAATTAGGGTAGACTTTACATGGGAACTGTGTTCAGTGCAGTAGGCTGTCAACCTCACACTGAAATAACAAGAAAACTATTATTGAATTAAATACTAACCTTTGTATATTTTGAGAGAGAGAGATGGAGAGACCATTTTAAATTAAGGAAGGTAGAATTTACATCTGACTGAACTATTTCTCTGAGTATTTTCAACTGAAACAACTAGAATTGCCAATGTAATATTATACCGTAATTTCCCAATAATTCTGGTACCTCTGTCCAATTAGAGATAAACTTGCAGATAAAGGTCATTTTTTATGTGAATTATAATACCGTCAAACTCTTATTATTCATTGCACAAATTTACCTTAACTCATCAAAGAGTAGTTCCATATTAACTTAATTTAATGTTACTAAACCTCCTTCTCCAATCCTTAAATTAAATCATGTTTTGAATACTTACCTGCCTTTGATGATTTGTATGGATGAGGTCCTAGAAGGCTTTTATACATGCTATTCTTTTATATTTCTTACCAAACTTCAAAATAGGTACCCCATTTCTTCAACGACTCTGGCAGGAAATTATTAGTTTATGTCTTGCCTAGAAGGCTCTTCAATACTAAGAATCAGGACCCCAGTCTCTTATAGAAGTTGAAAGGACTAAATCATTGCTTCCCAGTGACTGCAGTGAATGCTTCCCTGTTGTGAAAGAGAATGATAAAGCAATGCCCAAGTGGTAGTCCACATGTCTGGAGCCACTGAACTGTGAAGTCACTGGAGCTTACTTCCAGTAATATGTTTGGTATAGTGATATTAAAGCAGCTTAACTAAACTTGGCTGAGGAATCACGTAAGAAGGGACTGCTATTTTATTTAAGTTCTGTTAAGCCAAAGCTGTCTATCAATTATTTATTTCAGCTTACTTCTTTTAGATGAACTTCAAGGGTCATTCCAATTTTTGTTTGCAAATAATATCAATATTTTCTGACTTAAGGAAAGAATCTTTCTTTAACTAGGTATGGGGCTATATCTACTGTTGTCTTTGCTCTGGTAACCTCTAGGTTAGATTACTGCAATGTGTTATACGTAGGCTGCCTCTGAAGACGTTTCAGAAACTTCAGCTGGTACAGAATTTGGCAGCCAGGTTGCTCACCGGGGCAAGATGGTTTGAGCATATTATACTGATCCTAGCCCAACTACACTGCCTGCCAATTAGTTTCCAGGCCCAATTCAAAGTGCTGGTTTTGACCTACAGCCTTAAATGGCTCAGGGCTGCAATATTTCAAGGACCACCTCTCTCCTTAGGAACCTATCCAGACCCTGCCCTGAGTTAATCATCTGAGGCCCTTATTGTGCACCTCCTTTATGAGAGCTCCGGACGATGGCAACATGAGAATGGCTTTTCTTCAGTGGCTCCCCTCTCTGTGGAATGGTCTCCCCAGGAGGTCCATCTGGAGCCTTCATTATACACCTTTAGGTGCCAGGCAAAAATGTTCCCCTGCAACCAGGGCTTTGGCTGATTAACATCTTATATCCCTTTTAAATGTGTTTGTGGGAGGAGGTGTGGGGAGGGGGTTTATTGGTTTGTGGTTTTCTTGTTCTTGTTTTTATTATATATTTTGTGTTTTTATATTGTGATTTTATGTTGTGAACTGCCCTGAGATCTATGGATGAAGGGTGGTATATAAATTTTAACAACAACAACATATGTACTGGGGATTATGTAGAACCTTTATCTCAGTCATACTGTTATCATGAAACCACATCTAAAAGCTTTGTGCCTGTGAGTCCTACATTTTTCACAAAATATTTGATCCACAAAAGATAAAGGCATATACCGGTATCTGTTATTACAAGAACTGATGATTCTTTATTTGCAGGTGCGGGTTACTTTCCAGCCACACCTGCAAATGAATATTTTTTCTCTTCCAGCCCAGCTTGACTTCAAGCCAGGAATGCAAAGGAAAAATTTGGAGTGCAAGTTTGAGTGTGCTCTCAATTCTTCTTACATTTAGCAGCAGCATGAAGTTCCAAGCCACAGCTTGAACTTTCCTGCGCCTGACATTATATATGTCAGACCAGGGAAAGTTGGGTGTGGCTTGCCCCAAACAGACTAGTAAACCAACCTCCAAGGTCTGGTGGGCTGACGATTACCCACCAGTGAACTACTGGTGGACCTTATAAGAAACTGATCTGTTTAAGAGCCATTTACGATTCTGAATATTCCAAGTCACAGAATAGAGACACATGATGGTTGTACAACAACTAATTGTGTGAATCATCACCAAGTTATAACTTTATCAGCTCAGTTCAATCAACTAATTCCTTTCCCTGAAATTCAATGGACCAAACTGGATTAATTGGTTACAGCATTGGCTACTTACATAAAATTCTGACATTTCAAATTGTAAGTATTGTGACCCTAGTTTAACCCAAATGTTGTCAGCTTCAAAAAGCAACATTTCTTCCTTTCTTCCTTGTCAAGCATCTGACAGCTCCATGATGCCATTCCAAAAGCTGGCTTAGGGAAAGTGCCTAGATAATCACTGCTTTAGTGTTTAGACAGCTAGCTTAAGGAATTTGACCTCAGTAACAAAACATTTGCCCTCTGTTAGCAGTTTATAGATTAGGAGAAGGGGGGAACAGTTTGTTGAATTAGTAATAAAATCACATGGCATATGGCCAACTGAGCAATGAGCACTTTGCTGCTGTGTCTAAGAAAGATATAGAATCATCAATTTGTCAGAAATATCAAAATGATTTTAAAAAACCCCAACCAAAGCAAATAAGCAGGATAGTCTTCCAAGCACATATGCCTGAAGCCAAGAACAAATGACGGCACCGATGGGTTACGAACTTAGAGATACTGACATGTATCTCATAGTCACAAATGAAAACAAAATGGATCTGGATCCTCTAATTTTTACTCTAAAATGTCAACTAAACTCCTGGCTAGCTGTGCATCGACATTAGAATTGAAGAAGTAGTTTCAGATTGGAGTGGCGACATTCAGTATTATGAATGACAAATGGAGGCAGAGTTTTCAATAAGACATTCAGCCCAAAGGCTGCTTGTGAATGCAGGAGTTCTGGTGCTCAAATAGGAGTTCATGCCAGTGAATGGCTTCTCCCATTCAATGATGTGTCATGGAAAGGCCCACATCCTCATTATGAACACAGAGCTGTCCAAATATTGCAGCAAATTAGAAAGCACATGCATGCTGGCAGACATATGTGCATGGCAGACCACCCGCAAGCAGGAAAATGAATGGGGTGTTGCTCCAAACGGTCTCACAAAGTTAGCAACTAACTTCCAGAATGTTAAACTTTATCATCCCATTCAGAAATATATGTGACCCTTTACATTAACTTTATATTCAAAGACTAGGCAGAGGGCATATCAGCATATATAAACATGAAGGTGAGAAATCAACTATTTATACCACTATGATGGTTACCTGTGTCTCACTGGGTACTGCTAAGAGCCTCAGTTGTCTTGAATTTCAATATTTCAATATATTAAATGTTCACTGAATAACAGCACTGATACATTTATAGACAACTTTTACATACACACCCCAAAGTAGAGAAAGCAAATGATATAAATTAATAATTTTCGAAAGAGGAAATTTAATAGCCAATTAATCCTCGTGCCCATGTATGGATAGAAGGTTAACACAACCTTCTCTGTTAAAGAAATAGTTGTTTTCAACCCTGTCATTCCTCTAGAAACAGTATAAAAGCCACAGGCAAGATGAAACATCATAGAGCAGTTGTTATTTGTACAGATGGTCGACCAAAGTGCCGTGCCTTTTGATGTAGAAAGTTAGAAGAACTGCATTCAAAATTGCTGACAGAGCAAGTGACCCACAAAAGGAAAACTTCATGACCTCAATCCATAAGCGCTCCAACATGCTTACAGAGATTCTGATTCAAAGTGCATGGCAAAGCCTGCCAATCAGGTGATCAGTGGTGCCTGCAAACCTGTTTTTGACTCAGACATGACTTTACCTGCCCTCCACCTGACGTCATATAGGATGATGTCATATCTGATGATTTAGGGCAGGTGGCCATGGCTTGGCCAAATGGGGAGGCAAACCAGAGGCTGCCCATCCCTGATCTACAGCAACACAACTTGTTTTGGAAACTGGAATTTTGTTAATGAAGCAGTGCTGTGCATATTTACCTGAAAGTAAATCCCATTGGTCTCAGCAGGATTTGTTTCTGAACAAACATACATAAGATTAGACTGCAAATTGGGAAAAGGTGTGAAATTCTAAATATGCTTGAATTCCTATCCAGATATATTCAAACACTTCCAATATTTACTATTTTAAATGAGGCATAACTGTTTGGTTTAGACTTACTTCTGGGCAGCCTGATTCTTCCTCTGAAATGAGATTTCCAACAGTTCCTGCTCTTTTACAAATGTAAAAATATATGTCTTTACAACTTTTAACTTTCCAGCGTCCCTCCTAGTTAAAAACAAACAGGAAGAATTAATGAAGCTTAATATGTCATTATTTCGGAGGGGGGGGGGGTATTAGCTCAATGGGCTTATTCATAACATAGGAAGGAAAACTGGTGGTGGTGGTTTTTGTTTTTTTTTAGAACATTAAAATACTTCGATTACAAGTAGAAGTTGTGCATTCTGCTAGCATTTTTAGATCCCCCATAGAGTTTCATACTGTTAAGTGCATGAGTAGTCTCTACTTGACTAAGCAAATGTTTGTTAGATGTGACCTTAATCTGTATGTGTATGTGTGTATACGCACACACACATTAATAATAAATGTATTAAATAAAATACGATAAATTCATGTCAAGGCATTCGTATTTTAGCTTCCACTGCTTGTTTATTCTACCTATTTGCCTCTGGAATTGTCTCAAGAGCTTGATGAGCTACTCTGAAGTGTCAGAGTATTTCCCGATATTGTAACGCGTCAAAGCTAAACAGTGAAGAATTGTGTTTTTGCAAAAAGTTTATCTTGGAGGTCATCTCCTCTACAGCCTGAGCATAGGGAAAAACTGAGTGGCCAAGTGGAAGGTTATGAAACTAGGAGAGGAAAGTAGAAACCTAAAAGACAGGAAACGTGAAATAGGAATGATTCTGAAAAAAAAGATAGGTAGAGCACTCAAAGCCCTGAGATAGTGCAGGAGGGGGAAGGAATGGAACTGAAAAACCAGTGGGCCTACAGGGGAAGAAGGTTTATCAAACAGCCTAAGGAGAGGAGAGCTGTGCCTTATTAACACACATTTGGACTGGAAAGACAAGGTAATTGTGGACGCATATTGTTCCATTATGATTTGCTGTGTGCATGAGAGCAGTCATTATATTACTTGAGAATCATCAAGAAAATAGAGCTCTCAGAATATTCTACTTCTGAGGCATTGCACACATAATGCAGCAAAACAAAACACACACAAACAAAAACCACCACTTCTAGGACAGAAACATTTACAAAATATTATTATTTTTATATATATAAAAAGAGAAAATAAATAAAACATACATATTGCTCAGCTGAAACACAAAGTTGATTTCCCCCCTGATGGACATTTGGCTCTTGTTTGTGCCAGTAAGTGAAGGTTACCGGAGATCCATCAGACCATTCAAACGCAACTGGGGTCTTATGACTGCTCAGTCCAAGCCAAGTTTCTGTCACATTTTCTGTAGTATACAATTAAGTGCGTTTTAAGATTATTTGGACACACCAGGTAATTTTCGACAGCACAATAAAAACACACGCACAAAGTTGTCTCCATATTTTAGTCAGACTACTCTTTTGCAACCTAGACAGGCCCCTAAGTTGATGCCCTGTCCTAACATGCAGGTGAACTACTGTTTCGAGGGCTGCCGTACGTCCAGAATTTCCCAGACATAGCTGGAATATGGCAGTTGGAAACAGTGTCTGGGCAGAAATCGCTGATCAGGCCAATCTAGCGTAGCATCCTGTTTGCCACAGAGGTCAATGGGGATGGCCTTTGGGAATATGAGGGCAATGCCACTCTGCCGTTGTTGCTCCCCAACAACTGGTATTCAAAGGCACTGGAAACTGCATTAAGGGCAGGATGCAAATGCGATACTTAAATAAGGAAACAAACATCAGGGGCTGTAATCATTTCTGCATACAGAAGCTTTAACTAGCCGAGGAGGACTTTCGACATGAGCGGCCCTGTGGGTCTTGTACATTTTCAGTGACAACTCCTCCTTTGAACTCAGCACATCAGCCTGGAACAAGGGCAGGGAAACTTCTCAGCCTGAGGGCCACATTCACACTTGAGTAACCTTCCAAGGCTCAACTGCCAGCAGTGGGTGTGGGCAAAGGCAAAAGGAGGCGGGATCAAAGTCACATACATTCGCCAATCACACACCTCCCTCTACACATACATACTAGGATTTCCCTGAGGGGTATTTCAGTTTTGTTGATGTATTGATCTGTGATTTGTTTTGGGCTTGTTTTGTGAATGTAATTTAAATGGATTATATTATGCAGTTTATTGATATAATATTTTTAAATATATCTAGAGAGAGAGCACAAATAAAAATAAATAAATAATAAATGTCCCTTCCCTTTCTCTTTGTCTCTCTTCTTCTTCTGTTCAATTTTTATTTGCATTTTCAAAAACATGCAAACAGAGAGCATATTTAACCCTCCTCCCCTTCCCCTGTCCCACTAACGACTTCATACCAAATACAGCATGCATACATATACCATATGACTTCCCTTCCACACTTTTCCTGGTTCCTTTGCTTTTCTACTACTCCACGTAATCCACATCTTTTTAACCATCCAATTTGTTATCTATTAAATACTCTATCTATTTCAACTCTGTTGAATTTACTCAAGACCTGCTAAGCTATGTATTCGTCTATACTGGTTGTTAAAATATTCAATAAACATTGTCCATTCTTCCTTATATTCCTTATCTCCGTTTTCTCTTATCCTGTTCGTCAGACCAGCCAGTTTATCATATTTGAACATTTTACGCTGCTATTCTTCCTTACACTGCTATTGCTCCTGAGCTGCAGGTTAGGGGTTAGTGCAGGTACGCCCTCTTGGGGCCCCAAGCCTTTAGCAACTTCCTGATGATGCCAACGTCTGACACTGGCCTCCAATGGGGTTTTTCTATCGACTTTGGGTTGTATTGTCACACTTGACAGAAAGGAATTCAGTGTGACTGCCTTTAAAAGGAAAATTGTCTGTACCTTAAACCAATGTTTAGTGCACATTAACTATGAGAACTCACCATATTTAAGAAGATTAATGAGCATCTCTGTATCAGCCAAAGAGGTTATGCTAATGAGTGTGCTATTATCATCCTGGCAGGAAAGCAAAGCTTCATTCCAGTTTTTTCCTTCTTTATAAAGTTTATAGCAGTAACGATTATATGGATACCAATTATAGTCACAGTCGGTAGGATAAAATTTCCACGAATCTTTTCAATTAAAATGTACAGAAACAAGGCTATATTAACCAAATGAATTCTTTCTTAGTCCTCATAAATCTATTTATGCAATATACATGCACATATATAATAGCTCTTTTCACTATTTCTTTTTTTTAAGAAAAGAGAACACATTTGCCTACCAAGAACTAGCTACAGTGCAAAAATGTGTTATATGAATATGTTTATGCATGCATAAGCACCCCACACACACACAAAGAAAGAAAATAAAATTGCCCTAAGAATGTTCGAGTAGTTCAATCTTTGTGAATTCTGACATTATCTGACCTAAACCACACCTTCCAGCCTAATACGCAGATTGGAACATAAGCTACAATCCTAACTCCATTTAATTCCAAGTAGACATAGTAAAAACTTTTTTTGCAAACCACTTTGAGGTTCTTTTACAGTCAAGTGGCATTTAAATTTTATGAATACATAAATAAATAAAGACTGCCACCACAGTTACCCATCAACCTTTGAGCTTCCTGAACATTCCTCTGCAGTTCTCACTGAATAAAAGTATCAAAATGATTTAAAAATTCATGAGTTAAAAAATAAATAAATTGGATTTTCATACAGATTTTTTTAAAACTTCAGGTTAATGTAGACTTATGGGTCAAACAGAACAGAAACAGACTGATTTACCTATACTGTTACCTTTCACTGAATGTACAGTGGTACCTCGGGTTACATACGCTTCAGGTTACATACTCTTCAGGTTACAGACTCCGCTAACCCAGAAATATTACCTCGGGTTAAGAACTTTGCTTCAGGATGAGAACAGAAATCGTGCTCTGGCGGCATGGCAGCAGCAGCAGGAGGAGGCTCCATTAGCTGAAGTGGTGCTTCAGGTTAAGAACAGTTTCAGGTTAAGAACGGACCTCCGGAACGAATTAAGTACTTAACCCGAGGTACCACTGTAATAGGGCATACTTCTGAGTACTTTGTGTAAATAGTGTTCATTAACAACCAATGCATTACTAACAATATACAAGTCTCAGCTGTATTTGTCTATATTCTGGAGTAAGACCCTCACTGAAGGGTGGAGGACGTTTGGACCTCCAAATGCTGCTGACTCCAACTCCCGCCAGCCCCAGCCAAAACGTCCAGTGGTGATGTGAGTTATAATTCAGCCACATTTGGAGGGCCACAGGTTGCCCACCTCTGCCCTAACAGAATAAAGAAAATGTTGCGGCTGAAATTAGCATCTATTCTAAAATTATAAACCCATGCATGCTTCCACATTTTGGGCTCCATTAAAACTCCAGGGAAAGCTTTGTTAGTTTTAGAAAGCTTAAACCATTGTAAAGGCTCACAAATTCAGAAGGGGAGAAAAAAAAGCTGATTGCTTGTTTGCATGCAAAAACAATTTTCTCTGGAATCTGCACCAATAAGACATACAGTGGTACCTCGGGTTAAGAATTTAATTCATTCTGGAGGTCCGTTCTTAACCTGAAACTGTTCTTAACCTGAGGTAAGGTAAAGGTAAAGGGACCCCTGACCATTAGGTCCAGTCGTGACCGACTCTGGGGTTGCGGCACTCATCTCGCTTTACTGGCTGAGGGAGCCGGCGTACAGCTTCCGGGTCATGTGGCCAGCATGACTAAGCCGCTTCTGGCGAACCAGAGCAACGCACGGAAACGCCGTTTACCTTCCCACCGGAGCGGTACCTATTTATCTACTTGCACTTTGACATGCTGCTAGGTTGACAGGAGCAGGTACTGATCAATGGGAGCTCACCCCGTCGCGGGGATTCAAACCGCCGACCTTCCGATCAGCAAGTCCTAAGCTCTGTGGTTTAACCCACAGCGCCACCCGCACTTTAGCTAATGGGGCCTCCAGCTGCCGCCGCACAATTTCTGTTCTCATCCTGAGGTAAAATTCTTAACCTGAGGTACTACTTCCGGGTTAGAGGAGTCTGTAACCTGAAGCGTCTGTAACCTGAAGCGTCTGTAACCCGAGGTACCACTGTAGTTGGCTTCCATTGGGGCTGGGCAGGGAAGAGAAACTGCAATGAGTATATCCCCTCTAATTTTGTGTTCTGCCATGCTCACCACTGCAGCTATTTGGTGACTGGTGGTGGCTGCAGTACTCTCTCAAAAGTATAACTGTACCTACTATTCCAAAAAGCCTGGCGATCCTTGGACTATAATCTATAATAACACCACCTTGACAGGGCTGGGGAACTGCATCTGGTCAACTGGCCGCATCCTTATTGCCAACTCTTCCCCTGCAGGCCAAATCTGACAAGTAGGCAAAACTACCCCCTCCGTCAATCACATGACATCACAATGCTGTTGCAATGTGACCCGATTCAGCCTGTACAGTTTGAAGCCAAACTGTGAGCAAAACAGTCTGCAAAGCACAGAAGATCAATTGGTTCCTCAGCACTTGGGAAGCCCAACCTCGGCACAATGTGCTTCCCAAGTGCCACTCAGTTGATTGTCGGTGCTTGAGAAGCCCAGTGCAGGGACCTTTGCCGACATTGCTGATCAGTTGTATTATGTATTATTTTATCAGGTGTAGGTGAAAGGAGGGAGCCAGGGGACAATGACAATGACTAACTTAGGCCTGCAGACTGGAGGTTTCCCACTCCTGCACAATGAAATGATACAAAATGAATAAATGGGATTCTATTCTCCACTACATGCAGAAAATGTTCTTCTGAAGAGCTAATTTCTCCTCTTTAAAATCTAATGAAATAGGTACGCTTTTTGCCCTCAGAATGGTAAAAGTGGGATTGTTAAGTATTTGATTGCCTTCAAAGCTTATATGCCAATTTACAAACAAAGGGACTCCGAACAATGATTTATACTTGAAACTACCTTTCTCCTGAATTCAATTGGCATACTTAGCACATCTTGTAATTCCCAAACACTCAAACTGCCTGAAGCCCAAGATGTGGAATGTACATATGTCCCCCTTATTAAAAGTAGAAAGAGATATAAAAAGCCTCACAGATCAAATTACATTGCTGGTTAGAGACTCACCAAATGCTTCGTGTTCAGTAGCATTTAAATATTTTTTGCATACATATGGTAATCCAGATTCACATGGGTAACTTTGCCAGTCCTGCTGTATTTTTGAGTTAAACACTTTGCAGCGATGTTGCCCAAGAGAGCTGTCAGAAGGATCTGCAAACAGAATATTATTTTAGCACCATGTGTACAGTACAATACAATATGCAGTGGGTATTTTATATATATCTCTGTATCTAAAAGCCTGACATTCTGCCCCAATCAGCAAGATTCTCCAAGTCCAGAACGATGACCAAGGAACAGAACCACATCTGGGCAGGTATGATTCTCTCTTTTTTTTTAAGAATAATTTTTTATTAACCGACCAATCACATCAAATCAAACCAAATTACATAAATTCCAAATTACACAGCCGAATTTTAAATTTTTGTTGGGGGTACCCATATTTCAAGTTCCGAAGGGATCCAATCAACTTCTTGCTTCTTACTGCTGTTTTAATGTCCACAAATCTAACCTTATGATGTTCACAGTACTATCCAGTCCTTTCTTATTATTTTTCCACATCTCTTGTTGTTATTTTCATATATTTTTCCTTTCTCTTTGTGACCTCTGATAGTCTCCGCAAGCTGGTTAGAACAGTTTGTAATCCTGTGTGGATATTATTTTTTTTATCCAGTAGCCATATCCAGACGTTTTCCCTATAGCATCACTTCCATACATCAAAACAGTCTTAGCGTCATTAATCTTCACCAATCTGCCTCCTTTCTCAAAACCTCTGAGGAGATTCACTAGGAATGCAGTCTGAAAACAAATCCGTTCTTCCTCCCGGCTATAAATCCTTTGGCAAGATGGCGACTCCAAATTAATTGCTGCGCCATTCCCAAAAGCTCTTATTGCTTCTCGGTCTCCATAAAGCATACGTTTGGTTAAAGTTTATCTCCACACAGACCTTAATCATCTTGCTTGGGTCAGTTCAACCGACGGTTCTAATGAGGAGGGGTTCTTGTAAATCACATAGAAGGAAAGTAAAGAAGGTCCCTCCCCCCATTCAGCCCCGTTGTCAACATACCCCGCCTTTAGTGTATCTTCATCGTAAAATATTCCTGTTTCTCCAGCCCTTCGTCTTCTTTCGCAGAGGTCACTTAAATTAGCAGACTTCACTCCCCTTCTTCACTTGAAATATGTTCATTTGCTTCTTTTGAAATTAATTATTCCAAATTGCTGCAACTAGTGCGCGATCAGAGACAGCGTCCAGGAGATCCGATGTCCACACGGGGGCATTCTGCCTAGGGCCCTCACCCCCTTCTTTCGAATTAGGGGGTGATTTATGGGCACAGCAGGCAAGGGCAGTGTTCCCCATTTCCTTGGGGCAACAAGGGAGGCTGCCTACTCCCATAACAGCCTCTTAATTACCCCGTGTGGGTCGGAGAGATGGTATTGTCGGCCATCTTCCAATGCGCCCCCTAGTGGCCCCCTGGGCAGGCATGATTCTCAATGGCTTTTGTTTAGAAGCTATCAGGCAAGTTTAGCCTTCCATCCAAATGGTGTCCTGAAGTGCACCACTTACTTTATCCCATATTTTATTTTTAATTGTATTGTTTTATTTTTTAAAATAGAATTTACATCCAACTGTTTTCCTCCAAGGAGCTCAAGGTGGTTCTTCCCCATCTTATTTAATCCCCACAACAACCCTGCGAGGCTTCATGGCCTCTCCCAGGTCCTAGTCTGACACTGGCTCTTTTTAGTTTGGTGGCTGAAAAATTCTGTTCTTGGCAAATCTGAGGTCAGTGGATTAAATAACATTTTTAACTGTAACTGTTTTAAAAAGCTTTTTTAAAAAATTGTGGATGTGTTTGCCACTCTGGGCTCCTTCGAGGGAAAGGACAGGATATAAATTAAATCCATCTATTCATCCATCTATCCCGTAGTTTGTCCATTGCCAAACTACTGGATAGATGGGTGAATAGATGGATAGAATTTAAGCATTCTAAAACAGTTAAAACAGCATTCTAAAACAGTAATTTATTGCATGTGTATTAACTTCTTGCATCTACCAGTAATCAGGGGAACAGAAAACTCAGAACCTGGTCTTTCTAATGTTTATATTGGAACATACTATTGCCAGCTCATATTTTGAGTTCAATATCAATAGCAATAGCCATAGAATCCTGGTGTTATAATAGAGCCAAGGATGAGGATCTGCGTACCTGATCGCCAGTTCACAAATGCCAAGGGTGCTCCATCTGACCATTGCCAGCCAGCAGCTCCATCCAGTTGATTTAAACCTGTCCACAGTAGAACTTCCTTTGTGCCCACCTGTTCTGCAGTGTAACAAGAGATCTAGCTTGACATTCAGGTACCAGTTCAGTATTGCCCAATTTATACAGGAATTGCATCTCCAAGCTGGTGGGTTACTTTCTCCACCTTCCACTAGGGAGAATGAGTCATCAGCAGGAGGTACAGGTAACAGCATTCTGCATTCATTACTGCCAGAGGAAACAAGAATCACTTTCAACTCCATTGGACATGCCCAGGTACCCCAAGATGCCAAGCAGTGTAACAAGGATGAGCCCATTGATTTCAAACACTTGGGTGGAGCCTCCTTGCAGTGCCTGCTTGAAGTTGAAATCTCTAGGGCCCCCCCTCGCAAATTATCTCATATTATGTTTTTGCAATTTTCTTTCAAGATCAAATCAATATTACTTTGATTCATTGTCCTGGGGCTCCTAAAAGGTGTGGTGCCAATAGGCCCGTGCCTGCTCTGCCTGTTTGATAATATGGCACTGCCTCCTTGCTTGCATGGGACAAGTGTCCTTCTTCCTCTAACCACTCCAGTTGAACATGTACTGCTAACCTCTCTCCTGGTATTAAGTTTAGCTGCTGTCAGCCTTTCCCCCTTAGGCCGTCCCAATCAAGGAAAGGAAAAGAGTGTGCAGGGTGAGGGTGGGGAGATTAACAGTGGAAGGGGAAGTAGGAGCAGTCATATTGAAACTTTTAGTATTATTTCATCACAAACTATAGATCCTCTTGCACACCAATGAATGTCTTCCGCCAAGTGCATGGGCTCATTCCTATTACCATGCCCCCAACATAAAGGAAGACCAGGACACATCCAGTGCAGTAGACAAGGAGCAAGATGATCCCTATGTCCTATGATAGCCACCCACATGGATGAGCACAAAGTTCCCCGTGAGTTTACCTGCTGAACAAGGTTGTAGGAGAGGGGAATCTGGAAGGTAGGTGCAGTTTAGGGTGTTTGGGGAGGCGGTAGGATGGTTGAAAAAGTTTGAGAAGCACAGCTATGCCTCTTTGTGAATCACCTGTCATTCAGGATTACAATGACACGTTGCACACATAATGCTAAACCAAAGTTTAGTGCTATGTAAATGAACAACAGTGATCTTCAAGCTTGTGTACTCCCTCATCCCCTAACAGGAGATTGAAAGCATCTGTTTTCTGTCACAAGCTAATTGTGGTTTTTCTTTATGGCTGAAAAGGATAAACTGTGGCTACTTTAAACTATGCACTGCTGAAACAAAACAGGATCAAGTTGTGATTTATGATGCTGGCTTGATTCAATAAACCATGTTAAATTAATCAGAATTCTCCATTAAGACATAACAGAAACTCCAGTTACATGAAAACAGGAAGAGGAAGGGTTGTGCAATGGCTGAACATGGAAGAGAGGGGAAGAAGTATGTGAGCCCAAGGTTTGTTGCTGCTCTTTCACGTAGTGTTAAACTATGGCTTCACATTACACGTGAACTGGACCAATGAATTTTGCACAAATGGGGCTAGAGCAACTAGGATGAAATGTGAAATGGACAGCTCTCCTATTCTAGCCGCTGACAGAGTCAAATGAAAGGTTTCACTTACAAACATGGTTGCAAACCTACCACGTGGACCACTAATATACTTCTGTTCTGCCATATTTGTGATGCTTAGCAAATCCGCTCCTTGTCTCTGACATGCAACACGTGCCTCATTCCAAGAGAGAACAGAAAGAAGATTGAATTGGTAACAGATCTGAGTGTCTGCGTTCATCTCCCAAAAAATGTCACAGCCAGTCTCTGTGTGAAAAAAGAGAAATAAATCAAGTTAAAAACAGCATGATATTACAAAGCAATTAAGAAAGATAACACTCTGAGATAACAATCTAGCTTAATTAACACCAAATGAACAAATGGAACTGCTAGGACGTTATTATTACAAATTCGCTTTCAACGTTCTGGTGTCAAAACTATATCAGGAAGTAGGATGCACTCTGAAATTTAAAAGGAAAAGGAAAATCAACTTCACACATAGGACTGAATTCCTCCTGTCTTGATAATGTCAGTGAGTAATACAAGTTTTAACAATTAAGGAAACAGTGACTTGAATTGGTGAGCAGCATCTAATGAAACATTTACTTCCCCATCTTTACTTTCTCACTGTCCATTTATTGGTCTGATCTCCACTGACCAATAGACACATAAATAGAGTTAGTAGACAGAGGTGCATATTAAGTAACATTTCTTTTGTTTAGAAGTGAATTGCTACATCATGTGGCAACTGCAGCTCTGGACAATTAAACCCTCAGATTAGTAAGAACTGCAACAATAAATGAATTGATAAAAATTGCAAGTACTGTAGCAGGGGACACTGTTGAAAGGCAACATTTGTTTTCCTAGGGCATTTATATCCGAGGTGCACTTCAAAGCTTCTTCACTTCTTAAAAATCCTCCCCTTTCTTCTATCTTCTAGATTAAGACAGGAAAGAGACAGGATTCCTGCTGTATTTGCACATAAGGAAAACATGCTTGGTTCTTTAAAAACAACAAGTGGGAATTCCTTTTCAAAAGTTGTATCTTTCTTGCTAGGTGGTTATGGGGCTGCTAAATACTTGAGCCTAAGATGTAAGGAATCGCTGTTACGATTGCATATTGATGGAACTGGCTGAGGAAATAACAAATCTCATACAAAGATAACAACAACTTCTCTCCATGATGTCAGGAAGACTTTAATGAATTATTGGGGAGAGGAAGAGGAATAGAATCTGATCTGATGGAGTCAAAAGTTTATATTTTCATGTAGAATTATGGAAAACGTTTAATGAAATGAGCATGTAGTGTTGCATTGGAAGTCCATCTCCCTTGCTATGATAACAATTGAAAATATTGTATCAGCAAAAGGAAAAAGTACACATTGACACTTGAAAATCTTACTGATTTCAGTGGGGGAAGTGTGCACTTTTGTTTTCTTCCAGTGAAATCAATGGGATGTGCAAGTGTTTAACTTTGGCTGGATCATGTGTGAATGTTGTTCTTGCAAGCATAGTGTACTCCAATACTTTCTTTGAAAGTGGCCAGCTAGAGAGAGGGAGAGAAAGAAAGCAGATGAATGCTGGCGAAATTTCTCACTTGGTTTTATGATAGTACAAGGCAGCTTTTACTAACCTGGTGCCCTTCAGTTGTTCATCCTAGCCAACAAAGCCATTGGTCATGAATAATAGGAACTGGAGTCCAAAAAGATCTGGAAGGCACCAAGTTGGCAATCCCTGCTATAAGGTATGGGACATACTGAATGTAGCATGTAAGATGTGACTATCTTGTTATTCATTAACTGTTGAAGAACACAAGCACATACCAGAATTTGGGCAAAGTCCCCATTTTTCATCTTGCTCATACTGACTTGTTGTGGCACACCAGGGATAGTCATCTTCTCTGGAATCTCTGATGCACTCATAGTGCCATTGATTGTTGTATTTAAATGGAAAAACACAAGGCGAGCCATGGGAATTTCCCAACAGGGTATATGTCTCTGCATGAAATAAAATACTGAGGATAAATCACTTAGAAAAAAATATATATATAGAAAGCAATAGGAAACCCTCTAATTTGTACTCCCCCAAATCTGGTATCACAACGGTCCTTTGATTTGGAATAGTAATCACACTTACATGAAAGGAAGTTCCTTTGAAATCAGTAGTACTTCAGAATAAATGCATTTGGGATTAGGATCGAATGTCAATAATGCAAGATTTTCAACACCAAGGCTGTGAGTTACTGTAACTATATTTGTTTTTCCATGCTTCTTGATATTATAATGTAGTAGAATAGCAGAAGTGACAATGAACTGCTTCAAAAATGCATCCATTTACAATCAACAAAGATTTTCAACTGCTGTCATTATTTTAGTTTCATGGTTTTTAATTTTTAACAGTAGCAAGACAAAATTGCAGAACAATTATTATGTACATGTCATGGACAAAGAATGCCGGAGTTAGCTTACTAAACCAGGACATCCACTCATATTTTTATTTGGTAGCAGTAGACTTGGCCTTTTAAAACACATTACTACATCCATCATAGGATAATTAAGGATTAGAAATTACTCCACAAGCCATCAAATCCAAATGATGCCCTTGTGTCAGGATGTCATATACAGTACTTATACCAGTGTACAGCCTCCAAATTTAATGTATGTTAATGTATTTTAACATTAAAAAATAAGGGCCATATATTTGCGTTGTTTCCCTATCAAATTTATACTTCTCCCCTCCGCCCTCAAACTTTTGGTATGGATTATGTCTTGATAGTAACAACTTGATTTGCAACAGAACATAGGAGGCAGCCTTACACAGACTCAGACCATAAGTACTGTCTACACTGATCAGCAGTACATCTCTAAGGTTTCAGACAGGGGTCTAACCCAAGCCCTACCTGGAGAACTGAAGAGCTTATGGACACAAACCAAATGCTCCACCACCGAGCCATGATATTACAGTATTTTTATTTGGCTATTCATCTAGTTATAATGCATTGCAAATAGCTAATGGCTGCACCCCAAGACAAACAGTATATATTTATTGTAAAGCTTATTTTCACAGGTGGTCTTTCTGCAACATCAGAACACATGGTGTATATCGAGCACAAAACTGTGCAGATCATTGATTCATAAATAGGTTTGTAATTGTGAATGCAGAATTGCAGGCTTCACACAGGAGCACGACTGGAACAAGTATCACGTAAGCCCAGTAATTGTTGGGCTTAGCCATGTGAAATAGATTGAGAATTAGGAGCATAAGCACATAGAAACTGGTGACTGTGGGAGCGCTTTGAAATTAGCAAGCTAAACAATATTTTTTAGAGCACAGCCACTTTTTTGAACTGAATTAATATTTGAGAAAGGTATCACACTGATAGCCTAGAGAGAGATCGAAGCCCTTTGCGGCAAATCAAACTCATGGCATGCATAACACACAAGAAATAGTCTTTGGAGTGCTTCTCCACATAATGTGGGAATAGTTGGCACAAGCTGCGTTTGCTTGCAAGCCACACACAACAAATGGCTTTCCTTAACCCATGTGATTGGATCCTGTTTCTGTTTGTTTTAGTCACTTGTAAAATGCTGTTTTGGAAAAAAAAAACCTATTACCAGTAATATTAATGGAAGCATGGAAAGAAAGCAAATATTTATTTTACCTTTGAATGCATGTTCACAAAGATCCCCATCAAGAGACAGGAATTGTTTCCATCCATATGTTGAATTTATTTTTGCCACAACAAATTTGCCACTCTCAAGTGCTAATTTGTACTGCGATGCACCAATCAACCCTTTTCCAAGGCAGCTCCACCACAGTGAGTGCTGAGCTGAATTGCATTCAGCCATGACCAATGGCTGCTCTTGGTTGCTGATATTGAGTCCTAGACAAGTGCTTCGGCCGATGTTGAAAAGATGCTGTTTAGAACCCCATTTCCATAACATGTATTTCGAAAGCTGAGTGCAGTCTTCAAGGATGAGCTTCGATGTCTCAGCTTTAACACATGTGTTGAGGGAATCACTTTGGATAATAAATATCCCTTTTTCTAGAACAAAAAAAAACTCCATTTCAGTTCATTACAATGACTGGATTATTATCAATAACAGTGATAAGACATTCACAATGCAATCCAATGAATCTCTACTCAGTAGTAAGCAGCACAGGAGTGCAATGGGTCTTACTCCCAGTTAATTATATATAGATTGAATGAATGCATGAAAATCCTTTACTCATTCAAACTTACAACCAAACTTGCCCAGGAATGGCTTTTCCAAGCCTACTGAGTTTTCAGATAACCTTGGGTTTGAATCTGGTTACCCATTCATTTGAAAATAAAATTAATTAATTTTCCTACAAATTGATAGTCATGGTTATTAATGAATTTATTATTAAGTACTGCAAAGTAAACTATGTCATACACTTATTACCTCAATATTCCAGGAGGAATGTCCCAACCTCCGAGACTATGTTTTCCCTGGTTCCCAGGTTACCTCTCTGTGGCAAATGGTAGGAGCAGGGACTGCCGCAGGACAAGAATCAGTCTTGTCAATATTTGTATGCTTTGTAGCATTTAAAAACATCTAGGCAAGTGCTCCTGCCAGAGAAGTCACCTCAGAACTATAACTTTAAAATTTAAAACTTTAAAAAAGGTGTTCCAGTTGTTAAAGATGTGTTGGGGAAGTACGCAAGTCCTTACCACTACAATGACACAGGTGCTAGCCAATAGGCACCTATGATTCTTGTGCAACGAGAGCGCACGTATTTGTCAGAACTTGGATGCCCACTAAAGTGAAAGTGTGGCATGTCTCGGCTACGCTGTCCTCCTCTGTCTCAGAACAAGACAAGGAAAATGCTATTTCCTCACAACAGACATTTACCTGAGGGGGATTACTAGCTCTCCGTCAGCTAAAAACAGTGCATAAACCAATAATGAAAAGATTGATTAGTGAGGCCCTCTAGTGAATGGCTAAGGGTGCTTCCAGTTGACCTGTTTATTGAACATTTATCCTGTTTTGTTTGCAGGGAGGTTAGGTGACAGAGCATCAAAGCAAGTGCTATCCCACACTTTCCACTGCATTTTTCCTGTCACTTTCCTTATTGCAAAAAGTCTCACCTTTTAAAGAAGCAGGTTTGAAGCACAAGGCCTCCCAATCAATTTTATCAGCACAACCTAACTTTGATAGTATACAATTGGATCCCACCTGAAAACGACATCCGTCTGGAATCACCCATACTATGCATTCCTAAGCTTGCTTATTCTGAAATCAGTTCTATAGAGGATTTCTTATTATTATTATCCTAACACTTAATGCAAAAATAATCTTCTAAGCAATTTACAAAGGCTAAGAACCACTACACAAGTGTAAAAATCTAAAAGGTAAAGGTAAAGGACCCCTGACAGTTAAGTCGCGAACGACTCTGGGGTTGCGGCGCTCATCTCGCTTTACAGGCTGAGGGAGCTGGCGTTTGTTTGCAGACAGTTTTTCCGGGTCATGTGGCCAGCATGACTAAGCTGCTTCTAGCAAAACCAGAGCGGCGCACAGAAAGTAAAAATCTAAACAGCCATAATTAAAATACACAACGTAACAAAACAATTACAACTATACAGCTAATTAAATAGGAGATTCAATGGGGCTTCCTGTCTAGTTAGTAATGCCTCCAGGCTATCACTATTTTGCAGGAGGAAGTCAAACACATATCAGAACTTTGGATTTTTGCGATTAAAGTCAATTAAACACAGCTAATGTGGCGCTGTGGTCTAAACCACTGAGCCTAGGGCTTGCCGATTGGAAGGTTGGCGGTTCAAATCCCTGCGACGGGGTGAGCTCCCGTTGCTCGGTCCCAGCTCCTGCCAACCTAGCAGTTCGAAAGCACTTCAAAAATGGCATTTCCGCATGCTGCTCTGGTTTCGCCAGAAGCGGCTTAGTCATGCTGGCCACATGACGCGGAAAAACTGTCTGCAGACAAACGTCGTTTCCCTCGGCCAGTAAAGCGAGATGAGCTTTACCTTTTTTAAACACAGCAAACCCACTTAAAAAGACAGAGAACTTTTTGCGTTTAGGGAAGTGATGTGGGGAAATGCATTGAGAAGTGTGGGTTTAATGAATGATTAGCGGGGCAGGTGCTTCAGTCACCCCACAAACAAATCGGACTTAATGCTCACTGGAAACTAGATATACAGTACTCTAATCATCAGTGCACAAACAAGTCAGGATGAATGAATGTTGCTTGGAGGAGCCCTAAGCCTGTTTAGGACTGCAGGCCAACAGCGCAACCCTAGCCATCCCTACTCAGAAGTAAGCCCTGTCGAATTCAGTGGGTTTACTCCTAGACTGGGCTGCAGTGCAACCCAAGTTATTTGGAGTGACAGTGCCACTTAAGCACGATGCCAAGCGTGCAGCGGGCCCCCTGGACTGGAAGATTAACGCCGGGGGAACTTGACGGCTGACTCACTGTGATAATAGCTGGAAGGGAATCAAAGGGTAGAGAGAGAGACAGAAAGAGAGAGAGAGAGAGAGAGAGAGGAGACGCGCAGAAAAGAGCCGCCGCTTTCCATTCAGCGCCGTCCAAGGCAACTGCACTTTCCCAACAAAACCCCGGCCGCTCTGTCCAGCTGACTTACTCCAAAAGTAGGGCACTTGGTCGCGCGTCAAAGCGCCGAGCTCCTCTTCAGCCAAGCTGGAGCGAACTATCAGCATGGAGCAAGCCCAGACGAGCTGCAGCAGGGACTTGGCACGGGACATTTCCGCCGCGCTTTAAGAGAGGGGAAAACCTTCCCGCGGAGTTGGCAGGAGGAGGACAGCCCCCGTCCGGGAGAGCATGAATGGGGAGCGAGGGGCGGGAGAGCAGCTGCTTCTGTGGGGGTGAGCTGAGCAAGGCGGGAGGCGCTTCCCGCCCTTTCCGCCCGAGGGAGAAAAAACGCCGCAATTTCTTCTCTCTCGTTGCTGCAAGTTCCTCCCTCCCCTCCTGAGGGGAGGCGGATGTCAACCAGGCCGTGACCACGGCAGAAAGAAGCAGGCAGGCCCTGCGGGGCGCTAAATAAATAAGCCACCTTTACGTTGGCAGAAGTAGCTAGAAAAATGGGGGACAGGCCACTCTGGTTGGCGGTGTTTTCCAGACGACGTGCTCCTCCTGGTTGGGTTGTGGGGAGGTTGCACTCGGACGCTTGCGCGCCGCAGTTCATTGCGGCTTTGGCGCTGCTGGCGCGCGCAAGAGTTTGGCATGCAAGTAGCAACGGGAGTTTGCTGAACCCACAGCGGGCTGGTGACGTGATGGAACGTAGGCTCAGCAGCTTGTCATTTGCAAAGCTAGCCCAGGAAGCAAGAGACAAGCATCTGAGCAAGAATCCTGCCCCACAACCATCTCCGGCGAAATTCCAGCTCCATAGGCGGAGATTGCTGCGTAAACAAAGGGCAACTTTCTTTGGCTCTTCTTATACAGCTTTAGTATCACTGGCGCCAACTAGTGACATTAACTAGAAACCCGCTCCTACTTTAAAAGCTACCAGATCACATGTATTCCTGGTGCCACATTCAGGGGCCGTTTTATTTATTTATTTGGCAGATTTATAGATTCCTCATTTCAAGGCGGATAATTGTGTTTCCTAGAAACGTGGGAAGCTGCCGTATAACTGGCCCATGTCATGGCTCTTCCTATCCAAGTCTCTGGCTAGTGGTACTTTGTATAGTTTGTAGCAGAATCGTAACAAAATTAAATCCTATCGAATTCCATGGGGCTTACTGTCAAGACAAGCCTCTAGGATTGCAGCCAGGTAAATTGCTAGGTGGCACTGGACTTAGTAACTAGGTGGAGTCAGGAGTTTCCATCTACTGTTCTCGAATACTGATGTGCACTTCCAGATTTGATGGGCACTTCCAGATTTGTATTTTTTGGGTGGGATTCAACCGCATCCCTGAACATTGGTCATTTTTAAAATAAAAAAAATTATTAAAGATTTTCATGAAATACAAAAGAACATGCAATCTCACTTTTTTCTGTTCAGATTGTATAGTCTTTTGGTTACATTCAGTGTAGGCCATGTTGACTGATGGGAACTGGAGTCCTATAAACCTGGAGGTCTCTTGTCATGGGTGGCTTTCACTTATTATTATTTATAAATTTATATACTAATGGCATTATAAGCAAGTTTCTGCAAATAACTTTCCCAAATATATTAATGTTTATATATACATCTCAGTATTAATAAATTAAAACTGCAGCACTAATAAACATGTATAGGTTTGGGCTGTAAAGTGGTAAAGGTAAAGGTAAAGGGACCTCTGACCATTAAGTCCAGTTGCAGACGACTCTGGGGTTGTGGTGCTCATCTTGCTTTACTGGCCGAGCGAGCCGGTGTTTGTCCATAGACAGTTTCCGGGTCATGTGGCCAGCATGACTAAGCCACTTCTGGCAAACCAGAGCAGTGTGGTAAAGGTAAAGTTAAAGGGACCCCTGACCATTCGGTCCAGTAGTGACCGACTCTGGGGTTGTGGCGCTCATCTCGCTTTATTGGCCGAGGGAGCTGGCATACAGCTTCCGGGTCATGTGGCCAGCATGACTAAGCTGCTTCTGGTGAATCTGAGCAGTGCATGGAAACGTCGTTTACCTTCCCGCTGGAGCGGCACCTATTTATCTACTTGCACTTTGACGTTCTTTCGAACTGCTAGGTTGGCAGGAGCAGGGACCGAGCAACAGGAGCTTACCCCGTCACGGGGATTTGAACCACCGACCTTCTGATCGGCAAGTCCTAGGCTCTGTGGTTTAACCCAAAGCAACCCTAAGCTGCTGTGCAAATACATATAGATGAAGCTCTTGGTTTTTTATGGGTCTTCCAGGCAAGAAGGACTACAATTAACCCCTTGCTTCTTTCATATGCTCCTTCCATTCTCTCTCTCACCTACTCACACAGACAGATAACTGAGACTGACCTTAACTGTTGACTTATGGTTCACTCTGATGGTTGGAAGGTTGGGCATGCATAAGGTTATAGAACATGTAGCAAGTGGACTGCCATGCTAGTCTGGTTCCCCTACAGATGCCAGATTTACAGAACAACCCAGACCATGTCATTGATTTCAGTGAAGCTTTCTCACAGATAAGTGGGGTTAGACTTGCAGCGTGGAACAACCACTGACAGTAGGGTTTGAGACACATTTACACTGACTTTAACAGGGCTTACTGTACATGGATGAATGAGCAGCAAGGTGTAAGTGGATTATTCAACGGTTAGGGAAATTACAGGAAATTACTGCTTCTATGTTTAGTCCAAATGATATCTGAGAGCTACCCAGAATTGATTATTGGAAAGCAAAAATTATAACAGATGTGTATTAGCATTTCTCACAGGTATGCTTAGGATCACAGTCAGGCAGCCCTAAATGTTTTGTGCCACAACAGTTAAAGCACATTCATTACTTGGCAGGTTGTGCAGGGATAGATTTAATTTGATTCACATACCAGACCCATCTGCTTCCACTGATCATTGCAGCTAAGAAAAGAAGGGTATTTCACCCTCACCCCAGCAAAATGGACCACATTGTTGGAAAGGAAACTGCATATATTTGCTGACCACAAGTCACCGTGAAGAACTAGTTCTAGTCCATAGATATCATTTTAAAAAAAGGCAACATTCTGAAAAGTAGTGTTCTAAATAATAGAACAAATTAATAATAATAATAATAATAATAATTTTATTTATATCCCGCCCTTCCCAGCCAAAGCCGGACTCAGAGTTCTAGATACAACTTGCATAGCACAGCAGGAGCTTTCTGTGTTCATAATAATTGATTACTATCAATGTCATTTGACCAGTGGGGTCTCATAAAAAGAAAGATATAATAAACACAATACACAGAAGTGCTTGGAATTCCAACAAGGAAAACCACAAAACTAAAAATAGACTTTTGCCTAAGGGAGCTTGCTACAATTTAGAGGTTACATCTGTGGAGACAGAAGCAACCAAATCCCTACTCTGAGACATCTAAAATGCCAGGTTTTAGAAGCCCACCCAGAACCTTTTGAACTTTCCATAAAGCTTTGTGAGAGCTGCATCCAGCAACCAGAGGTGGATTTAGGGCAGTGTGAGTGTTGCACTGGGCATGCAAAGCCTAATAAGCACTTGCCCAGCTTCTGGAAGGTGGTGTGGGGGTTCGGATAGAGTCCTCCTGCCTCCTTTTCAAAGCCGGCCAAGTGCTTACCTGTGTAACTCTTGCAGTAAAATATTTTAAAGTGATTTTTTTAAAGAGAGAGGGAGGGAGGGTGGGAGAAGATTGTTGTGGGAGGAAATAAGAGAGCCAGCCAAAGTTGCAACTTTTAAAACCAGGAACTTTGAGCCTCTGGAAAACTTTCTTGACAGCCTTCTCCAATGGGAAAAGCCTTTGATTTGCTTGTCAACCTTAAGGCTTCAGCTCTTACAAAAAAAGAAGTTTTTAATCCCTCCTTCAGTGCTAAAGGAGTGCCATAGTTAAAGCTTGCTGCTAGGCTTGCAGCTCAATGGAACGTGCTAAAAGAAGGACCAGGGATTCCCATGACAAGTGCTTGAACAACACATATAAGCCAGTAGTGAGGCTGTGTGGTCACTGTGTGGGGTTGGGCGATGGAACTTCCCCTCCCCCTCTTTCCTCCCCAGTTCACCTCTCCCAAATCTGCAGCAGAGATTTGGGGGGACTCCCAGAGTAGGGTTTGTTTTTTTTGGGGGGGGGGAGTTGAGGAAGGAGCGGGAGAGGAGATGAGAGAGTTGTTCCACTTGTGCATTGACTCTGTGGGAAACAACCCAGTGACAATATCCAACGTTAGGCCTTATCAAAGTAGACCTTTTGAATGTGGATTTAATTCTATCAGTTTCAATTGGTTTACTCTAAGTATGATAAACATTGGCTACCACCCTATGTAAGTAATCCAAAACAATGCACATTTTTTCTGACTCTGACTATACTGCGCAATAAAGGAAGACTCCTTGATCCATGTGGGTTATGTTCCATCCTTGCAGATAAAAAAATGTATCTGAGTATGCTTCATAGCTTAGAAGCACACTCCAATATAATTTTTAAAAAAGTCTGTAAGGGTGAAACAAACCCACACAGATCAAGGATTCTTCCCTTACTGTTCAGTATAGTCATAGTTAGAAAAAAATCCAAATTTGTGAAAGCTTTTGGCAAGCTTTTGCTTTTTTATTATGCCTGGCATGTATAATCATGGTTCTTCTAAAGATCTCTATCCATCTTTGCCAATTGGTGACAAAATGTTAAGACAGTGGAAAGATTTCAAAGTATGGACCATTTTCTGGAAATACAGAAAATGAAGATTTAGAGAGAGGTTGATTGTAGGTAGGTTCTGCTATAAATTACAGACCACGGATAGCCACTATAGAGCTAAATCAATTCCAGCTTTCATACCCCACTGTGAAATATAAGCAGACATTCCCATGGTGTGCTTGAGAAGTATGATAGAGTGGCAATATAGCCCCTGTCAAAGACAGAGAAGGAATGTGCTCTTCATCACAGCAGGATATTAGCAAGAAGGATAAATATATATATATATGAATTTATATTAGGGAAGGAAAATGAGAACCAACAGAGAAAAACCCTGCAATTTCTCCAATATTTTACAACAGTGTAGATGAAAAATAATTATAATGCATATGTCTTCTCTATCCAACAATTACACATAATTGTGTAATAACCTGGAAAAGCAAGTTGACTACAAAAGACTACATTTATTTGAAAGTTCTTCATAAAGCAGATGCAAAAATGAGCAGCAATGATTGAGTTAGAGCAATGTTTTAGGAAGTTGCAACAACAACATCTATGTCCAGAATTTGACCTGGGGTTATATAGGTATCATTATTGATATTGCCCAAAGTAATCAATAATGTAAGCTCTTGGACAAAATAGGTTGGGGGAAGAAAAGCAAAACAAAAACACTGTAGGAAAGCAAATGGAGGTCTATGGGGATTGCTGGGGATAACTGAACTCTTTAAAGTAATTTGAGAACTTCCAGAATTGGCAGTATTTGTAGAAAACCTAAGCATTGTAAAATAATGCAATCTTCCCTCTTCACAAAATGTTTAAGAAACTTGCATCTGCAAATAAGATGGAGTGACTTTACTTGAAAGGGAGTAGAGGGGTAATTAGTATCTCATATAAACTTTTTAATATTATGCTTATGTGGCAAAAATATCTGGTCTGAACCAGATAGCCTGAGCTGTGATACTCTATGTGTGATAGGATACCAGAGTATGCATCCAGAATGGTCATGTAATATGGTTGTCCCTTGTAGAGAACTATATGCCTGAAATCCTGATTTGTGCAATCTTTTTATCCATGTTTGAGGAGAAAGAATAATGCAGACCTGTTTGCCCCATGTACAAGGCTCAACATTGGGCACCTTCAGTATTTGCATTACAGAGTGTATGGTTACATGCCCATTCTTCAGTAGAGGTGACCCAAGTCATTTTGATTTATATCTGATTAAGTCAGAGGTTCCAAAACTGTGGTCCATGGACTAGCTTAATTCAGGTGTTCTGTGGTGTAGTTCATGACTAAATGCCACTGACAGACTTGCCTTCTGTGAATCTGTCTAATCCCCATCCTTTTAGACCATTGGCCATCACCACATCCTATGGTGAAGAATCCCTTATATTATGTGTTGTGGAAATTATGTTATGCTTTTCCATGCTTCAGGAAAATCCAGGTGGGCATGTGAATTCAAGTGACGGTGGCAATACACACATGTAATTAAATATATATGTTAGATACTGAATAGGGATCCAAAGCTCTTTCTTGAAAGTCAGTGTGATGTGTGGTGGCCCTGAGATAAACATTGCGAAATTGTGACACCCACCCACCCGAGTTACTTACAAACAGCAGGAATCAGTACCAAATGTTGTGACACATGGCACACACAAATTATAATCTTTATGGGTCATAACCATGCCCAGGATATTTGACTTGTTATAGAATCTGAAAACCTGTGCAAAAGTGCTTGATTAGAACAATTCTGCTTACATATTAACATTTTAAAAAGAAAAGAAAAACTACTTAAAATGTCAAGTTTTAATTTTTTTTTAAATTTAATGCATGCCATTCACACAATATTTACATATTAAAAAAAACCTCGTAACAAAATGCCCAAGGGAATCCAATGAGTAAAATGTAGTTTTGGCCTCATTTAAGGTCCAGCCTTGGGTCAAAACTATTTCAGGAAACATAACTGTTCAGACATTTCCAGTGTCTTCACCAAGTACATTCATACTATGAATAACATAGTGAAAGTTTGCTCTGGGAGAAAAAAAATCAAATACCACTTCATGGTAAAAATAAAAAAAAAGACACCCCGCTTACAAGCCAGCTAAACCCTCCATCTTTTCTCTCACCTTCTAAAATGCAAGAGGCACTCTGCAAAAAGACTTTTTTGTATAACTGCATATACAAAACAACATTTTAAACCAAATGTAAGTTCTATTTTGTGCAATAGGATTTACATCCTAGTAGCAGGACAATCCTATACATATTTATATGCAGTAAGTGAGGCTTCCTTCTGAGTAGAGATCTATAGGATTGCACTGTAAGTCTATTTAAAATTGCAGCCTTAGTTGTGGGGAATTTTATTAGCCAAACACAGAAACCTTTCCTAAGTCTGATTACTTTTAGTACTGGAATCTTTCACCATGTCAGAGCTTTAACGTCCACATCAGAGAAAGAAATTCAACATGTTTTGAAAGCAGTAGTGTTAAAATCTTGAGTTTATGTCATGTGGCTATTAACAGCATAGGAATCATGCCTCAAAAAAGTGGCAACTAACATCTTCCATGACTATTACTGCTTATGAGTAAAGCTACATTCTGTTTTGTCATTTGGACACAAATGCAATGATTAATGAACATGCAGCATTTTATTGAGATGGCTCACGTGTATTTTTTATAATGATCTGCTTTCTGAAGTGATTTGCAAAGGAATGAACATAGCTGCCATCTTTGTTGAGGTGAGTAGGGAAGTTTCCATATGCACAATCTCTGTGTGTACACCTCAGAACACAGTGCATCCTAAGAGAGGTTTGGTTTCAGGCAGTGACACCAGTTTACTCTTGACAGGTCTCTCCAGCGTCTGGCTATGATGTTTCTTGCTGCTGAGAATAGGTGGGTTTATAGTGCGCATGGGAATTATTATCTTGGAAGATGTTTAGTAGGGCCAGTTCTGGGATGACTTCTAATAGCTGTTTAGTTACTTTGCTTATTTGTTGTAGGACTGTTGTCCAGAAGGGTTGGATTTTGGGACATTCCCGCCACATGTGGAAGTATGTGCCTGTGGAACTGCAGCCTCTTCAGCATTTTGGTTACTTCACATCCAGTTCTGAATTCTGATACAGAAAATGAGTTCTCATAGATCAAATTAAGCTATGACTACGGGTCTTCCAACCATGAAAAGCACATATTCTGTCATCCTAAACTATTGTACCACTATAGCATATTAATAATAAATTTTGAACAAATTTAGTAAATGTAACATTTTTTCAAACTATTCCCCTTCCACCCCCAAAATCATTCAGGGTGCTAAAATATATCTGCAGCAGATCCGGGTTGTCTTTCCTTTTGCCTGTATGTAACATTTTTAAATGTTGTTGTTGAGCCTCTGTACAATGGGTTTATTCCCTAGAAAAGAGCGGGAAAATTGTATTCAGTAAACTACTTCATATTTGATTCTGTGGCTTTTTTTTTTTTACTGCATTTGGTTTTTTAACAAAAACAGTTAATAAATAGATCTGTACTTAAATCTGATGTTAAATGAAAAATGCAAACAACTAAAGTAAAATATTTTGTATATTTCCCAAGAAATAACTTAGGCAATCGAAGGGTCATGATGATCCTATTTAGTTTCTATTTCTGCAGAAGTATAACAGAAACAAGTTAGTCTATTTCACATAGAATTAGTAGTATACTATATTAGTTGTCCTGTGCTAAAAAATGCAATCTCTAACTAAATTTGTGCTTGTATACAGTATAACAAAGTAACTCCACTGAATGGGATTGTGGTGTCAAGCAATTCATTCCTCCTGCTCTTAATTGCTTGTTCATGGAGCATCAATGATAAAACAAATTACAAGCTCTTCCTATTAATGGCAATTTAATTTGATATTGCTACAAGCATTGTTCTTCCTGGTGGAAAAGGCTTTTCACATGTCATACTTCACTATGTTCTATACGTGCATTGTTCCTTTTACCTCAGAAACCCTATCTAGCTTCTAGCATCACAAGACATAGCCTCTCTTATAGATTGTGGGGCTTAGGTAGAGAAAAGCGCAGCATAGGTTGTTGGCTATCCAGTGTGATACTGGGCTTTAAAATTTAATTGTTACCTCAAAGCCAATTAGTAAGATGCACACACTGGAATTCCTTGCATGAGGAGGCCATTAAGCAGGGATAGAGAACCTCCATCAGCCCCAGTCAGCATGGCCAATGGTCAGGGATGGTGAGAGTGCAACAACATCTGGAGGAGTGGAGGAGTGGAGGCAGAGGGGTGGAACACAGATTCTCCATATGAAGCTGCTGGGGTTTGGGGTGAGGGCTGAATCTCCTCAGCCATAATGCCATTGCCACTTGCCCTTAGCAGTTTGGCCAGGGAGAGCCTGCCTCTACACACTCAAGAAATGGGCAGGGAAGTTTGCCAGTAAGCTGCAACACAGAGCTAGAGAAACTGTATGTGCTTCTGTCCCTCTCAGATATGGTGGTACACTTCCATTGGGAAGTAAACCCAGGGGGTGACATTTCATGAGAAGTCAGACATCTACTGGGTTGAAAGCAGCACATGCCTTTGTTGCATGCTGCCTTCTATATAGATGTTAATAAGTTCTGCCTGGGCCAAATTGATCTTCAGATGTGAATACCGGTATATTTACTCCTTACTTTAGATACTTTCAGGAAAGAACTATGATGTTTCCTTGCGTATTCTGAAATATCCTTATTTTAGACATTTCAACAATTTTAATGCCACTATGTTCAGGTATGTCTTAGTGAGTCAGTGGAGTACACTGCAGAACATTCAGTTTTTCTTGAAACACAAAATCTACCCAAAACATGTGGCAGCTGCCATTTTGCAACTGAATAAAGTAAAGAACTATGAAATTTTACGTACTGTTTGCCATTTGGCCTTCGATCTCTCTGCTTCAAAATTAGCAACTTCTTTGCGGTCATGAAATGAAACAAACAGTTTCCATATGCAAAGCAAGACAACCCCAGTGAGGGAGATAGCAATCGAAAGACCCAGCACAATCATTGTAATATTTGGAGGTTGTGGACAGGCTGTAAAAAGAAAGGAAAACCCACATATATGGTTACAAATTAGGCTACACATTTGAAAAGATGCTCTGAGTGGTTTAGTTCTGTATGCTTTTCATGTAACGACTGGCATCCTAACCCAGATCCCAGTGAAACAACAAGGGATGTTATGTATGCTGGCTGCCTCATTCACTTCATTTCATGAGGAAATTCTGCATGCATGAAGGAATGCACATGTGGAGCTCCACCTATCATTCAAATGAATAGGACAAAGTTTGGGAGCATCCACAGTAAATCAGATGATACATAGCTGAAAATAAACTTAGCATTGTCAGCCAGGCTGGTTTCTTTTCCATATTGCTTCTTATCAAAGGTTGTGTAAGAAACGAATATCTTAGGTGCACTTTCTTAGCTCATTGAAGAACAGTCTCTCTATAACTTATTGGCTTCGAGACTGAAAACTGGACATCCTCTTCAGCTCCCTGTACCCCTGAAAAGCTTCTTTGGTTGGGGGTCAGTGGATTCTCCTGAACACTGCGGAAATTTCAGAGGCAGTTTTAGGGCACTGTGACTGGTGTGGTGACACTACTACAACAACATGAGAGGTGGGCTGCACTGAATTTTTTTGCGTTGCACAAGGTGCCACTGAAATTTGAGAGCCCCAAGTCTTCCACTGGTGGAATGGAGCATTTCCAGAGAGTGTTACCCAAAATATGGTTGAGCTCCACTTGCACATGATGCAACTGTTCGATTTTGGCCAATTTGCTCTCCACTGCCCCCAACCTCAGCATAGGAAAATGTGAGAGCATTTTCAGGCAGATAGTAGAAAGGATAGGAATGGAAAATGGTAAAAACCCCTTCTGAGAGTGTTCTCCTCCCTGCAGTTCTCAGGATCCAATCCAAATTTCCAGGCCAACTTTTAAAAATATATATACTTGTTAGTAGTGTATGTAAGAAATTATTTACCAAACCCAAGTTGCCTACCTTTTTGATTTATGCTACGAATGGTTGTTTTCCCCTGTTCATCAGCTGCCATTTGAAATGTGATAGCACATTCATTTTCTCCAAGTAACAAACAAGGAACAAATTTATCTTCCATGATATCTGTGGGGGAAAACACTTTTTTTCAGGTCAAAAACCATTCATCATGCAGTAACCATGCAGATTAAAGGATTTATATCACAAGGCTGTTTTCAACAGGCACTAAGGAAGGAAGCTAAAATACTTAAAAGAATTTCACACAATACTTCTACGACTAAAAGGGTTCCCCCCTCCCCGTTTTTGTTACACTTTGCACTTAGGTTTCAGTTGAGAAGGTCCAGGTGTTGTCAATCTGCATTGACCATCAAGAGCACCCACCAAGTCTGCTGTAATTTGAAATTCAATGAATTGGAAATACTTCCAAGAGAGATGTCACAGCTATTTAGGGAATATAATAGCCCTGATTATAGTACAAAGTAAATAATATGTTCTCTTTGTTTTTTTGCTACTGGTAGTATGTCTAGACTGTGTTTCAATGCATAGCATGTTCACTTCTCAGAAAAAGAAAGGAAGGATACTGATCCTTTTCAAAGGAGCTGTCGCATATTGCTTCCAGAATGTTGTTATAAAGATTAAGGTAAAGTGCATTTTAATAGTGATTAAATTAAAATATTATGAAAAGAACTGAAGCTTTTGGAGAATTCTAATGTTGCTCACTGAAAAATAGATAAAAATGAATCTAAGATTAACCTAAGATTTTCCTATTTGTATTTGCCTCTGTGCATTTAATATGATTCTGCAAAAAATGTTTTCACCTAAATAGGAAAAAGTTTATGCCCCTTCAAGAGCCTAGAAGGCATGGGTTTTGTGTGAAGAACTGTGACTGACCACGAAAAGGAAGAACAATGGAATATGAATCAGTTCACTTTAATGTACCTACAGGTGCTAAATGTCAAGTCTACAATCCACAAACTATTTTCAAAAAAACAGTAATAATGGTCCTCATAGAAGTTCCTCTGAAATCTATAGCCACACCATGTAAAGTACCATATTGGTGTAATTGGCAGAAAGAAACAGTTTGCTGAAAGATTCCGCTTGCCCTCCAAACAACCTTATTTATAAGTACTTATTTCGTAGTAACTTCCATTGAACTTCAATGGGTTTGCTTCCAAGTAAAATGCATATAATTGCTGTGCATATCTTGACAGTGGGGCAGAGGATAGAAGGAGGGAAGGACAAGGCAAAGATAATAAGGTGGGTATAATTGTAACTGAAAACACTACAACTTTGAAAAAGTTGAATGCCCATGTATGACCATTCTCTGGGCCTAAATGAGGCCTAGGTGAAGACAGGCTCTTCCCATACCAATGCAGAAAAATGGCAGGAGAATGCTTCTCCCCACAAGCGTCATGAGTTAGGTTGCGCATATGCACTTCCCTCATCATAGCACTGGAATAGCATGTTAGCTATTAGTCTTGCTGAAATTGTGGTGGATTCATGGAAAGTAAGCAGAGTTTTCGTTCCACTAAGGCTGCATACCCAGCACACTGAAAGCACATGGCTTCCCCTAAAGAATCTTTGAACTGTAGTGTAAGGGTGCACACTTCAACTACAGTTCTCAGGATTCTTTAGGGGAAGCCATGTGCCTTCAATGTATGTAAAAGAAATCCTCTGCACAAATTCTCACATGTATAGGGATCCTTGTACAGTGCTTTGCTTTGCTTCCCTTCACCCAGTTCTCTGCTACCAAGAAATATACTGTTGCATTTTTTAAAAAAAAAATTATAATAATGATGTTGGTACAGAATGTAAACATCAGTTTATTGTTTCTATCTGAAAAGCCTTTGGTTTGTTCTTAGCAATTTGGGGCAACCATCGTCAAGATGCTGATCTACTAAAAACACCTCATTTAGGTGTTTGACCTAATTATTATATCTGTGAGGTCATGTCTGTGAAGTGTTTACAGCACCCCAGATGATCTTACTTGATCTCAAGAACTACAGTTTTGTCTGTTATTCATATTTGTTGTGGGTGGGAATAGAGTTGACAAATGACTTCATGTAATAGATAAAAAGAATGAGTCTCATTCCGCCCCCCCCCCCTTTTAGAGAAGCTCTACTTCTTGGTCAGCTATTTGACATCAGTTCTGCCACTGGGGTCAACAATGAGTCTGGTTTGTAAACCGGAAAGAGAAATTGCCTCTCTTCCTGCTTTAAAGAATTTAACAATTCCTATCCAGGTTTGAGGATGAAAGGTGAAATTTCTTTCAAGAAGGGCCCTTCTCCTGTACCTTTAACAAATTTAGCAGGTGATACTTTTTGTAGCACAGAAATCATTGTGTGAGATAAAGAATATTGTCTGTAGGCAGATGAGGTCACCACCTTCTGCTGCTAAACAGTTCTGGATAAGGGGCAGTGCCTGCCTCAGAGCAAAATAGATTTTAAAAGCTTCATATGGTTCATTTCCCTGCATCAAGTTGCAGTTAAAAGAAAGGCACAGGAGTACCTGCTAAAACACTGCCAGCCCTGAACCTGAAATTGTTGTAGCACTTTTCTGTTTGACTAGTGCTAGTGTCAGGGAGCTCATCTCTTCTCAGCATTTCTTTATTTTGCAAACAAAGCCCATAAACATCTACTCTTTTCATCTTCCTTCACATTGGATCACATTGCTGTAAACTGAGATAATCAGTTCTGTTGTCAGCATAATGAATTTGTTGCATACATTTAGTTGCGTAAACATTTGACCTTGAACACCAGAATTCACTCTCTGCACACTAAATCGGGTAGACATATAAGTCATATGCCTGATGTATTTATCCTATGTATATGTCTAAAATATTATATATTTAATGCTAAGATTTCTGACATGAATTCTTAGAGCAAGATGCAATAGAATAAAATAAAATAACCAAATACACATTAACAGTTAAAAACATACAGTCCAATCTATACTTTATATTGAATAAGCTACCCCCACTTCCTGAAGGAAGACCTTAGATCAGGGATGAGCAACCTGAGGCCCTCCAGAAGTTGTTGGACTATAACTCCCATCAGTCCTGCCCACTGGCCATGCTGGCTAAGGCTGATGGAAGCTGAAGTCCCACAACATGTGGAGGGTCACAGAGATTCTTCACTTCTACAACAAAATAACAGAATGACTTGAAAAATGCAAGCAGCAGCATGTAATAAATACTACTGGGGATAAATAAGCCTACAACCAACGGTGCCTAAGCAATACATTTAAATAAATAAATGTACTACATACCTTCTCCACTACTGACAGTCGCATCAACCAATTTACATTTCTCAGCGCACTCTTCCTGAGACTGATCATTAGAAGCTAAATAGCATTCTACGCAGCTCCTGAGAAAAAATGATTCAACAGCTCATCAATCTCTGTCAGTTACAAGGCACCAGGAACAAAAGGGAATACATATGTAGTGTTCATTTTCAAAAGTAACTTACAAAAGATCTACATGGGTCAATAAGTAGTACTTAGCAGTGTTATGTGTATTGCATTTAAAAACTCTGAAGAAATATCCTGTAGCTAAGTCTTTTCCTGCACTTCCCCCTTCCTTCGTCAAGCTCTCATTGGATACAAAACACAAGAGGGCAACATTATCCATGTACAGCAGCTTTCAAACTGTGTATTGCGACACATTAGTGTGTTGGCTGCAGTGTGTAGATGTGTCACGCAAGCACTCCCCACACTCCTCCCAGGGCTGGAAAAGGGTTAGCTTAACATGAAGAGTCTGGAAAGCTCTGATGTACAACATCAATGAAAACCTTGAGTAAACCTGAGGCTTGATTAGCATTATGTGCTCTCTACAGGGCTTCCCTTAGGCTTAGTCCAGAGGCTGCAGCTGAATGTGGTGGCAAGATTGCTAACTGGAGTGATTGATTGCCAGCACATAACAGTTGTGTTACAGGATCTGCACTGGCCGCTATGAGGCCAGTTGTAGCTATTGGTCTATAAAGCCCAAGGGCATACCCAGACTGTCACCTGCCAAGGGCACAGACTCCGGGGTTGCAAAAATCATGCCTCTCCACTCCGACCTGGAGTGACTAGGAGCCCACCTGCCCATCCACATGCTTCCTCGCTGCTCTTCTGCTGCTCTGGGCGGAAGGGTGAGGCATGTAGTCTCTTCTGGGTACCTCCACAGCAGGACTCCAAGGGTGCAAGTGGTGGGAAGGGCATCAATACAGCTCCTTGCCAAGGGTGCAAGGGGGCCTAGGTATGCCTCTGATAAAGCCCTTAACAACTTGAGACCATGGCACCCAAGAAATAAATAGTTACTAAAAAATGCCTTGGTTTTGATTATGGTTTTTTTGGGTTTTTTTGCTTGTTTACCCAGACTATTGTTGTAGAACAGAAATTTGCTCTAGATTGGGATATATAATTTCAACTTGACATATAGATAAAGGCTGCAGGTGCAATGTATAATTTTAACTACTTAAACCTCATTAAAATCCAAGGGACTAAAGTGTGCCTGACTTTGGGTCGGGTATGGCCTATGACTTTAGCCTTTAGTCATAATCAAAACTGGGTTCCTAATAGACCCTCCCCAAGTGTAGCATCATGATAAAAGGGAAGAAAGAAAAAGAAACCCTGTTTCTTCTCTTAACGGAAGTCGCTAGCATATTAGTCACATTTCTTAATAGGTACAAATGAAAATATTAGTTAAAACTAAATGTGTTTGTTGATTTAACTGATGGCTAGAAATGGCATAATTAAATTCATTGAAGGATTATGCACAAAGAAAAAACGTATCTGAATTGATCTAACACCCACACAAGTTAGTGGAAAGGTTGTTAATTATTCATCTGCAATTGAAGCCAGGTCTGAGCTTCCTAGTTAAAGAACGTAATGAATGACATTCATGAAAGAAATTTACATGTATTTTCATACAACCTACCAGAAAAATGACTAATCTAACGATAACTTGAACTGGAGTTCAAGGAGTGCAACTTGATCCTATGAGTAATTCTGCCAGCAAATACGTGTTTCACACAGGTCACAGTGACCACTCTGCTTGCAAAAGCCATTATATGGGGCATTGCCTTGATGTTTCAATCCAAACCATGGCACAGCAACAGTAGTGACTAATTTTTATTTTAATAGTTGTTTCCCCCACTGTGGTGTTTGCCACCCTGGGCTCCTTTGGGAGGACTGGTGGGATAGAAACTGAATAAAAGGAGAGTAAAAAGAGAGAAGTGCTGGTACTCTTTACCAGTGAATACCAGCATAAAAAGCAGCAGCAGCAGCAGCAGCAACAACAACAACAACAATAACAATAACAGGACATTGAAAGTAAGAAAAATATATCAGGAAATAAAAGGTAACAGGTAAAGGTAAAGGACCCCAAACAGTTAAGTCCAGTCAAAGGCAACTATGGGGTGCGGCTCTCATCTCGCTTCAGGCCGAGGGAGCCGTCGTTTGTCCACAGACAGGTTTCCAGGTCATGTGGCCAGCATAACTAAACCACTTCTGGCGTGACGGAACACTGTGACAGAAGCCAGAGTGCAGGGAAATGCTGTTTACCTTCCCGCCACAGTGGTGCCTATTTATCTACTTGCACAGGCGTGCTTTCGAACTGCTAGGTTGGCAGAAGCTGGGACAAAGCAACAGGAGCTCACCCCATCGTGCCGATTCGAACTGCCAACCCTCCGATCAGCAAGCCCAAGAGACTTAGTGGTTTAGACCACAGCGCCACCCGCTCCTTTTATATCAGGAAATACAGTAAATACACCAGACACAAACTCAGCACCCTTGAAATATTGCTATACTTTTGGACATGCGACAGAAACAGACATTTCCAGACATTTAAAGGCGTATAATTTACCGTTTAGAAGTGCAAGGGTCGGCATAGGGTGAGTATTTTTCACACGTGCTTCCTGAAACCCCGGGATTTGTGCACACACATTTTCCACACATGCATTCACCTCTCCCACTGCAGATTGTGCCGTCAGCAGAAGCACAGCTATTGGTGTCAGTGGTGCAGTTACAGTATTCACCCGTCCAGCCACTGTGGCATCTACACTGACCACAGTCACAGTTGCCATTGCCTAAGGAAAGTCATGGAGGTTAGTTCTTGTTTTGATTTCTGTTCTCCCCCAAGCCAAGGTCTCAAAGCCCAGAATAATTTGATCAATCATTATGCCCCTCAAATATCTCTGTCATTTGCAACCTTTCCCTCTTAATCCCCACAAAGCTGCCTCAAATGTTGACCGTGGAGTTTGGGGATGATAAATCCAAGAATTGATATAATTTGAAGAAATTCAGATAGCTGCTATAGTATTGTGGCACTTTCATTGGGACCAGCTAAAATGGCAAAGTACTGAGCTATATTTTTAGGTTCGAAGGGTTGATGTTTCACAGACAAACTCCCTGACAATGCCAATCCTAAGTGTGTTTATTCAGAAGTATGTCACATGGGGCTTACATCTTAGTAAATGTGTTTAGGTCATAGGGTTGCGATATTCTGAAGAGCAAAAAAGAGGATGCTATGATGACTCTCATTTTAAATACCCCTACTATAGGGAGGCTATAGCAGCTGGGATATATTGCTGGGGTGGGGGGCAGGAGAAGAGAAGAGGAAAGCAAGTCTTCAACCAGCAGTTATGTCTATGTCTCAACCAGAAAGTATAGTCAGAGACATTTTGGCAATTTTTTTAAAAAAACTACCTGGACAGAAATGTTACCCCTGAAAAAGAGGATGTGTCCTGGAAAAAGAGGACACATGGCAACCCTAGTTTAGGACTGCAACAGTAGTCTGCAAGAGCTCCTTGAACCACCATGTTAAGAACAATCAATGTGAATTTTTAAATGGATACTGTTTTAAACTTGAATACTGCTTATACTTGAATACTGTTTTTGAAATAGAGCATATATTCAATTGCCAACTTCTATTCTATTATTTATAATTTTAAAAAATGGCAGTTTGCAAAGGACTTACCTGCACATAGCAGTCCTCTAAATCTCCCACAAGAGAAACTGTCACATTCACAAAATGACCCATAAATATGTCCATATGCCGATGGGTGGCAAATGCACTGTCCACAAAAGCAGTCACCTCTTCCACTACAAGAGGTTTCCTCTGGAGAACTTTTGCAGGCGCCTGTACTCAGTGAGTCTTTTTCACCACATTCACAGTGAGGACCCATGTAGCCTGGGTTGCAGGTGCACACCCCACATTCAAAATAACCATGTCCGCCATTGCACTTGAAGCTGTTCATTTCAGCTTCTTTCTGACAATTGCAGCTGCATTCTGACTGGATCTCAATTTCCAGAGCTTCATTCAAGCCCACCGGCTTTATTATGACGTTCTTTGGACTTTTCCCACAAGCAGATAGGCTTAAACTCACATTGAAACTGACCTAGGAAAGGAGGAGGGGCATCTGTATTTAACCATTCATTGCTGCAGTGTACAAAAACGCAAAAGAACAAATATTAAAAATATAAGCTAACAAAATCAGCAAAGTCTAAGTATTCAAGAGAGTAGTTCCATTAGTGCAAGGATTTCTGTTCATGTAACAGAACTTCCCTTCCCTCTCCTTTCCCTATGTGTTCCCATGCCCTACCTAAATCTGCTTTGGAGGGTCTTCGGGAATTCCAGAACGGATTTAGGGGATGGGGGTGGTAAGTGGAGAGAGGGGAAGTTGTATTGTGCAGTCAAACATCTTTGAACTAACAGAACTATTTTATTGGATATCACCCTAACATTTTATTAGAGCACGAGCTTACACAGATTAGAATCCATTTCCCCCCCAAATGCAGCTGATGGGAAGCAGAAAGAGAATGAAATCCCTGACTAAAGATGTTTTACCATGTGATGCTGTCTTTGGCTTGGGGAAAATTCATTGTTTTATTGCATTGTAATGTAGTTTCTTTGGTTTTATTGTTTGTTATTATATACATGTTGCATTTGTTATTTTGTAAACTGCTTAGAGACTGGCTTAAGTATTAAGAAGTATATAAATTTAAAGAATAACAACAACAGTACAAACTTTGGCATGTCTACTTTGAAGTAAGCCCCATACAACACAATCACAAGCACATTTTTTGCAGGGAATAAGCAATTGCTTGGGGACTTACATCTGAGCAAACATGCATAAACATTGCACTGCACACAATGGAAAACACAAGAAGGAAGCATTCGCTTTTATGCAATTTTAAAATCAATTTAACATAATATCCAGTAGGAGAACTCTGTCTTTTTTAAAAAGAAGAAAACTATAATTGGAGGCAAAGAAAAGAAAATTCTGTTACAGCATTAAGTCAATTCCAGCTCAGTCCAATGTCGGAATTCTCTGACACTGAGCTCCGAGGACTCTGCAAAACATTCTGCATGCAGGAACTTCACAGGGAACTCTGTGAATTGCAGCTCTGTGAGGGGAATAGGGGCTTCATAACAACTCTCAGCTGATATGAGTTGTAGCCCACAACATCTGGAAGGCACCAGGTTGGGGAAGGCTGCTACACACCTTGACTGTTCCTTAGAATCAGGTTATAATCAGATTTACAATGAGAAACATGATTTATGAAATCAGAACCTACTTACCACCTCTCCCACTTGAATGTGAGAGCATTTCCTTTGGTGTGGAAAAGCAGTGTAGTTGTTACAAATGGCAGTGAAAGCAAGGTTTACCCCATCTGTGTCTCCCAACACCTCCAGCTCGATTTCTGACCGGAGTGCCTTAAGGGACATAATGATTGGAACAATGTCATTTCATTTGGGAAGCTAACATCTTGGGAGGCCCTTTTCCAAGTTGCCCTGCCAAGTGAAGTTCAGCAGGTGGTTGTGGAAGAGAGGGTCTTCTCAGTATGTGGAATGCCTTAAACAGAGAGGGGCTCACATGGAACTTCATTTGACATCATTTCAGTACCCACTGAAATGATTTTCCCGGGACTTTAAAAACCCATTTAAGTTTTTCGCAAGCCGGATTTGAACTATAAGCAACAGAAGGGATTGAAGATTACAGTAGTTTTGTTAAGGTTTAAGAGAGAGAAGACAGTGTGCAGCAGAGGGAGAGAAACAGAAACACAATGAGAAAAGGGGTGTGAAGTAAAAAAAAAGTTTTTGTTATGTATTGAAATTTATGTGTGAAATTTTGGAAAATTTAATAAAAAAACTTCAGAAACGAATTAAAACCCATTTAAGTTTTAAGATGGTTTTAATCTCTCTCACTCATGTTTTTATGCTGTATTATGTTTTTAATTATTTATGTACCATTTTTTTCCTAGACTGCCTTTTGTCCCAGAGGATCTCAGGGCAGTGCACAACACGTCTAAAAAACATCGAAAATCAAAATGCCAATAAAAACAACTTTGCAACTAAGATATTTCAGCTGCAATTTAAAATAAACTCAAGCAACCTACAGTGCTCACCCAAATGCTTGTAAAAAGAAATGTTTTCAGTTGCCTTGTAAAAATTATTAGTGAACGGGGTAGGCATGAAGTTTTATTTTTCTAAATAGGGTTCAAATTTGGGCCTGAATGAAACTGGGCAGCCTCAAAGTGCTTGGGACTGGGTTATTTTCAGAAGTACAAAATCAAAGTCTGAACCAATTTTCTGATTGGTACCCTCATCCCCTTACAGACATTTGCAGGAAAATGGGTAGGTTGCGGGTGATGAATCCCCTGTCTATTGCTTCTGTATGAATGAATGACTGAAAAGAGCTTTGGATTAGGTAGGAGGATATCTATTAATTTAGTCTGAAAGAGTAACTGATTGTGAAAATAGCTTGAGGTGTGCAATGGCATCTTTCACTTGAGAAATGCTCTGTAGGGTAGGACTCAAACCAATGGCTTCAAGTTACAAGAAAGGAGATTCTGACTAAACGTTAGGAAAAACCTTCTGACAATAAGAGTTGTTTGACAGTAGAACAGTCTCTCTGGGAGGTTGTGGACTCTCTTCCTTGGAGGTTTTTAAGCAGAGGTTGGATGTCCATCTGTCATGGGTGCTTTAGCAGATTCCTGCATTGCAGGGAGCTGGAGTAGATGACCCTTAGGGTCCCTTTCAACTCAGCAATTCTATGATTCTATGAAATAAAGATTGATAATACAATTTTTTCAGTGTCTGAAATCTGGGTGATTCTAATCGCAGGCTGATCTGTTATGCCTTTACCTTTATCTTTATAAAGAATTTTCTTCTAGCCCTGGTCACATTGCAAACATTCAGAGTAGGCAAAGTTAACTTCCAAATGTAATTTATTTGGTGAGAAAAGACAATGGATGAACACTAGGTTGAATTTAAATGAATTATGCCTGAATGATCTTAGTGACCCTCAGGTGAAAGCCTTGAAGGTTTCTAAGATACATGAGCAAGCATGCAATAGGAAAATGTTGCTCAGCGAGTCTTGCAACATTTCATTTTATAGCTGAAATATGCAAAACCTGTGTTTGCAGTTTAACTTACTTCTCTTCAGTCTTATATATATTAACTGCTAAAGAGAGTCAACTGCTGGTAAAGAGGTTTCCGTGTGGTCTTATTTAATAACTTTGTGTTCCAGCGCCAGTCTTTACTCCACATAGACTTTGACTAAAATGTCTGCTTTGAAGACACAAAACATCACTTCAGATATTTTTTTTTGCAGTTTTTAACCTCTCAAGGCACGTACTGACATGCTCGCTGGAGGCTGTGACTTACGTTGGAAGGGAATAGGAGAACGTCTTACAACAAATATTTTGACAGCTCTCTCATATGCTCACTTCCTCTGAAGAATTTAAAAGCCAACACATCTGTGAATAATAATAACTTAGAGCTTTCCACTTTAAAATTGTGGCAGAAATCCAAGGACTCAAGAAACTTCAGCATGATTATCCTTCTGAGGGCAAATGAGAATTATGATTCCTCCCCCCCCCCCCTTATGAGCACACTGAGGCGGAATGGTGAAGTTATTTTTCTTGGGACAAATACATTACTGAATTACATAGTACTGCTGGTGACATGGGGTGGCAGAATGGGGGCAGGGGAAAGAGCGCCAATATTTTTATAGTGAGAATTACATTTGGCAGTGAAGTAAAATTAAATATATTATCCTGTTGTGATGGAAGCACCGCACAGTCAGGCAATCAAGAGCAAGCACCCCATGGGTTCACACAGTATCGTCCTCCTTCCTTCTTATGGTACCATTGCCTTTTCCATTAACACTATGATTGGCATAGGAGCCAACTCCTAGGGACCGAGTTCCCTATGGCCACCCTAAATTGTGTGTGTGTGCCATGTCATGTGATCAGTTATGTGGGTGGGGCTTACCTGCCCCATAACATTTTATTCAGGTTGCCATCCCTGATATTTGGTATTACACCAGCATCAGCATTTTCACTAACTATAGTTAAACCAAACTACAGTTTGCAAACCCACTTCTAACCACAGTTGCAAATTTTCTACTTTATTTTAGTTTTATAAAACAGATCTGGTATAGAAATAATGGTTTATATACCTTTATGAACAGAATCCTATGTAAGTATTTTCTCACAGCAGAGTTGGTGTGGTCTGATCATTCAAAGTAGTGATTCCTAAAATCACATTTACATACTCTAGGCCATGGGATGGCAAACTAAGGCCCGGGAGCCGGATCCGGCCCAATCACCTTCTAAATCTGGCCTGTGGATGGTCCGGGAATCAGCATGTTTTTACATGAGTAGAATGTGTCATGTTATTTAAAATGCATCTCTGGGTTATTTGCGGGGCTTGCCTGGTGTTTTTACACGAGAAGCATCTCTGGGTTATTTGTGGGGTATAGGAATTTATTTTTTGTTGTTGTTTTTCAAAATACAGTCCGGCCCCACACAAGGTCTGAGGGACAATGGACCGGCCCCCTGCTGAAACAGTTTGCTGACCCCTGCCTAGGCTTCTAAAAATTGTTACACTCTTCTGTCAGGGATGGAGAAAAGATTAAAAATACTTGTTTCTTATTTTAAAGGCTTTTTGGTTGGAGGTACATGGGTTTCTTACTTGGTAGGAATTAAGTTTTAAGGCTGTATTTTAGGGCAAGGAATGAAGCTCCTAATTTGTATTAGGTCCATTTCCTGGCATGTGCAGGTAGGGTAGGGCTAGGGGAGACTCTTGCCTGAACCCTTCAAGAGCCACTGACAGTAAGTGTCAACAATACTGAGCTAGATGAAACAATGGTTTGACTTGGTATAAGGCGGATTCCTACATTCCTGTCACTCATATCGGTTGCCATGCACACCTCTACTTGTTTTGTTATACATCTGTACATAATGGGTATTACGAAAAACACCACAAGTACTTTCTGCTCCAAAGGAAAGTGATCTCATGCCTGGAACTTTCCATTTCCCAGGTAAGTATGGAATATGAAATGAAATAAGATTATTCAAAGTTGCAAGCAGCTGAATAAGGAATAGTAAGCGAAAGCACATGCTTATAGATGGAGCTATGAACTGTGCCTATAATCTAAGCAAATGACTGACTGTTTGCAATATACGTTTTTCCAGTTTTATCATTCTCACTGGCTAAATGTGGACAGAAACATAGGGAAAGCTACACCATTAAAACACACACCCTAAAACAATTAAAACAATTACTGTGTTTTAATTACTTTATTGTACACTGCTTTGAGAGCATTGGGGGCATCAGCCAAATAGGAGCTTATATATTTGACAAATATTGTCAAAACCATAATTTACTGACTGCATTCTACTTCTTAAGAAGTCTTGGGTGGCAGTAGGGGGCATAATAATCACATAGCTAAAGCAAGGCAAACTGTTCATCAATAATATAATTCTTGCATTTTTCTATTACATCTTTTTTGATTCTGGAACTTTTCTCTGTGTGGTTTCTTTATTTGACATCTGTGCATAACAAATGTTTCACACACCAAAAAAAGAGTGTGACCAAATTTTTATTTGCACTAAATCACTAAGTTTCCACCAGCATTCAGAACTACTACTACTACTACCATTATTATTATTCCTGATATGTATTCATATATATTCATACCTTATATGCATCAATGATCAACTGGAGAACATTTCCAGAATCCATCTGGAGTTTTCCAACCGTAGCTCCAGGAATAAGATTAGCATAGTTCTGCAAAACACAATTATGACCACAAAAATTATAATAAGGTAATCTATAACTGGTGAAAACAAACATGTTTCTTGAATGCTTTTCATGAAACCTCTTTTGACTTCCCCTTTCCTCCCTCCAGTTTCCTGTAAAACCCCAGAATCTGCTCCAAACTTTCAGGAGCAGATTGGTATGAGTGTGTGTGTCTGCAGAAAACTGGATGGGGAGGAGAGGAAGCTGTGTTGTGTGAGCATAAGTGGGATATTGTCTTATATGTTTCAATAGGATTATCAATTTACAGGTTAAAGCAAAAGGCAAGTATAATGTAGGATTCTCCATCCATGGGTTACCACTCTGCAGTATTTTCTCTCCACCCCGCCGCCACCATCCTTCTCTCCTTAGTTGGGTGCTGATGCTGGAGAAAGTGCTTGGCGTTGCAAGGATGTGAGACAAAATAAGGAGAAGAGCTTTTTCTTTTTAAAGTCCAGAGTGTATGTTGGCCATTATAGGATTTACTGTACATCTGCACATTACAGATATAGTGATACCTCGGGTTAAGTACTTAATTCGTTCCGGAGGTCTGTTCTTAACCTGAAACTGTTCTTAACCTGAAGCACCACTTTAGCTAATGGGGCCTCCCGCTGCTCCACGCCAGCGGAGCATGATTTCTGTTCTCATTCTGAAGCAAAGTTCTTAACCCGAGGTACTATTTCTGGGTTAGCGGAGTCTGTAACCTGAAGCATATGTAACCTGAAGTGTATGTAACCTGAGGTACTACTGGACAGGAAATGCAGAAAGCATCTGTGTAGTGTCATGTGTAAAGCTGCCCTAAATGTATCTATAAACTCTGACCATTTGATTTCTTCATACTTCTCTTGTGCTCTGTACTGCTGACAGCATTATGATCCTGCTGACGTACCATAACATTTTAGCAATGCAATGGAAATATCTCATGCCTTACGTTTACAGTGAAAAGTCAGCAGGATTAACTATATTTCACATTCTAGCAGGCAGTTGCACATGACAAATACTTGTGCCCAAGTACTCTGGAAGATGATTCTTAGAGTATATTGGCATTGCATTTCAGAAAAAAAAGACAGTTCATAGATTGTAAGTGAGAAATTGTGAAGTCAGACTCTGAAATAGTGCAGTCTTTTCCTGGCACATTGCCAAACTACAGCATGACATAACTCATTAGGGATCACTTTATTTCCATCAGTGCAATCTCACTGAATAGAAATCCATTACTGGAAGAAATAATATTGGAATATAGTCAAAGCTATTTAAGAAAATGGGACAAGTGGAAAAAGAATCATTTTATAATAGGCCTGTTTTTAATATTTTTGTTGCTACATCCTGGTTCACCCATAACACAAAACCATGATTTGTTTAGCCAAAGTGTGGCTTGTTTGGATGTCCAAACTGAACCCAGCTGATTAAATGTGGTTTGCTTTATGGCAACTAATCACCATATGAATCATGTCTTTTAAAGACAATCTTTTGCTATTGTATCCAAACTCTATAAACTTGTTTAACCACGGTTTGGCCACCCCACCTTGGCTACTTGCCAAACTACAGAGGCATAAATAAGGCAGCAGCACTAAGAACACAAACCAAGCTTTGGAGAAACAAATACAGTCGTACCTCGGAAGTCGAACGCCTTGCAAGTCAAACATTTTGGCTCCTGAATGCCGCAAACCCGGAAGTGAATGTTCCGGTTTGCGAACATTCTTTGGAACCTGAACGTCCAACACAGCTTCCATGGCTTCCAATTGGATGCAGGCGCTTCCTGCAGCCAATTGGAAGCCTAGCCTTGGTTTCCAAATGTTTTGGAAGTCGAACGGACTTCCAGAATGGATTCCGTTCAACTTCCGATATATGACTGTAATGGCTTATTTGCTTTTCTGTGAGACCACCTGTGATTAATAGAACAAACCACATTTTAAAGAAACCATGGCTTAGCCTTATGTTCAAACACAGCTATTATGTGTGACTCTAGTGTCCAGGATCCAAAGAAATGCACAACTAATTTCACCTGCCTAGGAGATGGTAATTTTTTTTCTTTGAACAGGGGCCCCACTAGTTGCATCTGGGAATTCACTTTTGAAATTGAGGGGAACTTCAAAAGCAGAGCACGATATATTAGACAGACCCAGGGTTTAAGGAGTAAAACACAAAGTGTCTTTTGGAACATGCATCCCCTTGGACATATCTAAAACTGCAATCTCAGCTCTAAATGAAATTATTTCTGAATAAGCATACATAGGATCAGGCTGTATCTCTTTACATCTTGGCCAATATAGGTATATGTCACTCCAGATAATTACCAGTCTCAGAATATACCGCTGGTATTTGTTATTTCTCTTTAAAACAGAGTACACATTGTTGCTGAATGACATTTTCAACTAAAACACAACAAAGAACATAATGTCTAAAAGCAACTCAGTAACAGTAAGAGGATACAGTACAACTTGAATAACCAACCTACATAGAGCAAAAAGAAAGCGGGGGGGGGGGGGAGGAATCATGCCACTCACACAACTGAAGCAATGAGCAGGTAAATAATTAGAGTGTGAGCAAGCACAGTGAATTCAGGAAGCTGTAATTACCAGTAGATTTTTAAACTAGCACACCCCAATACACAACTGGAGAACAGTGAAACAGGATAACTGAATCTAAGTGTATAAATAAATAGAGCTGATTTGAACAAGTTTGTAACATGCCTGGAATGCAATGCTTTTGATTTAAATGACAGAACAGAACTTCCAGGATGAATTAATGATAGATTCAAGCCCTGTTATGTTGGATAAGTGGAAGTTGTAATAATTATATGTGGACTACTGCAATGTGGGTTAGATGGGACTGCTTTTGAGGGTGGTCCAGAAACTTCATTTCATTCAGAACATAGCTACAAGATTACTAATTGGGCTTGGGGAGGGAAGGGGGATATGAGCATATTAATCGCTGTTTGCCAGCTCACTGGCTCACTGTGTTTCCAAATCAATTCAGGCTCAGGGTTTTGACCTTTAAGGCTACAATGGTACCTCTGGATACGAACGGGATCCGTTCCGGAGCTCTGTTCGCATCCAGAAGCAAATGTAACTAGCGATGGCACGTCTGCGCACATGCGTGTCACTTTTCGCTGCTTCTGCGCATGCGCGTGACGTCATTTTGAGCGTCTGCTCTTGCGCAAGCAGCGAAACCTGGAAGTAACGTGCTCCGTTACTTCCAGGTTGCCGTGGAGCACAACCCGAACGCGCTCAACCCGAAGCGCATTCAACCCGAGGCATGACTGTATTCACGACTTGGGAACAGGGTACTTCTAGGATCACTTGTTTCCATATGCACATATCCAGACCTTAAGATCTTCTTCTGAGGCTGCTTCTTCAGGTGAGGTGCTATTGGACAAAGGATCTTTTTAGTGGTGGCTCCTTGGTTATGTAACATTCTCTCCAGAAAGGCTTGTCTGGTGCCTACCTTGATGCAATTTTGGCACTATTAAAATACTTCATTCTTTTTCTTTTTAATAACTGTCCTAGACCTTTAAATCTGTTCCTACTTTAAAATAATTTTTCCTGGGCTGTGCATTTTAAAAATGTTCTTGGTGGTTTTATGGATTTATATTTGCATTTCTGATTTGTTTTTACTATATAGCTATAAACCCCTCTGAGAACATGTTTATAGTTTTCATATACATATTTTAAAAATACTAATTTTATAGTATCTATCTACCTATCTAAATAGTATATATTTTAATGCAAACAAATGAAAAGGATTTCTGTTAACTGTAGCATAACACCACTCTCAGTCATTCCACAGAAAACATAACCCTCTATTTGTGATGCCATTTATTTCAAGCTGTTAGATCTAATCTTGGGGGCTTTTACTTGTATTCCAGTCTATTTATACAGGAGATTTGTATAAGAAGAGGGCTGCAGCTTACACCAGCATTCTCTCTAAAGATGCCCTTCTTTATATGTATGGAAATCTTGTCTGTGCGCAATACTAATTGACTGACACTTGCTGGAAACTGAGCTTTTGGAGGTAGACATTCCTGTTTGTATTCATACATGGTGGTCCAAATCTGTTCACATAGATACAGTGAGGGCTTCCATTGTGTATCTCCACATATGGAGTGACATCTAGGGTCAAACTGCACCGGCGATTGTGTCTAACTAAATAATGAGTCCCTTGTTCAGCAAGAAATCTTAATTCTAATGATACACGAATTGCAGAGTTCAGTTTCTTACAGGGCAACCCTACTATTCATATATGGGTTGCTGGGACAAAGAATAGGCATGGGCATAGGGGCACTAGCAGTGGGCATGGGGTGCCAGGTTAGATTTGATGGTGGAACAACCACCAAAGCTATTGCTATGTCGTTTCACTGTGGGCAGGGGAGGTTTTGGGGGCCGCTTTAATTACCCACTGGGATAGCTCAGTCAGTAGAGTATAGGACTCTTAATCTCAGGGTCATGGGTTTGAGCCCCATACTGGGCAAAAAGATTCCTACATTGCAGGGCGTTGGCCCAGATGACTCTTGTGGTCCCTTCCAACTCTACAGTTCTATGATTCTACACCAGCCCTTGGATTGACATAAGAATCCTACCTTTAATGCAGGTGTGCTGGGGAAATTACGATGCTTTGGATACGGCATCTTTATGCCTGCCCACAACACATCTCATTTTCACCCACCCCACTAGTGGAGCTTTCCTTCAGTGTGTCTGGGGGCTTCCAGCTAAGAAAGTGTTGGCTCTCCACAGTGCACTTCTGTCTCTGTTGGTGGAGCAGCACTTAGCACTACTTCCTGAAGCCTCTCAGCTGCACAAGCTCAGGCTCAATAACCTGCAACTTTGAGGCGACTGGAGTCATTTGTCTCCTGGTTTAAAGTAACAAGTTTGTCATTATGCTTATGGTTTATTGAAACAAGCCAGGATCAGAAACCATGGTTTGATCTTGTGACTCCAGTAATCCATAGTTTAACTACAGTTTGTGATTTGGAAACAACATCTCATAGTTTGAATCAAGAAGCAGATACAGTGGTACCTCGGGTTACATATGCTTCAGGTTACATACGTTTCAGGTTACAGACTCCTCTAACCCAGAAATAGTACCTCGGGTTAAGAACTTTGCTTCAGGATGACAGCAGAAATTGTGCTCTGGCGGTGCGGCGGCAGCAGGAGGCCCAATTAGCTAAAGTGGTGCTTCAGGTTAAGAACAGTTTCAGGTTAAGTACGGACCTCCGGAACGAATTAAGTACTTAACCTGAGGTACCACTGTACTTACAATCTCCTTCTCCAGGTTGCACAGAAGCGAGGAGCATTCAAGCTCAAAGTTTCAGGAGCCTATTTCCTCTAAGGCAGGAGAGACTTGCACCCGGTTTGAGGGACAGACCTGGCCTCTCCTCTTCTTCCCTCCCCTCCTCAGTCATCAGATCATTCAGAATGCCTCTCCTCAGGTGATCTGCACAGGTTAACTGAGAAAAGGGGCTGTGTGTACACAAGTGTGTGCACACCCACCATTGGCATGCACACACATATTCTCCCTCTCTCACACACATTAAAATGTCATTATATAAATAATATAAATGTATCTTCTTGTGCCTCCTCCACGTGAGATCCAGAGGGTGGCAATATGAGAATGGGCCTTTTCTGTAGTGGCTCCCCATTTGTGGAATGCTCTCCTCCCAGGGAGGTTCGCCTGGTGCCTTCATTATATATTTTTAGGCACCAGGCGACAACATTCCTCTTCAACCAGGCCTTTGGCTGATTAATATTTTACAGTCTTTTAAATGTGTTTGTGGGAGGGAGGGATAAAATAAAATATGGTACATAATCTGCAACAGGAGGTATAATGTCTTTGGTACAGGGATATTAGTGCTGTGAGACAAGGGGAAGCCTTCTAAGCCACACATGACATTATTATGGAACAGAAATGTGGTCTGGACTGTGTTGTTCAGAAAGCATTCACTGCATGGGCTGAGCATTATATCCAGGAGAACACAGGACTTTCAGAACTGAAGGGAAAATATTGAGTGGATATGTTTTTAGATAAGGAGTCTCTGGCTTCCGTTCAGTCTCTGCAGTATTATTTCATCCTGAAACACTAACCACCTCTCAATGACTGCAAAATTCCATTTTCCTTTGGAATGCTACATCCCTCACTATCTGAGTGGGCTACCACTCTTGTTATAAAAAGCATCACGTTTCAGAATCTCTTCATCAGTTTTATCCTTGTATCAGAGTTCTCAAGTGACTTCCTCTGTTCATTGGGAACATTATACCAAGTTTTATAATGTATGAACCCCTATTCTATTGTTATACTTTCTATGGCATTTTTGTTCCCCTCTTCTTAAAAACACTACCTCTATTTTTTGTGTCTTGTAGAGCATGCAGTTCTTCTGCTAAATAAGTCTTGCTTCCATATTTTTAGTGTCGAATTAGACTAAGTGCCTATGTGTGCTGAATCTATGCTACTATAAAAGAGATTAGGATCCTTAATTAGAGGATGTTGGAAGCTTTACAGTGCTTTTTGTACTGATGTGCCATCTTAACACACATGAAAAGGAGGATCAAGTAAGAAATATGTCTCTTACCTTATACAGAGGAACCTGTTCCTTTGTCACTGCAAAAATTAATAAAATGTTGTTCTGCACAATCTTGTCTATTAATTGTCCCAAACTTGGATATTCCTAAAGACAAACATAAAGAAAAATAAATCAAGCAAAAGTTAAACTTTAAATCAAAAACATGGCTTTGCTGTCTCTTGGCTTATCAAAAGAAGATGGTAACACAGAAGAGTCTAGAAACTGAGGCCTCTGTGTGCTCATCTCTGGATTAGTTGGACCTATGTATATCCTTAATACATGCCTCTGGTGAAAAGTTGCATTTGTTATATTTTACAGTCCTGCACATGGCTCTTCAATACCAGGCCAACACATGCTAATTTATCCAGTGATGTGTTGCCGAACACGTATCTCCAGGCATTAAAAAACAAAACAAAAACTTCACCTGTTAAAAATGTCTTTGTGTTGAAGTCCTAATAAAAAAAACACTAAAGGAACCATGCCTGTAATAAAACAGGTGACAACTCAAAACTCAAGTAGTACATCTTATTATATGAGTTGCTACAGAGCTGCCCTACTGGGATTATGCAGTGCCATTTACCAAAGAAATCCAGGGCTCTGTGTATTTAAAAAAGGACTGATACACTGATGTGAAGAGAGGTGGTTGCTTTCCACACTCCTGAAAAGGAATGTGTGTTCCATGGTATAGTCTGAAGTCAGGTGAGACCACCACCTTCCTGAAGTTAAGTAGGACTGGGTCTGGTCAGTGTCTGGATGGGTGATCACATGCATGCTGCCTTAGATTCCACAACAGTAGAGAGGTGGGATAACAGGCAGGCAGGCAGGCAGGCAGGCAAATAACATAAAATAAAATAATAAATGTTTTAGTTCTCAGGTGGATTCCTGCCCCTCCCCCCGGCATTCTATGATCTAGTATCTCCGATAGCGTTATTCAAATTGAGTTGGGAATGGCCCCAGTAGTCCTTTCATTTGTTTTCTGTGAATGTGCACATTGCACATACAATTAATTTCTAGAAGAGTAAAGTGTAAAACTTGAAGCATATTACCAAAACAGTTGACATGGAATACTCATTATTATGATCCAAGTGGCATTCTCCATCATTTGGAATTACAATTCCTGCCAGTTTGCTATCCATCCCAAAATGGGAATCGGCATCACTCACAAAAACCAACAGATGCAATGAGTCGTTCCTCCACCCAATTTTTTCCTGCAACAAAAATGTAAACAGATTATGGTAGCAGATACATTGGTAATGTATGAGTACAGTACTTCTATATCATTGTCTTGCTTCAGTGATAAAAACCATAACAGTCCATGCTCTAGTGTCTTTCCATCTGGACTATGCCAATGGACTATGTGGGGCTGCCCTTAAGCTGCAGCTAGTGCAGAATGCAGCTGCCAGATAAGTGAGTGGTGTGGGGCAGCCCAATGGGATCATGTATGACCAGTCCTGAATGTACTGTGCTGGTTGCTGGCAAGCTATCAGGCCCATTTCAGAGGGTTAGTACTAGCTGGGATGGGCAAATCTGTCAATTTTGTTTCTTTTTTTCCTAGTAAGCTTTCTACAGAAACTGTGGTGGTGTTGTTTTAATGTCCTCATGAAAATTCATTGGAATCATAGTGCGAATTTCTTCCAATACACACATTTTTGCAAATCAATCTTGCCTAATATGATGCATTTTGAATGCTATCTGCATTAATATATGCACTTATATGCACACTTTACCCTAGTATTGGCATTTTTGTACACATTACTTGAGTGGAGAACTGCAAAATTCAGAGAAGTGGAAATTTTGAAGGATGGCTGTGTTTCAGTTCACATATTGTTTCGGAAAGTACAAAATTTGCAGTTTCTCCTTTAAATGCAAACTGAATCAAATTTCTTCTCCATCCCTAGTACTAGCATGTGGAATCCTAAACAGCTTGGGACCCAAATACCCAAAAGGTCTTCTCCCCAATACTAACCATCTCAGGCCTTACAGTACAGTCAGCATCAGAGGCCCTCTTGATGGTACCATCTGCTACCAGATGCTGCTGAGAAGACTTTCCTGGCACCTTGGATTCATCAGCGTTTATAAAATGGAAGTTAAGATTTCAGTCCCGCTCATGTTAGATAAACGTGGACTCTGTGGGAAGTGGTTTACTATGGTGAACACAGCAACAGAACTTACCTAAAGAGTTTTGATTTAGATTTCCTTACCTTACACACAGCTGCCTGCATAATTGCATCAAATCCTCCCTCTGGAGTATCTATATTAGCACTGATTTTCTGTTCTTTCACAATTTCATTGAACCTTTCAGCATCATTTGTCAATGACAGAATGTGCTTGTATCCAAATGTTGGAGAGCAGTCATGTGGGACACTTCTGTAGATACAGACACACAATGCAGCAGATCACATGAAAATTCTTATTAATGAAACATACAGCATGGCACTTTGCTATTGACAATGTTCTACTGTGTAACTTTATTTACCCACAAATGCTTGTAGATTAGCATACACTCAGTAATAGCTTAAAGGCGGCTTGTAGTCTTTGTAAAGATACTTTCAGCTTCTACACCCTAGCTATATGACAAAAACGGATCTTTTAAATGTTCTTACGGTGTTTATTTGATCAGATGTGAAATGTATAATGATCCCATAAAGCAGGGTGCTACAGAGACTTCACAGGACTTGACTACTACAGAGTCTCAGTACTCTACAACTGCAGTGGGATTTAAATTCATCTGTTCCAGACCAACACATCAATTATCCATCAGCCCAAAACATTCCCTCTAGCCTTATAATTTGTAAAAGCTCTCATAATTCACAACTAATGTTATAAAAATGATCACTACCTCCAACTGAGGCAAAATAAGCTCAAAAATGTTCAAGAATTAACATCTAAACCAGATTGTACCAAATCCAGGTAAGGACAGATTCCAAACAGCAGGGAGAAAGGGGTCAAAACTATTAAAGCAGTGAAACAAATCTACTAGGCTGTGTTAAAAGCAGAAAATGTAGTTGGTATCAGTGGAATTGCTTCTGGAGAGACAAGGGGTAAAAGTCTAACTCAAGAAGAAGGAGGCAACACACAGATGATGTGAGACAACCAACACATTGCATCAAATCACCCAGATTCCCAACAAAAATGGAAATGGCTGCAGAAATTGCAGGCCTTCACTTATTCATCCCATGTCTGGAACGGAGATTAATGCAGTGAATATGATCAGTATTCACTGTTGTTACTTTCAGACTGTGAATAATACATATAAGATTATGTTGTTTTCATTGCTTTTGCTCTGCACTAAAATGAATGGGGTGGAATAACATAATAGTTACATTTGGCTATATTCATTTAAGGCACTGCACAAGCAGAAGCCAGTATAAAGATGATGATGATTTAGTAGATTTATATACCTCCCTTCATCATAAGATTTCAGGGTGGTTCACAGAATAAAATATAAGATAAAAACAAGCAAATAATTAAAAACAAAACAGCGAAACAATACCCACCCTTCCCACAGACACATTTTAAAGGCTCTAGAATATGAATTAGCCCAAGGCCTAGTTGAAGAAGAATGTTTCCATCTGGCACCTAAAAATAGACACTAAAGGCACCAGGCGAACCTCCCTAGGAAGAGCATTCCACAATCAGGGAGCCACAACAGAGAAGGCCTGTTCTCATGTTGCCACCCTCTGGGCCTCATGTGGAGGAGACACACCAAGAAGGGCCTCAGATGATGAATGCAGAGTTTGAGTCAGTTTATATGGGGGAGAGGAGGTCCTTGAGGTATTGTGGTCCTAATTCTTGCGAGTGTAACGGGACTTCCCCACACCTCTGCTCTTCCTATGAGCCTCCATGCCCTTCCCAAATCTGTTCTAGAGGATCATGAGAACACTCAGAATAGTGTAGGGGGTGGGGAGGAGAGAGAAGATAGTTCTATCAGGCTAGCAGAAATTTTTGCACTGATGGAACAATCTGTTGAACACAAACCATAATCAATTAAATAAATACCTAAGTTACAAAATTTTGCTAGAGCGGGCAGCAAGACAAATAACATGATTTTTGGCAGAAGCTGATCTACAGGGTAATGGAAACAGTGCTGCATGTGATGAATACAGGGAGGAACGCAAAATGGTGCCTTCCTATATCCTAATGTGTCTGTCTGTCTGTCTAGTTTTATTTTTATTTTATTCTTTTAAGTGTCATATTTAACAAATAAAAAGATAGATTAGAAAATGGCTGAAAAAATATGCACACTGTCACCTCACATTGAGAACAAAATAGCCACTAGTTCTTCCTTCTAAAATTAAACAAACAGTATGATAAAAGTCCTCCAGATGCCCAAATAGGTATCCACATGAAATTGGCATTCATAAAAATATGTTCAAATGTAACAAAGGTGGTAAGGTCCTCAAATCACTATGCAATGGACAGTGGGTATTTATCCTTCTAGGATTGAAGTATAAGTCTATTGGCAAACATAAGGGCTCACAACATCTACTTTTGTTCTGTCTGTCTGTCTGTCTGTCTGTCTGTCTACACACAAATACACATTCATGTATAATTGTTTGATTAAAATTAAAAAATAAAAAGTAATCTGAAAGATAATTTTTTCAGGTGCCAATCCAAAGGTCCTTGGGAAGGCCCCCAAGAAACTACAGGATGTTTCAGAGACTGTCTCTCCAAGGTTAGAGACAGAGACTTACCTGTGGAGACATTGCTCACCACCATGGAAACCTCAGCAGCCTTTGGCTAAGGGTATAGGAAAAGATGGTTCATCTGCCTTTGGTTCTCCTTCCTCCCACACTTTTAGATTGCTCTGCCCACATTTCTATTGTTTTCAATTCATGTAACACAAGTAAAAGGTGAAATACTGATACCCCAAGAAAATAGCAACTAAAGAGACTGGAGCCCCCTTGAAAATGAAGGTAACTGGCTACCCTGCCCCCTAGACCCAAACTAAATTCTACCCCTGAAAAGGACAGAAATCTGATCTAAAATGTATTTGAACTAGATGTTTTTGCTACTCACTGGCAAGGATTCTTGATTTCTTCTGGCACGGTGTTAATGAATGGTGAAACTGGTTTTTCTACAAAAGACCCAAAACCCAGCTGAAAGTTACTTGTCAGTTTAGACATTTCTTTTGACAAGGTAGAACCCAGTTCCTTAATGGTTTCCAGATCATCATGCATGGAAGCTGAAAGATCCATGAGGTAGTAGAGGTCAACTGGATAATCTTCAGTCTGACGAACATTGATTTGTATTGTTTCTTCATTTCCTTGTGAAACCACAGGGGAAACAGAAAAGAAATTAACACAGCTGTCGTTAGAGAGTGAAAAGGGAAATGCAATATTGACTGGAACTGTTTATTCTTGTTGCCTCACAGTATTCTTTTTCTGGTCCTTTGTAACAAAGAAGTGTTCCCAGCAGTATTACTAGCCACCACAATGTGTTAAAAGACATACTTACAGTGTGATTCTAATGGTGTCTACACAAGAATAAGCCCAAAGAATTCAACGGGTCTACTCCCAGGTAAGTGGAGATTGCAGCCTAAGTCCTGCTTCACACATTATGCTTGTTGTATAGGATGTTCCTGGGCATGGATAAAATCATCTCAAGCAACATGGGTGCTGCTTTATACAAGCCACAAACACAGAAGAAGTCAATGTACTTTGGGTTCGCTGTGGCAACCATGTCATAAGAAAAACATTTTATGTTGGAAGTGTAGAAAGCCGATTGTTAATTATCAGCATTCATGTAAACTTCTTAATAAAACATGGGGGAATAGCCTTGGGAACTTTGGAAAAATCATTTGACGGGATGTATTCCTGACATTGCCCTCATATAGAACCTCCTACTCACCAGTTTCTGTACCCTTTCTATCTCTGGACACATCTGAGATGAGATGAGGAGTTTTACATTCTGAAATTCAGAAGCTCATAATGAGCCTCTATAGCCACACTTCCAAGCAGAGTTCTTACCAACCCCCCTAAGAAGACTCCAAAAATGCAAGCAGATGTGTTGATTCATCATATGTGCATTACATTTACAGCACACATTTCAGTTTCTGATCACTTTGTAAATGGGAAGTTAACATCAGGTAGATTTTTAGATGATTAGATTTGTGTAACCCCATGTATCAGATTTATCCATAGGCAATACAGTGATTTGAACACCCTTATAAACACTTTGATTAGTAAACACTATACACAATAAGCTCCCTCTATGTAAACCGCAATTCCGATCCATCAGATTTTGGGGGTATACGTCTTAGTTCTGGCACTTATTGATGGTTCTTAAGTTTAGCTAAGCTGTCAGAAACATACAGTGATCCGTTTCTCCTCTTTTGAAATAAAACATTAATCAGGTATCTAGCGATTGCAAGGGATCTACTTGTATCTTCGTCGTTTAATAAGTATATTATTTGGGCTTCCTGAGGACTGTCAGCAATTCTCGATAAATATGGGGCCAGAAACTTGGACCGTGAAGCCGAATGTAATGGACAACAGAAGATTATATGATATAACGATTCTATAGATCCGCTTTTACAGTCACAGAGGAGTGAGATCTGTCCGTTGGAGAGTCTGTTACCCAACACGTTTGATGGGAAAGCATTGAATCTAGCCATTATAAAGGCATACCTGTGCGTCACCACAGATAAGGTAGTTAAGTAAGATGGAAGTTTCGTTGGTGGAGTTAAGCCAAGGTTTATCGGCGAACAGGTGCCTCCACCTGTCGCAATATTAAATTGTAAATCCATCTCCTCTAATTTGTGAGTTATAATTCTTTTAGCGAAGTTAAATCCAATTTTAATAGTTCGGATGGAGATAGTCCTAGGGACACAAGTTTCCCATGTATTATTTTTGCCCAGGGGCTATGTAAGTCATCTCTCCAGAGGCATTGTATCAAGTGGAGATTTGGAAGTTTATGCCATAAAGCCAACCAGTAACAGAGGATGCATTTCCATAATGTGGTTTCTAGAGATGTAACATTTAGTTCCAGTCGTATAGCAGTATTGCTTACGCACCTGGGTAATTTTAACAACCTTCTTAAAAGCTGGTTTTGGATTACCTCCAAATGGGTTAGATTAGCAAAGGACCCCCATAATGGGACTGCATATGCTATTGTTGCAATCACCTTTGCCTTGAAAACTTTTAACACTGATGGAATATGGAAGCCCCATCTGAAAGAAAAACGCAATAGCGCATAGGAAAGGGCTTTAGCTCTGTTTAATACATATGCAACATGGACCTTCCAGCCCATGTTGTGTTGGAGGAAGACTCCCAAGTACTGAAATTTAAAGACTTGGTCAATAGCTTTCCGTCTATTCTCCAATTATAGGTTTTTTCGACTCTCGGTGAAAAGTAGAACTTTGGACTTAACATGGTTAATTGTAAGAAAATTTGATTTACAGTAAACATCGAAAATTTTAATGCCCTCCTAAGGCCGACTCTTGAAAAGGATAGGATCACTGCGTCGTCTGCGTAGAGTAAAAGGGGGCAACGATATTGGGCAAGACGGGGGGCGTGGATCGTTTCTTGAGCCTCTATCAGAGGCGCCCTCATATCACTTATAAATAAATTAAAAAGGGTCGGCGCAAGGATACATCCTTGGCGAACACCTCTATTGATAGCTACTGAGTTTGAGAGGTCGCCTGCCGGAGAGATTCTCACCCTAGCGGCCGATCCGTCATGCAGTTTAGTTATTAGCCACAAAAGTCTTTTGTCTATTCCCCATCGGGCTAGTTTTCCCCAAAGCAATCCTCTGGGGATGCTGTCACACGCGGCCTTTAAATCCATAAAGGCCGCACAAAGTTCGCCTCTATTTGGGGAGGAGTATTTCCGGGCAAGGTGGTATAAAACTAAGATCTGATCAACCGCTGACTGATTTGGTCTAAAACCAGCCTGTTCAGGCCCAATCAGGTTGTTCTCTTCGGCCCACTTAGTAAGCTTAGTTAACAAGAACCGTGCATATATTTTCCCGATTAATGACAATAAACTGATATTCCTGTAATTTCTCGGGTCATCTGTCGAGCCTTTTTATGAATTGGAACAATAATCGCATCCTTCCATATTCTTGGTACCTTCCCACTGTTGTTTACGGCATCAAAGGTAGCGGCCAAGATTTTCGCCCACCAGTCAGCATGAAGTTTTATAGCTTCTGCCGGGACTAGATCAGGACCGGGGGCTTTTCCGATTTTAAGATTAGAAATAAGTCCGTGGATTTCTTCCGGGTCAGTGGGTGGCCAAAGAGGAGCTGCTCATAGACTCCATCGATTGTATTAATATTAAAGTCTGGTAAGGCAAAATAATTCCTTAGAAAGGATTCCCAAATTGGGGCAGGAATAACTGTTAAGGGGTATCTTTTAGATTTTCTGTTAACCAACAGCCAGAATTTTCGGGAATTACGGGTACTTGAGGCAGCTATAAGTGCTTGCCAGCGGTTCAATTGCCATTCCTGTTTGGCCTTTTTCTGCACATATTTGTAAGCTGATTTTGCCTGGTAGTACTCCTTGGGAAGCGTAATCGCCCCTGAGGATTTGTAATCATTATAAATAGCACAAAGATGTTGTTTGGCTTGTTTGCAATTACGGTTAAACCACGGTGCACCTGTCTTGGGGTGGGCCCAATTTGCCTGGTGGGTTGGGACAGAAAAGAATGACGTGAGGTCATTCAACAGATTGGCAAATAGATTAATAGTTTGATCGTGATCATATGAAGTTAACCGCATCAAGATTTTAACTGAATTAGCATCCAGTTTTTCTTCTTTCCGATGTAAAACTTTAAATCCCATTTCAGAATATTATCCTCTAATAGCAGGACCACTCACCTTTCATGGTGGGTGGTGTTGCGGCCGGGCATCCAGACCCTTGCAGTGACCCGGCTTGGGGACGGGGGATTGACGCCCCCCTTGCGCCAACCCCGGCCGCGTCACCCCCACCTGATAGTAGCTCTCACAAAGAATAAAAAATGTGTTGGCTCCTCTTGTGTTGGCTGCAGGGCTGGTCTGTCAATTAGGCAGACTGGGGGAGCGCCTCAGGTGGCAGAATCCAAGGAGCACCTCTATGGGCACCTCGACAGGCATGCCCCCCTAGTGCCAGACAAGTGAGGAGAAGTGGTTGTGGTGGCTTCTGGGTTCTGGCAAGATCTCGCAAGAGGCCTTTGTGTGATTTTGCTAGGCTCTCTTGCGATCTTGTCAGAAGCCACAGCCACACGACCCCAGTAAGTGAAGCTTCGGCAGGGATGGTGTGTGGTGCCATGCACACTGATAGTGCTACATGAATTATAAAAGATAATATTGAGATCTGGCCCTGATTCCATATTTATGGTAATTTAAGAAAGTTGACAAAGCAGTATAAGAGCCACGTGTGAAAAGCATAGATAGGAAAACTGTCTGAGTAGGCAAAAGCCAACAGAAAGAAGCATGTTGGTTATGCTAATTTCTCAATGGGAGGAATTCAAGCAAATTTCAGGGTGCTCACGGGAGGAAAGCTCCACTGAGCAAGCCAAAATCTATGTGTGTTTTCTGCTGATGGGACTCATTAGTTGAATCCCACCGATCATTATCCTGGAGATTCACCTGAAGCCTGTGAACAGTGTGAGGCAGTTACATATGAAGGTTGGTTTATGTGATCTCAGCTACAGCTTTCACCAACTGCCACTGCCGCTGTGGAGTACAATTACCAAATTTATTTATAAAATGTGCAGTGACCATTTCCAAGCCTTTAGGAAACAAACAAACAGTTGACCTGTATCTGTAACACTCTTACAAATGTTGGGGAGATATGATTTTAGGTGATATTGGTAGATATTCTTAATTCTTTATATTTCTTACATATCCTTCATCGTTAGTTCCCAGGGCTGATTACAGCAATTTAAAAGCACAATTTTAAAATTAGTGAAAATAATTTACAATCAGAAAAATAGGGCGAGTCCTTAAAAAAAATGCTGCTTTTGTGCCATGTGAATGTTGCAATAGAAGAAATACAAGGAAATAAATCTTGCCCTGCACAGATGCTTGGTGGGGGTGGGGCAGGGGCGGGACTTCCCAGAAGCTCATCAACTTTACACATCTTTACTAAGTGTTCTTTCATAACTTCCATTTTTAAGAAGCCTAAATATGTTTCCTCAGAAGTAAATTCCTCTAAGTTCAGTGCAATTCTGGTAAGCAAGTTTAGGATTGCAACCTAAATATGTCACATCTCACATCCTGATATTTAATATGAACAAATGGAAGCTATGTACAAAGCTACAAAATGATTTTAAAAAAATAGCATTTATGAACAATACAACTTACCTGGCCGCAGTAGGACAGTTAGCTTTTGAGGAGAAATCTGTGTAACATCTGAGTTGTTTTCCTGCGGCCCTTCACTAAGAGGTTTGTTTTTGTGAATTACCACTTCAGAAGTAGGAAATTCAATGAAATTCAATTGGCATCCTTTCAAAATAAGCTCTTCAGGAGTGCCACACCTTCTAAGAATTTCAGATGGATCAGTAAAATTCTATAAGAAACAAAGAGTGCAAGAACAGAGTGTAATGCAACATAATATGATGCCAATTCTGCAAATGACTGAAGGCATAGCATAATATTTTCTATATAAGTTAAGTCACAAATCCCTATTTGTAAGTGGGGATATGCAGGAGAACAGTGCAACTATGACCTACTTTGAAACTGTTGTGTGCAAAAGGAGTGTACTTATAATTGACTTTTTCAATAGATTAGTCTCTTTCTCCTGCACCTTACCCTTCCAGCAACAAGGATGCGCACTCATTAAGCAGGAAAAAAATCAATGCAGTAGAGTCATTGCTTATAATGTCATAGTCATACATTCCATTACACCCATCACCAATATTTTCAGCACTATATAATTTAATACACATTACAGAGAATAGAATTTGTGGTCATCGAGTCTCTGCCCAAAATGATGATGTGCATCTAGTTCTCAAGATATGCAAAAATTCTGATTGCCAGAAACTGCAAGTCAAAACTAAGGCTGGGTCATTGAACAAACATTGTGTGCTGAGTGCATTTTGAGGCATCATAACTAAAGAAGGCATATTGGAATAGATGAAAATATGAGCCAGTATAGCATGCCAAATGCCTTTCCTGTGCAGTACTTGCATTCAAAAACTGCTGTTTACCCAAGGGGGAAGTTTTGAAATCATTTAAAAATGTATTTCTTTGCTGTCTTATAAAGCCTTGACACACAATGGTGTCTTTTGCAAATAAACTGAAGCTGGCAGGAGAAGCCGTTTCCACCTTGCAAGTCCCTTTCAAATGCTACCCATAGTATGATGGGGTTATCCTAGCACAAAAATATTTTTAACAACTACTTTGTTGCATGCAAAATGTCAAAGGGACCAGTTACAATTAGACTCAATAATAATTCTATTGGGTGATCTAAGGGAAACAAATGAAATCAATTGGATAACATTATTGACTATTTGTTGTTTCTTATTAACAACGAGACTTTGGGTAATTGGGAAGTGTCTTATATGCCCTCTATCTCAAAATGGATAAATAGCTTGTGGCTAAATTAGGAGGAAAAAAAGATGTGATAATTAGAAAAAGATAATTTGACAAAATTAATAACTTTCATATATTATGGTTTCCTTTTTTGTGAAATATCGCATGACATATAATAATTTAAGGAAGCTGGAAATAGATCTGAAATGATAAGCATGCAATCATTTCAAAAAATAGTTTGTCCAATTATGTCATCAGTTTAGGATTTTTTGAAGGATCTGATAGCAAGCATAAGTGTGACCCATCAGTCCACTTACAGGCCTTTTCTAGAAAAGTCACTGGGGAAAAACCAATTCTGATATAACCTCTTCCGTGTTGGGAAGGGTGAGTTGGGGTATATTCTCAGGAATCATTCTAAAGAAGGAGGAATATGTTTTTTGTAATATATTTTTATCCTTGTAATTTTTAAAGTAAATTGTGTAAGTGTTTCAAAGTTCAGAAATAATAATAATAGCAAAAAAGAAAAAAAAAAAAAGAGTGTGCTAAGTGAAAATAGAGCCATTCCTGTGTTAATGTTAGATGAGGTGATGGTGGTTCTAGAGACTACCATCTCTAAACTTCCATTAGCTTTTACTCTTCTAGTTGCTGATGTGAAAATGAAAAGCATGTAGAGTGGGATTGTGGGGCTGCACATCTGACCCAGTTCCCTGATGTAAGGCTCCCCCCCCCCAAGTCTCACCCGTGCCATCCATGTGTTAGCATGGTCATCTATGGCAGGGATGCCTTTGCACTTTTACCCCTTTGTACAAAGGTTTCCATGGATCTTGAGCAACTGCCTGAAGGTTTGCCTGCCTCAGACAGCTATTCTAACACTTGTATGGTGGTGGCTGGGCTGGGGAATCATGTGCCATAGCGGGTGGGTCAAAAGTGCAGCCCACAGTCCCTCTATATTCACTTTTCCTCTTTATTCAAGCAACTTACAAAGAGAGCTTCTGAGTGGGCCATTTTTGTTCCACTGCCCAAATGGATCACGTGAAAGTTCTGGATTGGACAAGTCTCTGTGACTGCCATATATTTGCCAACCATTAAAAAAACCAAAACTGTCTTAAGCACATTTACCTCCTCCAGTCATGTAATTTCAGGTAGGGCAACTGAATAAATAATAGATCATGGCTATTTTAAATCTACAAATATAAGATCTGCCTTTGCAGTCCTCCCCAAGAATATACCAGAACAGTATGAATACAGACTTTTCAGTGCTTCCGTCTTCAACATCATTTCTCGAAAGACTGCTATTCCTCATATTTCCATGAAAACCAAACTTAGTTTATTAATATATTCAAAGGGGATGTTGGCTTATTTTTAATTTGGCAACCAAGCTTTCACAGCCAAATCAGTATATATAAAAATCACCTACTGCTATGAAATGCTTAGAGACAAAAGCAAATGATCATCTCCAGAAAAACACTCTGAATCTGCTGACTTTTCAAAAAAAGAAAGATGCATTACCACGTCAGCCCATATTTTAAGGATGCTTAGACTCAGTATTTTTAGCCAACAGTCTGTGCTGGTGATTGTAGACAAAAAAAAAGAGGTGGGGGGGAAAAGAAAAAGGAAAAGGAAAGGCAATACGATAGAAGAAAACGATAAGAAAAAACGATAAGAAAAAAAATGCAAACAAAAACAATAGTTTAGTGTCTTTTTTGGGGATTAACTAAAAGTCACCAGCTATTCACACAACTATTCCTCAGGCTTGATATTCAACACAAAGCAAATGTTTCAGATGAGACTTCCATTGCCTACACTTGTGTTGTGCCTGGGAAAGCTTTGTTGAATCCAGGGAGGCTCCTTTACAAACATCGCTGAATCTGCACTTGACTGGACTGATTCCAATGTTTTTCCAAAGCAAGCAGGCTTTTTATTTATTTATTTAAACATTTTTATTGCTTTTTATATTTCATGACAATTCAAGTTCTATGAAATGCAAAATGTAATCCAATAAATTCCAGTGCAATAAATAAAAGAAGCCATTGAGGTACACTTAAAAATCAAATAGCATCTAACACAGTGAACTACAACAGGCGGAAAAATAATTAAGTGGTCTGCCAAGACCATTAACAATTTACATGCATTTTTTGAGGGGGAAAAGCATTGGTCTAGTTGGATTAGAGATGGATGAACCTGTTAATTCTGGTTTCCCTCCGTTTTCATTTTCCCAATCTTAAATTCAGTTTTGTACCCCACCACAACAATTTGCAATTATCTGCTTTTAAAAAGCATTTTCATGAAAATTCAGCATTTGTGTATGCTTAAATGCTAATTTTATGCACATGTACCTGTAGCATTTGCTTACGCATAGTTGTACAGATTTTTTAAAAAAACCACTGGCAGTTTTAAAAGTTTGAAATGCTGTATAGAAGAAACTGAGGAACTGATATGCTGCTTCTCCCCTCTCTTTGCTTAATCAATGAGGTTTCTAGTTCTTTCTCAGAATGCCATCCCATACAAAAGGAGGAGTATTCTGAAAGTGAATATTTTAGTTCACTTTCAGGAACAAACAAAAATATAAAGGTTTGGGATATTCCAAGAAAATCCAGACAATGGAACACTGATGCACAGTAGAACATAATTTCTTCATTGGAAACTTCTGAATACAAGAAATAGTTTCACAGACTGTTTTCTCTAAGTACTGTATATGTTGTGAAAATAAAGCCTGATGCAGTTACTTAGAAACTGCCATTCAAGGCCAAAGGTACTAATTTTCTGCAATTCTGAGCATGTACAATTCCGCATAGAACTCGGTATGTGGCACAATATTTGCATTCCTCACAAACTCAGCTTTTGCTTCCAAAGAAAAGGAGGAGTGCAATTCAGTCTACGTTAAGCACATTCAGTTCCTTTTGATTTTGATGCCTGAATGTTAACCACATGGCCAAATCTCCCCATCAAAGTAGACAGCACTTTAAGGTTATAATCCTATACCCATTTGCCAAGCAGTAAGCTCCACTGAACTCAACGAGATATACTTTTGAGCTGCTACATATTGGATTACACTGTAAAATTCTTAGCTGTGGCTGGTCCATGACTGAGGTTCAAGTTCTCTTAACTGTGGACAGGCATTTGAAAACATGCAGACTGTACATTAAGAGTCTAGGGGGGCCACTCAGTAGATCTTTTCATGTAGTTGTTGCAGTGTGTGAAAATTTTTGCTCCAAGAACAAATTCAAAGCGTATTTTCTGCCTTGGCCGGCCCTATCATTAGGCATAGTGAGGGAGGTCATGAAAGGTCAACCATTTTCTTTCAATTAAATAATAATAATAATAATTGCACTCCTCTTTTTCTTTGGAAGCAAAAGCTGAGTTTGTGAGGAATGCAAATATTGTGCCACATATGAGTTCTATGCGGAATTGTACATGCTCAGAATTGCAGAAAATTAGTACCTTTGGCCTTGAATGACAGTTTCTAAGTAAGTGCATTATTATTATTATTATTATTATTATTTACTGCCAGGAGCAGGGTGGAGTGGACTTTATGGTTTTTTTTCTTTAAGCACCAAAATGACTTGGCTAGCCATGCGTACTAAGCACCTTGCCTTAAGGGGGCATTTGCCCCCTGTCTGTCAATGAAGAGTTTCGGGTCAATCCTGTTTCTGCCCATGGATTGCTCTTACTAGATCTACACATTTTTTCTTTAGGTGGGTTCTGAAACATAGTTCCCTTTCCCTTCCAGATAGATTTGTGTTATATCTTCTTACCAATGGGCCTTTGCTTCATGTCATTTATCCATCTCTCTGTTTCTGTCACCACATTTCTTTTTTGCCAAAAATTCTGCAAAATCTCAGAAAATGTATACACTGAGCAATCCTTAGGAAAATACTTTTCTATGCTATTAATACACAAGGCCTCTTTTTGCTAGAAATCTAATAAATGCTTTGGATTTGTGTTTCTCAAGCAGCAGCTCTCTATGCCACACATCAGACTATTTTTTGAAATGAAGGGGAATTTAAACAACCTAGTTTGTGTGGTAGATTAGGGTTTAGGGCTGGGGACCAGCTACTTAAAAAGAAGTCAAATATTTTACTGGGTGTGCTCAAGCCCTTAGGTTCTGAAATAAATCTTTTGATTCAGCTTCTGAATTTCTTCCCTCAGGGCAGGATTAGAATCAGAGCAGAGAGTTGGACAGACTCTTTTCATACCAACTTCAAGTACTGGTGTTTCTTTAAAATATTTCAGATAATTCACTTTACCTCTTGAAAGCACCATCCACAATGCGGTCCAGAAAGCAAACACTCTTTACAATTCACTGCACTCCCTGGATTACAATTCCCTGCATATAAAAATCAAGGAAATATAATAGATCAGAACGCAGCATAATTATGGCAGATAACAAAATGTTCTGGGTATTGTTCCAACCTCACCAAACACAGCCTGCCAGTGTACCCTTTCCACCCTTTGAACTGAATGTCTTTCGATATTCAAAACGGTGACCAAAAAGTGCCGTGAAATTGAAGTCATTATAAAACAAAATTACGTTGAAGCACAGTCTTGACTGAAATGAATATCCAGCTTTTCCCAAGGTGACAACTGGCAAAAAGAAAGATTTGTAAAAAATTTTTTTTGTATGAATCAGTCATTGTGTTTCATGTACTTGATCTCTATCATTCCTGATTCAGCTGGATCATCGGCTCTTTGTGCACCAGACATTTTCTACTGCTGCTACTTTTCTGGATATTTATTTGTGCTGTAAGTTAAAAATGTATTAGGTACTATAAAACATAACAGAATCACAGATGCAGTGTAAATTCTCACACTATTCATTTGTAAAATTAAGCAGTCCTTAGGATTACATTCCATACATAGCCTCGGTAACAGGAACGAAACTCAGTTCAAAACAGCTACACGATAGTCAAGTGGAAAGCTGCATGCATAACAGGACTAGTATACTCGTTTAAAAAAAGTTTCTAAAAGAGCAGGATAGGACATTTTCCCAAAAGTTAATACATCACCTGTGAGCCTTACCTTGTACATAGTTAATTCTTTGCAGGAATAGGAAAAAAAGGCAAAGCAATTCAATCCCCATTCGCTTTCAGATCTGGCTGCACATACAAAACATATCAAAATTAATTAATTATGTCCAGCGTAATGAGCCCAGTGCAGAAACTTTATGAGAACTTGAAGATTGAGAACTCCAGTCCAGGCAGGTTTTAGAAGAAATATTCTCAGTTACCAGAATACTACATTAACATAAACAAGGCAACAATACAGTGTGCCACCTGGATAGGTGAACTGCAAGCTGTGCCTAAGGGCTATCAGCATGGTTATGGAATTCTTTATCTTACTTCCTTGTTTCCCTTATAAGGAAGACAGGTATATAGTCAGAAGAAGGTGGGGGAATTCATACAGGTACAGTCCTGAGTTCCTGGTTGCTGTTTTTAATCCACACACTTAGCCTTACAGAGCTCATTAGGAACCCATGAATGTTGGAATATAGTGCCTTTAGAGTTGATATAAAGGCCCAATATCGTTTTTCAAACATGTTCCCTATGTTAACTGAATGGTAGAATAATTTGGGTAAAATACCTGGAGTGGAGGTGTATAAATCCCATTTTTTCCTCAACTTCCTTGTTGGATATGAACCTTGTAAAACCAGTTCTAAAAAGGGAAAAAGTATATGTCACCGCTGTGTAATCCTAACCAGCAATGTTGGAAGTTGTGATTAAATTTGCAGAGAATGTTGAACTTTGCATTAAAAGGATAAAAAGAGCAAAAGCAAATGTGTGTGGCTAAAAAGTAAAAACTATTATGAGACACATCTGAATGTCAGCTTGCTGGAATACATTTTGAAATATAATCACTAAGCTTACTAAAAATGTTGGTTGGCTAAGGCCCTTGATGTCAGGGACATCAAGCAGCATAGGAGCTATTTTACATCAGTGGGATTTTGTGTGTGTGTGGAGGTTTCTCTCTGCATGGCTGAGACAGACCTTTTTTGGCTGGGAAAGACTCCTCTCACATATTTATGAGATTTACATATTCACACAAGCAGCATGGGAAATCAACTCTTGTGCCATTTTGTGTGCACGCTCACCAGTATCAACTATCTCACACCCTTTGATCGGCAGGTGACGCCTTGGTGGTGGTGAGGCCACTCTGGGCTGCATGGTAGGTATTGGCTCATGACAGGGCCTTTTCAGTGGCTGTTCCCTGTTTGTGGAATGCCTTCCATAGTGAGGTGCAGCTGCCTCTCATTATTGACTATCATGCATAATTTAAAAACCTTTCTATTTACCCAGGCATTTGATGGCTGAAAGACACTGTTCCTGAGTCACTGAGATCACTGTTCATAGAATGTATTAGCTGTTCACAAATTGCTTTTAAAAATGTTTTACTATTGATGTTGTGGGAGTCTCAGACCTTTGGAATCGCAGACAGAGGAGGGATGCTGTATTAAAGCCCTTTGCAAATCACTCTTTGAAACAGCCTCCCCTTTAAAGGTTTTTCAAGCATTGAGAAGGCCCAGATGGGAACATGGGAGCTGTCTTAAAGCTCTTTGCAAAAGTGCTCTTTGAAGCAGCAACTGCTCCTTTTAACATTGCTCAAGCAATGTTTAAAGGATAGGGGATGCTGCTTCAAAGAATGTTTTGCATGGATTCTGACAGGTAGTTGGGGCAGCCCACCTAGCCAACATGTGTCATAATGACATGTGCCCCCACCCACCTGTTTTATTCTGTAAAGAAAGCATACTTTGGGAATGAATGAAACAATGTGGACATGAAAGAAAGTACTTAAACTAACATAATCCAGTCTGTCCAGTGTCAGGCTAACAGCAACAACAAGCTTCTCCTTTTCCCATCCCCATGCTGAACTGGAAGCCCTCCCCAGGAGAGATAGTCAGCATTTCTTCCTCTGATTGCTTAAAAACAGTGATTAAGTGTCCTTAGCTATGGTGCTACCTGTCACATGCTGAAGCTTTAGAATTGCCTCCACAATTTGCTATCTAACTTTTGTTAGAAATGTTCAATTGACTTTTTTTATTTATTTAAATGAAAGCTAAGTGTCTGGGGCCTGGTATAAGTATAGCCCTCTGTCAGTGTCCCTGAGAAAGAGAGGAATCATACCTTCTACTTGACCTGTGAAAGGACCTTCCATGTGAACCATTTACAGACCTTTGGTCAAGTGTAAGAGTGAATAAGTAGATTCCATTTCAGTCATCTCTCAGTGCATTCAATTTATGCAGATTAAGACATGAAAGGGCTGGGTTACGCAATACTGGAAAGGCCTAATTTGGCCCTGTGCATGGAGCAGGTGCACTAGACTTACGTATCTCTGCTGTCCATAGATCTTTGAAGAGACCTATATGCATAGCATCCTACGTGCATAGGCCAAGGTCATGTGGTTGATTGATGGATTTTTATCTGGAAATTGACTGCACAGTTTTGGCCTGGACAAAAAAACATATTTTGTGCATATAAAGGTGAATTTGAAATGATCTTTTGAGTTCAGTTTTGCTGTCTTGCTTATACAATAAGCTCACTGATGTCCCCTGCCCCACTCTCACGTACTGCTTCTCTTAGTACCATGCCCTTCTGACTTAGGGAAGCAGCAAGAAATGTCAAGTTTCACGTTGTTGGGAAAACTATTATTTATCAGGAAATCTCCATTTAATTTTCGACAACTGATAAAACTTTATCCCTCCTGACATTCCATATAGCGTATTAATTGAAAGTATCACTTGGGGGCAACATTTGCATCATTGCTGAATATATGTGGCATACTGTTTGCAAAATAGTTTCAATCAATCTTGTAATCCAACCCACAGAGAGGAGTGGCAGTTCCTAGCAAAGGAGCGTCTTACCGTCTCCAATTTTTCACGCTTTAAAAAAAGCTTTCCAATAAACCACACAGCATGTGTTGTGTGTCTGTTGCTAGAGCTGTGCCAGAGCATCTACTCTTTTCTGCTTTGGATAAAGCTATAACCAGCCAAATGGAGGGTTCTCTGCATTTATAGTTTAGACCTTCTGTTCATTTGACCGCAGCAGTCACTATGCATTTAGAATCTCTGAATTTTCCATATCATTCATAGGGTTATCACAGGGTTGCCCCTGTTTGAGAGGCTCATTTGACAACAAGAAACCAAGCCTTTAATGTCATTGGCCCAGTATTGTGGAATACTCTGCTAAGAGAGATTCAGCAAGCGCCTTCTATTTCAACCTCTAAACACCTGCATTAATGTTTGATGTTTTATCGTGTTTTTAATATTCTGTTGGGAGCCAACCAGAGTGGCTGGGGAAACCCAGCCAGATGGGCGCTGTATAAATAATAAATTGTTATTATTATTATTATTATTATTATGAAAACATTTTTATTCTGCCAAGTCTATGCAGGAACTAAGAACACATCTTTCTACAATAATTAACTGATGTTTGATTTCAATTCTGATTTCATTTTTTCAGGTGGATTTTACAGTATGATTTTATGCAATATTGTAAACCGCTTTTATATTTTTCTGTGAAATAGTGGTATACAATTTTTTTTTATAAATAAATAAAATATCCCCACTTTTCTGATAACCGAGGGGCACTGTTTTCTGAAACAGAAAATAGAAATGGGAAACCTGGGGCACACTTTACTCTTACAGCTGAAAACATTCACATTTAGAGTGCCTCCTTGTAATAATTATCTGGCCCAGGACATTTTGCTGCCTGAGGCAAAGGACAGGATGACACCCCTACATACTGTGTTCAGAAGCTGACTGAACTGGCATTTAAATCTTACTTTAATACACTGCCAGTGTCTTCTGCTGCAACTGAGGACAGCAGGCTAGTTTAGGGGTAAGCAAGGCAAGTTGTGGGGCACACACAGCTGTGTCCTCCAACACCTTGCCACTGCCCCTCCCCACAGCATCTGCTGCCTGAGGCAAGCACAACATTGCATCTAAGGAGACTACCCTTTTCTGTTTCTGCATGCTGGTATTCTGGTTGTCCTTGTTAATTAGAAGATGCACAGCAGACAGTCTCTTTTGAGGTGAGGTAATGCCTCAGAAGAGCTACGTATGCTCCCATCATACTTGGCAGAGAGATGGAATTACCCCCAAACAGATGAGCAAAGCCTGAGCAGTACATTGTGCAGATACACTGGTGAGGAGAGGGCAAGGCACCCTCTGTGGGAGCAGTACTATTGGGCCACACAAGATATTTTTGTGTGTGGCAGACTAGCATATTCCTCACATTATGGGGATTTTGGGGCCTGTTTGGTGTGCTAAGCACATCAAAAGCACAAGTCTATTTGCTTAACATCTCACGATAACTATATGCAGTGCTTTTCCCCTGGGGGTACGCATACCCCTAAACATTTTGTGAATTTAAGTTTGGCCTCATTGAGGGGCAGTATTTCAATATGAGTAAGAAAATGAGGGTACCCCTAAACATTTTTTTTTAGAAAAAAAGTGCTGACTATATGAAACAAAAATGTGCTCTCTTTCACTCTCACACACTTTAAATACGCCCCTGAACGAATCAAAGAGCAGGATTTTAGATTTTGCTGAAGCACAACTTCCTGAAAACCTTTCTCTCATCCCCAATTGACATCTGAAACAATATCCCTGCTATTTTAGCTCACCCCCCCAACATTAAGCTCCAATCAGCTGCTTTATTACAATGCTACTTATGTCCCTTTCCCAGGCTAGAGGCCTTGACTCACCTGTTACCTGAATGGTGAGAGCTATGCCCTTCAGATGATAACTACTCTTCCCTGCATTAAGAGCCTGAATTTATCTGATTAGGCATGAGTAGGAGTCATGGTGAAGTCAGGACACTCAGTGGATCATTTGGGAGGAAAACCCCTTTCACTGCAAGCCATTTCCTTTCTATGGTACTCCTGCTAAGCATTCATTCACTCATGCTTTCATCATTGGCTATATTTATACCCAACTTATGACTCGCAATGCACTTTACCATAAAAAACAAACAAACCAATTTGCAATTAAAATTATTCATGGCATGGAGAAAGTGGATAGAGAAACCCCCTCCCTCCCAACACTAGAACTCATGGGCATCCAATGAAGCTGAAAATCAGAAGATTCCAGACAGATAAAGGAAAGTTCTCCATCGTGAAGCACATTGTTTAACAACGGAATTTGTACTCACAGGAAACAGTGGTGGCCATATACCTAGATGGAGTTAAAGGTGGATTAGACAAATTCATGGAGGAGAGAGCTTTTGAAGGCTACTAGTCATGATGGCTATGTTCTGCCTCCACAGTTGGAGGCAGTAATGTTTCTGAATACCATTTGCTGGAAACCACAGGAGGGGAGAGGGCTCTTGTACTCAGGTCATGCTTGTGGTTTTTCCTCAGGCATCTACTTGGCCACTGTGTTTTTAATTATGCCATTTGTGTAATTTATGAGGATTGCTTCAATGTTTTTGTTAAATGTAGGCTGTATCTTCACAATTACTTTCTTGCTTTTTAAAAAAATTAAGTGCCCTGTGAACGTTTTTGGTGAAGGGACAGTTCAAAAATGGCTAAATAATCAAATGAATAAATAAATACATTCCACTGCTGCGAATACTATGGGTTCTTTTGATTCCCTGAGAGGAAGTGGCAGGGAGTATAGAAGAGAAGAAATGGAGCAGAAAAGGGGACAAATTTCACATCGCTCTTCACTGGCAAAAGAAAATAGCCAGACATGCAAATGGGATTGACATCTGACCAGGAAAGAAAGAAAGAAAGAAAGAAAGAAAGAAAGAAAGAAAGAAAGAAAGAAAGAAAGAAAGAAAGAAAGAAAGAAAGAAATGGTCTGTTAAAAAACAACAGCAAAGCTTTCAGGCCAGGAAGGTAAATAAGTGGCTAATTTTTGAATAGCTGAATATATTATGTGTAGAGGCAACTTTTCTGTTGTGGAACAGAGCTAAGCCTACCTAAGGCAGCCCTGAGCTGGATGTCATGAAAGGGCAGAAGATAGTTATTTAATATATTATTGTTGTCTTTGGGCTGCCAGAGTGATGGAGTGATGCATGTGGAGTTTACTGGTTCAGACTTGGCTAGGCTCGGGTGCTCTGTGCCTTGACTGGAGGGGATGGAGTGCTATTTACTCCTCCTCAGGCAGCAAAGAGTCTTAGGCTGGCTATAATACAGACCCATCACAGACAACTGGGTGCTGACTCGGGAGAAGAGAGAAATCTGATTCATTTACAAGTGAAAGGCAAACTTATCTAATTTTCACATTCCAAAACAATAAGAGAACTGAAATACATACATCCTTCAAAATTGGCATCTCTCTGAATTTTGAAGTGCAGGTTCCCAGCCAACTAATGGGTACCAAAAGAGGATAAAATGTGCCTATATGTGGAAATGGTGAACAAAAATGTTGCTGAATTTCCATAAGGACTAAAAATAAAATCACAAACTGACGTGGAAATGTGGAAGCCTGGAAAAACGAGAAACTCACATTGACGGAGTCACCCACCCTTAAGGTTGACCCCAGTTGCAGCTCCCTCTGAACTCTGCCCCCGTCCAGTTACCAACATAGTTTTGATTTCAAGAGTTAATAGCTTTATATGCAAGGGAATTTACTCCACAAGTCCTAAAGATGACTGTTGGAGGAAATGTGACTCACAACGTCTCTCAAATGTTTCCCTAGGCTGCTTGTAGCGAGGTGCAGTGACATGCCATATTCAGATTGAAGAATCACGTCCTCACCCTCGGTAAACACAAGCCGAGTAATCATAAGGGGAAAGAAGCAGGGGGCGGGGGGGGGGGGGGAGCAAGAAAGTAAGCAAGCAAACTGAAGAGCGTTTTTAGTTTACATATATGAGTCACGGTACAATGGCTTCAAAATCATGGAATCATAGAGTTGGACCCAGAGGTTTCTGTAGTTGAAGCTGAACCCTCTGCAATGCAGGAATATGCAGGTGGCCTGCATGGCGATCAAACCCACGACCTTGGCAGGAAGTGGCAGCTTGTCTTCTACTGATTTAAAAGTCAGAAGGGCATTTGCTATTTTGCTTAGAGAAATAATATATTAGGGTGTTTGGTGTGTGTGTGTGTGTAACTGTTCTGCAGCAGGTTATTGACAGTTCAAAAATATTCCTCAGAAGCTACGGTGTGTGGAATGACAGGCTGTGCACTACTTACATTTTATGTTATATGCATGCTTAATCTGTCCACATCAGTTCTGAAGAAAAGGAAGTCATAGTGCCCCAATCCAAATCAGAAGCATGTACCAATTTACTTCCCTTTACCCCGTACACACTACTATGCGCCCTCAACAATAAAGAGGAGCAACCATAGGAGAGCAAAGAACTGTAGGTGGGTGTTTGTGGGTTAGCATGGAAGTGTTGTTGATGTTTGTTAATGAACTATGTTGTATATCATCTTGAGCTCCTTTGGGAGGAAGGGAGCTAGATAGATATAATAAATAAATAAATAAATACATTAAGAGAGGCGAGAGGCATCCATTACCTGCCAGTTATTCTCTTCCCAGATCCCAGTTGGGTTCTCTAGATGGGAGGGAGTTTATACCGAGGATAATGTCAACTCCTGACAACTTGCCCTAAAATGTGAATATGACATTCTTCAATTGCACAAATAAGGAGAAACAGGGCAGTGGGTGACCAGGGTCAGGGATGCGAAAATAATGACTGTTTGAACGTATGTATCATATGATGTGCAGTGTAATAAGATACATGCTTACTCAGAAATAAGTCCTATTGAGTAAGCCTCCCTAGAGTGGCAATGTAATTCACAGGATTTCAGGACTAGGAAGTGGCTCCTTGAAGTTCATCATTCAGCAACACTCCTTAAGCATGACAAGAGCTGAAAGCCACCAGCACTTATGGTTGGATTCAGATTTAATCAAGTAGCACATATTAGTGCATGAGTTGTGGGTAGCTAGATCACTGGACAGGAGATTACAAGGCTTGGTAAAGACAAAGAGGGGAGGAATTATTGAATGTTATCAGCGTATAGCAAACCTGCCAGCGCAAAGTGTAGACTCATTAAACCACAGGCAGACATGTGCTTGTCATGTGCAGTCCTAAGGAGTACTTCACTGACCTGTGGGTGCTGTTAGTTCCACCTAATCCTTCTGGGGCCATTTGTGCCCACATATGAAAGGCATGGGGCTCACTCATAAAGGGTAGAGAGGAAAATGACTCTCCTGCCTGTGAGAATACTGTGTTCCAGTGTTTCTTTCTATTGTATTATTATTATTTTCTTAATGTGTACATACACCTAAGAATTACAGTATATGAATTTCAAGCTAGTAAAGAACTTAAGCAATTGAATCATGTACTGTATTTTAAAATATTTATATCCTGCCTTTCAACTCTAATAAAATAAAAATTATATTTCACATATATTTGCATGTGTGAAACAGTCATCATACAGAAATCTCAGTAACTACCACATAAATGATAGATTTTTAAAGGATTTACTCTATTGTGGTAAATGGCAGGTTTTCGTACAAGAACTGTTTCACGAAAAAATGAGGAGATTAAATTGCCATGCATGGGCTTACAGTAAAAGAAAAGGATTTGCCGACAGTATAACTTCTCCAAGTGGCAGAAAGACTCATATTTAGCAGCAGTTTACGGTATGGGTGGTGAATCTCAGGCTTTCAGGCCAAATTTGGCCCACAAGGCCATTTTTGTCAAGCCATGTATGCCTGCCCCACACCTGATGGTCATACATGGTCATACGTGTGGAGCAGGGAGAGATGCACAATCAGGAGTCTTAAAGTACTGATGGAGAGTAGAACAAAAGTCTACTAGATCAGCTGTGCTAGTGAGTTCTCCATGGTTAAATTGCTCATGCAACTGATGCCTGCAAAAACCAGGTTTTGGCTCCACAGCACATCAGTTAATTTTGGAACATCAAAGTGCCCTATCTGCTGATGTCATTGTTTTCCCCCCTTTTCTGCTGATGTCATTGTGATGCCAGGTGATTGACAGGTGGCCAGCAAGGCTAGATTAAATAAAAAGTTCCTCACTCCTGGTGTAGAGCTTGGGGAGTTTGCCCTTGTATAGTTGCTCTAGTCTTTTCCAGTGATCTGATGCACTGTTTCTTTTGGCCACCCAACACACTGCTCCATCCTGGACACCTGGGACACTGAAGCACTGCTGGATGAACGGCAGAGAAGAGTCCTTCTTATGTTGTTTTAGAAAACAGCTTGATATACAGGTTGTGTTTATATATAAAGTGCTGCCATCTCCTGGTAACATAACTATTTGGCAGGCAAAAATATTACACTGTGGCCTTTGAAGTTTTAGAAATTCAAACTTTGGATTTTACAGGCATGACTTACACAATCTCGTGATGTTCAAGCACCTTTTATACATTATGCTTGACTAAGACTTCATGACCTTGGAATGGCTTTTCAAACATTGCTAAAGGAAGTAATGGAGACAAGAATGGTGAATCCAATTCTAAAAGAAAGAAGGGTACAAATAAACTCTCTCCTGCGGGCTTTCATTTTTAATTTTTTGTTAGTGAAGGAATCCTAAAAATTGGAAAGGGTTTAAGAAATAATACATTATCTTCATTATACAATGTGTAAATGTCAGGATAGACTCTTTAGGTTTGCACAGTGACTAAAATAATGGGGTGAAGGGAGAAATTAGTTCTTGAGCCTTGATTATTTGGTTAGATAGATAGCATGAGTGCTGAATTTCTGTACAGACACAAATTAACATATCACATCATGAGTCCTTCCTACACCAACCTCTCCTTCCCCATCCCCACCTTGCCTCAGTGTGTCCCAGTCTCAGCTACACCTCTCAATGGGATCCTCTTTCTCCTCCCTGTTGTGCTGTCAATTCATGACAATCAGTAGCTGTATATTACAACCCCCCCTCAACCCCCATGCATTGTCCGGGGGGGCGGCGTTTCCTGACCCACTCAGGGCCAAATTTTGGGGGTGTGTGAAGAGGTCATATGTGGGCAGGAGAGGGAGGAAGCCCCAATGCACAAGTCAAAGGCCTTGCGCAGGCTTCTGCTGACTCTTGGATCACAATATGTGAAGGGAGGTAGGAAGAGGACCAATTCCCTTTGGGTCTTCTTGTCCCCACAGTGCCAAACGATGGCTATTGCGTCCTGTAGCACATCCCTATAGCATCTGAAAAGGACTATTTTCTTCAAGGGTGATGTCCAAACTGGTATCAATGATCAGGAATCAGCACTGGTAGTAACCACATTCATGTAGGGTGACAATAATACTATAACTCACCAAGACTGATTCTCTGTTTTTGCAAGTCCCAGTTTTAAAAAGAAAGTCCTTGATGTGCTGTCAGTGAAGTTATTTATTTTCTCATATATATATATATATATATATATATATATATATATATATAAAAAATCAGGACCACAGCATGCTGGGGTTGTCTATCATGAAGAAATTACAACGGATCTTTTCTTTTCAACCTCTTATTTCATTTTCAGCTACTCCACCACTGCAGGTGCTGGTTTCTTTGCTTTGTAAAACTTCCAGTTATAAACAACAGCATATTAATATCTTTTCCTCTTGTATGAAGCAAAATGTTGCTTTGGTTTGCTCTTTGGACAAATATGCTCAAGCACACGGCTAGGTAGGTCACCTGGGTGTTTATGACACATCTCTTAATGCAGTGGAAAGCACAGACAATATTATCTTTGTCTGGCATGTTCTTCGTGCTACTTTGTGTGCTCCAGGCAATGTGACGAACATTCCTAAAGCTGGTAGGTCTAGCCAGGGGATTTCCTAGGTTTTGTTTATTGTTGTCTTTAAAAAAATTCCTCAGGTAGCTGAAATCATTCTTGCCTTAATAGCTGCCTTCCCCTGCTTGCCCAGAGATCAAGTACAAATTAATAGCTTGACAAAAAGGGCCTTTGCCATACCAGAATGTAACAACGTTGTGTTTTGCATTGTTTGGTACTTAAAATAATGCTATTTGGCTGCCCCCTTTTTGGCTGCTGTCTTTTCTCAATTGTTGAGAATTAGCTGCACTAAAAAAAAGTTGAAAGCTGGTTGTTATAAGAAAAAGTGCACAATTGATTATTTCTCTCTGAGGCAGAAGGAAGTGATATAAGACTCGATGGGAAATACTGGTCAGCTGCTGAAAAGTAGCTGACAGAGTAGTAGTTCACTGCTCCCAAAAATGAGAGCTGCAGCAAGTACACAAACACAGAGCAGAGCAAAATAAAAAAAATCCTTCCAGTAGCACCTTAGAGACCAACTAAGTTTGTTATTGGTATGAGCTTTCGTGTGCATGCACACTTCTTCAGATACATGCACATGGAAGCTCATACCAATAAGAAACCTAGTTGGTCTCCACGGTGCTACTGAAAGGAATTTGTTTATTTTGTTTTGACTACGGCAGACCAACACGGCTACCTACCTGTAAACAGAACGGAAGTATCCATTGTGGTAGCAGGAAAGTGGCTATAATAGGTGTATTGTTTGCATGTTCAGGGTGCCCAGTGGAAGCCTCTGGAAAAGCTTCCATGTGGCTTTCAAAAGAGAATCAGATAAATTCAGGGAGTTTAAGACCTTCAGTGACCACTGTATTCTATCTCCACTGTTGATGGCGGTATGCATCAGTATACTAGTTGCTGGGAATCACAAGTTGGGGATTTCCATAAATATCTGTGTCACTTTGCTGGCTGATTTTTTTTCCTGCTGCTGCTCTCTTTGGCAACTCTGCTCCTCCCTGCGCACCTTCCTGTCCTAGCTAGCTGTTCCTTTCCTCCCCAACCCCTGAGCAGAGTACAAACCCTCTAAAGAAGCCCATTTCAAAAGGACTCACTTCTGCATTGCTACAGGTATGAAAAAGGGAGGAGGTAGTTTGCTGTTTGCTGCCACCCCTCACCTGCTGCCACCATACCCTCCAGTATTTCTCCAATGAAAATAGGGACGCCCTAAGGAAAACACTCCGGGATCAAATCAGAAACTGGGATGGCTTCTGTAAATCCATGACTGTCCCTGGAAAATAGGGACACTTGGAGGATCTGCTGTCTGCAGCATGTGCCCCTCTTTTACCACCCCCACCCTCCTGATCTGGCCTGGGTAGATGCCATATGGAATGCTGCCTATTGTCCCTGGCACAGAGAAGCTTTTTAAGTGAATTCCTCTGTGACACCAATATTGTACTAATTGACTTTGCGGAATTCATAAGGGATAAAGTGGAGACATGCAAAGCATGGCATGGGGTAGAGGCTGGTGGGTGGGAATGGAAGGAGAGAGGAGCTCAAAAGATGGGTCAGTGCCATAAGTATGAAATATTTTAATTTGATCATTTCTGGCACCTGATGTTCTGGTCTAGTGCACTTGCAGTTCAGTCAATGGAAAGCAATTCAGCCCAAACCACTATGTGGGTGAACAGTTACACCCCACAACAGCTGCAGTTTCTTCAAGAACAAAAACCTTTGACCGATTAATTCTTTCCCAGGTTTCTGACTCAGCAAGGCACAAAAAGCTAAAGCCTTTATCCACCTGTTTCCTATGTAAAAGAGATCAGGAATTTTAAGTCTTGACTGACTTACAGTACATGGTTGCATTTTTGTGGCCAGGCTTCTGTCTCAAGATATATGCCTTTATAATGATCACTAAGCCTGCTAATTTATACACACAAATAAGGATAATGACTTTGGATTTTATAGTAACCTCGGTCCAGTATATCTGAAGGAGCATCTCCACCCCCATCATTCTACCCGGACATTGAGGTCCAGTGCCGAGGGCCTTCTGGCGGTTCCCTCACTGTGAGAAGCCAAGTTACAGGGAACCAGGCAGAGGGCCTTCTCGGTAGTGGAAGTTTGACGCCCTCCCACCAGATGTCAAAGAGAACAACTACCAGACTTTTAGAAGACATCTGAAGGCAGCCCTGTTTAGGGAAGCTTTTAATGTTTGATGTATTACAGTATTTTAATATTTTGTTGGAAGCCGCCCAGAGTGGCTGGGAAAGCCCAGCCAGATGGGTGGGGTATAAATAATAAATTATTTCTTTTTCATCCTCAAAGAAAGATATCAATCATTTCTGTGTCATTTACAGAGGGGTGGGGCAACAGGCACTATTGCACATGCCGTTGTCTGTTCATTTGGCTGGTTTTCCAGCATCCTGAACTTTCACTTCAGCATACACTTGAAATTCTTGGATGGTGCTGCAGTGGTAGAGGGCATGCCTGGATGTCTCGGGGTCGCTGGCTGTGGTTGCTAGTAGCCATAAAGCAGGGGTGGAGAGCTCCCCCTGCTAATAAGTCCCACCAGGCCTTTCCATTTGGACCATGAGGCTATTTTGGCCAAGCCATGCCCACCAAAATGCACACCTGATGTGTACACCTGATGAAATATATTACATACCAGGTCATATATTACATACCAGTAATTCTGTTGAATTCCCATAGTGTGACTGGCAAGACCTGACAGAGCAGCTCACACTGCCCCCAAATTTTGAAGCTGTTGATGCCAAGATACTCATTACTTTTGCAAAGTAAAAATGGAAATACCTCTTGTGGGAGTTTTTTTTTTTTTGCTACACACACATCAGCAAAATTTCATTACTTAGGCACTTCAGTGATCTGGCACCATGTGCCAAATTCATGGACTGCCAGGTTGCAGGCATTTTGAATGCCGTCAGCACTAGAAGCCAGTCTGGGTTATGCTGTCTTGCTTCTTAGACTGATTTCCTACGTCAACATAGCTGCTGAATCATTCCTACTTAACAACATTCTGTCTGTTATAAAAAGAGTCAGTCAACTAGAGTTAATGTTCAGCCTGATTAATAGGAAATAAATGTCTGAATAGCCAACATAGATAAAATATAATGAGTTCTCCTTTTATTTATGTTCAAGAAAGAATATTAGACATCTGAGTCAGTTTCTATGGAAGACAAATGTGATTTTTGTACTTTTGTTTGCATAGAAAAGGTTCAGACATGAGATCATTTTATAAATACATAAATGACTGTCATGATGTTTTCAGTACCTTCTGCAATTGCTACTTTTCAGAATATTCTTTTGTGGACTAATGATTTACTATAATATCTGTGCTGCAGAGAGGGGTATCTTTTAGGTCCCTGAGGTTAAGCAGCTAAAAGTGCTAATTTCATGGTCTAATGTTAACATGCATATTGTATTGAAATACATTGATATAAGTTTGCTTGACTCTGGGTGAAACCCACCACTGCTGTTCTGCTTGTGGAATGGCTTTTGGTCCAGCAGATGTTATCTGTTATTGTAAGAGAAGGGGATGAGATTTTCTCTTATTTTGCACTTTCTGCTGCTGTATGTATTGGTGCATACAGATAACAATGTATGGCACAAAGAGTTTTTTTAAAGTGTGTTTTAAGCACCAATATACTTTATACATAGCATAAAACAACAGCCACTTAAAAACTGCTCCAGAGGGCTGGAGGACCATCCAGAACTGTGTGGAAAGGATTGCAGGGAAAATCAGGGAAAACCAGTTCCCCTTCTCTAATGTCTGCAGATGCTTCCACTTGATCAAAAGCTGTTCTGAGAATGGATTTCACTGGATTTCACCCTCTGCATTGGATTGCGACTAGTACATACCACTTACAATGCAATAATTTTTCTAAGGCCTTATCTACACAATTCCACAGAGTATACATGAGCTGCATTTTTGCTCCTTTGTGTTCCTGTCTTCATCTCATAAAATACCATATCAAATCTCCATGGAGTAAGAAACAGGCCAGAGGAAAGATACCTTGCTGTGATGTTTTATCAGTTTCACATCTTCTGTCTAAGGTGAAACTGATAAGCCTTGTTCTATATGCCTGGAAGACTGTTGTATCAAGAGGGGGGGGAGATAATCCAAATATCAAATAAAAGTGGAAAGGAAAAGATCTAGGAAGAGATTGGGTATGGGGAGACGCGATGTTGTTACTATTTGCTGCTTCTAAAGAGTTATGGGAAGGACGATAGGATATGCTCAATGCATCCTTGAATAACAGTTAACAGCTAAGGCACAGAGGGCTGCTTGGCTATACAGAAGAAGCTATGTAACTCATCACTACCGATATCATGAGCCTTAATACCCTCCACTCATACTTGGGCAAGCCAACCGGCACAGCGGCAGTGGATGGATGGAATTCTATGTATCTAATACTGCTTGGGATATGCTTCCACTTCCTGCCCAGTGTCTGCTGGAGGAACAGCTTCCAATATATTGCTCCATCTATATGAAACGATATGAAATTGTGGAAAATTCTAATATCCTAACTTTTTCATGCATGCATAGCTCATTTAAATGGAACGGGGATGAAGTTGAGGTATAGCTGCCATTCGTAGGTTGGCCAAAATATAGTTTGACAGACTGGAAATAATTCAAGTACCAGTGGAATCTGATAGGTATCCTGGATAAATAACCTGCCATATGTTTTCTAGTTAATAGGTAATTTCCACTGGACATGTTTGGTGCTGCCTTTAATTATTTTCTAAGGTGGGTTGGGGAACCTCAAGCTCACCAGGTGTTGGTGGACTATAACCCTCCTACCGCCACCTGTGGCTATTCAGCTGGAGTCCAACCATATCTGGGAGGCAGCAGGTTCACCACCTCTGGCTATAATGCTTGCCAAGTTATAATACAACTGACAGTCTGTTAAACATTACTAACTCTTGTCTATATCAACATACATTTATTTAATATGATGGGTTTCCCAAAGAGATAACAAAAGGTAACACAACTGCTAGGAGATCTACATGCAAATGAATAAATATATATTAGTGTGTTTGGAGGAGTGCCCTCTAGTGTATCATAGGGCAATAAATTCAACTTTAACTCCATTTTTTGTAGCAGTAAAATGTTCTGACTTTACATGGTTGGCATTCCACATCCCAAACTTATCATGCTGTCTAGAATTTGGGGATATTTTTTTCTGATATATTAGACATAAGAAGGGAGTGCCATAGCCACAACAGCAGCAAGAATACTTATTGCAAAGTATTGGAAGACACAAGATTTACCCACTCTGGAAGAATGGCAGATGAAGGTGATGGACTATATGGAACTGGCGGAAATGACTGGCAGAATCCGAGACCAGGGAGAAGAGTCGGTGGAAGAAGATTGGAAGAAATTTAAAGACTATTTACAGAAATACTGCAAAATTAATGAATGTTAGAATGATGTCAGAATGAAGTTAAGTGGTTTTAGCAGCAATGTTATAAAGGTGTATGTAAAAATGGATTGTTAACAGGTGAAAATCCAAAGTTATAATATATTAAGTTAAAGGATTAAGACAAAAACAAAGAGGGAAAGGAATTGCTGAATTAACTAATAGAACTGGAACACAAAAAAGGGAGGTGTGAGGAGGTCAGGGAAGCAAGGAAATGAAATGTAAGGCATGGAAAGATTGATGTGTTTTTTAAGTGTTTTTTATCTTTTTTCTGTATTTTGTATTTTTTTCTTTTTTATTTCTTTCTCTTTTTTCCCTCTTTTTATTTATGTAATCTTTTCTTTGAAACTTTAATAAATATCATTTAAAAAAAAAAAAGAAGGGAGTGCCATAACGGCTCCTTCCTCTTGTATTAAAGACAAATGATCTCTTCTGCACCCTGTTCCCTATTCTCCAACATAGGAAACAGTTGGAGGAAAGTTAGTGCATAGAAAAAACAAATACATCATTGAGGTGGGAAAATGCTTGAGCATCTGTTAAGTTTTCTAAAGTTATGAACCTTTGAATATTGGATGTTACACTTGGGCAGTTTATGCAGATGTGCATTCTATGACTATCCCCAGGCTACTCCATCAACATCTCTGAGTGTAGTGCAATGCTAGGGGGTTCCTTCATCTCTGTTTTCACAGATGTGCTCACACACATTAATATTCACTCTCAGGTCCCTGTGTCTATTGGACCTTCCCTTACGCCATCTGTAGGGGCATAGTTATTGTTCAGAACAGCATGCAGGCCAGATCTGACAACGTTATTTATGTGTTCAAAAGGCTGCCATGTGCTCTTTGTACCTCTTAGTTCAGGGCCCAGGGAGGCTGAGGAAAGGGGTGAACATATTTGTAATAGCCATGGCAGCTGACCGAGGTAGCAAAGAGGAATTCTTTTTGGGAGGTGGGGAGCTTTAGGAATATAGGAAGCTGTATTATACAAAGTCAGATAATTTGTTCATCTATCCCAGTATTTTCCACATTGTCTGGCAGTGACTCTCCTGAGTTTCAGATAGGGGACATCCCATTCATACCTGGAGATGTCGGGGATTGAACCTGGGATTTTCTGCAAGCAAATCTGCAAGCAGATGCTCTACCTCTGAGCCTTTCCTGTGGCAAGCGTTAAGAACCCTGTTTTGGACATGCTTCATATTAAATTGCACTCACCCCCCCCCCCCAAGTTACTGAGGAGTGGGAAAACAAAGCAAAAAAATGAATGACCAGGGAAATGCAACAAAGAAGCAAAGGGAAACAAAGAAATGCAAAGCAGTTTAAGAACAGAAAAACAAGTTTAAAAGGTCTGATTGTGCTTGCCCAGCAACTTGAGTACTTTGATGGTAATGCAAAAATAGAGGCCAACATGCACAACCTATGTCATGGTGGTGAATGCTGGGCTGGAATGCACTTGTTGTCAAAAGTCATGGTGTGCAGGCCCATGAGGCAGCAGGGTACACTTGCTCCGGGCCTCAGAGGCTAAGCTGGGCAAGGAGCCTTGCCAGGGGTCTCTGCCAGGGGCCTGCTGGACTTACGCTGTTGAGTTGATAACTTTATTCTAACAATATTCATGCCACGGGCCTCAGACAATCTCTGCACCATCTTGATGGGGTAGGTGGGTGACAGTGGGTACATTAGCCTAAACCCTATTTATTCTCTCTCTTTTTAGTCATCAGAAGCCATTGCTAAGTGCAGTTGCCTCAGTCTAGATCATGCTGACCTAAGGTGAAGCCTGTAACATGATGAAGCATTAAAGAGATGCTTCTTCATAGATGTTAAACTATGGGTGTGACCACACACAGCTTATTATAGGGAAGGCCAGGCGAACAGCGGAATGCCAGGCAAAGCAAAGTTTTTGAGCTGTTCTGAAACAGTGGGACTAGGCATGGCAGTAAACATTCTACTTGTGTGATTCTAGTGGTGTTTCTGAGACAAAATGGTTGCTCAACTTGCTTTTAGGCTTTGTTTCAGCCATTGATTTATTTTCATAAAATTTATATACCGCTTGATTGTAAAAACCAAAAAAGCAAAGCGGTTTGCAAAAAGAATAAAACAACAAAGTTATTAATAAAAACAAAGCTTTTTTAAAAAATGAAACCAGCAGTAAACTAAAAGCACACCTGCATCCTGTATATCTGGGAAGGCTTTTTAATGCTATAACTTAGCTCTGGAACATGGGAAGAAATAAAATTGAAGAGTGTGATGCTGATCCCATTTCTCATGTATGACTAACCACAGCCAACACCCACATATCTATATCTAGGACTCAGAACTTTCCAGGTTCAGGGATGGTTTCCTGGCATTTGAGATCCTCCTGGCACCTCTTATTTTAGAAATGAAGCACTGCTTGGCATGTGATGCCATTAATTGAAATTGAAATCTGACAAGGGCTCAAGCGTCTCCAGGAAAAATGCTTTTGGCAGTTTCACTTCATGACTCATGCTGTGTGTATGAGATTATATTCATGTCATGATAGCATGCCATGATATTTAGGTTGTACAAATGTCAGTGGGGTTGTAGGTATAGTATAATTAAACAGAAAGGACTGGCTGGTACATATACGATCAATCACAAGGCAAAATCCAGGCAGGATGGAACAGTTAAACACATACTTATATCTCCCCCTTATCAAGCAACTCACTATTGGCTGGAATATACCCTCAGAAGAAAATCAAAGTTAAGCCCACTGAAGCCCATTTATTTTAATGGAAGAAGTAAGAGGGTGCTTAAATCTCTCCTGTGAAAATGGCTTAAAAGCCTTTGGCCTTCATTTTTATTCATCAGCGATTTGGGCTGGTCCTCTGGAGCTACTGGGGCACAGCCCTCCAACTGAAAATGCCAAGCATTAAAAAAAAAAAAATACCCTCAAAATCTAAACACAACTGTTTTCCTGTCCCATACACATATTATATGATGAAACCAGTGCTTCTATATCAGTCTGCTAGGATGATTGTAGGACAAAAGAGTTAATATGTAATCAGTTTATTTGGCCTGCCCAGATAGTTTAGCTTGCAGTTATCTTCTATAATCCTCAGATTAAATGGTTTGAAAAACTGGAGCAGCAAAAATAATATATACAGCAGCATTGAAGTTAGGCACATTTCTACTTCCAAGACACATTTCTACTTCCAAGCCAAATAGTTTCAAAGGAGCCTCCTTTCTCATTATCTGTGGAATGGAACTCACAATCTCATTGCTATCTCAAATACAAGGTAGTTTGCAAAGTGCAGGATTCCCTCATATCTTTAAGTTCTCTCTTGAGATACAGTGAAGCAGGAGCACATACTGAACACAACAAAATTGTGTTTGTGGGCTTTTACCTAAGGCAAATTCTAATCTGTGGAAGCTGAAATTGTAGTGGAAGCATCTTCAAGAAAGTAGTATATGTCACTGTGTCTCAGTTTAAGCATTTCTTGTCAGTGCAGCCCACTCCTAAAAATCTTTGCTTGGAAGTACATACATCCAGTGGGACTTTCCCTTTATAGAAAATTATGTACAACACATTAACCAAGAGAGAAGGAAGAAAAAGAAGAAAGAGGACAACATAATACGCACAAGAGTTTCCCCCAGTTATAACAAACCAGAATTATGGGACTATATTATCAAATCCGTATGGGGCATGGCATTGCAAATCATGTTCATCCCATCCATTTGCCATGCCATCCCACAGTGTTTTTCCATAAAAGTCCATTTGTTAATGGTGATTGCCAATAGAGTACATAAGAAAATATTGCCAAGTTTTATGGAATTTGTTTTTGGGTTTTGTAAAGTCCGGTGCAGAGACACTGGGCTGATCACACATTGAAGTGGAGTACTATTTCTAGATAAGAGTCTGGTCTCATGAGACAATGCTTATGTTTTTCAATACATAAATCTAGAGCCATTTCATCTTAGTGTGCAATACAAAATGACAAGTGAGTATGCTGAAGAATGCTTATGAAATACAAAGATGTACTCTCTCTTTTTATAGTATATTTTACTTTTTTAAAAAAGGGGTATCTTAGTGCCTTCCTTGTATAAAGTATTCAAAAAGCCAGTGGACAAACAAGCATTCAGAGGCAATGAAAGCTGTCCTGACTGAGCCTCAACACCCTGCTGTGAGAAGCATCTCAGTATTACGCAAATGTAAGCAGTACACAAACAAGGGGGTGATTTTCCTTTCCTAATATTGCTCCTTTCTGGGCACATGATTGTCTACTGCTTTCAGTTCTATACACGGGCCTCATAGATCCTAATGCAACGCTGAAGGCTAATATTCTAACGAGTCTACAAAATAGTTCATTTTGGTATAGCAGTGGTGGGGAACCTTTGGCTCTTCAGATGTCATTTCAACTCCCATCAGCCCTGGCCAGCATGGTCAATGGTCAGGGGTGGTGGGAGTTGGAGTCCATCAACATATGGAGGGCCAAAGTTTCCCCTTCATGATCGTATAGCTTTGTATAGTCTTCCAAGCATATTGTGTAAGTTTAAGGATTTCTGACATATGTTGTAATTGGGGTGGGGGGAAATAACAGGTAACTATTTTCAAAATGGGAAAACCTAAATTATATACAAACATTTCCCTTTTCTACTTAGAGGCTTATATGGGGCAATTTGAATCAGAGAGAGAAAAGCCAGAACCAAACTATTCAACTCCACAGGTGGAAGTCAGAAAACTAGGCAGTTCTATTCATATTGCCTAGTAAACGCTATCAAAGTTGGCTGGATTTCATAAGTGTCATTCAAAATACAGGCCAAAATATTTTAGTCCAGCTGTTGTCAGATGCTGAATCTGACCAGTGTCATGGATCCTATAGGCCTCAAATACATCCATATCACAAGCTGAAAGTTCACATACCAAGTAGATTATTCTTATTTGGTTATTTAGATTTATATCACACTCTGTATAAAAAGATCAGGGTAGGGAGACCAGTTCCTTATCATATATATTATCAAAACCACCTTAGTGAGATAATTTACGTAGTGTTATGTGTGTGTGTAGGCAGCAGCAGAGGTAACATTTTGTGGAGGCAAAGAATATTTTCAGGTAGCACATCTGTGTATAGAACTTGTGTTTCTCGAGTGTGGATTTCTTTCTGGAGTCTGTGGACCATCTTAGACAACATCTCCCTAGACTGAAAGCACTTTATCATGAGAAAATGTGTAACATGCTATGTAGATAACCACATGTAGCGAGTGGACATGTGTATGCATAAAAAAGGAAATGTGATCTCATTACACATTATGATCTACATGTTAAAATTTTAAGCATTTTAACCTAAGGTTACCAGATTTTTTTCAATGAAGCCGGGGACACTTTTCAACTTCGTACTAAGTAGGTGGATTTTGTCAGGGGACTGATTTGTAAATCCAGGGACTGTCTCTGGGAAACAGGGACGTCTGGTAACCTTATCTTAATCATGCATGAAGGCTTCCTTGCTGCCTGCATTTGTGCGGCACACCTGAATTTATTTCCAGGGACAGAGCAAGCCAGAACCAGCAACTTAGCAGGCAAGGCTAGGGAGACATCCCTGCTCTCACATTGATTTAATGTGTGACTGCTGCTTCTGAAGGGTGTGTGTGTGTGTGTGTGTGTGTGTGTGTGTGTGTGTGTGGTGCAGGTACATATGTCTGGAGTTTAGAGTGTTTATTGGTATGGTTAGATTGTGTCAGTGATGCAGAAGATGAACTAGGTTGGTTGAGGAAACTTCCCAACCTCATTTGCTGGGAACGGTGATTTTAAACAAGAACATATTCTAAGAAGAGTACTGCTTGAGCTCTTTGTTATGTAAGGCTAACTAAAATGTTTACTAAAGGTTTGTCAGGCACCATAATTTTCAACTTGTTTATTGGATCTGAATACGTCAGTGTAAGCATTTTGTTTTGATGAATTGTAAGTTAGCGCTGAGTGCTCCAAAAGTGCAGGTTAAACGGAAAAGGAAAATATTGAGTGGGACTGAATCTGTTGACAATTTGAGCGTTGTTTTAAGATACTTTTCAAACAATAAATTATTGGTTTGAATGTAGTTGGTTTGAATGTAGCTTTATAATGGTGAAATCTAGAGTAAGTTAGGTACACTGAAATCTGAGAATGAAGTGTTTTAACTATGTGCATAATTTGCACTGAATTTTATAGGACCTACGTGCATTTAAGATGTTTTAGGATTGTACCCAAATTTCCCCTGACATTTCATTAATCAAAACAAAATAATTTGATTACATCAATCTTGGAGAAACAAATCAAATGATTTATCAGAGTCAAAGTTCTGTTTTTTTTATAGAGGAAAAACAACAAAATATTGAGTTACATTAATGACTAACACCTTTTAAAGTATGCTTCACCAGGTACACAGAATCTGATGAAGCAGATTCTAGCTCACAAAATGTATGCCATAATAAATTTGTTAGTCTTTAAGGTGCCACAAAACAGAATGGAATTATAGACTCAAGACACCACCACTTCGGTATTTTAAACTTTCAAACACCCTACTCTCTGATTTAAAAAGCATACCACTATCCAAGACCAGGAGCAGCTGAAGAAAACCATTCACAGAAGCCAAATGCAGTTCTACATATACCAGACTGTAACATTCTTGGGAAACTGGCATTAAAAGCACACATGAAGAAAACCATATTAACAGTGACTTTTGTTTCACCAAAATATATGAGCCAAGCTCCCTTTCATTTCAGTTATGCCAAGAATGTGCTCTGGACTAAAATAAACAAAAAAAGGGATTATTTATAAATACATTGATGGATTCAGCCCCAGTGACCCCGGAGGGGAGGGGGATCAACAGGACAATAATGGATCTAGGCATCTGTACTGTGAGTTTATTAGCCATGCATTTATCAAAGGACTTACCTTTCAAGGTGGGCAGGTCTTTCATTTTGGAAAGTGCCGAATTACATTAGCTGGGTCCATTATCAATCGTTTTCAGCAGACATATCATTTATCCTTGGCCTAGGAATGAACAGGTTCCCAGCATTCTCATATCAGCATTCTAGAAGTAAAGAGAAAGGCCCCATTTAATTTTCTTCCTGCCGGCTAGAAGGAAAATGTTTTATAAAGCACATTAAATGAAAAATAAAAATAAATAAAGGAGACTACCACAAAGAGCAGGGAGTAGGGAACGACAGAATGCCTGGTTGATTTACAAATGCTTGTGTGAGAAAAGGTTAAAATTAGATTGACGAGCAAATGTGTTCGCAGACTGCTGGCTGACAAATGGCAGAGCTATGCCAATGTATTACTTATGCAAGAGATGTAGCGGAAGTATGCAGGAGGATCATATCGGTGCATTAGTCAAATGCATACAAACCCACTGTAAACATAGAATGTTTGGGCGGGCACAACAGACGTCTATTGGAGATGTATACTGCTGGGTTTTATTTAACAGCAATGAGTAACTAGATGAGTTGAACTGGACAGAAGGATTACTCATGTTTTGTGGACAAGTGAAGAAGGATGGCTTTGTTATCCTATCAATGGCAAAATTCTCCTTGGATGAATTTCCCAGCAGCTTGCAGATAAACCACTTCCACTGAACCGCTGATTAATAGTCCTTAGAGAATCCCAGGTTAAAGGGACACAGAACACATATAGACTGATCAGGGTCTGGCATATTCCATGTGTTTGTGCTTTCAGCGTGTGCATACACACACACACACACACACACACACACACACACACACACACACACTACAACAACACAAGAACAAACACAGAATATTCTGTGTGCTATTTTACTAAATAGAATCTGTAGGTCTATTTGCAGTTCAATCTGTTTGCATGATCAAGGCTACCTGCTATCACTATTTCACACCAGGAAAGTGTCCAGAATATAGAAATGGCACAATCTTTGCTCTGAAGGAGTAAGAATGTAAGAGCCCACTTCTTAGTTATGTGCCAAAGAAAATCAGAAGAGCCTTGCTTGTTCACGCTGAAGGCCCATCTAGTCCATCATCATTTTCTCATGGTGGCTAACCAGATGGCTATGGGAAGCCCATAAACTGGACATGAACACAATAGCGCAACAGCACTCCTACCGTTTCTCTTCAGCAACTAGTATTTAGAGGCATATTGCTTCTGACAGTAGAGATATAGTAAGGTCATTGATAGCCTTATCTTCTATAAATTTTTTAAGTCACCCAAGGTGGTGGCCACCACTACAGCTTGCAGGAACAAATTCCATAGTTTAAAAATGTGCTGCTTAATGCATAGGTTATGGTGTGCTTATAAAGCAGAAGGGCTGATCAAACAATCATGTTAATCATCTCATTGAAGAGAAGGAGAGTTGGACCCCCCCCCCTCCAAAGAACATTAAACTGCTTTAGTTACTCAACCACTGCAGAATCAATGCCATTATTTCTGGTAATGTCCTGAACACCAAGCAATTCTCCTGTCCCACATTCTGCACTCTGCCGGTATAAATGGCTGACATTATCCTTCTATGTAGGTGAAAGTACTATTCCTTTCCATGACACTGTGCTGTGGCACCATTCACAAACACTCTTGACACAGCAGATATAAATCAAGGAGCTGGCTTATGCAATAAGACCCATTGATTTACAGTGCTTCGTTTTTGAAGTGTTGTGACTCACAACTGCCAAACTAAGTCATATTTCAACAATGAATGTATAATACTTCTCTCTCTCTCTCTCTCTCTCTCTCTCACACACACACACACACACACACCAGCCACCATGCCTCCTCTTGATCAGGAGTGTGATATTGTGATGTGTTGGGTTTAATCTTTCCTCAGGTGCCACAATCCTGCCAAAAAGTAAAGAGCCTGAAGCTGCTAGTCCCACTGGGGAAGAAAAGGACAGTGAATTCTCCTTTGTTCAATGCATTAAAATATAGCTGTCCTGGAATGCAAAATCCAAGCCAGAAGATATGAATTATTATATTTTTTGGCTAGGGCTGATGGCAGTGGCAGCCCAAAACATCTGGATAGGGAAGGTTGGCATAAGCACCAGTGACCAGATAATCACCAGATACATCACATACCCCCTTTTTGGGGAGGATGCTGGAGGGCGATGTGGTGGGGCAGCTGCAAGCATTCTTACACAGATCCTGTTGGAATTAAACTTTAGTTCCCAATTTCAGAGCTATATGGAAGAGAGCCTGGGTCGTTTGACCCTTGAATTATTTCCCTTTCCCCTCCTGTAAGAACTATGCAAGATACTCTCTTTTAAAGTTTAAATAACATAACTTTTGCTTAGTGTACATGCACTTGCAGATTAAAATATATACAATGCAGATAGGTGTTACTTATGTTGGTAATACATCTTACATAAATTGTATCTAAGATAAATACGGACTAACTCTGAGGCGGACAGCAGCATAACATAGGGCTGCAATATTTTAAGAAGTGAAAATCCAGATACAAAAGTTGTTGAGCTTTTAATCTTTTTAAAAAATAAGTTTTTAAACTATCCCCCCCCCCAACACTTCCAAAATGGGCTGCCATATGCCCAGGTTTTCCCAGATGTCTTTAGTCAGTTTTTGAAAATTCCTCTCGGATGCCATTTTTGGCGGACGAATCCTGGCTATGTCCGGGAAATTCTGAACGTATGGCAACCCTAGCATAGCAGAACATACTGGCTGCTCTAACCGTTAATAACTGCCATAACTGTACCAACTGAAATAACTGCCTCAGTTGTATGACATCCCAGAGTTCTATAGCCCTTGTGAACATTAACTTAGCACTTTGGATACTTTCATACCACAGATTATATAGATCCATACCAATCAGGGTGCAATCCTGGCCATGGGGCTGAGTTGGTCTTGGTCACCTTGATGGATGACCTTTGCAGAGAGCAGGACAAGTGGAGCATGGCCTTCCTCCTGCTTCTTGATCTCTCCTGCTTTTGTTCCCACTGACTTTTTCGCCTTTTTCTGGACCTGCTCTGGGCAATAGGAATTGTGTTCCAGTAGTTCCAGTTCTACCTCTGGGACCGAATTCAGAGAGCTGTATTAGGAGAGTGCTTTTGGCCTCACTGCCACGAGGCACTATCTTATCTCTAGCGCTATTTACTATCTACATGAAGCTGTTGGAGGCAGTCATTAGGAATGCTGGGGCAAGGTGCCATCAGTATGCTGAATCAGAGGCTGCGGATAAAAAATTGCCTGAGAACTTGGTCTGTTGTCCACCCTGAGTTGGGCTGCACTCACCTTGAAGGAGAAAGTTTGCAGTTGGGTGCAATTCTGGGTCCACCTTTCATCACTGGAGGCCCAGATAGCCTCAGTGGCTAGCAGTGCATTTAGCAGCTTTAATTTATATGACAGCGATGGCTATTCCTGGACTGGGAAAGACTGGCCACGATAGATAATGCATTGGTTAATTCAAGACTGCATTCCTGCAGGGCACTCCAGGTGGAGCTTCTCTTGTGCTTGATCCAGAAGCTGCAGTTGGTGCAGCATGATTGCAGATTGGTGTGTGACCTTATATAACACCTGTGCTTAGACCTGATTGCTTATTTGCTACTGGACCAAGTTAAAGGTGCTATGATTAGCATATGAAACCCTTAACAACTTAGGACCAGTTTACCTGCAAGATCACCTTCCTTACATGTGCTCTTCCAACCACTTCAGTCGGTGGAATTTGCACTCTTACAGGTGGTATATAATACTCAATCCACATTTATAAGAAGTCAATCTTTTAGTATGGCGACACACACTTTGGAACTCCCTGCCTATTGACACCAGGCAGTTTCCTTCACTGCACTCTTTTCTGTGCCTGCTAAAAACATTTTTGTTTAGACATGCCTACCCAGATATGTAGAAAGTTTACATGTGCTTTAATCTGTGTTTGGCTTATCACTAATGTTTTAAATAGCTGTTTTTAACTAACTGTTCCAGCTGATGATTTTATTGTTTCACTCTACTTGTAACTTGGAGGGTGGTTGTTGGGTTTTTTAAATACAAGCAAAAGGTAAACAAATGTTATTAAATGAATACATAACTACAATTCTAAAATCATTTAACATTTGTATGCTGCCCCATAGGAGAACGTTATCTGAGAATCATATGTTGTTGTTGTTTAGTCGTTTAGTCGTGTCCGACTCTTCGTGACCCCATGGACCAGAGCACGCCAGGCACTCCTGTCTTCCACTGCCTCCCGCAGTTTGGTCAGACTCATGTTTGTAGCTTCGAGAACACTGTCCAACCATCTCGTCCTCTGTCGTCCCCTTCTCCTTGTGCCCTCCATCTTTCCCAACATCAGGGTCTTTTCCAGGGAGTCTTCTCTTCTCATGAGGTGGCCAAAGTATTGGAGCCTCAGCGTCACGATCTGTCCTTCCAGTGAGCACTCAGGGCTAATTTCCTTCAGAATGGATGCATTTGATCTTCTTGCAGTCCATGGGACTCTCAAGAGTCTCCTCCAGCACCATAATTCAAAAGCATCAATTCTTCGGCGATCAGCCTTCTTTATGGTCCAGCTCTCACTTCCATACATCACTACTGGGAAAACCATGGCTTTCACTATACGGACCTTTGTTGGCAAGGTGATATCTCTGCTTTTTAATATGCTGTCTAGGTTTGCCATCGCCTTTCTCCCAAGGAGCAGGTGTCTTTTAATTTCGTGACTGCTGTCACCATCTGCAGTGATCATGGAGCCCAAGAAAGTAAAATCTCTCACTGCCTCCATTTCTTCCCCTTCTATTTGCCAGGAGGTGATGGGCCCAGTGGCCATGATCTTAGTTTTTTGGATGTTGAGCTTCAGACCATATTTTGCGCTCTCCTCTTTCACCCTCATTAAAAGGTTCTTTAATTCCTCCTCACTTTCTGCCATCAAGGTTGTGTCATCTGCATATCTGAGGTTATTGATATTTCTTCCAGCAATCTTAATTCCGGCTTGGGATTCATCCAGCCCAGCCTTTCACATGATGAATTCTGCATATAAGTTAAATAAGCAGGGAGACAATATACAGCCTTGCCGTACTCCTTTCCCAATTTTAAACCAATCAGTTGTTCCATATCCAGTTCTAACTGTAGCTTCTTGTCCCACATAGAGAGAGAATTTCCCAGGAGAGAGAATCATATAGTAAATATTAAAAAATATTGATGATGTCTCCTACCTCCCCTACTTTTCTCTCACAAACACACACCAATATAGTGGCTATTGCCTATTAAATTGCCCATCCTGTTTGGAAACTAAACAACTCACAATGGTGTGAACATCCTAAAAGGTATTTCCTCTTAGGAGACCTAGGCATAAAGTTGATCAAGCCTTGGGATGAGTCTAGGGACATGGCCAACTCGCCTGGGACATTGAGAGAGGCATCCATGAAATTGGTAGAGAATTTGGGGCTTAAGGAGGTGGCAGAGGATGATATCCCTTGTGTAAAACTCAAAAGAAGAGGCCACACTTTCAAGAGAAGGGTCTTCTCTGGGATCTTCAGAAATGGGGGTCCATTGGGTGCTTACTACAGCTACTGCCAAGCATTGCCCCAAGTTCAAATTATAGGTTTTTTCTTCTTCAAAGAAGTAACCCTGACTTGTAGTGCTTTGTCTGTTTTCCCCATAGTGGGGCAGTCAAAATCCCTCACTTCACAGAGCAGAGCAGAGGTGAGAAAGGAACAGGAATAAAAAAGGCGGGAAAGTGTGAGGAAAACTGAAGGCGTTGTTTTTTTAAAAAAACACAGTAAGAGAAAACAGATAAACAGGTGCTGGAGACAACAAATAAGGACAAAAGACTCGAAATAAAAAAGGAGAAAAACAACAACAGGTAAGGGCAGTGCTATTTTTCTAGAAAAAGAGGTGCTGGATCTCACCACGAATGCCTCCCTCCCTCTCTTAGAATGACAATGGCGCCTACCTGAAAGGTTCTGGCAAGTTTTGGCTGAAAAGAAGCCCTGAGGTAGGGTATAAGGGAGCAGTTTGAAGGAGAGAGAATCCAAATGGGATGTTGCTCTGAGATGAGACAGGAAACGGGCTGAGCCTCAACAGGAAGAGAACAGAAAAGTCTTCTGGAGAAGTTTGTGGCTTAACTTTACAGTGGTACCTCAGGTTAAGTACTTAATTTGTTCCGGAGGTCCGTTCTTAACCTGAAACTGTTCTTAACCTGAAGCACCACTTTAGCTAATGGGGCCTCCTGCTGCTGCTGCCCCGCTGCCGGAACACGATTTCTGTTCTCATCCTGAAGCAAAGTTCTTAACCCGAGGTACTATTTCTGGGTTAGCGGAGTCTGTAACCTGAAGTATATGTAACCTGAAGCGTATGTAACCCGAGGTACCACTGTACTTGTTTTAATGGTGCAATGTGCTTTATTTTGCCTTATCTGTCTTGTCTTGTTTTTGTAATGGCTTTGGTTACACAAATAAGTAATATTCGAATGTAAGCATATAAGTTTGTGGCATTTTCCTGCCTCCAAGGTGCAGAGCAGGCAACACAACCCACTTGGAGCCCTCCTTCATCCACCGGTGAATGTGTGTGTGGTGCAAGAAAAGACCATTGCTGCCATCGTGCCCTTTGTGCAACTGTTTTGTCTGTCCAACTCCCACAGTTGTGAAACGTAGTAGATGTGCATTATGGTGCATCAGCAGCATGTTCTATGGTTGCAAATTTTATGAAATTTATTCTCATAGGTAATTCCCAGTCATGACTATTGCATTGTTATGCAAGGTTTTAACTATTTATATAATGGAATAATATGTTGTTTTATGATCTTAAAAAATATGAGGCCGAAGAAACCCCAAAACATGACTCCTGTTAGTTTATGCACATTATTGAGTCCAATGGATATAGTGTTACCAAGAGAGGAAAGTTCTCAGTGGTTTTGTTTTACAAAACATCTAAATGGTGTCATGCTTAAAACCATCCCACAGACATTTTATTTTTGTGGCTTTCTTCAGATGCAGCTGACTCTAGAATGGTAGAAGTCCTTTTTTTTTAATTGATGGGAAATTAATGCATGGAAATGCTGGAAAATTATTTACAATTTCATCTGGAATTATATATTGCATTTCATTGGAATTATATATTGCATTTCATAGGAATTATATATTGATCAGTTTCAAGAATCATATGACTAATATACTGTGCAGATCTTGATGGGTGCAAGAGATTGTACAAGACAAGAGGACAGTTCCAAAAGTATGCCTTTTAATGAAGGTTTGGATTTGTTTGCGGGCCAATACTAAGGGTCATATTAGGCAGTATGTTAAATGATAAATGATGAAGCACTGTGGGAGAGTATCATAACTAAGGTCAGAATAATAATCCCCAAAGCTAAATTGGTAAGTGTACCTCAGCATAAATACCATAATAAGAAAATCCAGTTTTGCTGGCTCACAATGAAGGTTCGTGTTTTTAAACTTTGTAGGTTGGGGTTGTTGGCTTTTGGGAAGGTCCTGGCAGTGCCATCATTGCAGGAGGCTAGGAGATGGGTAACCAGGGGTCCTTCTCAGCTATCTCTCCCAAATTTCAGCTGATCCTAACTTTGGTGTATTTTTTGTGTGCCAGCTAAAGACTCTTCTCTGCATGGGTATCCTCTCCAATTCTCTGCATGTGCATTCAGAAGTAAGCCCTGCTGAGTTCAATAGGAATTACTCCCAGGGATATGTGTATAGAGTTGCAGTCAAAAATGTTAATTCATGCCATTATCGCATCTCTCAGCATTGTGTTACATATGCATACACAATACCATTTTTGTCAGTCCATCCATGTAATCAATGTTTAAGAACAGATAAATCACCCAAGCTCCAGGAAAAATGTTAATTTCCACTCCACTTTTAGCATCTCCTTGAAAGGAATTGATATCTTTGTGTGGTATGGAGTTGACATATTTTGGTGGTGGCAGGGGTGGGAGGGTGGGATATTTGTAACTTTGGGGCATCAGTTAATTCAGCTCTCCAACCTATTTGCATTTGACAGCCCAGCATTAAATGGTAAGAGAAGAATGTGAAAACTTATTTATCATAACCACTAGAGGGCCATTTTTGGCTTTTATTTTTATCAGTCTGAGAAGTGTGGGATTTAAGTTACACAAGGACAAAAAACCTTGCCAACTTGCCTGGTTTTAATTTTACACTCACAATGCACTAGAGCTGAAATGATTTGGGGAGCGGGGGCTGCTCACATTATCCAAATTTGCATTTCCTTACTACAGTTCTAATTCCTCTTCCTCAATTAATTAATCAATCACCCTTTACATATGAGTCAAAGCAATTTACAAGCATAATACAAAACCAACTAAGTTTTAGATACAGTAAAAAAAAGTCTGATGTTTAAAAATGTTTTAAAAAACATTCAAAGAGAACATCTAATTAGAAGTGACCCCCTCCTCCATATTCCGAGTTATAAAAGAAATAGAATTATTAACTCTGAGGAGTTGATAATTATCACTATTGCCTGAAAATTCATCAAGAGCTTTCGTCAGCTTTTTAAAAGATACCACTGAAAGCTAGACTGTCAAAATTCAGAACTGTTAAAGGTTGCTGAATTCCTAAATCAGTGCAAAATATCTAGTATGAGTGTTTCAAAAGTATCCTGAATCAGAGAACACAATAGGATCTGTTGCTTTTGTGTATGTTTCCGCTAAGAGAATGCCTGGGGTACTGATGAATATGATCTCCTTGAGTCAGTTCAGAATTGGCTTGATATTTACTAGCTTGTAAAGTATGGGCTGTAGCTCAGTGGTTAAAGCACATGCCAAAGGTCCTAAGTTGAGTTGCTAGCGTCTCCAGGAAGTGTTGGGAAAATATTCTGGAGAGGCTCTGCCAGTCAGTGTAGGCCAGGGGTCGGCAAAGTTTTTGTGGCTTGGGCTGGTTCACGGTCCTGCAGACGCCCCGGTGGGCAGGAGTGTGTGCGTGCATATGCATGCACAAACGCTATTTCCGGCGCTCCTTCCAGTGCAGAGGAGGGGTGTGCAACTTCCCATTGGCTGCAGGAGCTTCCTGAAGCATATGGAAAGCCGGCCAGCATCACGGAAGGCGGCCTCCGCTCTGCTCCGCACTGGTTTAGCACGGCGCACAGGAGCCGACCGAGCAGGCGACGGTGGTCCCCGAGCAGGCGGTGGGGGTCCATGGGCTGGTTAAACGACCCCCATGGGCCACTTGTGGCCCATGGGCCTTAGGTTGCTGACCTACTGTAGGCAATACTGAGTTAGATTGATTTGGTATACAGGTAGCTTGCTATGTTTCTTCCCATTACTTGCAGCTAGGCTTTTACTGGTGGGGTTATCCCCTGAATGAGGTTTGACACCAATGGCTACAGACCATTATGGCTACGTTCTACCTCCACTGTTGGTGGCAGCATGCCTCTGAATGCCAATTACTGGGAACAGCAAGTGGGTAGAGTGCTATGTTGCTCAGGTCCTGCTTTGGGTCTTCCAGTAGGCATCTGGTTGGCCACTGTGAAAACAGGTTGCTAGAATCAGTATTGGCCTAATTCAGCAGGCTCTCCTTATATTCACTCATGCTACATTCCTATCAGGAGAAAGGGAGGAGGCAATGTTAACACATTCTCCCCTTCTCTTACAACCCGTCCCTCCCAAATCTGCTCTGGAGGTTTGGAGAACCCTTCTGAGCAGCATGAGAGACAGCATGGAGAGAACTGGCAAAAAATGACTCCCCTTTCTTCTGCCAGCAAGTTCCTTCACCAGATCTTAGTCCTATCCATCAATGGAAGAAGCCCTGGTTAGGATCAGAGCCTATGTTCTTCTGAGCATCCCATCTATTTCTAAGAGTTCTCTCCTGGTTTGGTGCATGCAGATTGCTGGCGCTATGCATGTGTGCCTTATTACATTGTTCTCTGGGAGTTGTTGTTCCCAGCAACAGCCGGGGTTGAGAGCTGCCTAGGAATTCACCAGTACCCTTTGCCAAAACAAATATCCTGAGAGCAATACAGTTTGTGTGTGTGTGTGTGTGTAAAGATCTGGAGTGGGGGCATAGCAACCACATACATTTCTTTAAAAGAAGTAATTGGAGGAGTTGCTCAAAATAGAGATACTCACTGTGCAAAGGCTATTTGAGTGGATGGTTGATCACTGTGAAAGTAAGGGGC